AAACCTATATTTACTTTTTAATTAAAAATAGCTTAAGCATAGCTTAAAGGTTTATAAAGGTGGCCTTAAGGCCAGCCTTTATTAAGATCTTTAAGTAACTCTTTTAATATTATCTAACGGGGTTTAAAATACTCCATTCTTATTAATCAGATTCCTTTATTAATATCTTTATTATTAGTAGAGATCTTCGAGACTTGTTAGTCTTATAATATATAACTAAGTTATAAACCTAAAAAACTTTGCCCGTGTTAAATTAATACTTTACTATTTATTTATTAAAATAAATAACCTGCGTATAATTAATAAATTAGTATTTAATAACTTTTATAATATATACAAGTACTACTATAAATATTATAGTTATAAAAAAAATAGCTACATGTAGGATAATAAAAATATAAAAAATAAAATTAATTTACTAACTTAAAATAATAATACTAGCCTAATTACTAAGGTACTTTTTTAAAAGGCCATGGTAGCTTAATAACCTAGCTATAATAATAATTTTCTTGCAAAACCTAATAACCTGGGCTAGCGTGATATTAATTAATAATATAATTAAACTTAGTATATAAAAAAACCTGGTTTTAGTTTAAAATTTTAAAATCTAGTAAAGGTAGATTACCTAGCAGATATATTAGCTTATTTATTAGCTTATTTAAATAGCCTAAAGGTTAAGTAACGCTAGCTATATAATATTATAATTAAATATTATAAAAGTATTTTATAGTCACGTGGTTTACTAGTTTTATATTTAAGTAGTAAATAATAGTTTATTTTTATATATTTATTACTTTTACTAGGGTAATTATTAATTAATTTAAATAGCAAGGCTAGCACTAGTAAATTTTATATTATTAACCTATTATTTATAACCCTAGAATATATAGCTTTTTATACTAGTAATTATAAGACCTTTATTATTATATAGGCTATTTTAACTAGTGTTATTATATATAATATTAATAGCTAAACCCTATACTTACTATTTTAATTATTAGTTATGTTAAAAGGCAAGGGGGGTTATAATTACTTATAGCTTTTAATACTATTAGCCTTGCAGGCAAGTTTTTATAGCATGTTATATTTAATTATTAATAAAAAATTTATAATAGGTTTAAAACAGCTATATTATATTAATTAATAATATTATAAAATTTTCCTGGATTATAAAGCTAAACCCTTTAATAACTTAAATATTATTTTAGCCGGGGACTTTTATTAGTTACCTTTAATTAGCTAAAGCCCTTTTTTTAAGGCCATGTCTTTGCTTGTAAATAAAAAAAAAAGGCTGGTTAATATTTATATAATTAATTTAATCTTATTATTAAGCTAAATATTATTTATTACTAAACTATAAGCTTTTAAATAACTTATATATTTATCCTTGCGCTAGAGCGCTTAAAAAAAAATATTATTATAATAAAAAACTAGGAGCTTTTTATAATATAAGTATAGGTTAAGTTACTTATAAATAAAAGTAATGCCTTTATAAATATAATTTATATATATAAAAAAAAAAATAATATATATTAATATAATTATAACCATGTGTTAAACTCCGGTAAGCCTATAATTATTTTATAGGCTAATTATGTTAAATTTAGTGCTATAACTATAAAAATAAACCAGGCTAAAAACCTAGTTAAAAAGCTTATAATTTTTTTTAGTTACTATATTATGCTAATATAAAATATTTAAATAAAAAGGGGTCTTGTAAACAGCGCTATAAATATATTAATAAATATTATATAATTACTAAAAATTATAAATCCTATTTAAAAGGCACTACTTGCTTTAATAATAGCTTTTAACTAGTATAATAATTTATATATTAAAAAAAATAATAACTATAACATGGTACTAATCTTTCGCGTAAGGCAAGATTTTTACTATTATAATATTATTTATACCTATACATAGTTTTTAGCTATACTAGCATATATAATAATAATTTATAAGGCTTAGGGGGTTACTATTAAGCAGGCTATCTTAAACCTTACTATATATAAAAAGTTTTTACTAGGTCTTATATACATGGCTATATTACGTGTATAGTTGCTTAAAAAACTATTATTTAAAAAACCTTTTAGCTATAACTAGTTAGTTAGCAGCCTGTTTAATACTAAAAAATAAAGGTATAAAAATAATTATTTAAGGCGCTGCTAATATATATTTATTATAATTATAAATAATATTTCTTGTTATAAAAGCAATAATAATATAAGTATAAATTTAAAAATAAAATAATAATTTAAACTTACTTTATTAACTAGGGTCCAGTCCTATAAACATTAATTATTTTTTAATAACTTTTTATTAAAATTATTTAATAAACTAGGGAACTTATTCCTACTTTTTTTTTTTTTACTAGTAAACCTGCTTTTTCCACAAACTTAACTATAATATTAAGGTATATTTTAATAAATGCCTTTTAGGCAGCAGTGGACGCGTTTTTTTAAGTAGCTATTATATTAAATAAGTTATAAAGCCGCTTAGCGTGGTTATAGGTTTATAGTTAGGCTAAGGTTAATATTTAAATAAATACTTAATTATTTATTAGGTAATATTATAACTGCTTTATAGCACGGCTATTATTTTCTTTTTTTTTTATTTTTATATATTTTTTTTTTTATAGCACGGGCGGCGGTAGTAGTATTTTTAATATTAATTTTTATACTATTATAATTAGTTACTAGTTTTGCGGATTATTAGTTAGGGTACTTATTATAATAATTATAATATTTATTTTTTAAAATATAATAATAGTTAGCGCAGGCGCTAAATAGCAACCTATTAATAATAATATAACCTATAAATAATTTATTTTCTCCTATATACTAAACGCAGGGCGTAAAAAGGTGTTTTTTAATAATTTATATTATAATTACCTTTATATTACTAGGTAATATAAAGGTAGCCTTTAGGTACTTAACCTATAACTTTAACTCTTGCACTGGTGGTATCTTAACTAATACTTACTAGTAATAGTTACTTATAACCTTAATATAATTTATAATATACTACACGGCTAGCGCGCCAGGCAATAGTTTTATAATAAAATATAAAAATATAATAAATAATATAATTATAAATTATTTTTTATAATAATATATTAAAAAAATAATATAATTAAATTTAATTCTAGGAGGTAGCTATATTAGTATATAGCTTAATATTATAAAGTTAAGTTTTAGGTATTATAAGAATAAATAAGGTAACAGCTATTTATTACCTATTAAAAATAAAATATAACTTAAATAATAATAAAATAAGGCTATAGTATTTAATTAATAGGCTGTAAATTATAATAACATGCTTTAGGTAAGGCTTTTAAAGTTATTAAGTAGTTAATTTTATTAGTTTAAAGTTAAATAAAAGGTATTAATAAACTAAAATAATATTAATACTTTATTAAATACTTACCTTTAGTTACTAAATTTCTGCCTATGGTTTATACAAGCTATTTTTAATAATATTTATAATTAACTATACCTAATAAGTTATAATAAATTTAAACTTTTTTATTACTAGGGTCCAGCCCCAAAAAAAATAAATTAAAAAAAATTACTTATTTATTATTATTATTATATTTAATACCCTTAAAACTAGCTTTATTAACAAGGTTATTTATTATAAGGGTTATAACATGGGCTATGGTAGCTAGCCTAGCTATAATAATATTAAAGTTTATTATTATTATAATTATAAGGCGGTGCAGGTAGCAGGTAAACTAAATAGTATATATAGGCAGGGTGGTAGTATTTACTTTTTTTTTTTTTATTTTTTTTATCTTTTTTTTTTTCCGCGACCTTTTTAGCCTTTTTTTTTTATTTTTTTTAGCCTTTTTTTCCTTYTTTTTTTTATTTTATTATTATTATTATTATTATTATTGCCTGGTATAAAAGCTAAATATATTAGTTAATATACTTATAAGTAAATAAAAGTTATAACTTATATTTATTAGTATACCGTGTACTAAAATTATTTTAATAATAATTTATATAATTATTATTAAAGTAGCCTGGTATAATAATATATTTTATAAATAACTTATAGCCTTAGGTGTAATACCTGTAAACTAGATTACCCTTAATAAGTATATTAATATACTACCTAATAATAACTTTTTAATTAATAAGGCAGGCTATAATTTTTTTTATTATATTAATTTTATTAATAGGCTTATAAAGCGCGAGCTTGCGCTATAAATAATATAATTATTTATAAAGTTTATTTAAAATTACTAATTTATAGCCTAAATAATTTACTATATTAATAATATAGGCTACTAGTAGCTAGGTTAATAAAAAAGTAAGTAAGTAAATAAAAAAAATAGTATTATTATTACCTTTAGTATTAGCTATTATAATAAAAAAAATTTAAAAAATTAGGGGTTTATAAATTACAGGTTTATATAAATAAGTTATATACTACTTATATAATTTATTTTTTTATTATTTTTTAAACATGTTTATTAAATTTATTATTATTATAGCTATTAAAAAAAGTGTTATTATTTAAAATAGGCTATTAATAAAAGTATTAAATATTAAACAGGCTATTAATAGTAATATTTTTAGTATTTTAGGCAGGATAAACTTTGTTCCGGCCTCGCGCATTACTCCCAGCATTAAAGCCTGCGCCCTAGAAATAACAGGACCTACGTATGACTTCAACCTCAACCAGATTCCTTTCACAGAATGCGGGGAATCGGATCATATCCCCTCAACTTGACAACCAATATCCCTTCACCGTGGCCAGTCGACCCCAGATCTTCCCAGCTTGGTTTGTAGGGTCGCCCAACCACGGTTCGACAGCGTTCCATCAACGTGTCCTTCTCCTCACAGTCATGACCTCATTCCACCATAACTACTCTGCTATAAGAGGAGCCTCCTTCACACCCCTTCCACCATAGCTTTCTATCCAGCAGCTATTACTGAAGACTCGTCTCATCCTAAATTCATCCTCGGCTACAACAATCAATACCTCGCCTCAAAATGAACCCAAACTCGAACCTCAACACCGGTCGCACCCGCTCAGGCGGCGGCGGCGGTAGTTTCACCGACCAGTTCAACGCAAACGTCGACTATACCCGGAACAAGAAGGGCCAGGGCCAAGGTGGCACCACGGATATGGGCCAGTCCCAGAGCCAAAGCACCTTTGGACAGGGCACCTTCGGTCAGAACCTAGCGCAGGCCCAGGCCGATGCGCAGGACGAGGCTCAGGCTGGTTCTGCTCCAGATCCGCGCGGCCCTGCTGTTGGAACTGGCGGTGCTGCTACCGGTACTAAGGCTGCTTACGGGAGTGATATCACCCAGGTTGGTCGTTTCTTTTGGTTCTGCGCCGTTTTATGCTATCTATCTGTGATCTTCTTCTACCAGCAGTCAGCTGGGGCATCAGAAATACAGCGCTGCGTCTTCTTAAGACGGACTAACAAAAGAACAGGAGCCTACAGAACTTGAAACTAGCATTGACAGTACCAATGCGGGCGTTGACCATCGCCGGACAAGTTACTCGTTCACCGCGGCCGATCTGGCGCATCCCGATGATAGGACCGGTCCTGAGGAGTGAATTCTGCGTGTTTGCCATGTCTGGTGGTTCGAGGGGGCAGGCTCAAAATGTATATGCCCTTTCTCGCTCGGGGCGTTCTCTGTAAGTTCCGCGACGATGCCAGATATATCTCTGCAACTCAATGAAAATTGTATCAACCACTAGCATATTGAAACCCACCACCAAGCCATTACAGCGCAGCTAGAAAGACCTGCGTAGACCCACCGATGTAGTCAAACAGCGACTAAAGGTCGCATGTTCATTACTCCGAGCATAAATCACTGTCCCATGCATGCATTTATCATTCGGCTAAGCCCGACCGACAACAGTGCCGGGCGATATCGTCAGCATCCCAGCAGTTAGCTCCACGCCGACATCCTCTTCCAAATGCTCTGCATCATTCTTGTAGTATAGTCTGTATCTCGGCGAGCCGAGCAGAGGGATGGATATAAATAAGTCAAGGCAGGTTAAGGAAATGAAAAAAAAGAAATGCTCACAAGCGGACTTGAACCGCTGACCTCGTGATAACTCGGATTAATGTTTTTCCATACTAGTCACGCGCTCTACCAACTGAGCTATGCGAGCTGCTTGATATAATTAGTCTTTGTTTTTAACAATATAATCCAAAAACTTTACCGGGTGCGGTGCATTTTCCCAACTGAGCCACTGGGAGTCATGAGATCAGCGTCAAGTCCGCTTGTGAGCATTCTTTTTGTTAGTATTTCAACTTGGACATTAATTTGTGTGGACATTGATTGACTGGGAAGATTTCTGGGATTTCGGCCAATATGGTCGCTGTCTCACTTAGGGTTACTTACGGAGTGGTATGCAGCACCATCAAGACAAAATGAAACAACATTCAAGGTGGGGCAAGAGGATGATCATGCCGTTGCAGGCTCCTCTAATTTGGTACCCAGCACAAGCCAGTGCCGGATTCAGTGTGGGATGCTCGAGCCGACCGGATATTTAAAGACACCCTCTTATCGTGCTCAGAGTGCTGGGGCCTCCGCGTGGCCAGAGCAATGGGATTTACAAAGAGAACAGCAAACATGGGTGAACCGTCCAGGTAGGAGCTAGTTGAAAGTAATCAGTGTCACAGAGCTGGCTGAGAGAGCCTTTAAAGTTACGTTTCTAGTGTTGAGGGTTGGTTGCGTGCTCATGCGATATCTCGGCAGCCGGTTTTGCTTGCCACGTTGAGTCATTGAGCCTTGTATGGCCTGTCGAGAGGTTGACTGCGACTGGTATCTTTATAGATCTGTTCTTGGCCAGTCAATCAGCTCTTGACTATGCTGCGCTGGCAACGGTGCTTTGGTTCTTTGTTGTTGGGTCGTGTCAACACCTGCCGAGCAGACGAAGAAATATATCAGGACCGGCCTATTAACCACCTGCAACTGGCACTATATGCAGTCCCTGACACACCAAAGGCATTGGATGTCAAATGCAGGACAAGAAGACGGCATTACTTCATGAAAATAAGACGGAGCCCCATGCTACAGGAAACCGACAATGAGGGCGAGAAGAAACGCAAGGCTCAGCCAGATATAAGCAAAGAGCCTTGACAGCGTCCAGTAATCCAAAAGACGTTATTTGACATGGCCGGCTCCGCCATGGAAGCGACATATTTAGCCAATCTTATGTAGGCAGAAGAGCCCGCAGTCTCCGAAGTCAATCAAGCCGTCAAAATAGCCACCGTCGAGACGCCAAAGGTGCAAGCGCACGACGATACACCCCTGCTCCAGTGTCGATAATGACAGCCGAACATACCCTACGGCACAGGCGGCTCTCCAGGCCCCTCTCCACCGCAAAGATAAACCACTCGTATAGCCCGCTAGGTACCTGTAATGCAGGTACCCTCCGACATGTCGAGCATACCGGTCGATCATCGAGCGCGTAGGCTTCTGGACACCCAGGCAACAAGCCGGAGCAACAACAGATTTCTGAAGCCCACCCCTGGTTGGACAGCCGCCCTCGGCATAAACGAGGCAGTGTTAACCAATGTACTCTGTCCGACAAGATTTGCTACCTGCCTGGCTTCGCAAAGTTTAACCAGTATACCTAGCCAAGAGCCTCGAGGCATGGGCCCTAACCCTCTCGTGGGCATTCCATCGCCATTCGACCTCCTTTTCGTTCTTATATACGTCTTTAGTGCAGATCCCTATCTGTCACTTGCGTAAGCGTCGCTTCCCAGCGGAATAATCACGCATTGAGACCATCGTGCTTGGTGTCATCTCCCCAGAATCGGAGACTGGAGCTCAAACGGTGGTCCTCTGTTCGAACGAGGCTCGAGAAGAAGACCCGTCATTTGAACACAAGTAGTAAGCCGGCACGTACCGGAAGCATCGAATTAGGGACGATTAGGTGGACGGCAGCCCCTCGTCACAACAACCCGCTACCCAGCGGTCATATAACGAGTGAACAATTATAGGTAGTTCTGAATGATGGGATGAAAATGCTCGCACATTGAACCCGTTTGATGGAAGATAACCTGCTGCTCCGCCACTCGGAGTCATGAAAGGGAACTTGACAGTCTTGGAGATGAGCAGAAGAAGAGATGAGCAATGCGATTCAACCACTTGCTGGTACTTAGTGGCGGGACGAACAATAGGTTGGAGCCTGTCTCTGGAACTGCCGTGTTATTCTTGATGCCCGCATAACCCGAGAAGAAAGACCAGGGCACTTACTGATCGATGCAGCGTTGACAACCCACTCGTGTAGTTAGCCAAGGCTTAGCAAGGTGCCAGCTTTGAGCTATCGTGGCGTAGAACGGCTGTCAGCGGAGAGGGAAGGTACGAGGTTGGACATAGGAGGAAGGCACGACCTTGTACATACATTGTCCCGGACTTCATGGCGAGGCCAGGTATTCAACCGCCAGCCAACGCGACATTCCATATAGCCTCTATGATATTCCACGCTCAGTGCAGGTGAATACGGGTAGGTATAGTTGTTTCCGGCCCCGGGCCTGATTGGTTTTGATAGGAACTGAAGTAACCATACAAGACAACACAGCTAAGACTTATATATATTGCGCCCTGCTCTGACAATGGGTCAATTGGACTTGCTTCTCTCCCCTGGAACTGTTGGTGTAAGCCTGAGAGGATATGATTTTTCCAACGTGATAGCAACAATGCTATAGGTTAGTCAATCTAGGTAGTCCGTGTCATACGCAACATCCATCTCCTGCAGAGCGCTATTGGGTCTCCACGGATCCCAAGCTCGTAATGAGGCAGTGAAGAATTATACATTAAGTTGATTTTGGAACCTCTTTCAGCGGCCTTGGACCAGTCTCATGGCAGAAATTTAGTGCCTCATAAAGAAAATCAAAGGGTAGGGCTAAACATCCCATCTTCTTTTTTTTTTCTTCTCTCTTTTAGGTTATCAGATTAAAAAAACTATAAGATTCTGAACCAATCTGCTCGCATAGCTCGCTTGTGAGCCTCTCTTTTTTGGTTTTTTTTCCTCCTTACCCAAACCAATATAATCAACAACAGTCCAGCTAACCACTCTCCATATTGCAGCGGCGCTCATGGCATGGACGGATGGCATGGCTGCAGTTCGTTATGAAGAGGACCGCATGCCAGTATATCTAACGTTTCCAAACGGCCTTTGTTGACTAGACTAAAGGAGTTGCGGACAGAAGAAACTCAGAAGAACGCGACTTGCACATAATGATGGAGATTATAGATATAGGTACATACATGGGTAAGATATAGACAGTCTACGTACTTATATATACACCGTCTGAGCTGTAACATGCCTCTATTGTATCCCAAACCCCCGATCTCTAGATGACAAGAGAGAAGATAGGCAAAGAGAAATGTGAAAAGAAATCAAACCACATAACAGAAGGCTCAGCCCAAACAGACGGCCTTCCTGCCTTTACTCCCAAGCGCCAATCCGCTCAAGGTTCCCAACTGGCTTCGCTCCCGCTGCTGCAAATACTCAAGGTTGCTTGGTTTCAGCACCGTTGTCGGATTCCGACTCCGAAGTCCAACCAGGTTCGCTTTCGGGGGCATCCCAAATAGAAACCGTATTTTCAGGGGATCCAGATGGAGATGGAGATTGATTCAGGGACCGTATGGGAGAGGGAGACCTAGACATGCGTTCTGCCTTTTCAGCTCTCGCCTTTGCCTTTTGTTCCTTGGTCATCTGCGCCTGCTTCACCTGGTAGGCGCGCGCTCGCTTCAACTCCTTCCGCTTCCCGTTCGCCTCGACCTCGAGCTTTCGCTTTTCTCGCGCTTCGTTCTGTTCAACTCTGTTCGCGCGCTCGAGGATGTCAAAGAGGCGCTCTATGGCAGGGGCATATTGTTCGAGAGTGTACATATCACCAACGCGGACACGCATGTGGTCAAAGGCCGCGACGATCGGGACAATGGCTGGGGGCGGGGTTTCGGGTTCGGAGTCAAAGGCCTCGAAATCTTCAGCGGCTATGTCTTCCTGCGCTTCAATGTCGTTCTCGAGAGGAATATCGGTGGTTCTTTCCTCCGCCGCCGCTGCTGCTGCTGCTCGAGCTTCATCTGCTACTTCATTCTGAAGGAGAGCTTTGTGAGCTCTGAATTCGCGTCGGTGGACTGTTTTATCGTCGAGAAGGTCTTTAGGTTGGTCGAAATAGACGACCTTTTGGTATCGCTGGCTAAAGTGCGTGAGGAGGATGGAACGAGCGCGCATTTTGCGGCCGATTTCAATAGCCTCGCCGGAGGTGGAGTGCCTCTTCGCGACGGCTGAGCCAACCATGTCGTCACTGAAGGTGGCTTCGTGGATAAGAACGGTCGAGTCCTTTCCTATGGCTGCGAAACTGGGCGAGGGCCGGCAGTCGCCTGAGAAGGAGACCTTGAAGCCGTCCGGGAAGACGAGGGACACTGCCATGGCGCCACGGCAGTGAGAGACATAAGTCGTTAGGAGATCGGATAGACCCGTGGCCTCGCAAAGCATTTTACTGGTATACTTCCATTGACTGTTAAATCCACATTCGGTTTCTGCAGGCTTTTTATCCTCAGATTCACGCCCGGGGAAGGAACCGTCGGCACGGCAGTGCCGGTATATGAATGAGGTTTGGAGGTTGCCCCCGATTGTTCTGTGTGGGAGGGCAGCTAGAGGTATGAGCTTGCCGAAGCCAAAATCCTCAACTCCGGCATACTCCTCTAACCACTCAACCATCATTGCATCAGATACGAGGAACAAGCGCTTTTCCTCTAAGACCTTTGCCATATCCATTTCAATCTCGGACGATTGTGGGACCCCGCCCGGATAGTTTGCCTCGTACCAAGCCTTGAGGACGGAGACTGTACCAAGATGGTGGTCCGCGTGGAGATGGCTAACCCAGACTAATCGCAGATTTTTAAGAACTTCCTGTAGCTCCCCAGGGCTAAACAGACGCTTAAGCTGACCAAGTGTGCCCTCGCCACAATCAAGTAGGTAGTATCCTTGGTCTGGCACATAAACCAGGGTACTCGAGACGTTTCGGTACTTGGACGGTGCAGAAGAGCCTGTCCCGAGCGTTATGATCTCCGCATCGGCACCAGGTAGGTTTCTTTGGAATTGTTGAATCTTCTCATTGCGCAGTGGATGTCTCAACTTTTTGTTAATCAGGACGGCGCGTCTTACAGCAGATGCCGGCATCTTGCGCAGGACGTGATGTGGAGACAGCCCTCCTGTTCGCACCTCTTCCAAACTTAGCTTGAACTGTGGTTCCATGTTAACAATGAGTCCAGGCTTGGCTGGTTCGAATGGAGGCTTGCTGTCGCTATCCACGTGCATATGGTCCTCCGAAGACGTCTGCGGAACCACGCGACTGTCCCATCTAGGTATCTTATAGTTATCGGGCCTTATGTAGGCCATGCGGGTTGCCGACGTGGCAACACTCTGCATGGTTAGATAGTTTGGACAGTAGTCTGTGCTCGAGACGATGTGCTTGGCTTCTGGCATCGAAGCGACGAATTCGCGAAGCCGGGGATGGTCCCCGACGCCAGGGCCCAGAATCCAAAAGAAAGCTGTCAAATTGCTAGCCACCGCAGGAGACTTCCACTCTGGCCGGTTCAGAAGGCTCTCAACATATTCCGGCGTTGGCAGATCCATTACTGCTAGTCCTTTGCCGGGTTTTGAAGGCTCCAAGACCATATCAGGCGTCACCAGCTTCCCATCTGTAGCCGTCACAGCTTCACCCCTCGTAAGCGCACCAAAGTCGGGGCCCTGTTTGACGTTCAGAGCCACTGCCTTCTTGTTATCAAACTTTCCACGCATGTCATGGTTCTTGATGATGTAACATAGACTTTCATCGCAGGGTTTTGTCGTCGGAATCCTGGCAGTCGTCGCGCCGGGCCAGGGTTTACGGACAAGTACCGTCATCTCGGGAACTTCCTCGTCCCCTCCAGGAAGCGGCCCCGTATATTTGTCCAGGTCCTTAGTCTCCGGGTTGCGCACAAATATTTGCGCAGGCATCTTGACATCCACCAGGCGGGTCTCCTCCAGGGAATCCAAGGTCCAGCTTGAATTAAACATATCGGCAACAACAGCCTGCCGCACCATTTGTTCCTTGGCTTGCTGCTCAACCTCCGCCAGACCTGGTGTATCTTCACGGAACTCATCGAGGCTCCGCTTCCTAGGGCTTTGAGAACGCGAGGTTGTGGAGTAAGGGCTGACAGGCATAACCCAGACCTTGATGTTTTCATCCGAGAAAGTCGGCTTCTCAAAGGGATCGCTTGGGTTAGTGCCCAGTCTTTTTGAAACACTTTCCGCGTCGTACTCCTTCGTAAACACGGGCAATCCCCTTCTAAAAACAAACCGCCGAGCGGTGGCCAGAGTGTGAGCCAGGTTCCTCGCACCATGAACAGTCAAGTCATGCTCCATGTCTTCGCCGTCAACGTTAACTTGTACTTTATTGCGGTCTCCCTGTTTCAGTCGGTTCGCCTTCTTCTCGCGTACCACGGCCTCATGCGCCTCCCTCGAACTGATGCGCGCATCGGCACTTGTGAGAATCAAGCCAATCAAGCCCCCGTTGATGTCCCATCCCATCCGACCCGACAGGAAAATATCAGACACATTTGTCAACTTCGTGCCGTTTTCCGTACATGATCGTTGGAATCCCTCCGCAATTTGACCGAAAAGATAACGTTTCTCAGGGAAATGCAGGAGGAGCGCGGAGCCCGGGGTATCGGCCGTCGGCGTCGTCAAGATCTGGTAGTAAAACTTCATTTGGGTGATTCCGACGTCCGGGATAACAGGAAATTGTTCGAGCTTGGACGTCTTCCTATATATATACTGTTGCTGCTCCTCCTTTGTAAACAGGCCGTCCTTCTGATGTGACTCTAGGGCGAGTGCGATAGGGGCAACGAATGCTGAAGCGATCGCGCGGAGGCCGCTTTTCGCTCGTAACGATGGATGGATGAAAACAGCGGCACGGTGGGGTAAGAGGAGGGCTGCCCTACGCGGGGCTTGATTGAGCAGCCTTGCTGGTAACCGAAAGGAAGCCAACTTGGCTGGTGGACGGATGCACCTAGACAAAAGCTAAGACAGGCATATGAGTCACACGAGGAAGTGCGCTGTGGACAAGTAGTAGATAATGTTCCGTATGATATGGCTCAAACAACCATCCACAGAAGAAGGGCCGTTGGCAAACATTAATAAGTGGCGAGGAGCTAGAGTCGCGCGAGCGTAGAGGTCGAGGCGCGAACTTTTTTTTACCCGATATGGATAGTTTCACCATCTTGGAACGCCGGTAGCCGCCCAAAAATAACGTGCGGACTTAGTAGCCCAGTACGTACTTTTTATTCATACCACCAACTAAAGTTTTTTAAAGGAAGATTTTAGATGAAGGACAATTGGCGCAAACACTGATAGTCATTCGAGTAAACTAAACTAAAAAGTAAACATGACCGGTTAAATTCCCCATTGGCTTATATAGCCATCCCATTCCCTGACCAAGTTCAATCGCTAGCATTTGCAAGACCAATTTGATGAAGCCAGCCCAGAAGAACGCGCCAGACCACCCCCAACTCCGGGAGGAAAAAGAATGTAACAGCCGATAGGAATGTCGATAACTGGCTGAGATTGTGATACTCAAATACTCGATGCAGAAACCCCTAGAACAAAGGAAATACTGGTGTACATGACATGGAGACGTGCCCAAGAACGGATGCACTAGATGAGAAAAAGAAGCTCCATGATAAATTTTGCTATCGCAAGCGTGAAAACAGTAGCAAATTATTGGAGATGGGCGGTCAGGTTGGAGACGCGCTGGAAGGCATCCTCCATGCTGCTGCAGAGGTGAGCAAGTCGAATGGCGGCGGCCTTAGAGTCATTCTCGACAACAAGCTCAAAGGCGGGGGCTTTGTCGGACTCGATTCCATCAAAAAGAGGTTCTTGTGCGATTTTCGAGACGGATTGTTTCGGCTGATCGGCAAACAGTGCAAGGACAGGGTCAGATCCGTCAACCTCAACATTCACGTCCCCAGCATCCATGGATGTTTCTTCTCCAGAGCCTTCAATGCAAGGAGAGCATGGGATCGATGGAGTATCCTTGTTACTAGAAGTCCCAGCAAAACTGACTCCGTCAAGACTATAAGATTTTCCGGAAAGGGCGGCAGCGTCTAGTGCAGGGGGTTGGGGGACTTCCAGGACAGCAAACACGGAGGGATTGAAATCGATACCCGAGTTCCAGCCAGCATTGTTCATGTTCATTGTGGAAACATCGATGCCCTGGCTCGGAACCATCATCATTCCCATCTGAGAGCTTTGCTGCTGCATTGGGTAACCCTGTTGAATGTGATTGGGAGTTGTCTCAACTTTGGCGGGGGGTGCTTGCTGCATCGCGGGTTGGGAAATGGCCGGGTGTTGCGGCTGCTGCGGTAGGTGCGGCGGTGGCATTTGAGGAAGGCCATTGACGTTTGGCTGCTCATCCAAGTAGTGCGCAAAGCTGGGGGACGACAGGAGTTGACGAACAAAGTCTGTGAGACGAGCATTTTCGTCACAGAGAGCACGGTTCTGTTGGCGCAGTTCCTGAGCTTCGTTGGTCCTCTGGGAAACTTCGTTCTCTAGCTGTCCGATGTATTCTAGACGGTCGATTAGTATCGCGCATTCAACAGCAACACTCGATAGACAATCGAAGCTTACCTTTCCTTCGAGATCTGAAAGCACGGGCTGAAACCTTGTTGCGAAGCTGCCGGCGCTCCTTGCTACTCAACTTTTTTCCTTCTTCGCTGGCGAGGAGCCTCTCATCCTCATCCATGTCTTGCTCATCCTTCTTGGATCTCGTAAGAGGAGCGGCAGACGGTGACGGAGAGGAATCCGAGGGTGACCCAGATGCGGACTTCATTTGCTGCAAAAGACGTGAAATTCGTTCATCAACTGTTGCATTTGGGACCTGTCCGTGATGAGACTGAGGTTGCTGCTGGAGGTGTCCCTGTTGCTGCTGTTGACGGAAGAGGTCATGCTGCCTTTGCTGTTGGGCAGCCTTGGCCATGGCCGCTTGCTGGTGCATTCCAGGGTACATGCGTCCAACTTGTGTGGAGCCCATGGCGGGAACGACCTCCTGTCCACCGAGGGCACTCGGATCCACAAACTGGGTGTTGTTTGGTTGTGACATATAGAAGCCGGGCACGGTCGCGATGATGCTGTCAGACTCCAAATCCATCTCTGAGATGTTACGGGTTGGGGTGGAGTTGAAATCCAGGGGCGCATCATCGCGCTTGATCTGAGGTTGGAACATGTCCCCATTCACAGCGAAACCCGAGCCTGGAGCGCCAAACGGAACCACTTGATTAAAGGGAATAGCCTGGGCCAAAGCTCCAGGAGGGATGCCGGTCTGTTGCTTGTGTTCGTCATATTGATGGCTAGGGGCGGGGAACGCGACGGGTGATTGACTGGAGGCGAAGCTTGAACTTCGTGTATCGCTGGAAACATACTCTGAGCTGGGGAGAGCCGGATGCGATGTTGGCAAGCCGATTTTCGATCGGGCCGGCTCTGTAGGTGTGTACCCGAGTTGGTCGAGGTTGAGGAATGAGTCGATGTCTTGGTCGTAAGAGGGAGGGACGACAGGGTTCTCGGCTAGGGTTGCCATGCTGAAATTCCTATGCCTCTAGGGCCGCAAGCGAAAGATGGAGTGGTTTCGACAGATCTCGTGGGCCGGTCAAGATGCAATGCACAAGCTGCTCTTGAACGTGGTCGAGATTCGGTTGTATGGGGTAGCGATCGGACAGGGGCAGGGTCGAGAAGAGCGAGAGTGACGTTTTCGAGGCGCGAAGCGATGATCCAAACAGATGCTGGGATGAATCGAGTCAATGAGAACAAAGCGATAGAATGATGATAATAAGAGAACAAGATGGATGGGAAGCAGATGGAGAAACAAACAGGGACAGGTGGTGGGTGGAAGTCTGGAAGATCAACCAGGCCGGGCGCTGGGATGAGGACATGGTCTGAAGTGAGCGAACGGCAGCCGGTGGATCCTGGTGGGGAGCGCCAGGGGAAATGGCGTTACCGGTATCTTACCATGAGAATAGAAGCAGGTAATGAAGGCTTGCGTGTCCTCTGCTGATTCAGCGGCTTTCAGTATCCCGGTTGGTCGCACTAGCTCAGACTAGGGCTCTTGAGACCGGACCCTAGATCCGCGGCTCCGCTTATTTTGATTACTGTATCTGATTACAGTACAAGATCCTGCTCAAGCAGTACCCAGATTGTACGCTACAGATGTTATGATGCTCAATTATTTTCTTCATCATATCACCGGGGACGGAAGACACCAATAGTAAACAAATGTATCGCCATCCAATTACTGCTATGTAAGCTACTATAATCTAGCTATCGGCTGTGCTGTGCTATATTTGCAACTACTATGCTCCAGGCAGCAGAATAGGAGTCTTTCTAAGTTCCGAGTCGGCGAATTGCTTAGAAAGGGATAGCGTTCCACGGAAATATCCACCAGGATTAGGTGCGTGGGCTTTACAGCCACGGGACACCTGACGGCCTAGCGGTTGCCAAGAAGGACTTGGTACAGAGTAAATGCTCTGCCTCACCAAAGTCGCATGAAGAGTTGTAGAAACTTCTACCATGAGCCTTCCATCATAGAGAACATGATGTATTTGACTCTCACTACTGAGATGAGCAAATTGGTCCCAAAAAATGCTGGGATGTTGAGTTTACTTTTATATTGCAAAAAAAATCCTAACATGTTAACCAGATCGCATAGCTCAACTACTGAGCTATTATTTATAGGTCAGTGGTTCAAGTTATGGGCGAAGCGCAGAGACTAAGGGAGGCAGTCACAAAAGCCACATACCTTAAAAGCCAAGCGCCACGCACAGCTCACCCATGGATTGCTGTTTTTATTTGTTCTTACTATTTACTCTGTTTCAGGTTTGGCAAGCCCTTGAGCCATCCGCCAATCAATCCAATCCAACCATCCCCTGCATCGCAGATAAATGACGTAGGGGCAGTTCATCTGCTCCAAGCGCCAAAGAACCGTCTTGCAGAGTACCTTAGCAGCGCACCGTTGATGTTACCGTTCAACTAACTTCTTTCCAAGCTACTATGAACAATCCAAGTGTACGGAGTACCATACCAAGGTAGGTAGGGGCAGCAATGTCTTGTTTGAACTTCCACGTCAAACGGTCAAAGCTCCAATGGCTTCTGCCCTGTGGCAATCATAACCGTTTCATTTTCCAAATCCGGCTGTATCAGCTTGAGTCTCGTCAAGCCAGACAAGGCCATGGTGGCCCGCCAGCCTCGTCTTCGAGTCTGCAAAACTCTAATAATCATTGAATCAATGCGGGGATTCCCAGTGGGGAGCCCTATCAACATTGAACATCAAAGCTTGGCGCTCTCACAAAGTCACAACCTGGAACTTAGCGCCGGCAGTGAAAAACCTTATGATCTTATCTAGGACTGTTTCATGATTGTACTGTGACTAAGATTGTGGTTTCAACAAACCAGACAGCGTGTATGCTCTTGCACAAGTTATCTCCCCCTGAGTCTCCCTGGGCAAAATGGATGGGGCCTCGGAGCCGCGCCTTATCTATAACCCCGAGCTCGGATTTATCAGATCGTTCAACCATGGGCCTGTCCTCAAAAGGGCAAAAGCATTTTAGGCTCTTCAGAGAGTGGGCTAACCAGCATTACCCCTATTGTGGTGTTTAGGTTCACTGGACCAACTACCTTTTTAGGCATACTGTACGGGCACATCGCATTTGCGCCTGATTTTGAAAGCCGCTGTCAATCCTAAACTTTCCGAGTGGTCGAAAACTGAAAACGCCTTCATGAGGGGAAGAACATGGCTCTATTAACTCATGACTGAGCCTACAGAAAACCCGATTATCACGAGACAGGCGATACTACGGCGTCTCAGCAAACTCCGCTTTCCTTCAGCATGTCTCATTTTCGTACCAGACCTTCCTCCGAGGGGCTTAGATCCCGGGCCACGACATAGGGCTAGCCGAAACCAAGCCCCTCCGGGCTCCGGCGTTCTACCGGTATCTTCACCGTACCAAACAATTTCATGGTCAAATATGGTCTCTAAATCCGAGTCTCGGGTCTAGATGCGCCTCGAAAGAATTTCCTTCCATCTAATCTTCCCCGCTCGGTTCTCGACTCCTTCTCGAACCATGCCGTTACGGCCATCGCGGCGTACGTATGCAAGTGTGGCACAGCAGTCCTCAACCCTTGTCGTGCAGCGAACCTCAGTTGCGTTGTCTGCAGAATGTGCTGTCTTGCATAAGCCACCTAGGCATCTCTTTTTCTCGTCGGCCGATTTGAACCAGGTGCTTCAGTATCGGTTTGCAGATGACGGGACTTTATGGAGTGGCAGTTCTGGCTTGGCTTAGGAGAGAACTGCACAGTGCAGAGTATAGGGTAGTTTACGGGTCGCTGCTCCGTAGTATTCTGTAGATCATGGGCCATGGCCTCTGCGCCATTTCATCCGGGATCGCCAGCAACCCGAATAGGGCTGTGGCTTTGTCTGCTTCGCGGGAGGCCGGGGTGGTTCTCAAGACTCACAGGCTGAACTTCGCCGAAGTTAACCCGATCGACGGAGGGGGCGCATTTCCTCAACCCGGACTAGTATCTAGATCCTAGATTGGTTGTAGTCTGAGGTAGCTAGAGCCGAAGTTACTGTGGCCAATGCCAACAATATCATGGGATGCACAGCCTCGTCTGATACTCTTGGTAAAAATAACTTGGTCTCGGCCTTGGACGGCCTCGTCCATTGCTCCAGCCTATTGTGAGCGGTCAGAGAAATCTTTTGTCCGAGTAAAGGACTGGCCGTATTGACTCTTGATTTTAGAGTCTAGTGGTCAATATATACATTCTCATGTTTAAACCCTGCATACCCACGATCAAGGAATCTACGCCATCTATCACTGAAACGACGTCTAATCTAGAAACCAGAAATGGCCTTCTCCTTGTCATCCTTGCCATACAACCCCTCTCCCAGATTCTGAACGCACTCGCTCCTCCAGCTCTTCGGCGTAAACTTGTCGACGATCTCCTTGAATGCATCCAGTTTGCAGAAGGTGTCGTCGCCTGGTAGATGGTTTTCAGGCTTCACAGCACAGCCGGGGATGCGCACAACCCGATCATTGTAGCGGATACGGACGTAGTGTTCCTGGAGGGACTGGCGGGCAGAGTCTGGGAGAGACTCAAGAGGAGTTCGGGCCGTTGATGACGGAAGGAGGTGCGTTTTGCTGGAGGTTGAAGAGGTTGAGCCGGTGAGGAAGGAGAAAAGGCCGCCGCCTTGCTTAGGCGCGGGCAGCGCGGTGTTTGTACTTTCCGAAGAAGCTGAGCCTGCGCGAGAGAAAAGTTCGACGGCGATGGAGGATGTGAAAGGAGGCCATCTGTTATCCAGGGCGCCTAAGCTTCCCAGAATGGCGGCCAGAGTGGTGTCGTGGCATCCGCTCATAGCGAACTTGATGGCTTTGCCCTTCTCTGCGGAAGAGCCAGACGCGGAGGTTTCGCTGCGCCAGCCGCCGTCTACAGCGGTGGTCACCATGCGGTCGACAACGTCGCCCATCAGAGCCCCGATGCCGAGTTTCCGGTACTCGGTGCTCTCGTTGTAGCCGGTGAACCACTCATCGACTGCGATGTGCTCCATATATGCCCGCGCCTTGTTGTTGTAGAATTCCGTGGGGAGTCTTGTAGCGGGTCCATGGGCATCTGTAGCGTTGATCGTGTCCTGAATACCGGATAGACGAGGGTGAGAATCAACAGCTACCCGGGGTGAATTCTCAGGCATCCATTTGCCATAGACGCTGTTGATATAGTCCATTTCTTCAGAATCATTCCCTGTTGCGGTATATGTCAGCGTATAATCAACGTCCGAGCGGGTAAACACGCACATTTCTTTGCTGCTTTATCGGCAAATAGCCTCGCGAGTTGTCTAAATCGGCGGCAGCTGCTCTCGTTGGGGAAGAGAGTCTCCTCTGACACAGAGCGCGCCACAATCACTGGTGGTTGAAGGTCTTCCGTACGGGCATTGGGAGGATACATCCCCCAGAACGCTTGTTGAAGTGACTCGAGAGCTCTCGGGATAGTCGTCGCGCGGAGATACATGTCTTCTGTGTCGGACTTTATCTTGGGCATAAATCCGAGCTGATCGACATATAGGTTTCGTAAACGTTGGCCGAGCTGGTATGTGGTCTCACGTCCTTTATCGGTCAATTCTCCGTGTTGACTGCTCGAGCAGTTAGAACTAGCCGCACTTGCGCACACCGGGTATATGTTGACTTGCCATATGCCTTCGATGTCACCACCTGCACCGACAGTAACTATTGTTTGATCCCTGTCGCCGAACGTTTCCATCTTCCTCTTCCACTTGAAGCCATTCCAAGATGAGAGGTCCTCATTACTCGCGGCCATCTGGACCATGCGACGGGCGACATTGCAGTAAGGCCAATCTTATTGGAGGAAACGAGGGGTCAGCGGGAGAGGCGAAGACGGGGATCGGGTTGGATGTCAATTACATGGTAGCAATCCTGCCTAGAAGATCAATGTTAGCTCGATTAAGTCTAGTTCTGGAGAAGATTCGGGCCCGTACATTTTCAAAGCGCGAAGACACTGGTGTGCGCTCGCCTGAAGGTTGGGTTAGTCGCTCATTTTGCGTAGCTTTGTCGCCGAGGACATCTCTCTCGTACCATGTCGCAGGAACTGAGCGGGAGTTAGCAGCAAGATCTTAATTGGGCCCGGCCTTTTCCGCGGCGATGGATCGGCACGTACAACTTGAACCAGCTGAAGCTTTAACTCCTTGGGGTAGAGCTTGTCGATCTCATCCTGGGAGTAGGGTGCATGCGGTATGAGAGTCGTCATTTTGAAGAGATGATAGCACCCGTAGTGCCCGGTACAGGGATGCGAAGGAGAGAAAGTCGAAACCCCGACAATTGGAGACGGACAACAGACCGGCGGCGATGACGCAGGCGACCAATCAGCTGACCCGCACTCATCACCTGCCCGTGCTCTATAAACGGCGCACTCTGTCGGTTGCCGAATTATTAGTGTTGCTGTCCGCTTATCTACAAGGCTTCGGAATCATGCAGTCTATGTGATGCTTGTACCTGGCAAACTGCTGCTTGTGGCTACACAGACAAGAAGTTATGTACATAACCCGAGGCGGACTGCACTAAACGCCAAGCCTTAGCTATCCCCGGCTTATCGCCAAAGCGCACGACCTCAACTACTGCCCACTGCAGCCTTCTTCACGCTTCCTGTTCTGATATTGACCAGCCAATCGACTTCTTTCCTGGAGGACGGAATATTCCGAATTTCACAGATTTATTAATTTCTAGAAAAGAGATCTTCGAAGGAGAGCCGCCACCGGCAAGGAATCCCTGTCTGTCTTCTCCGCACACCCAACTCCGCACGCCCTGGGGTCTGTAGGTGCACCTAGGCAACGAGCCCAAGACCTATATACTCCGCCAGAATCATTAAATCAACCCAATTGTCCCATGCGCAAAATGGGTGCCTTCCTCTGAGCTGCTGTCGCCCAATTGTTTGTCTGCAGCGACCCACTGAAGTCCGGAGTGCAGACCACTTCATCCACGGAAACATTGAACTGTGTGGGCGGGGATTTCAGCGCTGACTTCGCTATAATATTGAAGCTCGTCATCCAAGAACATCAGTCTTGACGGTGCCGTTGTCTGATCACTGCCTAGCAGCCTGAGCCACAAATCGAACCCTCACTTCCTGCATCATTGGCTCGCTTCAAGTGTCCTTCTAGGAGAACAGCTCTTCGAGTAAGTATTTTTGGTCTTACTCAGAGTATGCAGTATGTCCAGGGTTGATAGGTCTATAGGCACATCTTGCATAGCTAGTGCAATCTTTGACACTGACGGTATCACGACCCCATGGAGGTAAGAAGACGTGTTTCCTTATCTGTTCTCTGTTTGCCCCAGCACATGGTATCTGCTATTGCCTTGCGCGATTCCGCGTCCACTTGAACTTCTCCTATGGGGTTCTGGGTCTGGCAGTTGCATGTACAGCTTGGGTATCGCTGGGCATGCGTTTGCCTGGTTTCCTACCGATTCACGGGAAGGTGTTTGCTCTTCAAGGGTAGCAACGAGCCATGTATTGTCCCGATTTTCCTGGTCTCTTTTCAAGCAGAGCAGAGATTGCAATACTTATCCCACTGTGTCTGATCACGCTTCATGCTCATGGCGAGGCCTCTGCATTGCAGCTTTCGATGGATTGAACCCGGCCCCGAGAGGCATCTATTTTCAAGCACCATTATCTTGCAAGGCATGCTGCCAGTGATAAAAACCAGTGCTGAGCTAAAACTTGAGGAATCCCTGCAGGTCTCAACCACAGCGTCGGGGCAGCCGACGAGAGTCAAGTCCAACAAGCCTCATGATTTCAAGCCTCGTCTTCTTCTGATGGGACTTCGCCGGTACGAATCTGATTCGGGCACTATTCAGAGGTTGAGCTAATAGCCCCCACAGAAGCGGCAAGTCGTCCATTGCCAGCGTTGTCTTCCATAAAATGCCTCCAAACGAAACTCTCTTTCTAGAGTCTACCACGCGCATCCAGAAAGACTCCGTTCAGTGAGTCTGTCTAAGCTTATGCACTAGTAGCACTACTCTAATACGCCCATATAGTTCGTTTATGGACTTTCAGGTCTGGGACTTTCCCGGTCAATTTGAGTATCTAGAATCTTCATTTGATCTTGAGGAGATTTTCGGAAGTCACGGTGCCCTGGTTTGGGTTATTGACGCACAGGATGACTATCTAGAGTCTGTTACACGTCTCAACCGGACAATACTGGCCGTCCAGCAGTATTATCCGAATATCAACATCGAGGTGTTTATCCACAAGGTGGACGGTCTGTCAGATGAATATCGGACAGACACGTTTCAAGATATCGTCCAAATTATCTCTGACGAGCTCAGCGACGCTGGTTACGAGAACGCACCGGTTCACTATTACCTAACATCAATTTACGATTACTCCGTTTTCGAAGCGTTCAGCAAAGTGATCCAAAAACTCATACCCAACTTGTCTACCCTGGAAAACCTGATCAACACCTTATCCAACAATTGCGGTTTCGAAAAGAGTTATCTCTTTGATGTCCTGAGCAAAATCTATATTGCTTCCGACACTCGCCCCGTGGACATGTCATGTTACGAGATGTGTTCAGATTATATCGACGTGATTGTGGACATCTCCGAGCTCTACTCTTGGGATCACCCTGACCGAAAACCAAAAGGCGAGCAAAATCAGGAAGCCGAAAGCCATGTTGCACTTCATGACGAGACCATGATTCATCTGATGGAAATGAACAAGTATGTTGCTCGTCCCGATCTTGCCATAGCTCTGCTGACTTCTGTAGATATCTCTGCCTTGTCTCCGTCATACGCAATCCCGAGGCCAAAGAAAAGAAGGGACTCATTGATATGAACTGCCGCACATTCCAGCAAGCCCTGAATGACGTATTCTCGCGCAGCTGGGAGCAGGACCCGGAAGCTGAGCGCAGTCAGGGTCAACCGGGACAAGCACAGATTGAAGAGCCGCCAACAAGCAACTTCTTGTCATTATAGTGACCCTAGTATAAAACTGCTATGATTCCCGATTTGTGCTGTTTGAACACTCCGATTCACTACTACCGGTTAACTTTGTCTAGTTGAACTCGGTAATTCTGACAGTGTGGTGGGCTCATTTGGCGAGCTCTGATAGATTCTGCACATCTATAGGGGTACCTGTAGGGGATCAACCCGACTGTCAGCGAAGAAAGCTAGACATGAACAGAAATAAAAAAAGCCTTTCTTTCCAAAAGCACGGCGAGTTAAGCCCGGCCCGCCCGCCGGGCCCATTGTATGGAGCCCCAAAAGGGAAAGGTGCCGCTCCACTCATCGGACGAGGAACGTCCTTTTTCCGATACTGCTAAAAAAGAGGCTATAAAAATTTCAGCGTCTTTTCTTTCTCTTCCAACCATAAGAGCTTCCTCAATCGAGGATTCGCTGCCTGCATACTATCTGCAGATTCAAATGTTGGATCTTCGATGCGTATAGCAGTCGACAATACCAGTTACGCTCGCGCTTCTCAACTGACCTTATGGTAAGCACCACACAACAGCAATCATCACACCACGCTCCGACTGCCCCAATCTCGATGATGAAAACCATTCCACATTCGCAGTTTCCACGCTAGCCGTCGCTAGAACCCAATCTAGACGTGCTCTGTGCGCATTGTACTTCCTTGGATGTCTGACGAGATTTTCTGCCCACGCATTGCTTGTTTACGAAAAATTTTCTATGGGCTTTGCTGACTTGTACAAGATTCTTTAGTTGCTCCTTCACCCACTCTTTTTCGACAACAAGGCACGGAACCTCAAAGAAGCCAAGGTTTGCCGAGGGATGCCGTCGGCTTAACGACTAGGATAGCTTCGAAAGTCGAGTTTTCGGTCACCGAGATGTACGGAACAGTAGGATATTCAGTTTCGATAAGCGATCAATACAAATTTTTAGGGAACTTCATACTTGTGCTTCCACTTAGAGGTAGTAGAAAAATTGTTGTAGACTGGTACAGTGGAGTTGGTCTCGAAATATTGGTCTACAAACATATTTTTGCGATCCACAGGGCAACTTGTAAGTTGTAAGTTGTAACTTTAGCCATGCTAGTGGTGTTAAGGAATCCGAGGTTACCGTCCACCATTCTGTCGCAACCAAGGTGTCCATTTTATTAGCCTGCTGTCACAAGGCATCGGCAGTCGAGACACGCCTACTGTAGTCAGCGATCAGTGATCAACCCATGGAGCGTTTCAGGGTCCATTAGAAATATCTGTCCTTCCACTGGCGTAGCCTGATCCTCCTGCTCCCTACTGTTTAGCCCATCCCTCACCAACAGCACCTTAAATGCCAACACACTAGAAGAATGTCCGAACTACGCCAAAGATCCGGTGTCCCCAAGGACGCACCCAAGTCCTCCACAAACCAAAACCGCAACGATGAAGCCCAGCATACTTCCGGTGGCATCAGCATCCTCGACATCTTCCGCGTCGTGCTCACCCTAGCCGTTGTCTCCTGCGGCCTCTCATACTACCTCACGGAGACCACAACATGGGGTTATAACCCCTGGTTCACGAACTGGCCGCAGCTCGTGGCCTATGTTGTACGTCCTGAATCCTTACCTGTCTATACCCCATCGACTCGATCCTAATACAGCCCGGACAGAAAGGCCCAGTGAACCTAACCCCATCCGAACTCACTCTCTACGACGGCACAAACCCCGAAACCCCCATCTACGTCGCCATCAACGGCACAATCTTCGATGTCTCCGCGAACCCCCGCATGTACGGCCCCGGCGGCGGGTACCACTTCTTCGCCGGGCGCGACGCAACCCGCGCCTTTGTGACGGGGTGTTTTGCCGAGGATCTCACGGATGATCTTAGCGGTGTTGAGGAGATGTTTATCCCTATCGACGAGCCGGAGGAGCTTGAGAAGCTGAGCAGCGGGGAGAGGAAGAAGCAGCGCGAGCAGGATTTACGCAACGCGAGGAAGAAGGTTGACAAGGCGATTGCGCATTGGGTCGGGTTCTTTGGGAAGCATAAGAAGTATTTTGAGGTTGGAAAGGTCATCAAGTCTGAGGAAGATGCGGATGAGATGAAGGGAAAGAGGGAGCTTTGTGAGACGGCGAGGAAGCAGAGGCCCAAGAGGGAGAAGGCTAAGAGCGCTTGAAACTTGGATGGGGTAGACTGGGGTATATATAGGGACTATACGGAGGATTATTGTTTGACGCCTGGCCATCTTTACTACAAATTTGTACATCCATATTACTTGTTGAGAGCGAGATTGAAGAGTTTGATCAGGTTGATTTGATTGAGTCACTGCAATGTACTTGACACGTCCAGTAGCGCGACTTTTCCGTCCATGCAATGCGGCGGTCGATTCATCGTACCACCAACATCATTCCCAGCCGAATTCCGGATTTAGAGATATCATTCGTAGCAAAGGTATCATAAGCACCGCGAGAAAAACTATTCGTTCGGAAAAAGCGTTTACTCGGCGGTAACGGCACGGGCTGTAAAGAAGACAAATCAGTATCCTATCCTTCGTCGATGATTGGATAAGATCAAGGGCGACATACTGTAGATGTTCATCTTGGAGTGACCAACAACCTTCTTGATCTGACCCTTCTCCTCGAGATCAGCGAGGGCCTTGCGGGCAAGGCTGCCGTTGATCTTGAGACGGTCGACGAGAGTGGCGACAGTGATCAGGCGGTAGGACTGAACGTCCTTGTTGAGCCTCTCAGCGGTGGCCTTCTCGAGGACGACGGCGTGCTGGGCCTTGTCCTTGACTATAGCGGATAAATGTTAGTGGAAGCGTCTATTATCGTTCGATGTGTGGAGGAGGGCGAAAGTCGATCGGTTTTTCTTGTCCGTCGGATGTCGCGAAATCGACGATAACTCGGTGTTGGGTGATGAGGATCAGGATGGAGAAAACGGTGGAAGCATACCCTTGCCCTTGGACCACTTCTTCTTTTGCTTGCCTGCGGGAGCCTATTTCATCTTTATTAGCATCGTCTTCGGCGATAAATCAGTCTGTCCCGGTAAGGGCCGCAACTCACCATTTTGTCGTCTGTGTGGTTGTTGAGAGCTGCGAGACTGAAGGCGTCCGAAGTTAAGCCCAAGTGCAAAATTCGAGTGGGGAAGACGGCAGTCACGTGGATTGTAACCCTAAGCCCTGGGCTGGTCACGGGCCCAGGCTCGGTTACTGTTCTTAGATGACGTTATCAATGATTATCGGAACTATAGGATTGGTGCCTCAATACTTAGGCAACAAGTTGCTATAAGAGATCCAAGGGCAATGGCCACAGTTATAGGATGACCCCTTAGTATAAGCCGATTATAATGAACATATGAATGACCAGCTTCAGCGGCTTGTAGTACCCTGGCTGCCTGAACTCATTCTTCCACCAAGGGTATTCATGCCTTTAAACTCTGGCCCACGCTCTTCGTCCAGCGCAACGAACCCTAAGATATAATCATCTTGGGAGCCAAACCAGAACCTGGAATTCTCAGTTCCATCCGAAGATAACCAGCGGACGTCGTATTTTCCGCTCTCGCTTCTTGGGATCGGGATGCGGACGATGCATGGTGATCGGTGCGAACTCCAATATCGGACGCCGGGAAGAGCATTATTTGCCGTCGTGATTAGTAGCTGTGTACATGAATGATGCCATATTACCTGCCGGACAGCGTGCTCGTGGATAAGAACTGAGATTAGAGATGGAGTTTTCTCCAAGCTCCATATCCAGACAATGTTCGGCCGCGTTTGATCCACGGTACTCAGTAGATTACCGTCATGGCTGAATCCCATCAACGATACTCCACGGGGTGTGCCCATGGGCTCAGGAAAGTTTGAGAAAGCAGAAGAACTTGGTGATTCAGCATATTCTAGGGCCATGCCCCCAGCGGCGTAGCGTTCCCGCCATATACTGGGAGAGTATTGATCGGATTGTAAGACATGTGAGAGGGTGGACGAACATGAGAACTTTATGTGTTAGTGAGAGGTATAATATGGCAAGGGTGCATGAATACCGTTTTCGTCCCCAGCAGGTCCACTGTACCATCCACCTTACCAACAGCCAAAGCAGGCGACAAGCCGTTGTGAGCAGCAATGGGACTCCATTCGATGCTTCTAACGCCCAGATCAAATAAGCCATCAGACTCTGGCAAACCTGTATAAGTCCTAAAAAGTTGCCCATCAGCAGTGAAGATGAGGACCTTCGTCCCTGCACTCGCGGTTTCCCATATAGCTATCCATCGCCCATCGGGGCTCCATTTCAGTCCTTGAGCATCAACCGTCGGGAGGGTGTCGCGTCCTATAACCTCGTATGACTGAGCTTCGTGTACCGTGAGCAGGTCACTTGTTTCTGGTTTCAACAAGATAGCAAGCTGCCCAGTCTTCGGTCGATATCCGAAACCGTTCTGATGCGAAAATTTGGGGGATTTAATGATATGGCTGCGGCCAGAGTCCAGCCCAAAGATAGTAAGCTTAGTGTTGAAGGCGTGGAAAGCAACAATTTCATTCTCATCGGCCCCATAGTCAATGTTCAGGGCACCAGGCTCGACATTTTCAATCTCCGCATACTGCTGCAATGGATCTAAGTCCCAAGTTACGATGCGAGTATCATTTGCGCAGAACAATCGCCGTGATTTTGCTGTGCCTTGCCTGCGGGAGAACCTCAAGAACTTGCACCCGACTTCCTTAACCCTGACGATTTGTACTTCTTTGAAGTCTGATGAAGTTGGGTTCAGATGGATAATGAGGTCTTTCCCATTTATTTGCGCGGCAAATTCTCCATCATCTGATAGTGCAATTGGAGAAGAGGCTAGAGCATCATTAGCGCTGATCAAACAACAAACAACAAACAACAAACAGCATAGACTTACTGGAACCCGCGGCGTCAATTGACGAGGTCGGAGTAGGGCATATTCGTGACATTTTTGGAAATGAGCACATGCGCCATGAGAGTTACTGGGGTGCCCGTAGATGTCTACCTTCAAGTCTCAAGACAAATTGATCATTGCAACGAATACGGAGTGTCTACGGACTAGCGCTCCTCACTGAAACGGCATGCGTGATGCGGGAGGGCGGAGCCCGAGTAAATAGATCGGCAAGCCTCTTATCGATCGATTAGATAGGCGTAACAACATTTATCCGTTCCCATTACCTACTATGGCGAAAAAAGTCGCCTGCGGAATCCCTACTCCGCAAAAAGCATATAAGTTCGGCAGCGAGGTTTGGGGTCTTACCAGATTCATAGATACCGTCGGTCAAAATAGGTCTCACTCGATTTCTCACCCCGCGCTTGGGGCGGTATTTCTTTACGTTCGCGCGCCCATTCTCGACAAAAATGGCCGTCTCCGAGACTACCCCCGCGGTGTCGAACGGCGTAGCGCAAGTCGCACCCGAGAAGCCAGAACCCATCAAGAAACTACACGGGCGAGAGTTCTACAATAGCATCGGGTGCCCCAAATATATTGTTGCTCCTATGGTCGACCGGTCCGAATTTGTGAGTGCAGGCCATCCTAGCCTTTGCGCGCTGAGAGGCTAACCAATAATCATTAATTCTAGGCATGGCGCATGCTCACCCGTTCCTTTATGACCCCCGAAGAGTCCAAGTCACTCCTCTCATATAGTCCAATGTTTCATGCGCGCCTCTTTGAGGAACATGCCGGCTACCGCGCGCAAGCGTATCATCCGACTCGCGCCTGGGCTAGCAACAAAGACAAAGGCGATGACGCACCGTACCTAGATGGCAACCCAGCAATTGACCGGCCGCTATTCGTGCAGTTCTGTTCCAATGACCCGAACGAGTTCCTCGCAGCGGCGCGTCACGTAGCGCCTTATTGCGACGCCGTTGATCTGAATCTGGGTTGTCCCCAAGGCATTGCAAAAAAAGGACACTACGGCGCTTTCTTGCAGGAGGACTGGGATTTGATCTATAAACTGATCAACAAGCTTCATACGGAACTTCCAATTCCGGTGACGGCGAAGTTCAGAATTCAAGAGTCGAAGGAGAAGACGCTGGAGTATGCGAAGATGATACTCTCCGCTGGTGCAAGCATAATCACGCTTCATGGACGGACAAGAGAGCAAAAGGGTCATAATACCGGGCTGGCTGATTGGAGCTATATCCGGTATCTTCGAGATAATCTACCCCCTGACACTGTCATCTTTGCGAACGGAAACTGTCTGAACCACGACGACATCGCACGATGCCTCGAGGCAACCGGTGCAGACGGTGTGATGAGCGCGGAAGGAAACCTCTCGGACCCCTCTATTTTCGCCAAACCTCCCCCGGTTGGCAGCGAAGGAAGAGAATACTGGCGAGGGCGCGACGGGAAGGGAGGATACCGTATCGATGCAGTTTTCCGACGGTACTTAGACATCATTTACAAATACGTCCTTGAACAGCCCGTTCCAGAACGACAACCTTTATACATCCCGGGCGACCCGGAGGAACCTGCACCATCAGAATCCCTTACAGATACAAATACCACAGCACCAGAAGCCGAAGCGCAGGCCCAAGCCGAAAACCAGGAAGGAGAAGGAGACGGAGAAGAAGAAGAAGAAGGACCCCCCAAGAAGAAACAAAAGAAACAATCTAAGAAAGAGCTGAAGAAAGAGAAGCAAAACCAAAAACTCCCGCACAAATTCCGCCGCGCCCATCCCAACAGCGCCTCCATTAAATACATGCAAGCCCATCTCTTCCAGCTCTTCCGCCCTCTAATCGCTACGCACACGAACGTCCGCGACGCCCTCGCCAGATCCACACCCAACGACATGTCTACATTCGAGAACACACTCTCCGTCCTCGAGGAAGAAACCAAGAAGGGCCTCAAGGAGTACGAGCAATTCCCTGATCGCTTTGAGCACAAGCCCGATCCCAGCCTGACGGGCTCGAAAGCGACGATTGCGGAGTACGGACGGCCGTTCTGGGTCTGTCAGCCGCATATCCGACCGACGCCGGAGGAGGCCATGGAGGCCGGGGCGTTACAGGTTAAGAAGAGCGAGAAGCAGAAGAAGCAGGAGGCTGAGAACGGCACGGATGGAGCAGAAGTTAGGACAGCTCCGGCTCAGGCTGTCGATGCTGCTGATACAGCAGCGAAGGATGCGTTGCTGAGTGGTTGAAGCATTATATCTCGTCGAGAAACCTGTTTAGAATTTAATAGCATGTACATAGATTAGACCTTTTATACTGATGCATAGCGTTCAAGATCCGTTTGAATAATTCAATACCGACAGACCAGTGACAATATCTATATAAATCCAGTAGACTTACCAAACACCGGCATATCGAGGCCTCCGTAATCGAGCAATATCCACATGACTGGTATCACGAGCAAAACCAAGGACCATGCGTGCCCTAGCTGCACCCAACGCCCAACACCCAAATCCAATATAACATATTCCCAAGTAAGATATCAACACCTAAAAGTCCATAGCAAGCTGCGGCGCCATTTTCTCCAGATCCTCCACCTAATTCAAGCCAACATTAGTCAGGGACCAAGAGGGAAACAAGAAATGCGGAAGGAGACGGAAAACAAACCTCCAGAAACCCATCCCCAATCCCACCGCCGCCAGCAGCGCCTCCCTGCGCCTCGACTCTTTCATGAGTAGCTCTGGCGACAGCCTCCCTCACAAAAACATCAATATACTTCGCGACAACGGCATTCGCATCCTTGGCGATCTTTGTCTTCTCGTTCCGGAAGTGATGGTGCACGAGCTTCGTCAGTAGTTTCGACGGGATAAGCGGTTCAGCAGAAAGGACATCTTCGTGCTCGGGTTCGACGTGTGTGATTTCAGCGAGGATATAGTTTGCTTCGTTCTCGTCGTCGGACGCTGAAGCGTTGGGCGAGTCGCGGTCTGAATCGTCCGATGCGGAGCCGGGGTCGGAATCGGTCTCTGAGCCGGCGGGCGAGGGTGAGGGCTTTTGGCGCGAGGAAGAAGCTTTTGCAGGTTTGGGCTTTGAGGATGAGGTCGTTGCAGTGGTTTTCTTTGCCTTGGTTCCTGGTTTGGTGACTTTGGCTGTTGGTTTCGCCTTTGCTTTCGATGTACCGGCTGTGGTTGTGGATGCGGATCCTGCTGCTCGACTGGGGGGTTTGAAAGGGAGTGTGCGCCGCTTCTGCGCTGGCTGTCGTTCGGGAGGCATGGCTTTGTATTCAATGGATGTTCTCTCGCCCTGGAGTAAAGACGGAGGAGCTTGGTGTTGGTGGTTGAGGATGATGGCGCGCGTCGCGACTCTCAGGCGCGAGGTCAGGTGACCTTATCTATACCACTTTCCATTTCGATATATTTAGTTGGCCAGTTCTAAATAATTTGGCAGAGAAGTGGCGGCGACTCCCCGATACATTGCACCATTTCTACATACTCGCATACTAATCGCTCTGAGAGGGGGTATCCTGAACTCTACCAACTACTCCGTACCCTCGCACCCTACACCTCTTCCGAAGGCGGACGAACAACAAGAATCTCCAGCCCCGACTCCTCCAGAATCCTCTTCGTAAGCGCCCATTTCACTCCAAACAGACCAGAATTAAACCGACAAGCTCTGAGCTCTGTAATACCGACATCCTCCGGTCCGAGCTCCCTCTCCTCCAGCTCATCAAGCTGCTCCTTCAGATCCGCAACTGCCAGCTCGGTGTTCTGCAGAATCACATCAACACCGCTCACACCGCGTCCAAATCCACGCGACGTAAAGAGGCAGATGATCCAGTGTTTCCTGCCTCGCGGCCTTTCGTAGTCCCGTCTCTGCGGTGGGATGATCAATGTAGTTGCCTCTGGCAGTCGGGTATTTCGGGTCGCTAACTGGTTTGTGCTAGATGTGGCTGCTGATGCGCTGATGTTGCGATACTGGGGGTCTTTGATGTATGCGCGGCAGTGGGATTCGTAGATTCTGTATGCGGCTGGGTACTGGCGGGTTATCAGCTTCTGTCCTCGTCCTGCCTGTGAGCTTATATACCTTCGTACGGAAGACCCGCGCGATTCCCGCGCCCCAGGATCCAATGCAGTTGCAAGCGTCTGGTAACATAGAGGTCAGCATAATGCCTACAGATGTGAAGGATGACTCACGGATCAAAGCTGTGCCATCCGGAGCGTCAAAAAGGTCGCCCTCCGTTTCCGTTATCTTGCTGACGATGGGTTTTGTATTCATCTTGGCGCCTTGTTGCATTGTGGTATAACGCTTGGTGCGGATGCGAGGTTGCGAGAGGTTAGGTGTGTTGATGATTGCTCTAGAAGCGGATGACATGCCATGCCACAAGCCCATATGTGGCTTACACGAGATGCCAAACGCGTCAGAGAAATGTATGTACAGCATTGTACTCTGCCTGTTTGACTGACGTAGTTAGAAATGGATGGAAGACTAGAAGCGGCTTTGGCATCCGAAGGCGCCAACTCTCAACACTTTTGCGGGTGAAAGATCCGTGAAGTCTAGAAGACCTTTAAAGGCTTGACGCCTTTTCTTGATGGACCTAGTTTGGTTCTACCTACTAAACATGCATATTAGATGCTCTTTGACTTTTGAACCTACTAATAGTGAGTGAAGACTAAAGTCTCTAGGCTCAGGTAGAACGACTGATGGTTAATAATAAAAAGCTTTCTCCAAAGGAAATACAGGTTGTAACAATCCAACATAACTAAGCAAGCATACAAGAAACAGGATGACTGGGTTCAAGCAGCAAAGATACCGAGACAAGTTGCATGTGATACGACCGGTTCAAAAACAGAATCTCCATGAACATATGAAGCCACAGTCCATCCCAATATGAAAAGCATTAAAAGTGTTCATTCAACGGGGTTCGAGCGAGTTGAGTGATCTGAGTGTTCGGGAGTTCGACGGGAAGCAAAAAGCCGGAGGGTTCTAGGTCTAGACTTCCCAGGTCTTGCTAAACTTTCATCGACAGAAAGAGTGGCTCCTTCGGATTCGGAAATTGCGGCCGGTTTTGTCTCCTCTGCCCATGAAGATGTTGTGGCAACGGACAGAGGCGCACTCGCGCCGCTGCTCGACTTCTTCCTCCTACTCAGTGTCCGTGAAAGAGACTGAAAGAATCGAGGCTCTCGACCACGGCCACGATCATCCTGTAAACGAGCGATCTCACCCATCATTGTTGTATTATTGGTTGCCATGTTCTCCTCCGCGACTGGAATATACAAAATAATCCCACTAGCTGGCGGGATGTGTAGAATGTCCTGAAGCGCTGCTTGAATGAGTATGGTGCTGCGAAGGTTCGTGATCGGAGCAATAAGGTATGGTAGGGCGAAGATTTTCATCGAATACGCTGGCATAGTCGAATTACCAAACCGGAGGGACGGAACAATTTGGATGCTGACAAACATGAAGGACTCGGACCTTTGATAGATTTGCGCCATTCGTGTGGTGATTCTCGATAAAGCAGCATCCTCATCTTTGACCTACGGGCTATATCAGTCCAAATCCACTGTGACTGGAATGGCCGACTCACGCAGGTATTCACCTTGACTTCAATCACGATATAAGAGTCCTGCCCTATGCGCGCAATTGGGGAGGCCCACGGCAGACGGGTGTTGAATGACTCTTCCAAGAAATGACTCTTGGGCGGACACTCCTCGCCAATGACTTTGTGTGCCGTTCGCGGCGCTGAGCCGTCCTTGTCGTCGTCGATTATCGTTTTGGACACTGGCCCATCTTCTTCCTCTTCCTTGTCGTCGAAAAACATGGACGGTTTGACCGGAGCTCGATTCAGCTTATTGCTCTGCTTCAATGTAGCCTCCGGAACCTGCTGTGATGCCATCGCGTGAAACGACATGGGCGATTGGAGTACGGGAACGTCGGGGGAGAGCTCTGAGGAGGAGGCCGACGAGAGGATTTGACGCCTTCTGAGTAGCGACAAATCGATCCGGCGGCGTCTCTGAGGCATCTTGCGTCTTGTTGAAAGAAGTAAAACGAAGAGCTACTGGAAATAACAGCTAATGGTATAGACCGTGGTCTGCAGGCCAGACCTTGTTTGATTTGAAGTCGAGGACGAATGGAACTGATCGTGAAGGGAAGGAACAACTGACGGAGTGACAGGTAGGTACAGTCACTAATAGATCAAGCGAGGAAAGCCAGATAGTCAAAGGCCGAATTCCCACTCATAAAGATTTTATCTATCCTTCGTCGCCTGTCCCATACAACCTCAGAATCCGACTTTCGCTTGATGTATAGGATGCGATGCTGCGGGATGAATTCCTCGTCCGTTGACTCTCTCTTCCATGAGTTGAGACTCGCCTCCAAGCGCCCTTCAAACCGATCCTCATAGCCTATAACAAATTCCGTGCTATCGTAGTTCTCGTCCCATATGAGACGATTGAGTATATCTACCACAAAGTTAGGACAGACACTGAAGACTGGGATGATGCTAAGTACCGGCGGCTGGCCTGAGCCTGTTCTCTGCCGTCTGCGGGGCTTTCGACGTAGAAGATGTCGGTATCCCAGCATCGTCATCTGGAGACGGGCTTCTTTTCGGGCTGTCTTCCTTCTCCAAGGCTGGAGCCGATTCGCCTTTAGGTGCATGTTTGTCGTCCGCCATGATCAAAGGTACATTTAGCTTATCGATGATTTGCAGAGAATGAGTAGGTCAGTTTTGAATGTAGAAGCAGCTGCTGAGCACTGTAGGAAAATATATGTCTCCGCTTTCAGTACATCATCCATAGTCCCGCGAACCTGGTGGTCTGGATTTGGCAGAGTCAGTCATGCTTGAGGTGAGGTGTATCCACGCTGAGTCAATCGTGGTGTGATAGAAAGACCTTTCTCCCAAGTGAAGCTGCTCTGGTTTCATCTCAGATGCTGATTGGTATTAGTTGAGCACAGCCCTATGTTGACTCAAACCTGAGGGCTCAGTGAGTCACGAAGGGATGGGCCCTGCGAACAGGTAAGAGGTCCTCATTGGCAATCTGCTTTCCACTGCTATTCATGCCAGTATAGGCCAGTAGTTGGAGATGAGCGCGCGGATAATTAATTCTACATCTGGAGATTTGAGCAAGTTGGAGAGAATAGATGGTAGAAAGAAGTCGGGCTGCAGTGGGCTTGGCCATGTCGCGGTCTTGGCATTGCTTTCCCCTCGCGCGACAAACTTTATCCCCACGCGACGCGCCCCAGACAAGAACTACGTACACGGACTCAACAACCGGCCAGGTGATGAATCAATTGATGCCTTGCTGATACTATGGACGACCTTACTACTTCCCTGCTCACTGAGCATTTTAGCTACACCCCCTTGGTTAGTCCGTTCGCGTTGAGCCGGTGGTTAGCTCGGGGGTCGCGACATCGCTAACGCAGCTATAGTCGCTTATAGATGACATTATCAACTCAATTAATAACCTGATATACCAAGCTATATCTAGTCTAGAGACCGGCCTCCTTTCCATTCCCCCGGAGCGACTGGGATTTGGGCAAGCCAACAACGGCTCGACCATCCCCGACACCGACGAAGACGGCAACGTTGTTTACCCGGAGGCGCAACTGGAGATTGAAAATGGATTGCACCAATTGGAGACTCTGCTCGAGGCGACGGTTGATAAGGCGTTCGATAAGTTCGAAATTTTCGTGCTGCGCAATATCTTCAGAGTGCCAGATGACTTGATGGGGTGGATCAGGCTCAAACATTACGAAGTTCGCACGCCTGTTCCCAAACTAGACCTGCTGTAGACTAACTGTTATTCTCTGCAGAACATCTTGCTGAATCCTTCCCCCGACGCGCCGACTGTTGAAACAATCCTTGCTATACGCCAGAAGCTACAAGAAACGAAGAAACTGAACCGGGCACTGAAGCAGGAGAGCGCGAGGAACGAAGTAATGATCGCGCAGCTTAAAGCTATTCTATCGGCAACGCAAGCCTCCGATGCAACTGACATGAAAGAAAACGAACCTACTGCTGCCGGGAAGAAAGATCTGGACTTGTCGTTCTTGACCGCTAGCCCTGCTGCTCAGCAATCACGCGTTGGCGTCGCTACTGGATCGAACACGCAACATACACCATTGACGACCAAGACTACATTCATCTTATCGCAACTCCCTGCTTTGCAAATGATGCTGAAAGAACTTCGTCCTAAGCTGGCCGCGCTGCCGAAATCAGGCCTTGCAGATGGCAAGGAACTCAAACCCGATGAAAGAGGAGATTATATCGAAAGCAGGATCCGACTGCATCTTGAGCGCTCGGGCCAACTGCCAGCTGGCAACGACGGAAATCCTACCCTTGGCGGTCGTAGGATGAATATTTCCGAAGCACAGGCACTTGAGGCCGTTACTGGAATGCTTACACAGGTGGACAAAAAGGAGGACTAGACGGTATACATTTGCGGTCTATGGCGTTCAGCTGAGAGTGTTTTATGAAGACCAGGTCACGCTCCATGTCTCCTGATCCCTTCTGAAAGGGACTACGTCCACCTTATCCGACTTGAGGATGTTTACGACCTTCTCATCTTTCTTTTCAAGAGTGATGAACTCCTTTTGCTCAGCCTCAAGGCCGTAGAAGGCGCGGCCGAATTTGCTCATGAACCCCTCGATGATCTCAGGGGTGATATCGTCCTCTTTCAGGACGCCGTTTTGACAGGCCTGCTCGAAGGCGTCAACCACCAGCTGGGTCGTATACGGCTGAGTGAAGACACCTGCAGCGATTTTCTCTCCACCTCTCTTGGATGCTGCGGGGTGCGGTGCACTATCCGAGCCGAAGAAGAACTTGGAGTTGCCGGATGCGGCAGCCCGCAGAAGAGCGTCTCGGTCAGCAGGAGTCTTGGCGACAGGCTTGCAGAAGCAAAAAGGGTCTCCGGCCCAGGAGTCAATGATAATCGACAGGTGGTGAGCGGTAACTACGGCATGGTCAGACAATATCCAATGCGATACATGGAAGGCACAATTTACTGGTTCCCGCGACGGTCGGCCCGCACTTCTTGACAGCTTCCACAGCCGCGGCAGTGGTACAGTGCTCCAGGATGATCCGGAGCTTGGGGAACTTCTCATGCAGTTGCAGGAGGGTGGGCAGGAAGCGCTCCTCCGCAGAGAGGACTGTCACATCGCCCTGAGAGGGAACCTCTCCGTGCAAGTTCAGGATCATACCCTGGCGCTCCATCTCAGCAAAGACGGGATAGAACTGCTCGTAGTCGACCACACCAGCAGAAGAGTTGGTCGTCACACCAGCCGGGTAACTCTTAACACCCGTGATGCCGCGCTTCTTGGCATCGATGATGGTTTCCGGCGTAATAGACTCGTGCAGGTACAGAGACATGAGGAAGTTTACGTTTGGCTCAATTGCCTGCAGACGCTGCTTGTACTCGAGCGCGCGGTCGACTGTGGTGACAGGCGGAACAAGATTCGGCTAGCATAGCATACGTTATTTGGCGCTCTTAATCAATGCAATTGGCATATTCATCTCATCTTTCTCCCCAGTCAGCTCCTTACCATGACGAAAACAGTGTTGACACCACCTTGTCTGATGGTGGGGGTGACCAGCTCCATCATATCGCCATCGCGGAGGTGGACTTGGCCGTCAGTCAGCACCGCCGTTAAGTCAATGGATTATACGCACCGTGGAAGTCGGCCGAGGCGGGGAGCTTGACACCCTGCAGCTTTGAGAGAGGCATTATGATATATGATCGAATCAAGGATTGAAGTTGATTGCGGATCTGATCTCAAGCTTCTGTTCACCCCGCCAATTTTTTCATCGTGGGGTAAGATCCGTAGATCGGCTCTGATTGGCCGATATCATGCGCATGGCAATTGAAGTCAATCGACCATCATTTCTGTAGTCTGGACTATGACAAGCTTTATAAATGTGAGTACAATCAATCACGGTGAATACTAGGTCTTTGGTCGCCTGTGCAGAATCACCACCTGGTTCTGTCTTCGTTTCCTTCTTAGACATAACATGAAGGGCTTCAAAGTCTTACTAAGCCATCGTTGCACAGAGAAAAGCAAGGGCACGTCTTGGTCCAGCTTCTAATTGGCCTAGTCACACGAGATATATGCATGTATTGAATAGAGGCATAAAGTATTCTAGATACTATAGCACATACCATGTCCCTATAGTAGAAACCGTTGAGGCTCATCCTTAGTGGCCGCGAGACTAAGGAGTCTGGCCCCTGACGGATGGGCCGATTCCCGTGGGCCGTAGGCAGCTTCCCCTAAACTTTGACAGCTCTTTTCCAAGTTCTGACAACCCACTACTTTGAAAAGCAAGGAGGTCCATTCTGCATAATGGACCCGTCGACATTCATAGATCCAAATCTAACGGAGCCCGATTTGCTCGTCCTGAAGGATTTATTGCATGATGCCAGCGCTGATCGTCAGCACGAGAAAAAAGGAAAGGATTCCGCGGGTGCACGGAACAGAGGGAAATGTATACCGCACTTCGTACTGACAGGGTGTATCTATACTGACAAGCTTGATAGCTACACAAAATGGGTCATTTCAGGCTGAGCCTGAAGACACAATCCAGAAGCTGAAAGCTCTGAACAACGCCCAGGCAGCGGAATTTGAGCCTACTGTCTTCGTGACATGGGACATGAAAGACCTCGCGAAGCTGCCGAGCGTGCTAAACAAGCTCTTACAGGCCTACATTGCCTTCGGGCGACAAATCGTCCGTGTTGAGACAGATGTGGTCATGCTCACCCATCTCATCCTCTATTTCACCACCTCAGTCCCCAGCGCCCTCTACCTGTTTCAGCCTGGGAACTTCACCTGGATCCACGGCATCCTGCACTGGATCATGCAGTCCTACTATGTAGGAACATATACTCTCATGATGCATCAGCACATCCACATGGGCGGGATTCTGAAAAAGAGTCTCTGGTGGTTTGACGGGTTGTTCCCCTATATCACAAACCCGCTGATGGGGCATACCTGGAACTCATACTATTATCACCATGTTAAGCACCACCATGTTGAGGGAAACGGACCGGATGACCTGTCTTCGACGATAAGGTACCAGCGTGATGAGCTCGTCGATTTTCTGTGCTATGTTGGGCGGTTCTTCTTCTTCATTTGGGCAGAACTGCCGCTCTATTTCTTGCGAAAGGGCAAGACGGGTATGGCGGCTAGGGCTGCGTTCTGGGAGATCGGGAACTATGTTGTCCTGGTTTTGCTTTGGAAGTATGTCAATTGGCGCGCCACACTGTGTGTTTTCGTCCTACCGCTCTTGCAGCTGCGCGTAGGATTGATGGTGGGCAATTGGGGACAGCACGCCTTTGTCGACGAGGTCGACCCCAATTCGGACTTTAGATCGAGTATCACTCTGATCGATGTACCTGTACGCCACACTACCCCCAACCCTAATTACACAGATAAGCCAACTAACATATACAGAGCAACCGATTCTGCTACAACGATGGCTACCACACGTCTCACCATCTCAACCCCCTCCGCCACTGGCGCGAGCACCCCGTTTCACTCTTGCAGCAGAAAGAGCGCTATGCCGCAGAGCATGCGCTCGTGTTCCGAAACATCGACTATATCATGATCACCGTAAGGCTAATCCGCAAGGACTATGGATACCTGGCGAAGTGCCTGGTGCCGATGGGCGATCAAACCGGGATGAGTATGGATGAAAGGGCGGAGATGCTCAGGAGAAAGACGAGGAGGTTTAGCGAGAAGGACGTGAAAGCGAAATTCTGACGAGAGCGCGTAAGACCCTTAGCAGGGTGTGAGCCTAGACCTGGGGTTACAGGTGTGGGAGAAGGAAGCGGTTAGACCCTGGAGGTATGGAGACGGAGAATGATGAAACTCCTCGCACGCTTTAATATATAGTTTTACTTACATATTGAAGCCCTATAACGGCCACTACGATGAGTCGAAACAGTCTGATGGCTAAAACCTCGCTTCCGCAGTTCTGCTGAGCAACGTGAGCCCAACCAATATCCTCAGCCCTGTAGCCGCCGACCCTCTAGAGGCACCTCATTAGCCAAGTTCAACTTAATCCACTCCCCAGGAATAAGCATGAAGAGATGATCCGTGCAACCCGCCCTACTGCAGCCAAGAAGACTTTCTCCGGGCTTCAGCTCCTTATTCGTTGGCATCAATGCATCCATCCAGATCTAAGCGCCCGGGGTACAGATTTAGAAACCAGGCCTGCAGAGTGCAGTCAGCCCTGACAGATTGGGTTCCCCTGACTATTAATTCTTTGCAGAAGGGATTGTTCATTAGCCAATGAGTATAGCTTTTTTGAAGTCGATGTGGATGGAGGCGGCTACAGAGCTCCTCTGTATGGTCTTCTGCACGAGATACCTGTTCGCTCAGGGTGAAGATTCATCTTTCGGAAACCAGTGGAGGGATGGGATGCCCTCCATACTGAGGGAGGACGAGGATACTTAATGACATTGTTTCTCTTCCAGCTCTTGTGGTCGTGCAGCAGAAGCCATTCTTTCTCTAGCTCTCCCCTCCTTTCGTTCTTTATCTTCTTGTCTTCTGGAAAGACTCTTTATCTATATACCCTCTTTGAGCCGTTGACCGGACTACTCTTCATACCAACTTATACCCTTGAGCTTATTACCTTCTCGCAAAAATGGCTTCCGCATCGCTCGCAGAATCCTACCACGGATCTTACCATGCATCCTGCGCATCGAACGAGGAAGAGTCGAGTTTCCTCAAGCGAGTTCGTCTCCTCCACTGGATCCGACTCGGCGTTTCTTCCCTTGCCCTGGGTATCTCCATTGCAATCATTGCCTGCGAGGCCGTGCCCTACCGCCACTACCGCGACACATCTTCCTTCGAGAACATCGGTCTATACCTCTGGCCGCTGAACCTCGACATCCGGCCGACCATCGCAATCCTGGCTTGCGGCTGCGTTGTTGCATTTCTGAGCCTGCTTTTCATTGTCGTGGCTCTCTTACCATCGGTTCGTCAATCCTCAGTACCTCATAGACACCTAGATAGTTGTACCTAACTGACTGACTGACAACAGCCACACTCGCACATCCGCCGCGCAAACCTCGCCGCCGTCGGAGTCTCGACTGCAGGCTTCATCGCCACCCTCGTCTCTCTGGTCTTCGCAATCTACCTGCCCGGCTCCTCATACCCCACAAACTTCAGCTCGGTCGAGACCCTGCACTCCTGGACCTGCAAGTGGAAGGCGGCCCATGACCTTCCGCTTGGCTTCTCCGACGCCGCCAACGAAACGGCCTCCCCGGCGCCGGTGCACTTTGCTCGTGACTGCGCCGCTACCCGCGCCGGCTTCATCCTGCTTGGTATACTTATTGGGGTTGAAGTCATTCTGGGTATTGCGGCGGGTGTGGGGACGTGGCTTGAGCTGAGCGTTGCGAAGCGGCGTGGACAGGAGCAGTATCAGCTTGAGAAGGTTGAGACGTCGTTTGGGTTTAAGAGGTGATGGATGATCGCGACTAACTGCTGACGCGCGCTTGTAGTCCAGGCGTAAGAGGTAGGCTCAGGTTGGTCCTGGTGATCGACATGGCGTTAGGGTTGATAAGGAGGGTTCCTGCTCAGACATGTGTGTATAAAACTTGTTTGCAATAGGGTTTGGTGTTCGAGTGGACCGTGGTAATGTATGTTTGATAAGTCGACAATTCACGCAATGCTAACGTCCTTGGGCTGGAACTGTTTCTCAATCTTGCGCTTGCTCCATGGCATAGCTAAAAAATGGTAGCATCTCACGAGTCTGTGAGGGACCGGAATCCTTAGCAACGAGCTAACACCTCATCGCGCTGCTGCAACATAATAGCCTATACCTCCACAGGCGAAGCTGAGATGAGCACAGCACAGTCAACGTAGGTTAGTAGGTACCTATCCATCCTGCATCAGTAAGCAGCTGTCCGCGGTAGCTCCTCCTATCTCGATTTGTAGACAAGGAGAAGCGTCTCGTAGCGCCACCATTTCATTTTGTAAGCAGTCGCCGTGTCTTCGATTAACACTTCATCGTTCCCAACGAGTTCGCTTAGGCCCTTCGCTGCACGGACTGAGTCTGGACTCGAGCCTTGAGGTGACGGAGAACCTGAGAGTTCTGCCCGAATTACAAGGCAGCAAAGCCTTGGCGCTGATAGAAACTGTACCGTAGGTACCGCCCGGCAGAATTATCCAGCAACCGGAGATAGCCCGTCGTCTTTCAAAGCTTCAATAGACTGAAGACAACCACCCACAAGAGAAACCATGCCTCCCGATCCATCGACAATAATGGCAGACGCTGACGTTGAACTTGACGACGAGCAATACGACTCCGCCGACGACGAGGACTTCACCCTCGACCAAGCCGGCGACGACGACGATGCGGAGCTTTCGTCCTCCGACGAGGAGACATCAGCCGAGCCAGCGGCGAAAAAGAGGAAGACAACCGGCAAAATCGGGGACGCGGCGCATGATGACGCGGAGCTGGACTCCGGTGACGAGGCGATGATCCGCAAGGCAAAGGACAAGAAGCAGAAGCAGAAGCGCGGGAAGAAGGGATCCGACAATGAGGACGATGTGGATTTCGATGATGAGGGGGGACCCGGGGGATTCGTGAAGACAAGAGCGATGAGGATGCATATGTACGTCTCTGATTGATGTTCTCTTGGCCATACTAGGACAGCGGGCTGACACCAGGGTATTCCAGGCAGGAAGAGCGCAAACCGCTCGCGAAGATCGACGGTGCTACAATCGATGTCGACGCATTATGGGCTCAGATGAACGCGCCGGACTCGCATCTAGCAGCAACACCGACACCAGAAACGAAGACGCAAGAAGCGACCCCAGCGGCCGATGTCGAAATGCGCGACCAAGAGAACGCAACAGGCAAAGCGCCGGCTCCAGAAAAACGGTCCCAACCCCAGTACCCGGAAGAAATGGTTAAGATCAAACGCACCTACAAGTTCGCCGGCGAAATGATCACCGAGGAGAAGATCGTCCCCCGCGACTCCGCCGAGGCAAAACTCTTCCTATCCGGCAACGGCGACGGCGAAGTCGTAACAGCGACTGAAGACGATATCGCGGGCGGCACTGGAACCGCAACCACGACGCAAATCGTTCGTCTCCGACGCCCACTCCGCAAGATCTCCCGCTTCGATCCGAACCCGTCCGGCGCGATCAAGAAGAGCTGGGAGAAACAGCCTCTTACAGAAGCTGGTCCTGGCCAGGAGGAGAACGCCCGCGGGCCGAAGATCAATACTGTCGAGAAGTCGCGGATGGACTGGGCTGCTTATGTGGATCGTGCTGGGATTAGCGATGAACTTCGCGTCCATAGTAAGGCCAAGGAGGGCTTCCTTGGTCGTATGGATTTCTTGGATCGCGTCGATGCGAAGAAGGAAGAGGAGAGGAGAAATGTCAGGTTGAAGGGGATGTAAGCCGGTACCTGGTTGTTCTCTACAATCTTACACATGCGGGCCGCTGCAAACATCACAACGACATGCTCGAAGCTGCACCATTACACTATGAGGCTTTGCGCGTCGGCATCAGTCTATCACGGGATACACCTCATAGCTTTATAGGCCTCGGTCGATATTCCGAACACCCAAAGATACGCGGCTTCGCTCATGTGAACATCCGTCCACCGGCTGAGAGAGTTGCTTGGTTGGTTAACTACAACCGGCGAGACAACTCTGGCTGTATGAGCATTAATTCGCGTTCGTCGCGGAGATTATTCCAGAAGCACGCTCGACCCTCCAATCTTCTGACAAAGGAGCAATCAGTTACCAGAGAAGGCCTGTGATTCTGGCTACCACATCGGCTGTACGGGTACAGTTCCAGGACGACTTCGTCTCCGGTCTCGCACTTAGCTAGGTTTGGTTTATTTTATCTTTACAAGAAGCCTCCGACCCGTGCATGCCTAATAGCCTATGCTCAACTCCTCCCTAAGACACGCATCACAAGGCCCCAAAATAGAGCAATAGGAGCGATGTCCCTTAACCTGACTTAGGCAAGTACTTAATGCCCGTCTCAGGGCAGTTTGACTGAGTGACTAGACAGGGATTTAGCACATGATCCAGCAACAAAGTACAGGGAGCAGGTAATGGTAAACTCACGCTTCTCAGCAGGGTCAAACTCCCCGGTAATCAGGTTACCGCGGACATAGTAGAAGTACCAAACCTCATTGAGGTTGTCGCCATCACAGGCAACATACGGAGCAAAGCCATCGTGGATGTCCGAGAGAGCCGAGTGGATCTCGTCGAGCGTGTATGTTGCGCTCTCGGAAGGCGTAATGTCAGCTGCGGCGAGGGCCTGGTACGTGTCAAGCGTTTTGAACAGGTCAACCGTTTTCTGGAGGTAGTCGACGACTTCCTCTTGGGATTTGTAGTCGGTGTAGCAGGATGGCTCGATGGTGTTTATGCATGTTCCTGGCAGGAGTTAGGATGTGTATACCAATGATGAAGCGGGAGATATGTACCGTGCTTGTTCCACTCATGCTCCCAGAAGCTCTCATCGTCACCGCTGTAGTCCTTCCAGTACTTGTTCATGTACGTGAGGAGCTCGGTGTTGCCGGATTCCTCGATGATGGCGGTGATGTTGGAGTATTCGCGCGAGGAGTCACAGAATTCTTCGTACGTGCCGTCGCAGTTGTCTGGCCTGTACGGCGGCACTAAGTGTCAGCCCTGTCAAAGCTCAGTGCGTACAGTATGGTGGACCATGCGTACCAAAGACCATGGATAGTCCAGGAGTCCGTCGGACCGGTGGACGGATCGTAGTCCCAGAACTGGGTTTGCAGGAATGAGCCCCCAGGGCTGTTGAAGCAGCAGGATGGCTCAATGGTAGAGCTCGAGCAGCTGAGGGGAGTGTCGCTGGAGCAGACCTCGGCCCCGGATTGCTTGTTGAAGGAGGACTCTGCGGCGAGAACGCTGGGGATGAGGTGCATGGCAGACAAGGCCAGCATGCCTGCGGAAGTTGACTTCATGTTGAAGGCCATTGTATGTATCTATGCCTAGGACTTGAATGGAATTGGGACAGAGCTTGAGAAGAAAGAAGGGAAAGAGCTCGGTGTTCCGGTCATGTTATATAGTACCCGGAGGAGCAGCCAAGAACGGAAGGACAATAAAGATTGAGCCCATGTGCTGATAAGAAGCTGCTGATTTGATAGAAGATCGGCCAGTCTTCAGATCCATCGGAGACCCCGGGCTGCCGCTAAAAAGAGCAAAGACCAATGGGGCGTCACTAGCGGGGGGTGCAGAAGATCAGAAGGTTGCATCGGCTAGAGAGCTTGGTATGATAGGAGAGCAAGCTCAGGCGCGCGCTCAAGAGGAAATTGTGCCTGTCACACGAACTGATAGACAGGCAAATTAACTTTGCGAGATGATAATCGCCCTTCGGCGGTATCCTATCAGTCGACCTGCAAGAAGCAGGAACAAATGCTCATGCGGGGAAGGCAGACCCCGGAAAGCCTCGACTCTGAGTCACTGTTGAACCGATATCGGTTGAAACCCGCTGAGATGGCTTAGATATCTCCTCTCAGTCTCGAAACAATCACTCGAGCGCCGTTTTAGTCATGGAAGACACCAAGTTCCGCATTGTCCCAGCGCAAACAGCGGAGGACATCGCTACAGCAAAAAGCCTGTTCACAGCCTATGTCGAATGGCTCAATATCGACCTTAGCTTCCAAAGCTTTCAGTCGGAATTGGGCTCTTTGCCCGGCAAGTACGGCGCCCCTCATGGAGAACTTCTGCTCGCCTATAGCACAGACAATAAACCACTAGGATGTGTCGCTCTCCGTCCTCTTGACCAGCCGAGTCAAACTTGCGAAATGAAGCGATTATACGTTCCCCCCCAGGCACGCGGTATGGGCGTCGGAAAGGCCCTGGTGGCAGCGATCGTACAACGCGCAAAGGACATAAAATACAAAGAGATGAGGCTGGATACACTCCCTTCGAGAATGCAAGGCGCAATCGGTGTGTATTCCCGGGCGGGCTTTGTCGAAACACCACCCTACTACGAAACTCCCATGGACGAAACCATTTTCCTCGCGCTCGATCTTACTCGATGAATGGTAAACAACAAAGGGGAATCTGCTTCTCGACTCAGACTGTTGAGCTTGAACTTTTGATTTCGGAGCACCCATGGCAGTTTGATGCCTCGTGGCCGAAAAAGTGTCATCATAATCGAGAGACAGATGATATCTGGGTATGAGCTTGCACATAACCAAGCTATGATCAGGCGGAACGATGGCAGCGCCTATTTTTTGGTATGGTAGGATGGTCGATTCTACTGTGGTTGTCCTTGAAGTCGAGGAGAAAATGTGGGAGGAATTGCTCGAGGTCGCGATGTGGACCTTAAAGCAGCGCCGCTTAGTAATCAGGTCGACCGTCTCAAATGGTACTAGTGGGTTCACCACCTCATGTCAACAATCGCACCATAGACCTTGCCAGGTATTCGAGACCGACATGGTTTCTGCTTTGACGGCAAGCTGCAGACTCATGATCTGGTCGCCCGGCTGAGGGGCTAAGGCCCGCGGGGGCTGAGATTGGACCTGTTCGAGCGAGTGACGTGCTCTTGTCCACCAGCAATGGCAATCTATACCCAATATCCAGAATCACAAACTCTTGTTGCAAATAACCAAGACCTCATTGATGGCACTCTTTCTGAACAGACTGTTAAGCTAGGACATAAGCATAGCATAGAATGAAAGAGACAGAAGGGCTGTTGGGTGCATGGGTGGCTAATGATCATTCACTACAGAGAGTCCGGACGTGGTCCATCAACAAATCTTCTTCTCGGCAAACCAAATTGGGTGCTTTGGCGACTTTAACCTGTGTTATCCCTTTCTAATCTCTTCTTTTTCTTCCCTTTGGCATCATGAGTCCTGACCACGAAAATCTCTGCCATCACGCCGTTAACCAGAAACATGGAGAGCAACGCAAACGAAACCGACGCTCCTCAGCAGCTTGCTAGAAACGGCAAGTCATGGCCTCTTGGTCACTTGAATAGCTCCAAAAATACTAACAGTTTCAGGTCCAGACAACTTCGACATCCAAGGCCGCCTCTTGATTGATGAGACAGGCGCTATGGAGCTGTCGAGCCGCACTACTCAGGGTCAAACCGAAGGAAACTCTCTTGTTCAATTCGATGACGCTGATATCCTCAATCCGCACAATTGGCCCTTCAAGAAGAAGTCTCTTACCCGCTTGTTCCTGTTTTGAAACGCACACTGACGGAGTTAGATTCTACACCTTCATACTCGTGAGCTTCGCGACCATGATTGTGTCGATGACAAGCAGCATCTTTTCGCCCGTCGTCCCGACTATATCCAGCAACTACGGAATCCCCAAGACAGTTGGAAACCTTGGAGTCGCACTGTGCGTTCTCGGATTCGTTACCGGACCTCTCATCTGGGCGTCATTCTCCGAGCTTAAGGGTCGTCGGTTGCCTTTCGTCCTAGGCATGTTTGGCTTCACCGTCTTCTCCTTCGCCACGGCAGTTTCAAAAGACCTGCAATCAATCTTTATCTGCCGCTTTTTTACTGGGTTCTTCGGTGCTTCTCCGTTTATTCTGGCCAATGCTGTATGCAGCGACATGTTAAGTGTCCAGGCCTTCATGAATAGCATGGTTGGCTTTGGTATCATCGTCTTCTCGGGACCTCTTTTGGCTCCAGCTATCGGTGGCTTCATAGTCATGGACGAGCATCTTGGCTGGAGGTGGACACACTATATCGCGGGCATTCTTGGTGTAGTGTCATTCGTCTCGGTTCTCTTCTTCCTCGACGAATCCTACGCTCCCGTTGTACTAGTCAACAAAGCGAAGCGACTCCGCTACGAAACCAAGAACTGGTCCATTCATGCAGAGCACGAAGAAATTGAGCTTAATATCAACTCGATGTTCCAAAACTACTTCACCATACCGCTCAAACTCCTGGCGCTTGATCACATCATCCTGTGCGTTTGCATCTTCGGCGCCTTCGTGTACGGTCTGCTCTATCTCTCCATCACGACATACCCGATTATCTTCCAGCAAATCCACGGCATGAACCCCGGCGTTGGCGGCCTCCCGTTCATAGCAGTCATCATCGGCCAATTCATCGCTGGGGTTGTGATGTACATCCGACAACGCTCGCTGGGCCGCAAGCTCCAAGCAAATAACGGAGAGCTCGTCCCCGAGTGGTTACTTTTGATGGCGATACCTGGCTCTGCAGCGTTCGCGGCAGGGCTCCTCTGGCTAGGCTGGACGGGGTACCGAAGCAATATCCACTGGATCTGGCCTACTCTGTCTGGAGTGCTCATAGGCTTCGGTCTAATCACTATGTTTCTCCCGTCTGTTCAGTACGTCGCCCAAGTTAGGCGGAATAGGGCTGCCTCCGCTCTTGCGGCACACACGATCCTCCGCTCGTTGGCTGGGTCTAGCTTTCCGCTTTTCGCAACTTACATGGTATGTTGACATATCTCTAATGAGTTTGTTGTTAGCGACTAATACTGCTCTCTCACAGTTCACCACCTTGGGAGTTCAGTGGGCCCTGACAATCTTAGGATCTATTGCAGCGTGTCTGTTCTCCGTACCCGTTGTGCTCTACATTTATGGTGCCAAACTTAGGGCAAAATGCCAGTTGGTACTTTGAATACGTGCTCCTAGGGCATTTATGGAAATTGGCCGACCACATTGAGATCTTCAAATTGGTGGGTCGGGATTGAGTGGTGGGATGGTTGGAGATACCACTGGTCTTGAACAGGATGGGGTTTGTTATTGTTGGCCTCTGAACATACCGATATCAATGGAAATAATCCCACAGCCACGTTGTATCTGTCTATTCATCATAATCATGTGCTCTTGAGCCCATTGGCGCCAAGCCAACATGCAACTATCAGCCATGCTCCAACAGAACTGCTACCCCTCCCAATCCTCAGCCTCAACTCCAAACCCGCCACTTCCCAAGATTGACACAGCTCCGCTCTAACTACCATTTGCTGTTATGTATTCTAAAGGCGAGCAATGGCCAATGAAGCGAAGTTTTCCCACAATGACTACACCGTCGCCTGGATCTGCGCGTTGCCGCTGGAAATGGCAGCCGCGAAGGTCATGCTAGACGAGACCCACGACGCCCTCCCTCAACCTTCAACCGATCATAATACTTACACCCTCGGTCAACGAGCTGGCCACAACGTAGTAGTCGCGTGCCTGCCTTCTGGTGTCTACGGAACCACCTCCGCCGCGACAGTGCTGTCGCACATGCTACCGACGTTTCCCCGTTTGCGATTCGGGCTGATGGTCGGGATTGGGGGCGGAGTGCCTCAGAAGGATGTGGATATCCGCCTTGGTGATGTGGTTGTCAGTCTGCCGAGCGAAACATCTGGCGGCGTCATTCAATACGACTTTGGCAAGACCATTCGTGATGGACAGTTTCAGCGCACCGGGTCTCTCAATAAACCTCCTCAATTTTTGCTGACGGCGATATCCCAGATGCGGAGTGACCAAGTAATTGGGAAACGGCCAATTACGGAAATCCTGTTGGATATTCTTCGGAGTCATCAGGAAATGAAGGAGCATTTCTTACGGCCAGCGAATGACTGGCTTTTCGAGCCAACATACACGCATGAAAGAAGCCCCGATTGCTCACAATGCGATCAGACCAAATTGATACAACGCCCGCCTCGACAAAGCGAGGATCCCCATGTTCACTACGGCTTGATTGCCTCCGGAAACCAGGTCATTAAAGATGCCGCTAGACGGGACGCTCTTGCCCGAGAGATGGATATCCTTTGCTTTGAGATGGAAGCTGCAGGACTTATGGACCAGCTCCCATGCTTGGTGATCCGAGGAATCTGCGACTACTGCGACTCCCATAAGAACAAAGATTGGCAAGGCTACGCAGCTCTCGCTGCTGCTGCGTACGCAAAAGCTTTTCTTGAACTAATTCCTATACACGGCAAGAACCCTGAGCCAAGGCCGCCGAGGACTGCACACCACTGGATGGTTCCCTTTCACAGGAACTCGAGATTTGTCGGTCGAGAAGAGGAGATCAACCGCATTGAAAGAATGATAAATACATCACCATCTAAAATTGCGGTCTGCGGACTCGGCGGAGTGGGGAAGACACAGATAGCACTCGAAATTGCTCATCGCATGCGTGAAAGAGATTTCGATTCGATTTTCTGGATTCCCTGTACGAGCCACGAGAGCGTTGAACAGGCATACATGAGCATGGCGCAGATGCTTGGAATACAGGAGACAAAGACTGGAGAGGCAAAAAGCAGAGTGAAAGCTCACCTGAGTCAACAAAGATCAGGAAAGTGGCTTCTGATATTCGACAATGCAGACGATATGAGTATGTGGTCTCGGGGCACGAGGCCCGAATCAACACCACTGTCCGACTATCTACCCCAGCATGAACAAGGCCATATCCTATTCACTACGCGTAACCGGAAGGTCGCAGTGCTACTGGCGTCTACTAATGTAATCCATGTTGCCGAGCCAGACCCGAAAGCAGCAATGCGCATGATGCAGAGGTCACTGGTTGATAAAGACCTGCTCAACGACAGTAATCAAGCTATAGCACTGCAACTTCTCGAAAATCTTGCCTTTCTTCCTCTCGCCATATCCCAGGCGGCGGCCTATATTAATGAAAACAGTATCAACCTCTCGGATTATATGGAGCTCTTGCAAGACCAGGAAGCGGAAGTGATTGATTTGTTGAGTGAAGATTTCGGGGACGACTGGAGATACCAAGATATCCAGAACCCTGTGGCTACAACATGGTTGATCTCATTTCAGCAAGTTCAGCAACTAAACCAACTAGCGGCTGAGTATCTGCTATTCATGGCCTGCATAGATCATCGCAACATCCCAAAGTCCCTACTCCCTGAGGCTGCATCTAAGAAAAGAACCATCGATGCAATTGGCCTCTTGAAAGCCTTTTCCTTTCTTAGCGAACAGGCTGGCAGCCTAAATCTTCATCGACTCGTTCACCTCTCGACTCGGAACTGGCTTAGGACGCAGGGTCACTTTGACGGACAAATAGCCACAACAGCAATACGATGTGACCAGGTCTTCCCGGATCATACTTGGACCAACCGAAAAACCTGGCGGGAGTATCTGCCGCACGTTCTTGCACTTATAAGAGAGGTTGGTTTTCAAGAAGAGTACCATCTGGGTCTAGTCCGGAGAGTCGGCAAGTGCTTGAGCGTAGATGGACGAAACATTGAAGCGCTCCCGTTGTTTGAGAGAATCCTGGACAGTCAACGACAGCTACACGGGGATGATGATCTCGAGGCCACGGTGGTGGCAATGAATGATCTAGCACACCAATATTGCAGGCTAGCGCGATGGTCAGATGCGGAAGAAATGCAGCTGCAGGTCTTGGAGATCCGCAAACAAGAATTGGGACCTGATCATTCTGATACACTGTCTATCATGAACAACCTGGCATTAACATATTCTGGCTGCGGAAAGCTGAAAGAGGCGGAAGAGCTAAGGACTCAACTATATCACTTGGACCGACGGATGCGCGGCCGAGAGCATTGGACCACTTTGGGGAGCGCGCATAACCTGGCCTCTGTCTACCGAAAGCTCGGGAAACTGGAACAAGCAGAAAGATTAGCATTGCAGGCATTCGAAGCGCGGAAACGCACGCTCGAAGCTGACCACCCTGATATTTCATACAGCATGGGACTTCTTGCTAGGATATACCAAGACCAGGGGCGTTGGCAAGAAGCTGAACAGCTACAGGTGCCGTTATTAGAGATCTACGAAAGAGTGAACGGGCTGCAGTACTCAGAGGCCCTGAGTACTATGCATAATCTTGCTCAGAGCTGGCAACATCTTGGACGGACAGACGATGCTATTTCCATGCTTGAAACCTGCCTCAATATCAGCCTCAAGGTATGGGATCCCGGGCACCCAGATACAATTGCCACGTTGGACTGCCTACGTGCGGCTATTGAGGAGAGAGATAATGCCGACTTATCGTCGAGCAGCTAGTACATAATATATCAGCTGTCCGTACGAGAGGCTCACATAGTGGTAATGTGAATTACAGACGGCAAACTAGCCTTGATCAGGCATCTATACTACGAGTCTACAGAGCAATGTTATTGTCCAAATGTAATAGATTTCAGATCCTTTGCGGATGTCCGAGGAAAACCATGCAAAGCCCCAGCAAACTGAGACTCCATTGGGCTAAAAACCCCAGCTATCTGAACTATCCATACATGGAACTCCCCAGACATAGCACAAACAGAACAAGATGATAGGAAAGTAGTACTAAGAATAGGTCAGGCAATTTATGCCAGAAAGCAAAACAACCGCCAAGAAGTGTGGAGTTAGGGCAATTTATGCCACGAAGAGCAAAAAACCAACAAAAAGGACAACGCAAAGCCAGATTAAAACTCAAGCCCCGTTCCTACTAGATAGCAAAAGCAGAAGCATACGCCGCAAGAACATTCCCAATCTGCACCTCCATCTCCCCCTCATACAAACAAAAAGCATGCTTGACTATGGTCAGATCAATACCCATATCCTCCGGTCCCAAACCCTCACCACTCTCCCTCTTCCCCATCCTCACATCCTGCCAATGCTCATAACTATCCACCAGATCTAAGTCGAGATTCTTGAGTCTGGAGTCGGTGTGCTGGCGTTCCCGGTCGATGAAGAGCTTGTTTATCCCGGAGATGTCGGAAAGCGGCATGTCGTATTCGTCGTGGAGGGCTGTCCACAGGGCGAAGAGCTCGCGGCGGAAGAGGATGCTTTTGTAGAAGAGGAGGGCGTGCTCGTTGTTTGTGGGCTTTGGACGGAGGCGGCTGATGATCAGGGCGAGCTCGGTGTCGGTTTCTAGGAGGGTGGTGAGGAGGGGGGTGAGGAGGGTGTAGGCTTGTTTCAGGACGGGGACTGGGTATTGGGTGGTTAGGACGATGGTTAATGCGGACATGGTGGTGCTGATGTTGGCTTGGGTGGTTTGAAGGGTCTTGATGATGGGTATGGATGGTTTGATATGATGATACGGCGTGAAGGATGAGAGCTGGAGAGGAGGGCAGAGAAGAAAGGTCGTCTACCTTGTGACATCGACAGAGTTGCGGTTTAATGCTTTAGACTTCCAGGCTCAACTCTTCCCATCCAGCCATCTTGCTGTCTTGAACGGCCGGAGCCCTGGTGTTGGGGTCTAGGGCTCAGGGTTCGGCCGGCAGTCTAGGCTTACAGGCTGGATTGGGCTGGAAGCACGGAGGGAGAGCCCGGCTCCAATGGTTGATCGGACTAGGAAGGGTTCTCATTACGGGAGATGGACGATGCGTCATGAGGATGAGTTCTGGATGTTCGTGTACTCGATCTCCACGCCGGGGGGATCCCGTATAGGGGAGTTAGGGCTACTACCATACTAGTGCGCGGGCACGCTTACAGTGCCCCTGCAGCGTCGACTTATACCGCAGTGTAGACGCCCCTACCTCAGAAGAGCTGGACAGTATATCGATGCACATCTATTATTATCCCGATTTGTGCATGGCTCGACCGTGGTATTGAGTTTAGCTCGTTTGTCGTGTTTGGGGGTTTGGCGTGGCGAAGATGGAAGGAACGATTCCGAGCCAAAGGGAAACGATTTCCTGAAGTTAAACTCAATGTAAACAAACTACTACTTACAGCCCTGAGTCATAGAAGACATTGAGGGGGCTGTACTCCGTATGTTCAAAATCATGAACTGACCATCAGGAATCAACGAACGGAAAACTGCCGAGGTCCACTGCTGTATTTTGGGATACGACATCGAGATGTAGTTATACCTACCTAGTCAATACCAAAGGCAGGATCTTGGTGAGGTTCGCCGGGTTCCTGCAGCAGATGGAAAGTCCTGTCCAGGCATACGCTGTGTTCGCCGGTCCTTTTCTCAATTCTCCTTCCACCATCCGCTCCCACTGTTCCCAAACTTTCCTTCTTCCATTGCTCGGCCGTTAGCCTACAGCTTACAATTCTGCTCTTCCGACAGGCTTTGATGGTTTCCCTCACCTACGCCCTAATAAATAAATACGACCGCAAGTCTAGATCGGTCGCTCGAGACACCTGACCGTGCTCTCACCCCGCGCAAACGAACGAACGAACCCCATAACGGCTTTTACCACCCAAACCCCCGCCTCTGAGAGCCCTTTCGCTTTGCTCGCCCCGTCTCTCGCATCTCCGCCGGCTCTTATACCGTCCTCTGCGATTCCCAGCACATCGGTCTCATGATACCTCCCTCTACTCGCTCATCCTCCCACCTCTATGGTCAACGTACCTTTTCCAAGTATACAACTTACTCTGGACATGTCCCTTAACTCGAAGGCAGTTCCCGACGCCCTGGGTTCGTTCCCAGAAGTACCGACGCCGATACCCCACAGAACCGAAGGCTTTGCGATTTTACAACTCAAGCACGAGTACGGCTAAAAAGCGCTCATTGACAAAAGAATACCTGGCATGGCTCATGGCTCACAGATAGTGCATCGGTGGGGATGGCGAGAAGGTCTCACGGTAAGTGACAATCCCCAATTCTCCCGACGAGTCAAGACAAGACCGACCACCCTATCTGCTGTACTAGGACGTCAATTGTCAGTACCCGATCAACTCCTCAAGCTCGCTTCACATACACTCTCGGAGAACAATGTTACCTACGTACGAAGTCTAAGCGATACAATTACCGTCTTGAAGGCTGAGTGAGTCTGAGCGAACTCCAGAGGAAGTCCCATTCGCGAAGCCTAGGTCCACCATTGCCCTCTTCCTACTCTCGGTCTAATACTCGAGAGACCATTGAAGACGCTTTCACGTTCGATACAGATTTACGGCCGTTGACTCTCCAGCCTTCCCGCTACACGCTGTTAATGATCGAGCATTTCGAGTACTCGGTGGACGACTACTACATGCGAAATCAGCAGACATGGGACCTTACAGGCTTTATACAAGGGTGTATCTTTTCTGGCCACCAGGGTTTTCTTCCCATCTTTTATAGAGTGGCTCTGTGAATGTACCCAGCGAGACGCTCATGCTCATGCGTCCCGGATGGGCGACTTATCTTTCAGCAAGCAGTTAAATGACGGGGACCAAGCCGAGGAACAGCGACTTTAGCGTCGGCCGTTGCATTCTACCTTCACTGGACTTCGATTGGAGCAATTCAACCTATTGCGACCTTAATGACCATACGCGGAGTCTAAGTCTGTCTGGAGACAAAACCTCAGAGTCAACGACCTAAGAAACTGCTTTGTCCTAGCCAAGAACCAATCGCTCGCTAATTTACGGTACGATCACAGCGCACTGATCTCACGCGGAGCTAAATAACATGGGAGTCGAGCCGCAGAGTACACTGAGGTGGTATCAACAAATTCTTCTCCATGGAGTTACATCACATACATCACTCCAGAACCCAAACGAAACTTCCCTGCTGCTACCCCGGGCCCCCACAACCCGGTGCGATAAAGACGTGACATGCCATGACCAGTCCGTGCAGAGAGTAATCTGCTACCCTAAGTGTGATGGCCCTAGCCACGCACATACCGTGCTACCCTAACTCCCTGCTAACTGGTGGAAACTTAGACCCAGGTAACTGCCAAAGCCAGCCCAGGCGCACGAAAGAACCATAGAAGCTAAGCCGTACGGAGTAAGCACTACTTTCTTACGAGTCAGACCTTCTCAATAACATCATGGGGCGTAAGACTCGTTCTTTCATTCAATAGCATTGTTCAAGAGGCTAGAAGCTAACCCACACCGTCTAAGATGGCATAGCCCCATACCAAGCCAACCAAAGCAGGCTGCAGCCATAGCCCAAGATCCAGCTCAGACCAGACTAGTCCAGGGTAACCCGGATTCCAGAAAGCGGGAACGCCCCAGGGCCACCACCACCACCACCACCCGGGGCCTGTGCCCGGCTTGCGCAGCATCGGCACCAGCACCACGCTAGGTTCGCATGCTAGGTTCGCATGATGAGCGAACCAAGAATGCCATTGTACTGGCCTAGTACATACTACATACTAAATCGGTACCACGATCCATTTCTTCAGGGCGAACATACCGTACCCTAAGTCGACTCTCGAGTCAGGAATGTACCGTACAAATAAACAAATCTACTAAGCTGATACATCTCGCATTAGTACCGGAATGGTACTTGAGCAGACCAAGGTTCGAAGTCGACTCTCATTAAGTGCTGGGATCCTATTCCTGCTGATCGACGGGGTCAGGGCTTAGGTTCGGCAAATGCGACGCATCACAAGCAGCAACAGGGAACCAAGGAAAACGCCATGGAACACCCGGCGATGGCTTGGGGTCTACCTAGTTCTATAACTAACGCGTAGAACATGTCTAGCTATTATTATCCCGCTCCCGGGGTCGACAGAATTCGATAGGTCAAATGTAACAAAAATAAAAACAAACTCTGTCAATTGTACAGTACAGTACTCCGCACAGAATCAAAGTCCGACTCCCCACTCCGTTGTTGTCAAACCCGTCCGGTTGATGCATTAAAATAATTCTGTTTGAATTTGTAAACGGCCATCGGCGATCCAGAAACCAGTAATGTTCTACAGAAAGGGAAAAGAAAAGGTGGAAAGAACACCGAGGCGGGCAAAAGAAACACCGTAGAGCGCCGGAACTGCCTGAGTCAGAGACATAAGAAAAGTTTGGCGTAGCATCGAGCCCGCGGGTATCATATTGGATTCCATGCAGATCAGCCTCTCTGTTTCTTTTTCACTCTTCCCACCCGTCGAGGCTCATGTCGCCTGCGCCCGGGACGGGGTCGTCCAGCTTCGACCCGTAGATGGGACGCCCGTCCGGCGTCAGCTGCCCGCGGAAGTCAGGATCGTAGTCGGGGCTGTTCTCATCCAGTGTGGCGACGTATCGGTTGCGACCACCGCGTTTGCTATGGGTCTTCGTATAATGGGCGTTGAGGTTGTCGCTCCGTGAGAACGCACGGTGGCACCCGGGCACCCAACATACATGGGGCTTCTCTTTCGAATGACTCTTCATATGCCTCTTCAAGTGCTCTTGCCTCTTGAACCGACCATTGCATCCAGGCTCTTTGCATTTGAACTGTACCTGCTTGATGACCTGTGGGAGGTTCTCCAGCATTAAGTTCTGCTTGGATGTCTGTCGTCGGAGCATCTTCCTTGAAGCCACGCGGTGGGGCCTCTGGAACCCGTCCCGGTAAACTGGCGAAGGTTGGAAATCATCCATATATTCGCAGGGTCCACCTGAAAGCCGGCTCATTGGGGTATTGGCACCGGACCCTGTACCGAGGGAACAAGACCGGATTGGGGTGGTGGGGCTGTGTTGTTTGAATGCACTAAGAGACGTCGAAAAGTCTGTGTATGATGGTGGCGGAGTAACTGGGCCAACTTGTGATGGTGCAATGGTTTGCGGCGCGATTGAGTCCCCAAGCGGCATCCACGGCATCATACTGCTGATGGACATCGAGGAAGTCAGTGAACTAGGGACGCGCTCGTGTTGGTGGAATATTGGCCGCGACAGGCATGGGTTTGTCGCAGACTCTGGTAGGTAAGCAGCTTGGTGGCGGTAGTTGCTGTTGGCGTTGCGCGCCATGGTTGGGTAATGGTGCATGCCCTGATGGTAAGCGAGCCCTTGAGCGACAGGATCATAGGTTTTGGGTGCATCCGAAGGCATCCACAGTTGTTCGATGTTCTCGTCATATCCTGAAAGAAAGTCGGTTATGGGCATTCGCTCGTGCGTGTCCACGCTGCCGTACTGGAGCCCCAGACTCTCCGTCGAAGCCATGCCTGCAAGGCGAAAGCCACTGCGCATTGGAGCAGCACTGGGGTTGCGTTCGTAGGTGTGGGTGGGAAGAGATCCTGCTCCGTGCCAACCAGGGGATTCCAAAGAACCGTGGCTATATATGCTCGTCGGGGTCGGTGTAGGAGATTCAAGCGGCGAAAAGCTTGAGGTCATAGATGGGCACTCGTTAGAGCCCAGGGACGAACAATCAACTTCAACAGTAAGACGGTCGGATGGTTTGTGCTGATGTCGCATGTCTTCGAGCGACGGGGCGCTGCGATGCTTTTCGAGAGGCGCTGTGGCTTGATCACCTGTCAAAGCGCCGTTCAGTCTGTGCTCTTCTTGTCTGTGCAAGATTTGGCGCAATTGGAATGAGAGACAGTAAATGTATAGTAGTAAAGAGTGGGATGGCCTAAGCCGGTGGAGTCGAGACCAGGGAAGGACCGAAAGAGAGGAAGTCTCAACAGCACTAAAGGCCTGCGTAGAAGCACAGCAAAAGAATGAAGGAAGGCCAAAGTGGGTTGCAAGGAGAAAGAGCGAGCGAGTTGTTGAGTGTAGAGAGAGAAGGAAGGTTGGGCAGCGGGAATGGAGGAGGACCGGCGAGATCAAATAAACAAATGGAACGAGAATAGATGGAGGCGGGCAAAGACAGGAACAGGACGATCGTACTCACAGTTTGCCGTCATTACCCTTCCCCAAAGGAAAAGTACCAGCCAAAGTTAGAGAGTCAAGGCCGAAGGAGGGGCGCGTTCGCGTTCCTTTCGGGGTCCCGAGCAAGGCCAGGAATGTAGGCTATCGAGTTCCTCGAGTAACCGCCAGAGCTGTCCTGGTCTGGACTAGAGGCTGGGCTCCTGTTCCCTGGGAGAAAGCGAATGTCTCTGATAAAAAGGTGCTGAAGGGTTGCGGAGGGGAGGAGGAACGAGGTCGAGGGGTTCAATAGACCCGCCCTTAAACGCGATATCCAGATCACGGGTCTCAAACAGCACGTAGATCGGCGGCGTTCGAGGACGAGACAGACGGCTAACAGGATGATAAAGTGGCTGGTGTCTCAGTTGCAGAGGGAGATGATCAGAGCAAGGCCAGCAAGGGGATGGAAGTAGGAGAATCAACGGGGATGGGCCGATGTCTCAGGCTAATCTAGATGATGATGCAAGTCCAGACTGCTGCTGCTGTAGCCTTGGGGGGCTCGGGAGATCAAGGATAATATAGCCAGCCAGGAACTCAACGATGGTGGAAGCAGAGAAGAGGCAGCGACTGAAGCCCAAAGCAGTAGAGGGAACAGAACAGGACAAGGTGAAGAGCGACTGGCATCCCTCACGTCTGCCAACCTGGAGGGCGAGAGGCTGCGATTATTATTTTCCAATCTTAAGCTATTTTGTTTAGCCTTGATTTTATTAATTCTCCTGGTTAATTTATCGCCAATATTCCTTTTTCCCTGCCCTTGTGCGGTGGGCCTCCACGCTCTTACTGGCGCCCACCATGGCTGATATCGGACCTGCATTTCTTCATATCCCGACCACTACGCTTTTATTTTTATCGCCTAAGGAATGCATGAGCTGGAACACTTCCGAGCCATTCACACAGAGCCCGATACTGACCGAGACCCAGCAGAAATGCTTCAACGTCAGAGAGTGCTTGCTTAGTATCAGAAGACTCGCCTGAAACTAGACCCTGTCGATGGCACCCATTCAGTTAGACTTCAACGACGATCCTGGGGAGCTAATCTGGATCACAATGATTATTGTCAGTCGTCGAGATGGATCTTCGCCCGGATTGACCAACCCTGCTCCACGATTGTCAACCTGCAGGGCCCTCAGTGATCGGCAAAGATTGACGAACAGTGTGGGGGTGGGCGTTTTTTTGCTTTGATGAAACCTAGCTAGCACTAGTCCCTGGATAAAGGAGAAGACCACGATCGAAGATCAATTCAAAGACAGCAAAATGATCTAGACAGCGTGGCCGGAACGTGATGGCAAATACCAGCAGCACGACGCAATGGCAAACCAACCCAAGCCGGAGTGGGATACGGCTGGTTCCATTCAATATTGCCTCCTGTGCCTTGGTCGAATATGCATAAAACACGACCAATCGGTCTGCTATTGGTACTGCGCGAGAAGGCGTGCTGCGACCCTCATCTACCGAGACTTCTCCCACCGAACGTGGATTCCAGAGCTATGCGACGCTGGGTTTTGCCTCATTCCTCTCCAAGTACTGGATCGTCATTCTATTCGACCGATAAGGCAGAGAGGGCTTGAACCCGCCGGTACTCAATGCGACCTTCAGGTGCTGGATGACGCACACCTACTGGAGACGTAAATCACGAGACCTGCTGCATGATTATTCTCTGAGACTTTCGGACGGAGCGGTCGAGGCGGTCCCAGGACGTGGGCAGCGGAGGGATCTTGAGGAGATTACTCGCAAACAATTTCGCGAGTAGTAAACAAACTAAAGCTGGTGGTTCCAGCCATGGTTCCCACTGCCTGTCATTCCACGGTTGGTGAAAGGCGTTTGCTGGGTCGGTCTGTGCGAACCTGGTTCCCACTGCAGGACAGGTCAAAGGACGGTCCAGCTAACTTGGCTCAAAAGGACCAGGTAGATACTTTGACAGCTACTGTGGACAGCTGGTGGTTCTAGTACCGGCCGCGAATCACGATTCTGACCGGTCGACCCGGCCGGGCCAGTCAGAACCCAGTCGCTGAATTATTCCTTCTTTCATCGATTGTTTTCTTCTGTTGGCATGCGAAGACGGCACTCCATTTAGAATCGTGGTCCACAGGGCTGAGGAACGATCGGACACTAAAACGCGACGATGATCAGAATGGTCTTGAGTACGTAGTACGAGGACGAGGCTTGAACTTAGAGTTCTCAGATTTCCTTGGGGTCCCCGTCCGCCCCTTGCCCACGCCCTCGACTCTTGCGGCCCCGGCGCTGGTTTGGTTACAAGTGGCTGGTGCTTATTGTACGACAACGGGAAACTGCAGTCACCGGACGAGGTCGCTCTCGCCGCTCCCCATCCCCGAGTCCTCCCCGGCGTATGGCGTACTTCCAACCTGCAGACGAGAGGGCAAAAGTACTCTGCGGCAGCCTTCGTCGGCGATCGACGCTGCCCAGTGCCCACCGTCTGGAATGGACGAAACAAGGCTAGAGCAGACCGAGGCTCTTGGCCGGAGATCATGGCTGAAATCAGAGCAATCAGGATCATTATAGTGTGCTGGCGGGTGCCGCTGCACATCATCAGGGCTTATTTGTTAGCGTTGTTCGAGGGGTGGCCAATCAAGAATCCACGGTCGGGTGTTGTTGCCAGTTGGGCAGCTCAAGGCTCAAGCAGTCGAGGCTCAGAAGCCGGAGGCTAGAGCTACCGAGTAACGCTGGCGATCCTCTTTGTTGCCGCCCCAGTTCGGAGCGCTTTGACGCGAGACTGGGTCTGGTCCATTTCTTCTGGAATGTGGATGGATCATGATTCAGAACAACGACTCGACGAGCGAAGACAACACTCGCGTCAGATCGACAAGTGGACCCGCTGTCACATCCTTCGAGCCCACACCGCCCTCGTCGCTCCTCAACGGTCTCCGCCAACACCTCTCACCGTCTGCATGGCAGCATGGCTAGACAACGGTAACCTACGCTCATCGATCCATCCCTTATTCCGCTTTCATCGCTTCTCTCGTTGTCTAACCGCTGCTCTGACTATATGCTTAACCAGCTGGCTCTTGGCTCACCAGCGACCCATATCGACCTCACCCTGAGCGTCTGACATGTCATCGGTTCATCGAATTTGAATCGAACAGGTTTCTGGTTTCGTCAGCGGCTCGGCTGCTCAGAGATGCTCAGGTATAGCTCGGAACCTTTATATCTTATCGAAGATGAGAGATCGGATACCGCCTATGATCAGACCCGATTGAAGTTTAAAGGCGTGTCGCTGCGCCAGTGCGCACCGTTTGTGCCTATCATTGCTTGGTATGATCCCAGTTGGGTCGGCAACCTGACTCGTGCTGGCGCGCATGGCCTTTTACGGACACGTCTGCCGTGCCATCCAACCTCGGCTTATTCGAGCACTCTGGTGGTCTTGCATCTCGGCTTCTTGCCCTTCTACAACGTACTTGTCCTCGTCGAGATCGCTTTTCGTCGTTTGTATCTCTCGAAATCAGAGGGATTCCCTGGCCTTGGAGCGATGGGCATCTCCAATGCATAGAGAATGCTCGGCTGAAACGCAAGCCACATTCTGCGAATACGTATCCTCCCTATTTTGGCAAACTGCGTCAAGAGACTTTGTCTAGTCGCAACCTTACGGTCCTTTTATATCTTCCGATTCAGGGACGTACCCAGGATAGAAGCTACTTGATGCAAGATTCTCTAGTTTCTCTGCTACCTAGACGCCACACTTTGACGCCGTTGCGAGCATGGATAGCATATCTTTTGACTTGTCAATAATAAGCTTTCAAGGCAATAAAAGTACCTGTGGACGTGGTCTCTCAACGCTCTTCCTCAGGCTGCATCAACGATCGACCCGGGACAATCGACGCGTTAGGTAATGTAGAAGTCCGAAGACGTTCCTCGCACTCTATCCTTGATTCAGCTCATGGACTTAGCGTCCTATTTTTTTTTGAACCAGCCAGGAACCTCCTCTCGCAAAAGCAAATGCATCGTGCAATCTTGTCAAATACATCTGCCAAAGTGTGTAGCACTCTTGTGTTCCTCTCGCTCAAGAATCTGTACTCTTTAGCAGTCTTGGTAGTTCTTCATTCGAGGACCAAACTGGCACAGCCTGACGGCTAGCGAATATTCAGCTTTACCGTCTCTTTATGCTGACAATTGCAGGTCAAAACATCAACCAGTCACAGCACCGGCCGCTGGCAATCAATCGTCTGAACATGTCCGGCCTGCAGGGTAAACTCGTGCCGGCTGGCCAACAGAGGACACCAGGAAATCAGGTACTTTTCAACGGCTTCTCCAGTGCGGTACATCTCCTACCCAGACCCCTGCAGCACGGGGAAGTACACCGCAAGGAGGTCACCGGGAAATTCTGGGTCATCCCCAGATTGCCACCAGGACCGACCCTGCCGTAACTGCGTAAGGAAATTATTTCATTTCCTTATTTCGTCGGTGAATGCTCGGGAAAAATGCATCTTCTGGGCTTAACTTCGGGGCCTCCGTTAATAGAATGGCCATCAAGCCAGCCTTGCCAGCAATCAACTTCGAGTGGCCACGGCAGATGTGACACCATGAAGGAGTATCTGAACTATTGATGCTTGAGCTAAAAAAGCATCTAGAAGGCTTCTTGGAAACGCCCCGGATAAGATCCTGCAGTCCAGATCCAGATTGCTTTCGCCGATCGACTCTCAACGTGGGCAGCTCGACCGTTGCCTGTACCTACGGAGTTCTCCTGCCTTTCTTTTGGGCTTACTGTTCTCCATGATTTGCAATAATATCTTTTTGTTCAACCCAGTCTCGTTTCCGTTCTTCAGCTTCTATATTGGGATCAAATGAAGCGGCCAATATTCCCAGTGCATGCTTAAGGCCAGAGCATAGCCACTGCATCCCCAAGAGCAAGGAGGCTATCTAACCTCGATTATGCTTAATAACGGGATATCCAGTTCTCCAGCCCACCAAGTAATCAACACAGCGTCTTCAACAAGGTTTTGGTGGACTAATCCTGGGTGTCAAGTCGCCCTCGATTAGACTCGGTTTGCTGGATCAAGATCCACTAAACACGAACCATACGCTAGCTATATGCCAATTTTCCCTGGCCTGACAGTGCATAACATTGAACCTTACCCCGGCAGAGAATGTGCTGTTCGGTCAATAGAGGTTCGCTTTCCATTTTGGATGTTGCCTGTTTGTTGCTGCAGCCCATCATGTGCGAAGTCCTGAGATGCGCAATTCCCAGCGTTGAGCGCATCCGTCTCTTTCTTCATAGCCTTGTATTCGCCTTTTCCGGAAAATAATTTGCAAACTAGCATCTCCTCTCGAACTGTGCCTAAAGCAATAAGGCTGAAAATCGAGACACCATCCCCGCAATTCATATTAGTTGCAGAAGCAGGACAGCTTGTTCGACCTGCATCGAGCCTTTCCATCTTTCCATCTTTGGTTTTTTACCTGCTCGATCCATAGTCAGTCACGATCGGTAGTGTTATCTTGCAGCTATCGCCTTTGTTGACTACCAGGTGGATAGAGGGATGTCCGCCTTCAATCAGGCCCCCTTGCGTCCCCCCATTCTCTTTCCTTACCCTGTCTTCCATAGCGTCCAATAAGTGACTCAGAAACTTGAAACAAGGTTTCTGGTTTCTGCCTTGAGAATTGCAACCGTCCCATCGGTCAACGCCTCGAATTGAGTTGCATTGCATGACTGCCAATATCTGGGGTGACTCGTCCAACGGTTTATGGTGGCGTTTCCATAGACCGCCACCTCTCTATACTCGTGCTATCATTGATATGAGCGTCCAATGAGATCCAGCGACATCTAGTTTTACGGACTCAATATGCATGGAAGGGCCCCTAATCTAGGCTCTTTCAGATAGCCGTTTAATTGCGGGGTGTGGATCCGGACGCCCATCTCCTTGCGGACCTCACATTCCTAGCGACGCCAATTGTTGATCCAACCTGCCTATTGTCTCTGAGATCCAGAGCGCCGAAGATCGACAATGACATGCATCTTCGCCGATGCGCCAATACCAGCTAGGCTAGGCCCATCTCTCCGCCCGGATCGACCATGCAATGCACAGCTAGCTCTGGACCTGCAGAATAAGCTCAACCAGGTACAAATCATTGAACCTAGTCCAAGCTCTCTCTAGCACCAAAGTACCTCGTCCTCGATTTGCGCTGGAATGCGCAGAAAAGACCATATGCGAATGGGCCCATGCATACATGCTTAGCTACTAGTGGACCAGTAACTTCATTGGTTGGCCCGACCTCATGGCTCAAAGTCTGGAAGGTACGTGCACATGCGAGGGCGTAACAGCTGCTCAAATTATTGTGAGTAGCTCCCGCCTTACCATAACGAGCCCTGGCAAATTAACTTTGCCCTTCAATGAGCGCCCAAGTCGACACTGCGGTCTGGACTCTACCTGCGTCTCTCTCTCTACGGTCACATAGCCACATACCAGGCACCCGCAGGACCGCACCGCTCGCGCACTCGCTCCACCCCAGCTCCGTCTTCATCCATAGCATGCACGTATCGGAAATCAGCGTCGATCCGCAGATCCTCTCTCCTAGCTACCTGCGCTCAGGCTTCTCTTCCTATTCGCCCTTTGCGAGACTACTGGGGTTGGGACTCGAGAGTTCGCGCTTTGGCCTCGAAGTCTCATTCGGCCTCCTCATTCAGCCTGTCCGGGGTTACACATCCATCCTCCCCGATGTCGTACCCGATCTCGCTCGGTAGGAATGCACTGCACTGTGCCTGGGTCCTGGCCTCTTGTTGGCGCACCGAGCTTCCAGGCAGGACCAGGGTCCAGGGTCGTACTTTGTCTCCTTCACCCCAGAAATGACAGCCCACCCCGGGCTCCAGAGCTTCGGTTGTGAAAGCGTGCCTGTGCTACGATTCGCTGAGAGTGGGATTCCCGGCTTGTTGTGCGAGCTGGGATATGCGCATTCGATCGCTTATTTCCCAGTGCTATCACTCTCGTTATCGCCTACCCCTCGACGTTTGGCGGGGGAAATGAGCCTCGAGAGGTAGTGCAACGTGAAACTAACCCCCCTAGAAGCCAACCCAACCCGAGCACTAGAGGTACCAGTGATGGCAAGCGATACTCAGCGCACCAAGCAGCCTTCTTTGTCAGACAATACATCCGGCCACACTGCTCATATCCTGCCAAAAAGAAGTCTCGGTCCCAGACATAGCTCGAATGGTGGGTTCCCATGGAGCTTTTCGAGTCACCACCAGATCTCAAGTATCTCGCGGGCCAGTCCAGGATGTAAGTTGCCTTGCTAAATCGAACACAGCTGCCGTTGAGTCTCTGATTCCAGCTACATACATCCATCTGTGTCCTCGTAGACTGTCATCCTGACGTGCCTTCCCTCGGGACACTGAGGCCGGATGTCCTCTAGTATTTTAAGCCCACCAACTACTCTACTTGCAGATGCCTACTCCGTCCATCTCTCTAGCTTCTCATGCGACTAGTATTGGTTCCCTAATCATTGATGTTAGTCGCCAATATCTAGAGTCTGAAAGGGCGTGGTTCGTAGTTCCCCTTACGGTTGTCGTTTCAAGAGTCAAGACCGACCGATCACATATATATCTCTCGATGTGAGCACGGCACATCCGTCGCGGCTGGTCCGGCTCTCTGCCTCCGTAGTTAGGCTTGTCTAACCTGCTAACAAAATTTAATTTATGCACCTTGCTATATATATCACGGCACTTGTCATGGGTGTGTACCGCCTACCCATCTACCCTATACGAAAAATATGAAGAACCTGTCTGAATTCTCCTATCCGATCTGCTCAAATCACCGAAGCGGAGCCCCTAGTTATAAACAATGGTATCAAGTCTGAGTAGTTTCCTGCTTGCTCCCTTCCCAACGCAAAAAAAAAAAACAGAGAAAAAGAAAATCCATCGCAACAAAATGAGAAAAGACAACGTCAACAACCGGTCCCAATGATACAAGTGCCCCAAGAAAGTAGCATAAACAAGAAAGAAAGAGAGAGAGAAAAATCGGTGTCGTAGAAAGAAAGAGAAAGAGAAGAAAGTGAAACATGCGAACCAAGATCAAAAACGTGAAAAAAACGCCGGCCGCCCCTGTTTTATCTCGAGTCCCTGGTTTGTCCTATACATTGCTCCCAAATGGATTAAGCAAAAGAGAAGAAAATTGGTCTTGCGATTTGATGAAGAGGGCGAGGTGGTGAGAGTGGGTGTGGTAGACTCTGGAATGAAATCTCCAGGTCAGGAGGTGGTCGGTCGGAGAGAAGTGTCGAAGGGATATGATATGAGTGTGAGTGGATCAAGAAAACAAAACTGCCGCCTCCAATCCATTAGTCGTCAACGTCAAAAAATTTCATCCTACTTGCCCATTCCATTCTGCATCATGTTATGTTGCTGTTGTTGCAGTGCCTGGGCGTGAGCAACCGCCTGGGCTTGTTGTCGCTGTTGCATAGCAGTGAGCTCAACACGCTCTCGCCGGATCATATCTTGCACGAAGCCTTTGGCAGCGTTCTCGAGGCCAACACTGTACTCCTGCGCCACTTGTGGCGGGTACTGCGTAGGAGGCCCGTATTGCGGCATCAGGCGGGTAGCCATCTCTTGCCGTAGTCGCAAAAGCCGCTGCTGATAGATCTGACCGTATCGCGCTTGCGATGCATTCACTCGCGGCGGCATGTTCACACCCTGCATGTTTTGCGGCATGTGGCCGCCGTTGGCTTGAGCCGCTGCCATCAGTATCTGCTGCTGCTGAGCGTTCAACTGCGGGCTGTTTTGAAGCATCTGCCCTTGCTGGAGCTGTGGCTGCTGTTGGCCTTGCTGTTGCGGTTGTTGCTGCTGTTGCGATTGCTGCTGCCTTTGTTGCTGCTGTTGTTGGGCTATTTGCATCTGCATGAGTTGTGCGCGCATCATCTGAGCCTGGTATGCCTGGGGGTTGGCAAACTTCTGCTGCGCGGCCTGGGGGTTTTGCTGCTGCTGTTGCATCATCTGCTGCTGTTGATGGTTCTGAATGTTGTTCTGCGCAAGCATATTTGCCTGCAACTGAGCGAACTGCTGCGGCGTGAGCTGACTGTGGTTCAGATGCTGCCCTTGTTGAGCGAGTAGTTGTTGTCTTTGTAACATGAGTTGCTGCTGCTGTTGTGCGTTGAGGGGCACTTGATTTCCCATCTGCGGAGTTGCCATCACAGCCTGATTCATCACAGGCGTTGGGGCCATCGAAGACCGCGGCGGACTAGCATGACTCATACGCTGGGTGGGCGTGACATTGCGCATGATCGGGGTAGCTTGGGACATTGCCGGTGTTCCTTGGGTCATCTGCGGAGTGCCATGCCTGCTTTGCCCTTGTTGACTCCTAGATGGCACCATGGGGTGGCTCATCATGTTGGGATGAGCGTGCTGCAAAGCAGAGGGAGGTCTCTGTGGGCTACCGGCGCCCTGCATAGAAGACGTCATTGCCATAGGTACACTACCTTGAGTGGCCATCGCATTGCCAACAAGTGGTGATGAGGTATTGAGAGGTGTCTGATTACGCACCACTGGCGAGGATTGGGTTGGTTGGCTGACACCGTTAGCCTGCGCCATGAGTTGCCGGTTTTGCTGCTGGGCTGCAAGCTGTGCCTGAGCCTGCTGTGCGGCGAGCTGTTGTCTCCTGTTCTCTTCTTTGGCCTGCTCCTCCGCCTGGCGCTGCTCCGTGATCCGACGCCTTTCTCTTTCTTGCTCTTGTTGTTGTCTTTTTACCATTTCCTGCTTCATCTTCGTCTCATTCTCACGTCTATTTTTCTCTTCGTGTTGAATCCTAATATTCTCAAGAGTCTTAAATCGAGAAAAGCGAGGTTCAAAAGGAACAGCACCACCAGTGTCATCCACAGCTGCGGACTTCGGCCCACCTGCGGCACCCGAGGTAGTAGGTTCCAGCCGTTCATCCATGATGAGCATGAACCTCTCTTCCTCAGCCGCCAGTGCTTCGTCAGCTGCCAATTCGGCGATCGTGCGCTTCCTCCTCTTAGGTGAAGGTGGAGGATCGCGATGAAGCGGACTCTCCATGTATTTCAAAAGGATGTGTACATCTTCCAAGCTGCTAACTGGCTCCAAAAACAATGGCGGCGCAAGAGCCCTGGTCAATTTGGATTCGCATTCCAAAAGCTCATGTGGTTCGATGAGCATTTTCTGCCGTTTTGCAACAGGACCCCCTTCAGGCTGAGCTGATGCACCTGGAGACGGAGGAACAGTTCCGGGAGGCGGTTGGGGGCGCGCGGAAACGGGTGCAGCTTGTTTCGCAGCTTTTGGATCCGGTGTGGTCGCAAGCAGGGTCAACTCCGCTTGTAATGAGCGAGTAGTTGGGTGAAGGACAGTTGTGAAGACACGGGGTTTAGGGGGTGCTTGCTTGAGCGAGGCTGATCCGGCTTCTTGTGAGTTGTCCTGGGACACCCCGTCAACGTTATCCTTCGAGTCTGACTGTTCCGTCGTCGTTTCATTCCCGGTCGATTTCTCCGACACCAATTGATTCTGTTTCGGGTAGGGGACATATGCAGACGGAGTAATGTGCTCATTATAGTTATGGATTGAAAATGGTGTGTTGTTGTCATTCGAGGATGGTGCGGTGGATTTCCTGGCTTGCGCGGATACGGATTTATGATCAATCACGCGTACAATGAGGCAGCCTGAGTCAACGACCTAGTCAGCAAGGGCCGGAACTTGAGGCGCAAATAGCACTAAATCCCACCTTCATAGAAGCGAACATTGGCGCGTAACAGTTCCTCCATCATATCATGGGGAACAGTACCCGCACGGATATGTTCAATGATGACCTTCATTTCCGAGTTATACGGGAAGCTTCCATCCTGCTGTTCGAAGCGGAAATGTGTTGGATGTAGATGTAGGATCAATGACGGAGGGGATTTCGCAAACTTCTTCAGGATATAGGGCGTTGTTTTAACTGTATTGTATATCGGAGTTAGTAAAGCTTGGCTTCCGCCGCACACGACTCCCGGTGACACTAACCATGCGGCTCAGGAAACACCTTCCCTAGCCGGCGATCACTCTCCAAAGACGGGGTCTTTGGCGTTTGCCTTTGCACCTTCACGCCTTGTTCGCCTGGCCTTTGCGCGTCTTTCCTGGGCCGGCCCAGGGGCCCCTTGGTAGGAGTGTTACTCGAATTGCCGATGCCATTGACGCCGTTCGGGACCGGATGGCTCGTGGAGCTTGTCGCTGCCGACTGTCCGGCTCCAGGAAGACGCTTCGACGTAGTAGGAGGGGAGGATGACGAGGGCTGCGGCCTGGTGCCGTTGACTCCGGTCTGAACAAAAGGCGGGGGCGGCCGCTTCATCTTAGGGGGATGGGAGGTGGTTTTGGATATCGCGGTCGCCATCTTGACGAAACCAACACCGGAGTGTGATTTCGAGCGATAGCTCCTAGAGGCGACTCCTCGGAACGTAGGCCCGGGGATAGCAGACGGAAGTCGTGCTCCGAAAATCGTTCGTCGATGATATAACCGGGGAACGAGACATGTGGGGAGCGGACGCGGAGAGCGACGAGCAGCGCGGGAACAACGCGGTGGGTAGCACGGATCCCAGGGTCGCTAGATAATGAGATCAATGGGGGCCATCGAAAAGACGTCCGTCACAAGCAGAGTGAGCAAGCAACCGAATGGGACAGTGGTGGTCGTCGCTGAAGGAGTTTGGTGATGCCAAGCCAAGTCGTCGCTGAAGGAGGCTGGTCAGGTGATTCCCGCTTTGAACCTCATCACGTGTTTTGGATGCCCTTTATTCCAATGCCATGGATAACGAACATAACTTTATACTCCGTACACCACTGAAAGTTTACGGATTACATCGAGAGAGGAGAGTTGCGCAGTGTGGTCATCATGTACGTGGTATTCTTTGGCATCATGCAATATACATAGAAATATGATCCGAAAGATCAAAACACAAGTCATAAAGCTAGGGAATCACATCATGATCATCCAAGAGGGATAATCAGCAAACAGCGCAAAATAACACTCACAGGACCACCGTGTCAAAGCAATCTGCGGCATACTAGCTGCGGGTATATCGTCACGCTCTAGTCATGACCACTGATCCTGCGCCGCCAGTCATCTCCCACACGGAGCACATCAACAACGTCAATGCGTTTACCAATGCCGGTGACGCCTTCTTTGCGCCACCACTTCTCCTCCTTGTTCGCAAGCAACGACTCATCGTCGCTATCAATCAGACCGCCCCGACCCCCTTCATCACCGACCACCACGACAACCTGCCTAACCCAGCCAGATATGTGGTTCACCGCGCTTCCATCCTGACCAGACAATGACTCCTGGACATAAACAGTATCAGCAGAGAGATGCCGAACAAGATGTACGTATCCAGTAGGCGAATTGAAGGGCATAATCATGGTGTCCTTGTCAACGATGGCCTGGGCCTGTGTGTACAAAGTGTTAAAAAGCGGTGTTGCACCCTGCGAGTCCTCAGCCTGTCGGGGCTCCAACATGGACAGATCCGCAGTAGTGGCCTCAGCGGACGGGGTAGCTTCTTCAGGGGCAATGTTGGAGTATGATGATGTGACGGACAAGGCATGGGTGGGGCTGCCTTGACCAGGAGCGTGCTTCAATCCAGGCGCATAGATTAGAACGAAGACCTTGGCAGAGTCAGGGTTAATGTGTTCAGGAAGATGAGAAAGGATAGACTGTAGATGAAACTGGTTAGCGAAACTGAACAGACGCAAATCGCAACGATATCACGCGACAACGTACCACATGATCGGAGGTCAGGTCGTGTGGAAGGTGCGGTGATTCTGATGATACCACAATCACGACCGTCTTCTTCTTGTCGGTAGTCGCCGGGGCGCCAACAACGCTGCGTGTTGGAATTTGACTAGGCGCGGATGTCTCTGCCTGATTCCTTTGCTGATTGCGGGATTCCACCTCCTCTGACCACCGAGTATGGTCCTCAAAGTCGCCCCTGTTCTCTTCCCTGATCGAAGTCAAAGCACCACCCACGAAAGCCCCTGCTGCTGCGACACCGGCCGCAACCCTCTTGCTCGCCCCGTCAAATATTTGCTGTGGACTAGGCGTGCGCCGAAGTGCTCCTTGCATGCGAGCCATTACGCTAGCATCTTCCTGAGAGTGACCAAGAACATCTGCGCCTGTTGCTCGGGCGTAGTCGCCCTCAAAGTCGCCGCGCGGGAATGACACCCCACTGGGAGCACTGGCGGTTCGATCACCACCTCGAGGTTCGTCGCGATCATCCTCATCTTCTTCTTCATTGCGCTCAGTCCATATCCAAGCTGCAACACCAATTGCGGCGATGCCGACGGTCAGGGCAAGGGGTGCCCAATAGCCCATGACGGTGCGCCGCCCACTCGAGCTGAAGCCGGTACCCACCCGCCGATGGCGAGCATCTTGGGAATGAGGCATCGCTGTCCACGATATCAATTACAGGCTGCGCATAGATCCACGTCAGTCGCGTCGAGTCGTATTCACATCTCAGGTCGTCGGAGGATCAATGGTAGCGTCGGGAGGCTGGGATAATGCGAGGGATGGGAAAGGAGGAGGAAGAACTATGGGGGCGGCTGGGCCTCGGGGCAAACATGTGGCTGGTGACGCTTTGTTTTGCCGCGGTGTTTACGGGAGGCTGCGGCTGCGTTTGCACTGTTTGCCTGTAGTGCTTAGTCACCTATCCTATCGGCACGTGTGGTGGGCTTTGACTCGAAAAAGTTGCGGAGATACGGAGTTTGACTCACAAAGAGAGAATAACAAAAGTCGCCGGGGCGCCTATTGATTGTTCCTGTCCTGGCTTGGAGTGCTGCAGGCATGATCTAAGCTGACTTGAAACGCGCATCTTCGATTTATACGGCCTGCCCCATTGCATCTCTTGTGATAGCAGCGCACCTTCCCCTCATCCCCGCGGTGATATCAGCATATTTCCACCAGCCTACGACTTGACACGGTCTACTGCCTCGTCTTTTACTGAACTTCAGCTACGATGCCGCACTCCGTTCCAGTACCCCCGACGGGGTTCCAGGCGCTCATTCTTTGCGGGCCTGGCGTTTCCCTCAACACCTTCACTTCGAGTCCAGAGGAGTTCCCGAAAGCTCTTATTCCTATCGCAAATCGCCCTATGGTATGGTATCCGTTGGACTGGTGCTATCGCATGGGCATAACCAGTATGTTAAGCTTGCCTTGTATTCTGATGTTTCCACCGCTAACAAATGTTCTTAGATATTACTCTCATCACCCCTCCTCCTAGCCAAGCCCCTCTCGAGGCCGCTCTATCACAAAACCCCCATCTCACCTCTCTCCCATCGCCATCGCCGTCCATCCTCGCGCCCACAGACTTGACGTTGACAACGGGTACTGCCGAACTGCTACGCCTCCCCGAAGTCCAAGCCTGTATCAAATCCGACTTCCTTCTCCTTCCGTGCGATCTGATATGTGACATCCCGGGAGAATCTCTCCTCGAAGCATGGATGGTATCTCAGAGCGCGCTCGGTGGCTCAACACTTGCTGGAGGGTGGAACACAAACGGCCCCAAGACGATAGGAATGGGTGGCGAGGCAGGAGGACGCCGCGGCGGTCTGGCGGTATATTACCAGACAAAAGGAAGAGAAGAAAGTGTCAAGGGAGAAGTGACAGACTTCGTCGCTACTGCTCCTCTCGAGCAAGATGAAGCCCCCGCAGTTTCGCATCCCACAAACGGACCAGCTGCCGTACGATTCGGGCTGTCCAAGTTGGTACTCTCGATGCCAATGGACACAGTCAAGGAGAAGATGGAAGAGGATAAGGGACTGCTCATCCGCCATTCGCTTGTGAAGAAGCATGCCCAGGTAAAGATGCTCACCAGCTATCGTGATGCACACATTTACGTATTTCCTTACTGGGTGAAGGAGATGGCGCAACTCAACGAGAAGTTCGAGAGCGTCAGCGAAGACCTCGTGGGATGGTGGGCGAAAACGGATTGGCAAACTGGACTGGCTGAAAAGATCCGAATGAACGAGATATTTCGAAAAACTCAAAATGTCGGCGAGAGTGGGAGCCTGGATGACGAATCGCTCGAGGAGGAAATCGACATCAAAGCCATGAGCACCACCAAGGCTGGTGCTGGAGACTCCCACGACACATCAGCGTCCGAGGCCCCGGCCGAATTTCAATTCGCCTCACGTGTCCGAAGCTCAGGCCCTGACTCTGGCATCGAGTCGCCACAAAAAGAAAAAGTCACCCCTCCCCCGGTTCTGGCTTACATGCATTCGTCCCTGCCCTCTGCGCCTATAATCAGGCGTGTCGATGCCTCGTCCCTTCTTCTTTCCGTATCGCTTCGCCTTGCAAAGCTCGAGTCCATCGAAGAAGTTGGCAAAGTCGCCGCCTCTCCGTTTGCGCACAACCAAAAGGTGGCCTATCCGGCAGGTGTCGCTCAACGTTGTACAGTGACAAAGAGCGACTGCCTCCTTGCCGATAACGTTACCGTGGAAGAGAAGTGTGTGATCAAGGAGAGTGTGATCGGTGTGGGATGTCATATCGCCAGCGGAGCCAGATTAACCCGCTGTCTGGTCATGGACGGCGCAGTCGTTGGTGAACGATGCCAGCTCACCGGATGCATTGTCGGACGCCGCAGCAAGATCGGACGCGAGTGTGTGCTGAAGGACTGCGAAGTTCAGGATGGCCATGGCGTTGAAGAGCAGACGGACGCCAAGAACGAGAAGTTCATGAGATTTGAAGGGTTGGATGAAGACGCCGAGGGCATGGATGTGTCTGAAGATTTCGAAGACGATGGCAGCGACCTGGGTTTCTAATCCGAATGGACGATCCCCATGCTCCTGCTACTCCTCCGCCGAGGCGATCTAATGACCGGTATAGATGATAGACCTGACGCTGAATAACGAATAGGGCGACAAAAGTTCATGTTGTGTACAATTTCGGAGGAATTAATACCCCCGCCATTCTCATGGCTTGATTATACCACCTATGTAGACAGGCATTATACGTCGTACTCTGTACATAGGGTTCCACGACCTTAACTCCTTACAGGCCAAAGCAACCAACTGGGATAAAGATGCCCTGGTTTCTTGATCTGATCCCGCCTCATCTCATCTCATTCCCGCCGCCTCCTGTAAGCCCCAGCTTATCCGACCCGATCCATGCGATTACGATAGCGATGCATGATGGTCTCAGCTCCAAGGTTATCCCCGCTATCTGACCATATGCACCATGATTTCACCACTTTGCGTCTTCCCTCGGACCTTGACTCACGAACCTCACCCCACTCTTTTAGCCCGTGCTCCATACCTATCTACCCTAATCACCTACTACCTGTATAACTCGTAAGTCATCGTACTCGCGCCCGCGAGCCGCCCACGGTCACCTGCACCGGTAGCAGATTTCCAGTTCCAGCGACATGCATATCCAACCAAGGAACTTAGCCGCACGATGCTAAGAACGACCCGTGCCCTCCAACCAACTATAGTAGGTATCTGCATGTTGCCATGTTCACGGCTATAGGCTGTAGCTCGTCAGCCTATCAGCCTGTCTTATGCTCGTCTCTTAGATAATGAGGTGGTATAGTTCCCGGCTAGCCTACTACTGTAGCGTACCCTAGTCCGTAAGCCGCCTCCGGCTGCGCAATCGCAATCGTAATCGCATGTGGCACTGGCACCTGGACTTGGTCCGGGCGGTTGTCGGAATTATCTCGCATACGGAGTAAGCCAGATGGATTTGAGGGGTAGACTAGGTAGATAGAGTAAGGTGATGACAGGACAGGACAGGGGAGCTTGTGCATAAATGCGTGCGCGGCACCGGTCCGGATGTGAATCTTATGCCCATCATCCTCCAGGGTTGCTGCGGGGAACTGCTCAGCGCAGCCTGGTATCTATGTCAGGTTCAAGCGTACTTTTTGGACCTGACGAGTTCCTTTGACCGGGCGCTCAAGTGCACGGGTGTCCCTGAGGTTGTTTTAGGTCATGTACGGCACTGGAGTCCATCCGGTGTCATCCCATGTCATGAGTCTAGGGTACGGTACAGAGTACGAAGCACGGATCGACCTGGGGTGAGCTTTGTGCCCCGCGGAGCGGCGTCCAGTGTGTAGAACCCGTGTCCTACGGAGTACCAGCTACGGTACCTGTACTCCGCGTTCTTGATGTTTTTGTCGGAGCCGGACAATAAACTGCAAATGCTTGCTTTTGGTGGCTGTTCTTAACGAGGAGGTCCCCGGGAGCATGTCCAATACCGTTGAAATGAGTTCTGGTCGATGTCCTAGCTCCAAAGCTGCCCGGCTTGCCTACCTTGTAGGGTACGAGACGGAGAGTTATACTGATACACTGGCCGGCTGCACTTGAGGGTCCACGGGTAACGGACGGGACACCAGCCGATCGGTTCCCCTTCCTCATTCCTCATTCTTCCTGTGGCCGTTATGGACCGGGCTTGTGGTCGTGACTCGTGATGAGCACAGATCGTGCCCAGTTCTCGTCGTATATCGCGGCAAATGCAGGAGTGCTCATTTAAATAAAGTGCGAAGGGCAGGGGCCGGGCGATTTTGTGGGGTAAAGCACTTGGCTGTGTTTGAGATCTAGAGTGAATTGTTTGAGATTTGGTGGTTGTAACCAGGATGGAGCTGGAAGAGGTCCTTTGATAGATAGGAGATTGTGTACCACTGTATATTCGTGATCAGGGGTCAGAACGACGGTGTCCCGTTGTCTGTGAGAGTGGCTGGTGGACGACTCTGTCTCATAGTAAAGTCCATTTTTGAGACAGTGTTTGAGACCCGACTCGGTTGATATCAGTCTATCAGTTTACTCCGTACACCGCATGATAGCGGGTCAACCTTGTTATCGTCAACTTATCAATCTGGATAGGCAGATTCTGGGCCCGACCTGGAGTTCTCCTGAGCAACGGGAGAGCCACTGCACGATGACGCGGAAATTGAAAAGAAAAGCTGAAACGGCGACGTCGCCTTGTCGATCACGCGGGAACTCCTTACATGGATCTGCATGCGCTAGTTCTGTCCGGGTTGGAGATTGAAGCTGGAGTATCTTGATGTCGGATGGTAGGTATGTCGACACTCTACACTCGGCGGTAGTACTCGGAGTAGACTCGATGACTCTATACACTGGGTGGCACTGACAATGGCGTGACTTACAGTATGGGCCCATCATTGAGCCGAATGCCGAATCAAACTAGCAAACAGCCGTGATGTACTCCGGAGTACTAAGTACGGCGGTGTGCCGGCCAGATGTATATTTCCCCACACCTTCATGCCGCATACTGTGTACATAGGTAGGTTTGCAAGTTTGAACAAACCTGCAAGTTTGAACAAACCCTACGAGTAGCTTATTGCAGCTTCAAAGCAATAATGCCTGTTGCTGATGCATATTTTCTCGGCCAACTTTATTTCTTCAGCGCCCTGACGGTGGAAGCTGTTTCTATAGTCCGGGCGATGGCTGGCTGACTGTAACCACGTTCTTAGTCCGATGGCCGTTTCTATTGAGCCACGTTGCCATCGCGATCTCGCATATTTCTACCAGCATGAAGCGATCCAAATGCTGGTGCCTGGCTGAGTTTCTTCTTCGTGAAGCAGGCAGTTTTCGTGTTGACTCGGCACCCAGCCATGAATCAGCTGTCAGTCATACCGGAGTTTCTTGGTTCTGGCGGTACAGCTACACAGCCGGGTGGACATGTAGCAATCTGTAACAGAGCTCCATCCCCACCGCGATCAAGTTTGAGCACAAACTGCGGGAGATCTGATTGATTAACTGCTCCATCGTGGAACGGCCGGACCCATGGAACAGAGCTGCGGGAATTTCCCAAGGGTTGCTACGTTGAGAACCAAGGGTGTGTGTGAGATGGCCAGGGCGTGAGCCTCTGTGGTCAGCTTGTGAGACGGATCCGGCGGTTGCTCACTGATTCTCCAGGAGTTCGCTTGGCTGAGGAAAGGAAGCAGGGGTTTTCATTGGCGCTGTGTCTTGACCTCTTGGATGGAACTAAAAATCCTAACCGAGTCATGGGTATTGGGATAAGAAGTTCGGGGGCATAATCCCCAGTCCGATCTCGTACACTCGCAGTCTGACTCTGTCCCATAGGGCCATCACTCCGTTTAATTCTCTTACCGAAGAACAGTGTCTCGGTGTCAGTTTCCACCTCGGAAGCGGACCAACGGCGCAACGCAGAGATATTCAGGTTGCTCAGAAACCGAAATACGCAGCAGACTTGGCTATCCCGTTTAGCGTTCCAGTCTTTGAGGTCTGGGCTTTTTGGCGGCTGACGAGTTACCAGGCGGCGGTTCTCCTTCCGAGGTCCCGTACATATGTACAAGCAAGCCTCATAAGTTTGACCGTTTCGGATGGGATTCCTCCAAAGATCGCAATCCTCCGTCAACCCGACGTCTGTGATGATGACAGACACAGACTCCGGCACCCGCGAGCCGATATTGCTAGCAGGGATTTGTACCTGCCAAGTTGCCAACTTCTTCGCCCTTCCGAGGCTTCCAAGCATCGAGCATGTTCTCGCAAGCAGCAAGCTTGGGAAGTCGGCCCCGCTCTTTTGCCGTATCGAGGATGGAGAAGAGAACGACGAGAAAATAGAAAAGGAGGCGGCGGAGGCTGTACTATTATTGGCTGGGCCTGATCGTCGTCAAATACCGTTACAGCCTAGATACCTCAGGTTCCCCACAGAAGAAGGACTCCATCGGCATCGAGCCATATCCATATCGATGAAGTGGCAATGGAGTAGCTGCTAATAATATGACTGATCTGGATTCATTGATTCAAGTGCTGATGATGAATGACAGGCGGTGCCCTCGACCGGGTCACTGCAAAGTCAACCATCTTTGACTTCGAGCATGACGGAATAAGCGTGACAGTAGTTCCAGAGAATGTCTTACCCCTTTCGATCACTTGATAACGCTGGTTGGCCGAGGCCGATTCAGGAGAATTAACATTAATCTACTCTGATGATAGAATACACCACACCATGAGGATTATGCTATGAATGAAACTGCTTTATCATGGAGCTGGGCATGCGCCCATTCATTTGATCTTCAGTGCCTGCCAACTCAGTAGCTGATTCGTATGACTTGCAGCTGCACGGAGAGTAATCGCCATCTGAAGTTGCTGTTGACGACGCCGCTAATCGATCTTCCCCCTCGTGGGCTTCCTCCAACCAGAAACTTTCTAACCCTCCATGAAGCAGCTGCTTCCCCTGTCCTTATTCCCAGTGTTCCTGTGCACAAGTAGACAAGCGAGAGCCATAATCAATTAGTTAAGCTTCATCGATCGCAAAAACGAGACCCGGCGAGGGCCAGGGCGAGGCGCTGTCCCTTTTCGCGACCAAAAAGTCCAAACCGCAGTGGAAAATCCCGCCCGTCTGTCTCCGCCTGTCAGTCTCCCTCTCCCCTTAGTTAGAGCCATCCCAGCATTCCAGCTTAATCCTCAATCCCATTATCTCCTCCCTCTTTCTTCCTCTCTCTCCAGCTTCCTCCCTCTTCTTGCTCCTCGTCCCGTTTACCCACCCCTCCTCCATTTCTCTCCGGTTCCCCCGGAACGGCGCGTCTTCTGCTTGATTCAGAAGTTCCGTGTCTTCCTAGGATCTGGTCACCGTTTCCTTTCGTTTCTCCTCTGCTTCTCCCTTATCTCTCCAGACTTGCCTGTTAGTTGTCATCTTCATTTCTGAATCTCTTCTTCTCTTCCTCTTCTTTCTCCCTCTTTGTTTCTTTACCCATGGCTCGACCGCTCTAGACAGCATCTGCCGCTCTTGACCCTGTGTTCCTTACATCGTACCTCATCGCTGGCTCCTCCCTCTTCGGTCCTCGCTGGATCCAAGCCTTTCGTTTCTTTCCTCTTTTTCTTCGACAGCATTCGCCTGCCCGCATTCATCTGAGCGACTTTCTTAATCCTTTGTACCAGTATAATTGAGCTACGGGCATTTATTAGACCAGGTACGCTCATATCCGTTGCTCGGAAACGATTCACCATGATCGAATTCATCAGTCATAAACTCTCGTCTATGATGCCTTCGCCCAATCTTCGAACTCGGTTGCTTGGTCGTACAATGCTAACTGACGAATACGTGGTACAGATTCGCCCCCCTGTTCACCCCCTACCATTCCTCTCGCTCGAGTGCCTCTCGAACACCATACACTGCTTGAACGACCGCACCGAAGGGTTCCATTCGCCTCAATTGCCGGGATAGGACCTTGTTCGGTAGACGCCGTTAAGTACGCGTCCGAATTCGATTACTCTGCGATTAGTGGAGGAGAACAACATGGCAGCTTTGGTACAGACGATTCCTCAGCAAAGCAGCGCGGTTCCGGTGCTCCAAACACGCCCCTCTTCCTCCTCGGGTGCCTTCACCACATCTCAGTCCTTACAGCAAACGAACTCTCGAAATTCCGCCATGTCTTGGAACACATACAACACAGCCGGCAATTCGGGGAGCTATAGGCCTGGCCATCAAGTGGTGGCCCCCTACGCCTTTACCAGCACCCCCAACCACTCCAATTCATCAAATGTGCAGAACCGTCAGTCATGGTCTCCTAGCTTGAGACCTGAGCATCGAACTTCCTCTGCCCCTTCTGTTCCTCAACTCCCCGCGAATGCTGCTCTCGTCGGGAACCATTCACGCCCCGTCCACTACACTGCAGCTGGTTCTGTATCTACTTCATCTTCCAACTCTTCCGTCCAGTCACACATGTCCAAAGACGATACGGCGATTCCTTCCCGACAGCCTCGCGGTGACCCTTCCATTCGTCCCTTATCAACCGCCAATTTGCCTTCTCCCACACCGCCATTCATGAACATATCTTCCCCTACAGTATCCCGTCCTTCGCCCGATCGTTATCGTCGTGGAAACCGTCGCTCAGATGCGTCCGCAGGTGCTCGCGCGTCTCCTCCGATCTTGGATGAAAATCCGCAGCAGACGACGTCCGCTGGCCCAACAGGCGCCAAGAGCCTGATGCCGGACGGCAAGGGCCATACCAGGGCCACCAGTGCAGATGATAACTCACGGTCGGATAAGCCCCAACCAGAATTGGCGAAGCGATATCGACGGAGGAGCTGGGGAAACATGGACAACACCGGTCTTATCAATCTTGAGCTTAAGCTGCCCGTTGCATCCCCAATTCCGATGCCAGGCGGACAAGACTACTTTGACCAAGATCGGCCAAGGTCGGCTCAGTCCAACAGGGAGGTGTCGGGGAGCATACAGTCTGCTCGCTCTTCCACATCATCTGTAAGAACTCAGTTTCATACCCTCGAATTTCTGGTATTAACCTTCTACTAGGTCGCTGAACCTGGCACTGTGTCGCCAAAACCCGCTACGAAACCAGAGGAGACTAAACGCACGCCTAAACCATCCCCGCTATCTCAACCTGTCTCTGCAGACCCTACTTCACCACAAACCTCACAGCCAACCCAGCGAGAACCACCCAAACTGGCGAGCCCGGCCTCGCAACGCCTGGCTGAGCTTTCGAGGAATGATGCACATCGACCTGGCAAATCACGGTTGAGGAGGGCCTTTTCGTTCGGAAGCGCCTCGGAACTCCTCAAGGCCTCGCAGAACAGCCACCGCAAAGATGGACTTTCGGTGGACAAGTCTCGCAGGGATATCTTGAAGGAAGAGTTGGGTGCCGAACATGCTGCCATTGCCGAACAGCAGGAAGCCAGTGGTCTGGGAGAAAGTATATACTCACATCACCAGGGCCGTATCTTCAATAGCTCAACGGATAACCTGTCCATCTCGTCAACCGCTTCCTCCGCGTCAATTATGCTACGGAAAATGGGCAAAGGGATGAAACGGTCCACGAGGTCGTTGGTTGGTCTATTCCGACCAAAGTCAGTGATCGCGTCGTCACCGGATGACATGGCGGCGCAACCGATGGCGCCGCAGGTGTCGGTTGTGAATATCGAGGCGGAAAGAAAGGGCGTTGCGGCGAATGCAGACCCTACAGATCTTCCACACGGCGGAACCGTGTTCCCCAAGGTCGAGTCCACTGTCCTCTCCGCTTCCGGCAAGGAGAACGACGATGCGGTGCAATCGCGTAAAAGCATTGTAGGAGGGGACCGAGAGCGCGCAGAGGTTCTCGCAGCTGTCAGAAAGGGTATCCTTAAAAGTGAGTCTGACGTTGAATACCCTGTCTTCGACACCGCAAGTTGCTAACGCTGTGTCATAGAAAACAATTCCGATATCGCATTATCCGCAGCTGCCAAGTCCGGCACGCATACAGAGAACGGCACCGACTCACCTCAGTCCAGTACGCCCAGCACACCGGAAGAACAGCCTCGAACCGGGATACGACGCCCGGACGCGGTTAAAATCGCCGGTGAAGATGAGATACCTGAAACAAAGAATGATTCCCTCGGACCACCGGTGGCCTCAAAGAGCCTCGTTTTCAGCCCTCGAATTCAGTTCCATGAGACGTGGCCTAGCGGAGAGTACGATCGTCGGGGAGATATCGCGACGTGCAACCGACTCACTCCACTTCTGGCTCAGCAGATCAAGGAGGAGCTGAATACGTTCAAGATGGTTAGTTATGCCGTCATCAGAATTGAAGTTAGGTTCGACTGCTAACTCATGACCTCAGGAGATGGAAGTTCACGAAACCTCGAAAATCTATACTCACTTTCTCTGAATGCGGCATTGCAAACGGCGTTCTCGTTCTCTTCGTTTCTGGTTTGTGATATAATTTCGACTGCGATGGATCTATGAAAGGGTGTGGTATCCACATTTGGCGTCTTGTAGACCTGGTTTATCTCTAGAGCAACTCGTTTTGGTTGCGCTGTCGGTCCCAGTTTGGTGTCGTGACCGGCTCGGTCATCTGGCATCGTCCGACCTCTCCCAGTTTGCGGATCACGATGTTGACTTCCTTGGTCCCTGATATATTCTTCTGGTGTTCCGGTCACAGCGCTCTCCCCTGATTCCTGGGATGGGGAGGGAGTTTCTTTGTGCATGCACTCCGACCTTATGCGGATCCAGCAGCGGACAGAATAAAAAAGAAAACGGAGCGATTGATTGTTGGAGACGCTCCAGCCTCGACCACGTCAGATCGTACGATATTGATCTACCTTGCGCTCAGGATTTTGGGCTTTGATCTATTCTTCTTTTTTCTATCCTGTCCCGGATCCAGTCACGTTTATGGATTTTTGTTTCCTTTTTTCTTCCTCGATACATGTTCGATTCATCCAGTCTTTTAATCTCGTCTTTGGCAAGCGTGGAACTGGGCAGTCCCATTATTGATCCTTATCTCACAGTATCTTCCTTTTCTGTTGCCGTCAAACTCGCACTGGCCGCTTTTATCATCGTGTGTTCGCGTTCTGGAAATCGATGCACTGGCATATCTCAAGCAGTTTGAACATCTGTTATCGACCGGTCTAATTGCAGCATATTTCAGGGCTTGCTTTCTGTCTTTATACTCCTGCTCTATCTGTTACTCGGCATTTGAACCTGTCTCCACGTTCTGTCGTTTCTCTCATGCACACGCTCTCATTTGTCTCATAGCTGTTGCTGGTACTGTATCTGGTTGGATGGCATGCAAACAAATCCATCTCTATTCATGCGCCTCACTGTCTTTCAAGTAGCACCGGTCTGTAATTCTCGCGGTTGTTTTCTCGTCAAAGTATCGGCCGAGGTAGGACCAAAGGAACACGCGTCGGAGTTAGACCGAGGGTCTACTTCAGTGTCCAGTTCAGGTCTGTGCCTTCGCTATACGAGAAGCAGCAGACTTCTATGTCAAGACCCAGTTTGAGGCCGAAGAGGTGAGCCTTCCAAGGTTGATGGATTGAGTTATCTACCATAGCATTCGCTGAAACAAGACGTATTGACCACTGTTAGCCCAAGCAATTGTGCACAACAATCCGGATCGCTATCGTGACCCCAACATCGATTCCTTCACTTTACTCCGTATTGATGGAGTTAGGAGGGTTGGACTGTGGAGGACTGATGGTTGGTGCGGCATGCCTACGCTTTTCTCCATGGCGAAAGGTTATAGTGACTTAGGCACACTCATGACTCTAATCTAGAAAGCACTGCTGAACGAAACACACTCCCGCCAGCATTCCAAATTCGCTCAGATTCTTATGGAGTTGGGCTAGGAAACCCGAGCCTTTGCAAGCCTACGTCTCCTTCAACCTCCGTCTCCGTACAGCTAGAAGAACAGCAGCAGGCTTTCAGGTCTAAACCAGAATGGAGGATTAGGATTTTGACTGCTAGGCTGACTTGTTCTGCATGCTTTGTTAGGCGCCCAAAGTCTTTGAGCGCGGCTGGGCATGGTGATACCCTCTGTTTTGGCCTCATTGTGTCGTGTCTTAGGGCTTCCTTTCACCTGCGTGCGAACTTTCTTTACTGGCTACGCAGCCTTGTTACCTTCGTTGTCCCTGTTGAGCTTTGAGCGGAGAACTCTATTCTGGCTGCCCTCTATTTAAGTTGACTCATCTCCTGCTCTTTTCGTTTTCTTCCCCAAATCCCTCATCGACAGCACCGTGAGCACCACAGCCCTCCTGACGTCTCTTTTCATTTCAACAATAATCCATCATACCTACCCAGTCAATCACCCAACATACCTCCACTCAACAATCTCACTTCCAAAATGGCCAATCTTACCGTCCCCGACATCCCTGAACCCCAGGCCGGGAGTGAACCCCAGGCCCTAGCCACCACCACCTCCCATTCCCCCTCCCACTCGTCCCTCCAAGTCGAAACCCAATCCGAGACCCCAGGCAACGAAAACGAAACCTCCGCCTTGCACGGGAAAGAGCGCAAGCGCACGCGCCTCGTCAGGGGTCTCAAGAAAGTCGGCAAGAAGCTCTACAAGCCCGCGCGCCCGGTCCTGATTGCCCTTGCGGCTGTGGGCGGGTGTATTCTCGGCGCAGCCGCCATCCCGGTTGTGCTCGCGGCGGAAATCGTCTTTAGTGTTTTGGTTATCGTGGGCAAGATCCTTGCGCCGCTTGTGATGGTTCCGTATGCGGTTTTGAAGATTTTTTTTGGATGATGAGTGAGGGGCTTATTGGATGGATCTGACTGGTGGCTCGGTAGATACGGAGCTTACCAGTCGGATGGAGGGGAATGTGCTGGGTTGGAATAGATGGGCTATAGACTGTATGCATACTGTCTCTTTTCTACATATTAGCATTTGTTTATGTTCGGGTTTTGTTTGTGAGCGTCGGTTCGTTTGGCTTGGCTTGTTTTTCTTCGCCTGGTCTAGTTAGTTAGGGTTAAGTATAGAATGGGACTACTTTGACCTATATCTTCCTACATTGATGATCATAGGGTGCTGCTTCATGTAGAATTTCTTTTCATTTCTCTTTTCCAGTGACGGAAGGGTACCTAGGTAGATGAACCGAGTGTTAGGTACATTGTAACACTTGGAGTACGTTGATGGGATGTCATTGGAAGAAGCGGACTGGAGGCTAAGTAGCCGCGGACTCCCCTTCGTCTTGACGTCCAAGTGTCCTATCATGATGCCAGACCCGTCTAATTATCTCCCGACGTCAAGACCTATACCATGCCCAGAGTCAGAAGGCCTTGACTTGCTAGTCTAGGACATCTGATCTAGACGGGCCAAGCACTCCCCAAAGCCCACTGGCTCCTAGGATCTCCAACAAAAAACCTCGCTCTCCCAGCTCAGCCCGAAGGCGTGTGATCTCGGGATGATCCTGTACATCAGCACAAGAGGCCTTGACCACTACGGCAGGCCTTGAGACCTCCTCCCAATACCCCCGATTCGCGGCATAAACCGTCTGCCAATCCACCCCTGCTTTAGCAAGAGCAGCAGTCACCAGGGTAAGTGTATCCTCCCAACCCTCCTGCTGCTCCTGGAACAGCGTCGGCGGAAATGTCTTGTAGCCCGATATAGCACGAGGGTCAACGATTTCCACTTTTCCTGCGTATCCCTTTCCAGGTAGACATTCGAGTAAAGCCTCAAGAAGAGAGACTGCTTTGTTGTGGTCTTCGAGAGGCGCACGGATGTAGAGGGTGTTGTCGGCCGCAGAGGCACGCTGTCCTTCTGTGATGCGGGTGCACATGTAGATGTTCTCCCAGATTATACCTGATGTTTTGAGGAGCTCGAGGACGAGATCGTCTGCGGCTGGTGGTAGATTTGCATTATCTCCGATGGAAGGCCCGGTTGTTATCGGCCATGGGGGGAGTTTGCCAGGCCCGCCTATTCGATAGGGATCGGTTGTGTCCATTTTGAGGTGAGGACGTCCGCGGTAGGGCTTGGACGGGCAATTGGTTTTGATTCTCGCTCATTGTGATGATGAGCGTTGGATTGTAAGAATTGAAAGAGAGTAGCTAACATGGGACCGGGCTAGAGATGATTTGCTAGGAAAGAGCGGCCCGGAATTAGGGCTCCGAGCCCTCCATTGTCACCCTGCAAAGTTTACTCGCAGCAAACATCCCTAGCCACTCGTTATATTTTACACAAATCTTATATATAGCTCCCCCTCTTCGATAATGTCATCTCTTTCATCTCCCAACCGACCACCATGGCACGCACAATGGCAGAGGAATACGCCCGTGGAGGCGAATCTCAATCTCAATCCTCAGCCCAACCCTCCCTCGTCCCCGAACCTGATCTTGCGGCCTCTGCAACGCCCACCCAAGCACACGAGAGGCGCTCGAATCCTCCAGTAATATCATACAGCGATCCTTTTCGTCCCAGTTCCTTGAGTGACCCGGTTTCTTTCTCCCGCAGCTCTGAGACACAAGACAGACAGACGGAAAGAGAAGGACAACACGGATCCCGGCTCCAAGTCCCTCGGCGTCAAGGGATTGCGGCTCAGACGCCGCAGACTGAGCGGATGAGTTCTGCGGTGCCTGCTTCTGCTGGGACTGACGATGAAGGCCCTTACGCGGGACTCGTGAGGGTTGGGAGCTCGCGGCGTAGGAGGGCGCCGCTCGCGCCGACTACTGGGGACATCGCTAGGTTGGACGATCGCACGCTGCGGACATTACTCGATGAAGCCCCTGTTGTGCAGTGTCCTCATTGTGGGAGCCATTTCCCGTATCTGCCTGAGGCTGCTTAGGCATCGCTGTCTTGCGTATTTTCTGCTGTGTTCTCGCTGCAATTTGGCCAAGGTGAATGTACCACACTTTAATATGGTTGGCTAGGAACTGCTGTATTATGCTTTCTCTTGGAACTCTGTCTGTAGTCACAAGCTAAATGACGAATGTACAAGTTGTTGCTCTGCTCGGGTGAATATCCGCTGTCTGTCTTAGACCTTAGCTGTAGTCTTCATTCACTCCATCCTTGTACATCACCATTCACCATTCACCAACTTCACCACACCCAGCAGCGAACTATATCACAATGAACCTCCGCAAGCTCAAGCTCCTCCCCCAGTCTCCCAGCGACTCAACTCCCGCATCGCTCCCCTGTCCCACTTTCCCACAAGAACAGCGTACAAAATCTCCGTCCACTTCAACCGAAGAAGAAGAAGGGTGGGAGGAAGAAGACGAAGAAGAAGAACAATCAGAACACAGCGCAGACCTCGACAGCAACGCCCCAGAAAACATGCGCGAGGCCATACTCCAAGGCGTCAACGACGTCAAAGACAGTCAGTCTTCTTCCCCTCCTGATCCTCATCCTCCCACCTTGAACCTCGGAGTAGATCAAAGATTGACGAGACCCAACTGCAATAGTGCTCGGACAAATCCTCCCCTTCCAAGAACCCATCGAGCGCGGCCAGGGTCATCGACGAGATTTGGGTTTCGTGCGCCCTAAGCGTACGTCCCCTCCCCATCTTTCCCATACAATAATACCTTAGGGTATTCGTCCCGTATCCGTGCTAACATGCTTTCTCGTGATAGCACCCAATCCTTGGGCAGTCTGGAGATTCGGGATAGAGACCTCGATTGTGGCGATCGTTCTTGTGGGCGCGTTTATCGGCGTCCTTGTGAATCTGTTCTATATTGGGTTGATATTTGGCTGGTTGTGGGCGCACTATGATTGGGCGGGTTGGGATGTTTGATTCTTTCTGTCCGTTCACTTTCAATGTCTTTCCAGTTTACGTTTGGGTGCTTGCAGGCCTTATCCACTTAGCCTATCTTTGTGCGGCTGTATTTGAGGTCGTTAGTAGACATGTGCCTCTATCCAGCTCGACAGCTTCAGCGCATTTCACCCTGTTATATGTTCTCGTTAACGAGGACCTCTACGTGGAGTAGATAGACGCGTTTCAAGCATTGGATTATAATACTGGGAATCGTTTAGTTCCATTAGCTGGAGTCCTGTTCCTGTTTCGAGTCATAGTCAAAGTGAGGGTCGGAATAATCCTCCGCTTGACTCACTTGTACGCTCTCTCCTTACGTATAACGCGCAATCCGTGTCCCCTTCATCACCATCCATCTCTACCTCTGCCTCTAGAATCCTCCTGAGCGTCGCATCTGCAATTCATTAAAACTCCAAAGCCTGCGACTCGCCCTTCTCTGCTTTCTTTGCCCAGTACCAGGTATCACGAGTCCGCGAACAAAATGGGGTCCCTCCACTCCTACTTGCGCCTTCACCCCCACAAGCCAGACGGTTTCATTGACATTGACATCGGTACGTATGACAACCTCTCTCTTGCCCCCCTCTGCCAATCTACCTAGCTAACACTCAACCGCCAGAAAAACAACCAGAAGCAAAGCAGCCAGAGCCCGCATGCGCGGCCACAGAACCGCCCTATCCAATCTGGAACACCTGCAAGAACGCATTCACGTTCATTGGCACCGTGATATTCGCGCTGGCGCTACTGCTCGGTTATATTATGCTTAGCTGGTTGATTGTCAGTGTATTCCTGGTTACTGTGCATGCTATCCTCAAACCGGTTCTTGCGGTTTGGGTTGCGTGGAGGACGGGGCCTGGGACTGCGGTTTCTTGGGCCTGGGGGGATTCGAGGATGACGCTGGTTGCGGGGTAGACTGGTGTAGTATGATCTCTTGGAGGTGGAATGCTTAGGTATTGTGCCTGGGAAGAAGAGGGTGCGAGTTAATGGGATGTTTTGGGAGCTCTCCAGTTTTTGGTGTTTTGTTCTTAGGGCTTTACCGTACCTCCAAACCTCTCACTCAGAATAAGACCACCAACGATTTGTAGCTAGAGCCTGTGCTAGGATTCCCGTCTCATATGAGTATCGTAGTGCCTCATGCCGGAAGTGAGTTGCGGACAGGCCGGAAGGGACCTCCGCTTCCACAGTCTCACTCACCTTGGTACTTTCATTTCAACGCCCGTGCCTTCTTCCCTTTGCAAGAATTTGATATTTGTATCCACTGCTTCGCATTCTCCAGCTCGGTTTCCCGGTAGGAGTGGCCACCATGGCGTCTGCAAAAATCAACCCAGGGTCTTATAACCTGCACCTCAAAGACAAAGTATTCGACATCGACATCGGCACGTACCCCTATATCCCCCTTCTCCCGCCCTCTCCATCTCAGAATCCAACGCTAACACCCACCAAGAAAAAGACCCCGACGCAACACAACCGCCAACGACGCCCTCGCCAGACGCAGAAGCAAAATGGAACTGGCGTGCCGTCGTGCGCGCGTTCTGTATCGGAGCGCTCTTCGTCAACTTGCTCATGACCGCTATCAGCTTTTCTATGATAACGTATTTGACTGCACGGCTGGTTTTGTCGTGTGAGCTTGAGATTGCGGCCGAGGGAATTCCGCCTGCGAATGGGACGGTGGGTGTTTGGTCGCTCCCCCTAGGGGGCTGGGAGGTTCGGTGGAGTTCGAGTTCGGGGTGAGCTGGATGGATTCCCAGTGTTGTCAGTTTTCTATTGTGAGGCCTGATGGTATTGAAGGGGAGGGGTGGCTGCGTTTAAAGATTTCGATGTTCAATGGATAGGGTACCCTATACTGGGCTCGGTTGATGCGTTTGGATTTAGTACCTGATACCCTACAGAATGCAGAGCTTGTTGACTCAATTCTGAAGTACAAGAGTAGTCTGCCTCATCCATCTTGTAGGCAAACGGGCCACGGCCTTTTCTTGATATAGTAGAAGCTTCAACCGGCGAATGCCACATGTATCAGACTTTGGGTCGGAGGCCAATCCCGGTTGACTCACCTGCCATGCCATATACCCTGATCTCAGTCCTTCCCATACTCAGCACACAATCACCCTACCATCTCAATAATAACCGGCCTCCTAGGTGTCCCACATCTGCTTGGGTACTAAAACAATCAAACATCATGGCCATCACTTGCTCATCCTTGCGGCGTAAGCACCGAAGCCACGACCTCAGTATGTACTACTAGCCCCTATGCCTATTCCATTATCAAACAAAGCTAACCCACCCAGGAAAACTCGCAGAGCAGCCATCAAATACACCCATCTCAACCGCCTTCAAGCTGGAGAATGGCGTTGACGTTGTTGCCAACATAACTCACCTGCTCTTCGAGCTCCTCTTCTTCCTGGTGTTGTTTTCGATGGTCGTGCTGGTCTTCCTATGGGCGGCGTATGGTATCTGTCGTGAGATGTGGCGGATCGTTTCTCCAGCTGTGAAGCTGACTGTGAATAATGCGGGCGTCGTGGTGTCGATTCCTAGGCTCAGAGATGGGCTATAATTGCGTCCGGATGGAGTACGATTTTGTCGATTTGCCCTGTGGTTGGGACGAATCCCAACATGGAGCTGTTTCGAATCATGGTTCAGTTCGTCTTCACTTGATTCAGTCCTGGTCTTATTATGCTTTGCTTGTTGTCCTCTAACTAGAGTGGGTTTTATTGAATGATTCCCGAACATTTGAATCGAATTTTCCCTTCCCATCTGCTTCCATTGCTCTATGAGTAGCCTTGCCCAGCATCGATTAAATCTCATATTCCCGCGGGCTTCCCACAGCCAGACCATGGCCCGGCTTACTCTAAATGTAGCAGCTGAAAGCCTTCTTTTTCGTCTAGTCAAGCAATTGCTGCCACTTAACAATCACATAGCTTATCATCTGTGTGATATAGACGCATGAACGCACCTAGGAAGGCACCAAGTCGAAAGCAATGCTACTATAGTAATTCTTGGCTATTTTCGGGGCTACTCAGGTTAGCCCTAAAGCCCTAAATAACGCTCCCGGCTAGCATGGATCTTCGACCAGCTCTTATTTTCAGAGCATCTCTATGCCCAGGTGTAGTATGCTGTGGCTGGAACTACATTCCGACCGGCCAGTCCAAAAAGAACTTAGACCCTTCTGGAACCACAACCATCTGGCCCGGAATAGCAGAGCCGCTGCTTTGAAATCAACTTGCCCTTTCGCCGCCTTCCACCCGCCTACAAAAGCCTCCTTTCCCCTCGATCTCTCCTTCCTTCCTCCAACTGCGGGCACCTCCCCAGCCTCCCCTCCCCTTATCACTAACTCACTGACACATGTATAGGAGGGTAGCCATCATCACGAGTACCCTAGGGACCGTGCATGCCAGGGGCCCCCTGCAGCGCCCATCCAAGCGCGACGAACAGTCTGTGGCCCAGTCTGTTCGTCGTGTCTTGGGTTGGTGGCGTAGGGGTCTCCTGTGTCTGAGCTTCCATACGAGGTAAGTACTCAGTAGACTATGTATGAATAGGGTACCCTGCTGCGCTGTGTCCAAGGGCGACGAACTGGCTCATAAGCATGGTCATCCGGGCATGATTTGGGCTTGTTCGTCGTGCTTGGGTGCGGTGCGCAGGGGACCGCTACGTTCATACAAGGTTTGGATCCCGGAGTATACTTCCGTAGACTATTTTTTTTTGGAATTGTAAGCAGATGGAAGGACGTGGAATGAGGTAGCTACACTATGTTCATGTGCGATCAGCAAGATTAGAAATTGAGAGACAATCACCCCCATTTCAAGGTCCTCACTGGTAGGCGGCTGGACTTGCCCTTCGGACTATGCGTCTACTGTTCGTCGAATTCTGTCATGGTGTTGCTTGGTTTCTCATATGTGTATAAGCGCCTTTTCCTACGGCCGTAATAGCCTCATCTGTATAGCAAACATATGGCCCGGGCCCTTTTTGGTTCTGCCCTGGTTCCTAGGTCCTACTCATTACAGTAAGAGGTCCATAAACTTCCAAGAAGCAAGGCCCGGATCCCAGGTCCGACATCATCCAGTGTGGCGGTGGGATATACCTCCGGCATTTCAAGCCTCAATGATTTTGACTCATTCATTCATCTCTATTTATTTCGAGGCCACCCATTACTTTGTCGTTTTTAATATACCCTAATATCCATAGTCACTCTGACGTCCTCCACCGCGAACTCTTGCCTCCCTGCATATCCATTATAAGACTGCATGCAAGTTACATCTCCAGAAGTACCTCAACGTCTATGATCATGGCGATCGTCACGCATACTGCCTATACCAGCGTGCAGGATCCAGAGCCAGAGCTGGACCTCGGTAAGTCATCCTATCTCCAAACTCCCATGGTAGCTTTTGCATTCTGCTTGCGAGCTATCCTAGCCTTACGACATATCTGACACTATCTCAAGAGGCAGGCCTGCCCTTGCAAGACTTCAAGCCCGCATCCGCATCCCATCCCCTCCTCCCATCAACGCCCACAGCAACCCAAATGCCTTCAGTAAATGCGCAGACTGAACACCAAACCACACCCGAGCGCAACGATCAAGCATTTCTCAAGTCCACACGGGCCTCTTTTCTATCTGCCTTGGCCAGATTCGAGGACGTTTTGCACTCCACCGCGAGCAAATACAAGGTCGTTTTCAAGGCCGCTGCAGTTATACTAATGACTCCTTTCATTATCACCACGATAGTGCTCGCGGCGTTCATTGCTTCTATTCTTGGCATTGGGGCATTCAATATCATTCTCTGGCTCCTTTCGCCTCTGCTGGCTGTTTTTGGTGAGGTTGTTATGTGGTTGATGGCGGGGTGGGACTTGAGGTCTTAGGTATCTTTGGGTGATTAGGGCTAGGGACTGCGGAGCATAGAGAAGGATTCGACTTAGGTTGAGGCATGGGCTGATATTGGGATTGCATTTATCTGGAATTTGGCGTTCTATTTTCGTCTGATGCGTTTAGTTCTTGTTATAGTCGTGCTTGAGAACTTGATCCTCTCGAGTGTTAGGGTTGGCTCGGGATATCCCCCCGACTTGAGTCACAATCTCGATCTTAGCGCTGCACTCACTCTTTGACTTCTTTATATTCCCAAGTGCAGTTTCTAGACTCCCCATTTTCATCAAGCGCGTTCTTGTTCCGTTACTGGTCATACACTGAAGTCCTCGAGGGCTACTCCCACCATTCAACACATAAATCCGCAGCCGCATCCATAGCCAGCATGCAGGTGATAGCCAGCAGCATTTCATCCAACTCCAGCTACGCCCAGGTCCAAGACCTAGAGCCAGATCTAGGTATGCCACTTTCCGCTTATTCTCTGCCTTGATACTTGATTTTCCGTTTCTATCTTTCCTACCATATTAGGGTACTCAAAAATACTCTCTACAGAGACAGGTCTATACGACCCCCCAATCTCGCAGCCCTCCAATCCAAACCCTCTATCCCACGAGACCTCTCCCGCAAACGAATCCCTACCCGAGCAACCTACACCCCCTACAACCCCAAACATCGAGCAGCTGTCCCTAGCCTCGCCCGAGCCCGAAGCCAGACCCGTCCGTCCACGCATCTTCGTCCCAGGCCTTCGACGGTCCCTCCCCAGCAAGGAAAATATGCTTACCGTATCCATGTGCATCGCCAGACTCCTCGCGGTTATATTCGGCTTGATTGCGGTGGCAACGCTGTGCGGTATCCTTGTTGGGCCTGTGGTGGTTCTTGTTAGCTTGGTCGTGCAATGGGCTTGGAGGCTTATGGGTGTCCCGGTATCTCCGGATTCTGGAGCGGGGGGTAGTTAAGGAGAGTTGATTGAAGGCTGCAATATTTGGAGTTACGGGTTGCGATGGTTTTAGTGCTTGTTTGTTGGGATTTGGTTCGTTTTGCTACCATAGGGTAGGGTGTTGCGAAGTCGGCCCTGTTTTTGGTTCTTTTTACCCTCTCATGCTGTTTTGAACTGTAGCAAGTGAACACTTCTACAGACCGCGTTTCAGGCGTAGTCTGACAATGACTATGGTATCAATCCTCGTGGCGTCTCGCCTGCAACCACGTGGGCTATGTCCAGGATGAGGGGAGATAGGTAGGATCTTCGGTTCAGCTGATTTTGCTCTTGGACTATCGGAGCATTACCTACCTAGCATGACCTCAGGATCTTTACCATGCTTCCTTTATGCTCCTGGACGTAGATTCTGTATGTGCAAGAGCCACCCCAGGGACATCTATGACGCCATATCATCAAGGAGGAGGCGTCACCGGGGCATTAAACTTTGCATCGGGGTGAGCTTCCGGGTTTCTGGTGACGAATATCATAAAAAGCGTCGAGGTCCTCTTTACAGCCATCTATCCATTAGTAGCAAGCCTTGACGGGTTCTTACAGACATAGAGAAACACTCAACCTGCCGATATACAACTCTCCAGGTCGAGTCTCCTACAACCGGACTTCATCGAATCTAGATCGCGACCTAGGTGTGCTTCACCTATCCCATCCCGCTCATGCTATTCTTCTCATTACGAGCCAAATCTAACCACCTACGTGCATACGTAAAGAAGCAAGACTACCTCAACCCACGCAGAGCCCCCTGCCCAACAATACACAGCCCGAACAGCCCACACCTCTACCCGAGAAAGCCATGTCTGAAAGCGAGAAGCAGCATACAGCCGAGCTGGAGCCCGAAACTCATCCCTTGCCGTTCCCCAGTCTAGACGAGGACCCCGGGACATGGGAGCTGTGCGTGACGACTGGCATTGCGGTGTGCGCCATACTTGGTGCGGCGATGATTGCTTCGATGGGAGTCATGGCTATTGTCTTGGGCGTGAGTGCTGCGGCGAAACTTTTGGGGCTTGTTTGGTTGAGGATGGCGTGTTTGGTTTGATGGTGTGTCGTTTTAGTTCTGGTGGGAAGCATGAGGCTTGGTCTCTTGGAAGTTTTGCATTGGATTTAAGGGTTTGATATCTGGTTTTCCTGGGTAGGGTAATGGCTATACACGTATCCCGTCTTAGGTATACACCCATGGGGTACTCGCTCGACCTAGATTGAAATTTAATGCTGATTTCGAGTCCTCGGACGTGTATGGTATCAACAATTAGTCTTCCTGAATTGATTCCCTATCAAATGCGTCATACACAGGAGCCCAAACTCTAAAGGTGACCTGAGTAACATACTTTCAGCCTTCAATGACTCCAACTCCCATCCTTCTCTCCAGCATACACCACTTCGCGCTCAACCTACTCTCCCATCACACTCGACCCCCATCTATCATAAACCCAGTCGGAGTCTCAGTTCAGACCAGCTCGACACACCATGGCACCCCAACCACCCCCCCAATGCCCCGACGCCGACTTCATGCTCTTCGGCCTCTCCACGATCCTCCCCGCAACCCTAGGAGCTCGCGGATCCCCACGCCGTACGTCTGCCCCAGCCCTTACCAAGCAAAACTAACAAGACAACATAAACAGACAAAGAGCAAGACCCCGACCTTCCATTCACCTACGCCGAAAGCGACGACGACGCCGACGCCGACGCCGACGTCGAAATGGGCCTTCTGGCCTCGACCCGGGCCTTCGGCAATGAGTTCCGCGGAGGAGGGCCCGCCCCGCCCGGTGTAAGATTCCAAGGTGCGTCTGTGACATGGCTGGTGGATGAGTGGACGTGTTGACGGTGATGCTAGAGCACGATCAGCCCACTGTGGCCTGGCGCTATGTTTGTCCGCTGGTTGGATTGTTCGTTCTGCTCTTCTGTGTGCTGGTTGTTGTGCCGGTGTTGGAGATGAGTAAGCCTTATATGGATGGGGATTTGAAGCCGGCGATTAAGATGTAAGGGACATCGGCGTTGGATGGATGCCTGGGATATTCCTATGGTATGGTAATTTGCTAGCTAGGATTGGGATGGTGGAGGCATTGCTTTGGAATATTGATTTTGCTGATCAGAAGATTAGAGGCAGAAGCTCGCTTATAATCCTAAGCAGCATTTCCTAAGCCTGAGACCTCTTGATTTCGGTGTTGTCTTCCTTGTAGCACCTTTTCTTCTCATCCTATAGCTCCTCGTAGTCGTTTCCTTGCTGCTCTTTGGCTCGGCAAACTAGGTAACCTTGAACTTGGTTAGCTGCCACTGGAGGAACTGGGTTTATGCAAGGCCTAGGTCGTGCCATAGCCAATCGGCACAAGCCAGCCTTCTACGATGTGCTTATGTAGCTCCATCTCCGTGATTTGCGTGGCATGGTGATGGAGGTGAGGTAGATACCATAGGTATAATAGAGAGTGGGGCCCCTCGACTTAGGGCTCGGGATCCACCTGTCTCCTACCATGCCTACGGAATATGGTACCTACCCAGGTAGTGCTGATTATCCACACTACTCCCCAAAGCCATCGCTGAAGCAGAAGAAGTGCAGATAAAGACGGTTAAGACTGTTCTCGTGTCGTCCCAGGTTGATTGCAGAGCTTGGATGTCCGGACGTGCGACGTGAAAATGGGATGGGAAGGGGAGATGTGCACACTGTGGACTCCGTCGAGGCAATAGAAATGCATATTCATGGATGCAAATGGCTGAAAGATTCAGCCGTCTCTGGAAGAGGATCTCTCTGTTCTCTCGTAGCCACTTGTGGTCTAGGTTAGTCCTAAGCGTATTATTGTCCTGCGGATGAACTTGGAAGTTGAGGGGCGGCGCATGCTCGCCGGACCTGGATAGCTTCAAATATCCTTCTTCTGGCCGTGGCCATACTTCTCTCCCAAACGAAGCAGTTAAGCATACTTTGTTTCTCACGGCCTCAGATATTGTTTTTCTTTTGCTCGCTTTCATCTTTCGATAAGGTGGCGTTAGACTGAGGCGAGGAGACGGTTTTACATAACGGAATATGAGTATAGGGGGCCCTACTCGGATTTTGATGCTCAGACTCAGTCAGGCTGCGTTTCATGCACCTGCATCTTCTACGACAGGCTCAAAGTTGACCTCTCGGTTCGGCCCGTTTCTGCCTGTCTCTTTCTCCTCTTTCTCCTCCGGCTCCTCCGGGGATCTTCTCAACTCCCGCTTCTCTCACCTGTCGCATCTCTCCTTATCCCATTCTCCATCTTACCACTCTCTATCGATACTATCACTTACTTCATCCTCATCTTTACCTTCTGATCGTCTCTATCGTCATCTCATTCTTACCTCCTCACGTTCTCGGTTCTCCGAAATTCCGGTCTCATCTCATCTCACTTTGAAACGCGACGCACGACAGAGTCGGCTCAAAACCTCCTTCTTCGCCTATACTGTATGTCTCACCACGGACACATATGCTTCAACACACAGGCTCACCGTCTCAGATACTCGGTGTTACGTCTCTGTCTTCTACGTCACTATATATCCGTCTTGTGTTCAAAGGCCAGCGTCCGGCGGCTCATCTCATGTCCATACCTATACCGTTCCTCACAAGTCATCAACCATCTGGGCATATCTGCTATGCTTACCCCAGTCCTCCTACGGTGAGTTCAATGCCATAGCTCCCTGACCAGAATCGTCAGTTCGTCAGCTAACAATGCGCTCTCACAGCAAGCCTTCTTGACATCCGCCTGCCAAATCCTCCTCTACCTGCGATCAACAACTATACACGATCTCCATGGCCTTCAGTAAGCGACCAGGTCCCTAGAGTCTCCTCAATTGTCCATTCCTGACCCTCGCTTGCCTAGTTCCCCAAGACGTCGCGGCCGGGGAGCCCGACCCGGATGCCAAAAGCTTGTATTTCCATCCCATCGCCGAAAAGCGACTAGAGGCCGCGGTCCGCCACTTCATCGACCCATCACGAAAGCTCATAAAGCGAATTACCGACGAGGAAAAGCACAATCTGCGACCCCGAACCAATAAACCGGCACCGTCTACCTGGCGCGATACAGACGACAGTGAGGATTACGTTCCCGCGGGAACGAGATCGAAGCGGAAGCGCCAGGAGACATCGACATCGGACAACGAGACCGGCCGTGCGAAGAGACGATTGAGATCTGCTGGGTTGGATCCTAAGGAACTTGTGATGGCAGGTAAAGCTGCCAGCGAGGGATTCAACGATGCGAAGATGGCGGCGGATCACAAGGAAATTGCGGACCAGGGCCAAGTTCCTGTCGACGCACCTCAGGACGTTGATCCTCGGCCCGATGAGGAGCGACTCGCGGCCAACAAGAGGGCTGACAGCGAGGATCTTGTCGATACAAACGCGGGTACTATGGAAATCGATGCCACTGAGGGCGCTGCAGAATCTGCTGCGTTAGAGCCGAATGAACCAGCGACAAAAGAGGTAGTTTCTGAGCTGGACGTAGAGAAGATGGATGTCAATGCTACAAGCCAGGGCCAGGGTTCTGCGGATCAGTCTCAGGTTGAGGTCCGTCTACCAGGTGGCGAGGAAAGCTCGGGAGGGGAGCAGTTGCAGACTGATGATCAGGACTCTGACGAGGCTTCCATGAAAATCACCGTGAGCGCAGGATTCATGGCTGCCTTACGTCCGCTTGAAGAGGCCGACGACCTCATGGATGACCTCGATATATTTTCTGCAGCCGACAAACTGCTGGCCGAGTTCACAGTACAGGCTGGGCTTGATGGCCTGCAAAGTGACAGCGAAGCTGGTCGAAAGGTCGAGGAGTTGGATGGAGACGATGTCAAGACTAAGAAGCATCCCAAAGACAGTGCCATTGAAGGACGGTTAAAAGCGAACAATCTCTCGGCTACGCCCGAATCCCACGGAAAAGACGCGTCAGAGGATGCTGAACAGGACGCGAGCGTGAAAGACTCCGCTGGCCAGCCGCAGGTTTATGAGCCTGAAGTGCAGCCATTAAATGGTGGTGCTAAGAAGCCTGGCGATGATGGGAATTCGAATGGGAAACCTGACGATACGAGCACAGTCCAAACACCTACAGAGGAAGCCACCGGACAGTCAATTGACTCTCCGAGGGTCGCAGAGCCTGGTGGAGAGAGCTCGAATGTAGCAGATACTCCAAACACTGTCAAGGCTCTTCAGAACACCGGGTTGGAAGTCACCAACACGGCTCTCGCGAGTGCCAGTGGGGCGGACGCAGAACAGTCGACAAAGAAGACTGAGACGGTCCAACTGAACACTACAACCGTATCTTCTGCATCGTGCTCATGGTGCAAAGACTTTGCGTACGGCCTCGTGGGCTTCGATAGTGGCCAAGAAGGGCAGATGTGCGAGACCTGCGCAAAGGAACGTGACACCATCACGAAGTGCCCAGGTCATCAGACCGCTCCTCTGGAGGACCTCTACCCGCAAACATTCGACTTCAAAGCAGCATACGACACCTTAATCCCTGATCCCGTCCTCGGCGAGCGGGTCGAAAGAAATAAATGGTGCAGTGTCTGCCCGACACCTGCGTTTTTCCGTTGCTCAACGCCGATCCAAGATGGAAAGTCTGCGAAGACAGTCTCCGGGTGCGGGCTCTTGCTATGCGAGTCTTGCAATATTGTCATTGAGGTGGTTAAGACTATTTCTTTGGTAGCCGCCAAGAATCTGGAGGACGATCTTATTGGAAATCGAGCGGACGTTTGTTATCTTCTGCGGGGAACGCGTATATAAACAGCGAGAAGGAGAATCTCGAGATATTTCTGCCATTGGAAGGAGATGAACATTTTTGATTGAGCTCCATTTATTATTAGTGAGTTTACAACCTGGTAAACTTTGAAAGCCAGTGAATAAAACATGAAAGGAAAGAAAGTTGAAAGTTGAAGCTATTCACTGAGACAGGCAGGAGATGACTAATCCGGAAAGAGGTTCCCCCAGTCCCGGTAGAATCAAATTTGACTGACCTCACCGTCCACTGGAGCGACTGAGCTTTCTCTTGTGTTCTATTGGGGCTCTGGGCCGATTTCTGCCAGTATCCGCCCTGTTTGCTGCCTCGACTTCTTCCCACTGTGCTACCTAGAGCTGCCACGCGCGCGGCTCGCTTCACGACGTCTTCCACAAAGCGCCGCAAGGTAGCGGAGCCTCGCAGACCAGGAGCCCTCCCGGGTTTGTCGTCTGCCTCGCAGGCCGGAAGACGTCACGCATCCTCTTCCTCTCGCTCACCGTCGAGACCTCGTGCTTCTCCCACCTCCGCCTCGAACCGCAGTCACACCTCCTCACCGTCCCCGCCGCCTCGCTATATCCCCGCCCATCTGCAAGACGAAGTGTTGGGGACCCGACCCCAAGCCAACACCGCTCGCTTACCGACCCCGGATTCCCCCACGAGCACCGTCGACTATCCTTCGGCTGCCTGTGCGGGCCTCAGCATCGTTAGCGATCCTGCGACCGATATGTCAGGCTCGGAAAAGAGAGATGACAGCGTCCCGCCGACCGGGCGCGAAGCCTCGCCAAGTGCGAAGCGGGCTGCGCCCGAGGCTGAGCAGGATGTCGAAATGAGCGTCGACCGAGAAACGCAATCGCGTTCCGACAACCCCGACCAGATGGACACGACGGGCTCTGATGAATCTACCGGAAACGATGGAAACTCGCCGTCCGACAACGCCTACCAAACGCCGTCCAGCATGTCGACCTACACTGCGCCCGTTGCCGAAACGCAAGAGAACACCAAGACCGAAGCCTCTGTATCGCCTGACGAGCGCCCCTCTTACGATGACCAGGTCGCCCAGGTAACGCGCTTCATGATGCTGCCGCTGCAGGAAGACCAGAAGGGATTTGTGGTTTCGATGACCTGGATGAAGCGTGTTCTTGCACGGAGTTCCACCCACGCAGACAAGATAGACAAGACTGCCACGGAGGGCGAGATTGGTCCAGTCGACAACTCGGATCTTGTACTTGTTACTGACCCCGTCAACACGGGGCTCAAGGATGAGCGCGGCGAGCCGTTCATCCCCTTGCGTCCGGGACTGACGTATCAAGAAGACTATGAAGTTGTGCCTCAGGAAGGCTGGGATCTCATTATGGAGTGGTACGGCCTTGCAGAGCAGTCGCCAGCGATCGTTCGCTATGTCCACAACACCAGCCCGTTCGGCGCTCTGGAGGAGAACCTCCAATACGAAATCAACCCCCCGGTCTACACTGTCCTGAAACTCGCCAACCCACAGTCGGGAACTACTCCGGAGACCTTGCGAGACAAAGCGAAGTTGCCCGTCAAGACTTTGGCCAGCCGGCACGACAATTTTCAGAACTGGCTACGGAAGACAAAACAGTCGGTCAGCATTGATACTTCGCAGAAGGTTCGTGTTTGGAGAGTCTTGGGTGGCCTGGGCAGTGCCGCTGCGTCGGCCAACGTCACCCCAGCTGTGTCTCGCAGCGCATCCCCAGCCCCTTTCTCTCCCCTTGTTTCCAACGCAGGCAGCAGTTATGTCCTTGACCTGAATACATTCCTCTCCCTTTCAGAAGGGACCCAAAGAGAGCTACTGGATGTTCAAGATCAGACAGGCAATTCCAACTATAATGGTAAGAGGACGCTCGACGACGCAGGCCTAGGCGAACCGAGCGTCATCGTTCTCGAAGAGAGCGTGCCTGTCTCCGGTAGCAAGCCGCAATGGGTATCCGAACTGTCCCAGCAAGCTATGAACCGCCTCGGCGTGCCGTCCGGTAATACAAAGCCAAGCAAGCTGAAGAATAAGAGCCCGGCAACCAGCGGACGCTCGTCTCCGGCACCAGAGCCCATTCGGAAGACCCGTAAAGACGGCAAGCCCCGCGGCAACACCGGTCTCAGCAACTTGGGTAATACCTGCTACATGAACTCGGCTCTGCAGTGTGTCCGTAGCGTAGAAGAGCTGACTTATTACTTCCTCAGTAAGTGCCGTTAATCGTGCCAGTTGGGTCACTGCTGACTTGCGAAGACGATGTGTATAAGAAGGATCTCAACCCCAGCAATCCTCTAGCTCACAACGGCGAGGTTGCCAAGGCGTACGCGAACTTGCTGCGAAACATCTACGATGAAGCCGGCCCGGGGTCCTTTGCGCCGAGACAGCTAAAGAACACCATCGGCCGGTATGGTCCGGCGTTCTCCGGCTACGGCCAACAGGACTCGCAGGAGTTCCTTTTGTTTCTGCTTGACGGACTGCAGGAGGACTTGAACAGGATCCAGAAGAAGCCGTATATTGAGAAGCCCGATTCCACGGATGAGATGGTCCACAACAAGCAAGCGCTCAACGAGTTCGCCGACAAGTGTTGGGACATTTACAAGGCGCGCAACGATTCGGTCGTGACTGATCTGTTCGCCGGTATGTACAAATCGACACTTGTCTGCCCGGAATGCGACAAAGTTAGTATCATTTTCGATCCCTTCAACAACCTCACGCTCCAGCTGCCTATTGAGAATCTGTGGAGCAAGAGTATCTTCTACTTCCCCCTCCACCAGAAACCGATCATAATCGACGTCGAAATCGATAAGAACTCCAGCATCAAGGCGCTGAAGGAGCTGATCGCCAAAAAGGTGGACTCTGAACCGGAGCGAATGATTGTGTCGGAGATCTACAAATGTAAATTCTTCAGGATGTTCGACAATACCGGCTCGATCGCTGATTGGAACATTGGTGAAAACGATGATATCGGCATCTTCGAGCTGGAGTCGGTGCCAACGAATTACAACCCCGACAAGCCAACCAATCGTGGCTACTTCTCCCGTGCGAGCTACGAAGAGTTATATACCTTGGACTCGCCCAAGGCTGACCGGATGGTCATCCCCATTTTCAACCGCCATGACGACAAGAGAGGATTCCGCACCTCGCGTCAGTTCTTCGGCGTGCCTCTGTATGTCGTCATTAACCGGGAGGAGTTGACGGATTACGACGCCATTCTGCGCAAGATCCTCGCTGAAGTTGCCACAATGACGACGAGGGACTTCCTCAACGAGCAGACTCCGGATGAGCAGCGAGATGCTGCAGAAGATTCAGACACTGTTATCATGAATGAAGACGACGCAGAGTCTGGCGACTCCAAGATCAAGACGGCGTCTGTTGATGGCGAGGAAGGCATGGTGGATGTTTCCATGCGTGATGCCGCCGACCAAACAGACGCTGAAGAGTCTACTCCAGCCTTCGAGAGCTCGATTCCCGCACGATTCCATAGTCTTTTTGACATCAAGACTGCGCGAACGACCGATGCCGTTCCTACTGGTCATACGTCCATAGATGAGCACAAAGAATATAACTTGATGAAGTCTCGGATCCAGAAGCCCACCGTCACAACGGAGGCGGAGAAGGATGATGAAACCAAAGAAGAAGACGAAGAATCAGACGACGAAATTGACATGCTGACTGAGCGTACGACCACGCCGAAGCCGAAACCTCAACGACCCCTGATCAACCCTGGCGAAGCCATCGTGCTGGACTGGGCGGAAGAGGCTTATGATGCACTATTCACTGGTAACCTTAGAGATCCCCATGGCCCTCGAGGTGCAGCCACCTGGACAGAAATCGAGCGCATGCCGGACCAAGAGCTGCAAGCCAAACGCAATCTGCGAAAACAGCGGAAGAAGAAGGGAGTCACTCTCGATGAGTGTCTGGATGAGTTCAACAAGGAGGAGGTTCTCTCGGAGAATGACGCCTGGTACTGCCCGCGGTGTAAAGAGCACCGACGTGCCAGCAAGAAGTTCGAGCTGTGGAAGACTCCAGATATCCTCGTCATGCATCTTAAGAGATTCAGCGCTAGCCGTGGGTTCCGCGACAAGCTAGATGTCATGGTTGACTTCCCTGTCGAGGGTCTGGACCTGACCCACCGAGTGGAAGCCCCTGAAGAGGGAAAGAGCTACATTTATGACCTCTTCGCTGTGGACAACCACTATGGCGGTCTCGGCGGAGGTCATTACACGGCGTACGCGAAGAACTTTATGACTGGCCAGTGGAACGAATACAACGGTAAGCGCTATGGTAATCTTGTTTGGGCGTAGCTAACATGGGTAGACTCATCGGTTTCACGACCAATCGATCCCCAGAATGCTGTCACATCATCAGCGTATCTGCTCTTCTACCGCCGCCGCTCGGACCGTCCGCTCGGCGGCAAGATCCTGGAGGAGATCACCGAATCATCTACACGGCCAAGCAGTGACTCGGACTCGCAAGGCGAATCGCGCGGGCCGTCTCCGTCGGGGGAAGGCCGGCGTCTCGGCGGCTCCTCCCGCAATGGGTCGTCGAGCGCCTTAGCCGGAGTCGGAGCAGCTCACCAGTTGGGAGATGGTGGTTTGCGAATCGGAGCGCGGAAGAACAATGACGAGGAGCCGAACCCGCCGGAGTACTCGAACAGCCCGTCGTACGGTGAGCGCAGCCTCGGCGGAACAGGTATGGACATCAACACCATGAACTATGAGGACGACGAGTATGGAAGTGGTGCCGGAGCCGGAATTGGAACCCTGGGCAACAACCCGTTTCACCTCTCCAACCCCTCGCCCTCCTGGTCGTTCAGTCGAGTCACGACGGATGCTCATCATTCCCTTTCACAGATGACAGAGCTCCCGGGGATGGGATTTGACAACGACCACGACGACCTCCTCGGCGACGACGACAACGACAGCAACAAGGCCGTTGGCGGCGGCGACATTAGCGATTCCGATATCCGCATGGCTTCCCTAGCTGATAGTCCGTTCCAGGGCCCGGTATACCCGAGCACCCCGCTAGACGAGAACGCTCCGACGCTTACCACGGAATTCCCTCAACCGGACGCGGACGACGACGACGAGCTCCCTGTGGTGGAATTGCATGTCGGTGACGAGGAGCGACTCGACTGATTGAACTCAATGCTTAGATTTCTTCGTTTTATTCCCGCTCTTTCTACGATTTTTGGATGTGAAAATGAAATGACATTTTAGACGGCCTGCCTTGTGATGGTGACACTGGCAGGTATGGTGCATACGCCCGGTTTTCGCTCTGTCTTTTTCGCTTTGCTTCTTTGCTTTGTTGATGGAGGGAAGCATTATTCTTTCTTCCTCTCCTGCCCCTTTGCAACTATGTTTTTCAAAAAGCTTTCTTTCTTTCTTTCTTTCTTCTTCGTTCGTGGCAACTTCTAGAGCAGAATGTGTCGCCGCAATGCATGGTGGTGTGTGGTGGGAGGGAGCCTTGCTATGGAACAGGGCTGGGGCATGGTGACATGTCGGAGTATTTGTGTATAGGTTGAGATTCTCGTTAGAGAGAGAAGAGGTACGGCAATAGATCGTATGGACTTACTTTGTCAAACCGTATTTATTGTAAGACTGCACTATATTGAGATGAAAGCATAAGAGCTGGCGAAATGTAGCCGAACCCGGAATATATATTTTTGCTAACCTGGATCGACCCGGATTTATCCAACGAGACACTGACCAGCACAACCCCGTGTGTGCGTATCATCTGCAAGCCAAGGGTTAAGCATATCGAAGGGATCAAGTCTCGTTTTTGAGATGTTACATAGAAGAAAAAAAAGCCCTAACAATGCCAGTGATGGGTGGTGGATGTGATTAGTCAAACCGCCAAAACGACTCCAACTATGACTATGACTTGACTCACCCCACAATCTTACAAGAACCTCCTCAGGTATTTTTTGAAACCCAAAGAAGGGGAAAAATCAGTATCTAGAGATGGCAATCCACATCCATCACCATCCCTACACGGGACTCCTCTCTCAGCTGTCCGCGCACCTCCCCCAATCCGGTCCTCTCCTGCGGCGGATCCAGCATGAGGCCAATTCCGCGACACCCTCGCCTACCGCGAGAGTGCTCGCATCATTTCCTGCAGGTGAGAATGAGGATCTAGCGATAGAACATGCAGAGCCATGGATAGCAGCATATGTCGACGTCCACCGCGGCCCCGACACGCAAGTGTGGGTTTTCTCGAGCCTCGAGACGAGATCTCCAGCTCCAAGCACCAGCACACCAACCGGACATACTATCCAGAATGGCAAAGGCAATGCGAACATCACAGAACACCAGAAGCAGATCACCAAAGCACACCTACTCACCCTCTTCACATTCATCCGAACGGATCTCGTCCCGGGTTATCTGGACATGCTCTCCTCGCAACCAATCGCAGCGCATAAGGAAAGCGAAGAAGGCGTCAAGAAGATCCCGCCTCACCCGCTTGCTTCGGTGCTCCTGGGCTCAGTGCATGAATCCACAGTCCGCCTAATCGTCGAACTCGCGGCAGAAGAAAAGACGCTGCGCGTCCATCGCGGCCAGAACATCTTCTACGCGAAGTACTGTTTCCCCTCGTCTTCCTTCGAACACTCGGTCCACGGCTCCGACAAGCTCAGAGCCAAAGAGTCGGCGTATACCTTCGCCGACTGCAAGGGTGTCTACGGGGTCCAGGAACACCATGTCCGCCTCGTCAAGGCGCGGACGAATATCCCGCGCTCGAAGGAGGCGCTCATGGCGATGGGGGGTGTGGCGCTGTACCATCGTCCTCAGGAGGCGTCTCCTACTGCTTCCATCTCTGCCTCTGCGAATGGTAATTGTGATGGCAATGGTGAAGGTGAAGGCGAAATGCCGATCGCTTGGGCCTTCCTGGGCTTCGACGGGAGTATGTGCAGCTTGCACGTTGAGCCGGAGCATCGGGGGCGGGGTCTTGCGGTGCTTGTTGGGAGGGAGGTCATGAAGAGGGGGGTTGGTGAATTTGGGTCTTCGTATGACTTTGCACAGATCAAGTCCATTTCTAATGGCAATGGCAATGGCAATGACGCCGCAACGCTTTGCTCTAACGGAGGAAATGGTGTGAGTGAGGACATTGGGAAGAGTGAGGCTGAGCATACGTCAGCGTCCTCATTCAATGGATCTACAGGGGCAGCTCCAGCTCCAGCTCCAGCGGCGGACCAGGATAGACAGGAATGGTTCTTTGCCGACGTCGCCGTGGAGAATACGCCTAGTCGGCGGGTGATGGAGAAGATGGGGGGTGAAGCGAAGTGGAATGTTGCGTGGGTGGTTGTTGAAGTGGATATCTAACATCATATATTCCTGTGTTCTTTCTATGTTCTATACCTATACTCGGTACATGCATCTATATCCAGATAGACCTGGCCGCAAATAAACAAACAAACAATAGACCGCTACCTAACTCCGGACAAAACCAAATACCAAGGAAATCTAGTAGACTGCAACAGGCCAGCCATCGACATACTCGAGGCGGTTGTACCCAAGTCTCGCATCGCTGAATTCATAGCTGACAGACGAGTTTAGATAGTGATAGTAGAGGATATCTCCGTATGCGTCCGACAAGATCCCCTGCCCGCCAGGGGCAAAGACATCGCCATTGGACCCGTAGATCGTCTCGCCTCCGCCATCGACAAGGTCAATGCCCTGCTTATCGACGAACGGGCCGCGCGCACTCTCGGAGCGACCGACGCGGATGCGGTATTCCTTCCCGTTCGTGCGCATGGCAGGGTCCTTGAACTCGCAGCAGCGTCCCCAGCTGAACCACATGTAGTAGTATGGGGCATGATAGGCAAGATACCCGCCTTCAATCGGATGGCCGCCTGTGGGGTCGCCGCAGATGGGACTCGCGGAACTGCTGCCAGTGGTGGCAGTCTTGGCTTTCGAGTTGGCGAGCTTCGAGCGCCAGACTTTGCCCGGCTCAGCGGCGAGATGAGCTGCGTTCAGGTTCCCATCTGACAATCCCTTGACTGTAACCAGATCGGATTCAAGCTCAACCTGCCACAGGCCCGACCAGAAGGAGCCGAAAGTCAGATACAAACTGCCATCGCCATCGACAAATACATTCGGATCAATCGTGTTGCTCTGGTTGAGCGGATAGACATCGCTACCGTCGCCTGTCCCAGACTGAATGATGAGTCCGTGGTCCGTCCAAGCCCCAGGGCCTGGATACGCAGACGAAGCCACACCAATCGCGCTATCACGGCAGCCCGCGTTACTGACTGAATAGTAACAGTAGTACTGGCCGTTGAGGTAGACTGTGTTTGCGGCCCAGGGGGCTTTGCGGTCGCCCTTTTGGATAACACTGTCGCCGAACAGCACGGCGCCGGACTCGGTCCATGGCCCTTCCATTCTCGGGGCTTCGTGCACTACTATGCGCGGGCCAACGCTGTAGCTGTAGAATGTGCCGTCGACGTAGATGATGCTGGGGTCGTGGGTGCGTAGTTCTGTTCCGTGCGTCGGTGGGAATCCCGAGGCTGCAGCTGCGGGAGGGACTTCTTCACGGAAGACGGTGTTGGGCCCGGGCTCAAATGAGAGGTCGTCGGTGCCGGCGGCAGTTCCGGTCGAAGGGCCAGTACCCTTGTTGTTCAGGGCAGTCCCATTGAAAGAGGGTCTAATGCGCGCCGAGAGGGCGAGGGAGAAAAGCAAAAAGAGAGCGAACAAGACAGCCATCTTGAGATACCTGCGGAGAGGACGGCTTAGAGAAAGTGGCAGGATCAAGCACAGACAAGGAGCGAAAGTATTCGTTTTGCTCGACCTCGACCTGGAGGGTGCCTTTGCCCTCCTCAAAGGACGAGACGAGACGGTTAAATATAGGCCATTTGCGTCTTTGTCCTGGCGGGCCCCGTCGGCCCCGGCCATTATGGCCATCTCTTTACAAATCCGAATCCGAACTATCACTCCCGACGGCAAGGCCCAACTACCCTCCCGGGTCGGACTCGGCAGGGGAGGGGTGCGATGCTAGGGCCCATAGTTCGCGGGCCTGCGGTGGCCGAATGAGAGCCGTTGCTCGGTCTGCACTCAGGGCGAGCGGAGAACAGTCGGGGGGTTAGACCATCGTTTTCGCGGCGTTCATGACAGCATGATCTACGGATCACAGAATAAGAGGGTCTGGCTCTGGCGAAAAAGTCGAGTGTTCAGGAATTTTCGCCGGATGCGGGAATTTGGAGCTCACTCAGCTCAGTCGATCAACGGATGATCTGGTTGGATCAACAAGGACTCCGTACCAGAGCTGTACCGGGGTTCTGGTCAGGAACCAGGCTAAGTGGCGATGTATCTCAATCCAGTTGCACAGTTGATGAAGCAAGAGTGAGAGGAGATGAGGAGTTGAGATGGCGTGACAGGAGAGTTGATGGTGTCTTGTCGATCCCGCCAGCCACGGAGCGGATCATCCCCACTGCGTCGCATGCAAATTGGCCGTTATATGCCAGACTATGCCAAAACTATAAGGCATACACTATGATACACAGTAACACAATGGGATTGTTCCTGGAACAAACGCGGTTCTGGTTCGGCTCTCCCTGGATCCCGCCTCATGGCTCGAGCCACCAGACCGAAAAATTCGGCCTGAACCACCAACCGATCGCCGGCGACTTGTCAACTACGGTACATACTGGTTGCTTGGACATCGCATGGATCAACATAACAATGCGCGTATAGCATCATCAATAGGATACAGGCCATATAGGATTATCTGTCGATCTAAACAATTGCCGAGGATGCGCAAGGTATTTCAAATAGCTGGATAACAGATCGTCCACCAACGCCGCGATGAGTACACCAGAAGCATAAGCAACAGTCAACCATGGGTTACTACCGAGCCTCGATTTTGTCCACCTCATCTTTGGCTTCGGTCCATGTCTCCAGATTCTTGCGCGCCCAGTTGAGGTGGCACCGCGCGTAAGCGACCTACTCGATTAGCCACAGAAGTCAGCAGGGCAAAAAGTAGACATACCATGTACCGCCGCAGATCTCCCTCCTTATCCTTTTGGAACCGCTTAAGGTCCTGCAAGACTCCTGCGCTAGCGTCTTTGACGTCCTTCTCAGACACCGCCAGTGCTTGCTCCAGCTGTAATCAAATTAGCATTAAGGTTTAATGAAGCTCGTGCGTTTGGGGTTAGTACCTGGACCAAGCTTTCCTTAGTCTTTCCAATGTGGTCCCGCCGTGTCCGCTCGGGATCGACGTCCACGAATCCATGGACCGCGTGACTGATGCGCCCGAAAATCTTGTTGGCGACAAACGTCCCACTCGATGTCTTGCGGTGCGCCGGGGGCGACGTCTGCCCTGACTCTGGGTACCGTTGCGACGGGTGCTCTGCATGGGTGGGAGGGAAATCCGAATCAATAGACGCCGTGTCTTCGCCGCTCGGCCGTGATTCCTCGGTGTCACCATGGCTGCTTGTCGCCGATGACTGGGATAACGACCGCTGCTTTGTCGGTCCCTGCGGCGAGGTGCGGTTGAGGTACTGCTCTATGCGCTTCGCCTCCTGCTCGCTTCTCTCCAGTGACTCCAGTAGGCTCTTCTTCTTCGCCAATTCATCTCTTGTCATATCCTCCTGCACCCTCTTAAGCACTCGGTATCGTAGGACGCTGCGAACCACGCTGGCGAACTGAGCGCTCTCCCGCATGGGTTCCGCAAAGTTTGCTCCCAGCGCAAGCGACAACTCTTCTGTCTCAATATAAGACGTGTCCGCTGCCTGTCCAACCCTTTCGATTGCAGTGGCTACGGTTGGGGATTGTTCCGACAGCGAAAATCCATTGTACCGCGCTCCCAGCTCCATCAAATCTGCGGACAGTCCGGACAAGTGTGCAAGTGTTCGTCGATTTACCTTCTCCATATTACCCTGGAGGAGAAGCTCCAGTTCCCGAGTTGAGGCTTCAAAGTTGATAAAGTAGGGGTCCAGCTCTTTCTCGCTCAGTTTCCGCGACTCCGGGGGAAAGCGGCCCAGTATCTCCGGACCTGGTGCTTCTGCGGTCGGAGAAGACGATGTCCCTGATGCATTCTTCAGTTTTGCAGATGTAGACGGAACTGGCAGCCAAGCATGCGCAGGTGTGGGATTTGCAGGGTCAAGAGGAGGCGCCTTGAGGTTGTTCTTCGGCACCGAGGACGCGGGGTGAGAATGTAAGACCTCGCTCTAAGCCCTGTTAGCATATCCCTTGGCCTAGGTTTGGTGCACATACCCAGCTGACGTTGGGGTCCAAGAACCTCCACCAAACACCATCCTCGCGAATCTCCTTCATTGTCCGACATCGGTTCAAGAACACCGCCAGCATTCTCTTTCGAAGGTCGATGATCCCAGCATCCTCCTTTGCCTTTGTCGGCTTCGCAGCGTAGTCGGCCATCGAATGTTTCTCCGGGATCGGTGGGACAATAAGAGTCGGGTGAAGGCTCACGAGCGTCTGCCGCAAGGATGCGAATTCCGAGTACCGTCGCCGAACCTCTAGATCCTACTCACTTTAGCAGAAGCCTGGAATCTCAATTATAGAACATACACCTGTCCGTATCGTGTATACAATGAAGCTCCCCCCGCCCTCGTGGTTCTTCCCCGCGTCGGTGATGATAATCGGCATATCCGGGTTCTCGTAGAGCAGCTGTTCGATGCGGCTATCATATACGCTCTTGCGGGTGTATCCCGCACCACTCTGCTGAGCGCCATAGTCTTCTTCATCGTCATCGCTCGCCTCAGGGTGCTGCGAGAAGTCGGAGATGTCAGGGTTGGATGAGTGGCTGGATGGTGGAGGGGGGTATTCGTGGTTGTAGGCTGGGAATGTTAATAGGTTACGCTATCTCGCTAAACCGGGTTCTTACGCGATTCAATGGTAGTCGAGTGCAGGGATTCCGACAGCCGGGCCTCACTGTCGAATGCGCCGTACGGGTTGTTGTCTTCGTCGTTCCACATGGTGGTGTGGAGGCTGGTCAGGCAGCCTCAATCGAGATCCGGTCGCGGGATGACGTTCGCATACGATGAAGAACTTGGGCTCGAGGGAAAAGGGAGTTATATTCTATTCGTCCGAATAGCACAGGAAATATAGCCAGCTAGTTGATTTTGACGAGAGAGGTTGCATGAAGCTCAACCTGAATTAGGAGCACCCGTTCATCGTCACTTGCCGCCGGCCAATCTCACCGCCCGAATCCGCGGGGAACAGATCCACAACGTCATCTCCCTACTCCAGCTTATAGACACTTCCATTTCAGATTCCTCTAGAATATCACCAGTGCGTACCAGCATTGTCTTGAGCAGCCTGTTGCGCTCCTTCTCCCGAACCACCCCATTCCCCATTATCCTGCTGCTGTCCGTCATTGTTGTCATTGTTGCCACTTCCCCAATTGCCCTGCGAAGCGTCATTCTGGTTGTTGTCACCACTCCATCCCTCTCCAGTTTCAGGCTCATTATTGTTGCTGGTTTCGTTGTTATTGCCCCAATCATCTCCATTTGATCCGGAGCCCTCGGCCTGCCCATCAGCCGGCGTGTCCGAAGTCCAGTTGCCGCCTTGATTGTTCTGATCGTCCTGGGGTTGGTTCTGTTCTCCCCACTGGTCCCCTCCATTATAGCTATTCCTCGGACTGTTGTGGTGGTTTTGTTCGTTCTGGTTCTGATCACCCCACTGGTCCCCTCCCCCAGTATTCCCAGTCGCAGGCCAGTCCTGCTGAGTCTGTGCCTGGCCTCCAGTTGTGGCCATCCCATCCGATGCCCCCCATGCCTCCTGCGCAGGCTGCACAGAACCAGCGCGCGACGGCATTGCCCGCCTAGAACTCTTCCTAGACTGCTGCTTCTGCTGCTTCTGCTGTTGTGCTTTGTTCCCTTTACTGCCCTGCCTGCCTCTGTTCTGATCCTGTTCCCTATCCAAGGAAGGCTCTCGGCGTCTTGAAGGAGCACGGCTGCGGCCACGGCTGCGTTTACTTGGGGCACGACTTGGAGCATGGGCTCGGGCACGGTCACGGGCCTGGCTTTCCCTTCTCGCCTGTTCCACTGTAGCGGCAAAAGCTTTCAGCTGCTTTGTTCGTTCTCTCTCGGATCCGACGCGGGCCATGATGGACTCTTGCCTGATGCTCGATCGTAGGTAATAGACGTAGAATCCGCCGCCGCCAATCGAGCCGAGGACGGCGACGACTATAATGGCTATTATGCTGTTCTCGTGCATCTTGCGGTCGTCGTATATGTCAACACTGCCGGCAGTTTCGTAGACTAGCTGGATAACGTAGGATGGCTGAGGTCGACTGGAGAGGAGACCAGCTCGCTTCTCACTTCGCTGGCTTGAAAGGGGTATGATTAAGAACCTCAAAACGAGGGAGAGATTGCCATAGGGCTATACTGCTAAGAAGAAGCAGAGAATCAGCAGTTCCAGCTGCTATGGTAGTATATTAGACATCAAAGGGTATAGTTGAATGAATGTGTTAGGAGTGGGAGAGGGCAGCTGACAATGGAAGTAGGAGAGGGGGCCATTGAGGTGAATACCTAGGCCTTGCTACAAGAAGGAATTAACACAATCTTGTGAAGAATGAGAATACCTTAGGACCGAACATATCTAGTCTAACTTTTATCTAATCAAAGTCAATCCATCTGAGCCCCAGAAAGAGCCACCCCAATCCTCTCCAAAAGATCAACATGAAGCAACCCAGTCTTCCCAGTCTCTAGCAAACCTTCCAGCTTGCTCTTAAGAAGACCCTGCTCCTGAGTACCCAACAACTCAAGAGCGTTGAGCTCACTCGAAACCAAAACACCCGCAAGACTAATAACCCTCACGCCAAGGGTATAAGCCTCAGGCTTCGCCATCCAACCAACAAGTCCATCCTCACCGTCAGAACGAGCAAGGATATCCGAAAGACAAGACAGACCATCAGAGATCCAGCGGTAGACATCCTTGAGCAGCTCCTCCTCAAACGCAGCCTTGCCCAACCGCGTCAGGACATAGTCAGACCACAAATCAATCTCGCGAATGGGCTCAATGAACAGATTCTGCTTTTCCTCCTCAAAGAGAATCGTGCTCTCCTTCCTAATCTCAGATGTAACATATGATACGGGCAAGAGAGGTTTCTCGCTGTTTGAATCGCCGACTCTGGGTTCCAGACCGAGGATATACCGCGTAGCCCTAGTGAACAGCAACGTTGAATTGGAATAATTGTCTACAATGAATGTGGCGAAGACCTCGCTTGCGTTCATTGGAGACAAAGCGACTGCCTTTTGAGGGGAGACGGAGGAGTAGGAGAGGACATAGGAGGCCGTTGCCGCGGCGATGTCGCGCAGTTCCTCGTCGTCATCGTTGAGCAAGTCGTATAAAATGAGATATATCTCTAGATAACTTGGGTCGACTCGTGGCGGCTGCCCTGATGGACGATATGCTTGAGCGAACGCGGCGATAGATGTCGCTGCGGCGTAGCGGGTGGTAAATTCCTGATTCCTTCATTAGTACGCTCAAACATGCTGTAGTAAGGGTGCACTTACAGTTTCTTCAGCCAACGCGAACCTAAGCCTTGTTGCCCATTCCTTGACTTCGCTTTCCGGAACCCCGTTGGCCTGTGAGATAGATTTTAGGCCGATGAGGCAGCCCTCCAACTGCAGATCAGAATCCGCCCTGTCTCTGTTGAACCCTTTGCTGGCTGAACCAATCTTGACGTGCGGGGCCAGGTCGCCCAAGGGCAGTGTAAATGACAATGCTGCGTTCTTCGACTCGAGCGCAGCCTGAAGATACGACGCAAGATTCGAGATGACAGGGATCTTGACTTCCAAGGGAAGATTTCCAACGATGATCGAGCTGTAGAGCTTGGCCAGAACCTGGGTATATTTCTCCTTGGCTCCATATACCTCGTGCAGCCTTTCCAATAACCATTGGCAAGCGTTGGGGTCGAGAGTGGCCACTTTATCCACGAATTCCTCGAGGTTCTTGGTGTCACCGCTTGTGAGTGATTTGAGAACTGCGACCCAAGCGAGTTCTCTGCGGAGGAGGGAGAACGCGCGAGTTGTGCTTAAGGTTGTAAAAGAGGGGTTGCTGGAATCGAACACGAAATCTACGGTATCAGGAACCTGATACGTGTCGAAGATAAAGTCCAACAGGTCCACGGTTTCACCTGCCATAATCAGTTACTGGACTCGTCTTAAGAGGGCCACACCTACGTTCAGCGCCCGACTCCACACTCCTCTCAACAGCATCGCTCAGCATCTCCAACAGGGTTGTTTGAGTGAAGGGGGACCTTGCCAGGTGGTAAGACGCGGCAAAAATAGTCTTGATCGCCGACTTGACATCGCCGAGGCGCTCTTTTATAGATTAGCAGTGGTCGAAACGGAATCGGTGAAGTACATACCGTTCCAGAGAGCTGAAGGGGTAAATGCCAGCCGGCGGAGCGAATACCGAATACACAGCGACTCTCCATGTAGGTAGTTTTCGGTCTCAGCATCCCGCGCACTGAGTAGCGCCTGGATATCTTGTAATATATTTGATCGATCCAACAATGAAGCGTAAACTCGGGCTGCGTGTTCACGGATACCCCAGACAGGGCTCTTGAGATGCTGGCGGATCAGGCCAAGTAGCATAGCATCATCTGTGTCCGCAGCGTTGGGGATCTTCTCAGCAATCAGTTCCAAGGCTGGGAAAACTCGCTCGGTGACCATAGCGCTATCAGCTTGCTCAGCACCATCTGCTCTTTGTGGTGCGGCAAGAAGGTTGGAAAGTAGCTGCACAAGACCAGGATACTTTTGGAACGAGATCCGCGCTCCTGGCTCTGACCCGGATTGACCTCCGAATCCCTGGTAATCAGTACGACACATGCGGTTCATCAAAGCGCGGAATAGCATCAGACCAGAGTTTCGAAGTGCCCATCTAGACCAGTCAGTCTACGTTCATAATGCAAGAAAATGTGACCTACATCGGTGATCCCATACACTCCGCCGAGAGGTTCAGTGCAGGCATAAGGAAACCTTCAGTATGAGGTCCAAGCCTGGCATTGGTAAATACCTCTCGGAGGCAGTTCATCGCATGAACTTGGGGCAGCTCAACCGTCTGGTTTTCTGCCTCAAGTTGAGCCGGAATGTGCGCTACGTCTTGAAGCTCGCGCAGAACCTGCTGAAACAACGGGCCACCAGGGTTTGACAACAGAATTCCCCCAACCAAAGCTGGCAGCCCGGCAGAGCGACGCGTAAGTTTGGACGCCTTCTCGAAAATGATCTTTTTGGCTTCCTACATAAAATGAGCCAGAAGGTCTTTCAGTCATCTGGGGTTTAATGTACCTGATACCAAAGTTCGGGGAGTGCGGAGATCTCGGGGTTGCTTGATTGACCGCATCGCTGGCAGCATGTTGCGAATGTCTGGGCAACCGTTGAGAAAGCTCCTCTGTGACGAAGCTCTGCGAGTTGAGTAAAACTGCTCTTCCCAATCTCCTCGTAGTCGCTTCTTGTCAGGCCAGTTTCCCCTTGCGGACCGTAGGTCGTGTTGGATAACGTAGCATGGACAAGGAGACTGTCTATATTAGAATTCGCATGATTATGAAGGGGTTACGTTAACGTACCTGGACTCTCGCAACGCACGCCACGAATAAGAGAGAATGTCCTTGGGTCCAACTTTGAGGTCTTCAATAGGTTCGGCGGCATGGCCTTCTGGGGAATCAATGCATAGCTGAGGCTTTACTTCCTCCCAAATCCTGTTACAGATCGATGATATCCGCGTATGGATGGACCTCCAGTTCTCAGGGCTATAAGAGCCTTCACTGGACACCAAGGTGTGAAAGTCCGCCGAGGAAATAATGTACCTAGGACTCGATTAGCCAGGCTTACGCAACTGGTGTTGATACTCCATACCGTAAGGCCGAAAGATAGCCGTGGAGAGGCGCATCACGCAGAGACGAATTGAAGAGCCCTTCTGAAGAAGACAGTTTCCCCTCGAGCTTTCCCAGAATCAATTCGACAACACCCTGCTTGGTATCCCACCACTTTGTATCTTTGGAGTCTTTCGCATCCGCTGTGACGAAGATTAAATGATATAACAGAGCAACAGTGTCGGCATGATCAGCTCTACTAGTGTTGCTCGCCAGTAACTCCGCTTTAGTCAACGCAGATAATAACTCGGGATCGCCATTATTATGCCCAGCGGTATCAAGAAGCACTGATCTTGGGAAAAGTTTCAAGATGTTAAGAGCTGCTGTTCGCACTTCATCGTAGGGGTCCATCAAGAGGTCCACCAGTAACCTCAGGAGCTTAGGGCCAAAGATTTCCACGTGAAACTTCCACCTAATCTGACGCTGCTCTGGCTTGTTAGACGCCGCACTGATGTAGCGCTCATCAAGACCCGATTCCAGGACAAGCTGCAGTGTTTTGACTGCCATGATATGCCGATGGTAAGAAGCTGTGGTTCGCAAATCTGCCATTAAAAAGTTCACGTAGTTTTGCAGACATGACCGAGTCTCGGCATCATCTCTGATGTAAACAATCGGTTGCTTTTTGCTCAACGTTGTTCGAGGTTCAACTGGATTGTCGATGTTGGCAAGAATGCCGCCCTTCAAGCGGACGATCAATCCACGGACCATGCTCAATATCTCTCCCCTAGTACAGGGGTCCGATTCTGCGTGAAGTGATGGCAGACTTTTAATGATAACCCTAATAGCAGCTGAGGACAGCGGTTTCGTGGTTGATGGAGCAGCTATCAGTAAAGAGAGTGCCGCCATCTTGATGTTGAAGTCATGGTGGAAGAGGAATTGACCAATGAGTTCACTTTTCAAAACCAGTGGCTTTTCGGCATTTGTCTCGAACTTCGTGAAGTAATCTAGTAAAGTCAGTGATGCAATCCACTTATCAAACCCTTCGCACTCACGATCTTCGTGGACCAGCCCAATCTTCTTTCCCAGCTGCAAAGATGAGAACAGCAGGGTCAGTTCATCCGAAGAAAAATTACTCATATCACCAGCTAGCAGGCTTTCCAACGGCAGTGTCCCTAAAAAGTACCGGAAACCGCTGGCACTGATCCCAAACAGACGTAAGAGGATATAATTAGTCAGTTTCTCTAAGATCTCAAGGTTCTGCAATAAGAAGTGTTTGATCGGCTTAACCCAGAGAAAAGCAAGCCTCTCCTTCTCTTCGGTTGACAAGGAAGAATCAAACGGCTCCAGCTTCCGGAAGAAAGTTGTCATTACTTCTCCACATGATGCTGCCAGATCAAAAGCCTTTGCACGGTTCAAGAGCCCCAGGAGAAGAATCTGGACAGCTGCTTCTCTGGACTGGACATCCACGGCTGCTTGCTCGAGCGACTGCTGTAGAAATCGAGGAATTTCTATTGAGGTTACCCGACATTCTTCTTGCAGCACAGTTGGCCATCTCTCCGGATTTCGCAGGAGCCAGGACTCTACCAGTGTAATCAGCTCAGTCGATAGAATAGCCTTTTTATGCAGTAATGTCTCTAGCGCAATGATGGACGCTTTGACTCTGGATCGAGGCTCGCCGTATAGAATGCTGGGCAGGACAGCGTCGACGAACTCCCCCCGAATTGCATCAAATCCAGGCTCGTTACGGGACTTGCCGATAATCACTGCTAGTGACTCCAGGACTAGCTTCATGGGCTTGGGCTTTACGTCTTTGAAGCGAGACAAGAAACCCTCAAACACAGAAACCAGAGTCTCCCGAGAACGAGCTATTTGGCGAGTCTCGTGACATTTCGAGACAAATGCTGTGTTAAGGAATGAGCTCAAGGCATTGCATGCGGCCGTAGTATGGCCATGAGAAATGGACGCTGAACAGAATGTCTGCAGTAAAGAGCTAAACACCTTCTGCGTTTTCCTGCCGATGCCGTCAGAATATATATACAGCATAAGCGGTCAGATTGCTTATACTAGGACGCAATCTTACTCAACATTATCACATGTAAGGGTAAATTTGACCAAAGGACCCTTGGTGATCTGGTCTAGTGTGGCTTCGGGCAGTATTTGTATATCCTGCGCGATATGCTCCATGTCTAGAGGCCCGGCGGTGGCCTCGGTGCTGGAAACGGGTTTATTGTCCATGACTGTCACCATGCAGCATGTCCGTATGAACGAGCCGGTCGATAGCGACCAAATCCACCGAGCAAGTTGCTTTCCGTAGCCCAGATCCCCGCCATTTCTCGATCGTATATCTTTTTGCCGCCTGTGGATTTTCGAAGTGGATCCACAAAAAGGGTTTAGCGCCGGTCTATCCTTGCTCCGACAGCCAGCCGGCTGATCACGGGACTGAAGTTTTTACTCTGCGATTCCTCAGTCTTCGAATCCAAGCGAACTCGGAGGCGACGACGACGACCATCAGAAGCTATATCGGCCAATTCTGTCCTCTGCTTCCCGTTCTTTCATTCGGATTTGTATTCTTTATATCCTTAGTTTATCCAATTTCTGCTCAAAATGTCCATCTGGGACTCGCTCAGCGGCCGCAAACAGACGAAGGGTGCAGATAGCTTTGACGCCCCGGATGCCAGCTCATTCCTCTCCGAGGTTGCCATCCCCGACCCTACTGCACTTCACCCCCTAGCTGGTCTGAACCAAGATACTCTCGACTACATCACACTCGAAGACTCCGCCCTCGACTCGCTCCCCGGCTCACAATCTGTTCTACCGTCGCGAGGATGGTCAGACGATCTCTGCTATGGAACCGGAACCACTTATGTCGCGGCCCTGGCAGTCGGAGGAGCATGGGGTCTTGCCGAAGGATTAAAGCGAACACCAGTGACTGCGCCGCCCAAGATCCGCCTTAACAGCGTACTTAACTCGGTCACAAGGCGAGGACCTTTCCTCGGAAACTCGGCCGGTGTGGTTGCTATGGTATACAACGGTCTGAACTCATTCGTCGGTTATGCTCGGGGGAAGCACGATGCCGCCAACAGCATTGCTGCCGGCGCTGTCAGCGGAATGGTCTTCAAGAGCACCCGTGGACTCAAGCCTATGTTGATCTCTGGTGGTATCGTGGCGGGTATCGCAGGAACATGGAGTGTAAGTCCATTGAACTTGACGCGTTCTTGGTTATCAAGTAACTAATTCCATTACAGGTGGCTAAGAAGGCTATCTTCTAAGCGCGCACGCGTTTGACGATATCTTGACGTCCGCCTTTACTTGCTGCAATGTTTCGGTCAAGCGGGAGGTGATTTAATTTATATTTTCCATATACTGTATTAGAACGACTACCTTGCCTTTTCACAACTCTCTTCACTCTGGCGCTCAACGCATACTTCTACAGCATTGTCCATGGTTTTGGGAACGGGCATGGTAATGGGTCTTGTTAAATTTCTTGTACATATACCAGACTCCTGCGTTTGTGTTCTTGCTGGCGAAAACTGATGCAGGTTTCAGTCCATCTTACCAAGCGCGTTTAATGTTGTCAGGAGCATCAATGAAAATCTGAAAGCCAAGCAGTTCCCAGCTCTCCTAAGGCTATTTACGGTGTGCCGCGGTGTATGCTGTGGAATCAGTGTACTGGTAGCTATGAGAATTGGTGTGGTTCGCAAGCACATGCCAACTATGGAGCACTTCTAGATCCATATAACCCACAAATCGACCTCTCTCTGCCCTATTGCCGGTGCATTCCACGAACCGTTAGGTAATAGCGCTTAGTCTTTTTACAGTCCATATCTTGCAAAGTCAAACCTGCATACATACCAACGCGTGTGCCATCATGCATTTCGAGATTAGGATCTCCCAGCACACGTTATAGTCACAGACTCACGGGCGGCGGGCCTCTTCCGCGGCATCACGATCAGCTCCAGGATTGGCAGGGCTGGGCGCCCGAACCGGCAATCGACTTTCCATATCCAGCACTTTATCCAGGCCCTTTTTCTTGATGCGGGGACAACTAAGCCCGAACAGGTGACAGACCTGCCTGGAACAGCCCGCATTGACGTCGACCAGGGCCAGAAGAGGTAGAAGAAGGCAATCAGCTGACCCCGCTGGACAGCCAAATTTTCCTGCTTCAAGATCAAGCATGCAGGCGTTCAGTTTAAACTTCATACGCCGCCGGTTCTATTAATATATTGGCGTAATCTTACTGTGCTCAGAGCATTACGTCGCTGCTGAGTTTGACTTTGATTTGATTCGGGGTAAATCTCTCTGCCCTGGACCAGCCCCCATCCCGCGGCGCTTCGAACTTCCTTCCTGCCTTGCTCTGCCAGCGCCTCCTTTGGCTCCCTTGACTCACCTTCTCTCAAGCTTGAGACTCTCCGATGCGCTGAGAAGCCACGGTCTCTCTCTCTCGCGAGTATTTGTCCGTCTCAAGGGCGCCCATATTCCCGGCGCCAACCTCTGGGTTTGACCGAGGGGCTCTTCGAAGATTCCCCGATCTTACCCGCACGGTATCGCAAGTATGGCTCTGGCTTCGTTAAATGGCGTTTTAACAACGAAAAATGTCATCTAATGGATGCAGCTCTCCAGGCCCTATACTCGTTCGATGGTTTACCCAGAATCGCCCGCACCGACCGAGAGGTCAGGGTCTGTCACCCTCCAACCCGAGTTACACGGGTCTAGCGCGTCAACCGTTTCGAGTGACAATGAGCTTCATTCAACATCATCCGTGATTCCAGGCCCGGACAGCCTCGGCCCTGTGTCTTTATGCACGGAAACTTTGTCGCCGGACTTGATTCAAAATGCGGCACACAAAGAACACCAGGCATCTCCTCTGCCTGCGCTGCAAATCCGAACAGATGTCTCGGGTGTCCAGTCAAGCTCCCATCGGTTGAGCCCCCATCGCGAGCCCGACTTTTATGTCCACCAGAGTACATCTGCCAGCAGCCTTCCACACCGGACGCCGAGTTTACGGGCGTTGATGGCACCAAGTCACAGTGGGGGCTCCTTGTCACCAGCTTCCCTTTTGTCGTCCCCTCAACTAATGGCCATGGGAGATATCACACCTTTACCATCGCCGATTAGCGGCGCATCGCCATGGAGACTGCCCGCGCGTCGCAATTCGCAGTCGCTGTCCCGGACGTCTTCGGTTGCCTCAAGGACCGGCTCGAGCCTGAGCATGCGTCCGAGTGCTCCGTCGCAGTCGTCCTTGACCGGGGTTTCAGAGCCTCGATCGCGCAGCAAAACATCTGGAATCACGGATAAACAGAGCAGTGACAAGGTCGCGGACACTCCCACTGCTCCAAAACACACGCGCAATCGCAGTCTGAGCGAATACGTGCCGCCAGGCCGAAACATTCCAATCAAACCTCGCCCAGTTGCCGTTTCCGGAACTATCCCACCTCCTGGAATCACCTCCTCGTCGAGCACGGATTCAAAGGCGAACAACCTACATCGCGAGCAGTATCTTGCCGTTCATAGAGGTATTGCTTTACCCAAGGTTCGCCCGCCTTCTCCCCCGCGCAGCAGCGGATATGGTGTAAACGAAAATGAACCCGTCATCCTCCATTCGTCGGATACCCAGGGAGCTGAGGAGTACTACTCGGTGCGCTCTATTCGGACCCAGCAACCTCGACTGTATCGCAAGCTTCGGCAACTTGGCCATGGAACCTTCAGTCAGGTCTCTTTGGCTGTGCGTGTTGAGCCTGAGGTGGCCGACTCTGGTCTCGGCCAAACAGACGACGTGCTTCCGACCCAGAAGCTAGTGGCAATTAAGATCATCGACCATGGACCAGCTGGCGGTGCCGATGAAGAGCGACTGGAGGTCTCCCTCAAACGCGAAGTCGAGATACTCAAGTCCCTGAACCACCCATCCCTGGTTCAGTTGAAGGCTTTTGGGAGCGACGAAAAGCGCGCCCTTTTGGTTTTGGATTACTGTCCAGGTGGTGACTTGTTCGAGGTTGTCTCAAACAACACCAGGCCTCTTACTCCGGGACTTATCCGCCGGATATTCGCCGAACTGGTGGCTGCTGTGCGCCATTTGCATGAGTATTATGTGGTCCACCGCGATCTCAAACTCGAGAGTAAGCTTCCCACTTTCGTCCGATAGAACAAGGCTGACTTGTGATGATCAGACGTGCTCGTCAACCTCCCAACAGAAGCTCTGCAGAGAATTACCGATTGGCGCACTTATGACCGTGCCGTTGTAACCGTGAGCGATTTGGGCCTGTCGCGACGTATACCTGAGCCGCCTGAGAGCCCTCTTCTCCAGACTCGCTGTGGAAGTGAAGACTACGCAGCACCGGAAATCCTCATGGGCCAGCCGTATGACGGGCGCTCCACCGACGGCTGGGCGCTGGGAGTCTTGCTGTATGCGATGATGGAGAGCCGACTCCCCTTTGATGCCCTACCCGGAACCCGGGGCGACCCTGCGAAACTCCGGGCTCGTACCCCCCACCGCATCGCTCGCTGCGAGTGGTCCTGGTACCGGTACGCTGACAGCGATGGCGACTGGGATCCCGCAAAGGGCAGCGGTCTTGAAGGTGCGCGAGAGTGTGTCGAGTCACTACTGAAACGAAGCACCAAGCGCAAGAGCCTAGACGAGATTGCCGCCATGGACTGGGTGAAGGATGCGATTGATGTGCCTGGTGGGTTGAAGCGAGGCGATAAAGAAGTTCCTTGAGCTGGTCTCTGTCTTCTTTCTGTAACTTAATATTCTCTTTGCTTTCTTTTTTGTTCTCTTGACGCTTTTCACTTGTTTACGCTACTACGTATGACCCACGCATGATTACTAGGTCGGCGGGAATGCCGAATGCTTGATGAAGCTTAGCTAGATCTGATGTTATACCCTTAGAATCCTGAAAATGCTCCAGCCTATAGTTCCATCGTTGTGCCAACTAAACAAGCGTAACTGAGGCTTTGATGATCCATCGACCCTAGGCAATCCCATCAAGCTCACAGTGGATCCTCTTACTAACCTCGCTTGCTGATTGGCGCCCGGGGAAGCGAGGGCCAACTCCGGCCCCGACTTCGCTGCGAGCCTGCGGAGAACTTCAGATCCCCGTCTCTTCATAACTTCTTTTCTGATCCTTCCAGCTCGCTCAGAACCCCGAGTGTTTTCCCTAATCTCTCCTCTACTTAAGCTCCTGGGCGTGGTCCGGCATCCTCTCCAGATAATCAGCTGTGATCGGACCGACGACAATGCTTCTCTCACAGACTCGGGGCCGTATGCCCTCTGCTCTCCGGAGCTTGACTAACAGAGCTACCATGTACGTTACCATCCATTGCACGCCCATTCTACTCCGGTGCCCTCGATTCCGTCAATGCTGACTCTCCTGTGTCTAGTCGTCCAATCTCTACGACACTTCCCCGCCAGAAGGCCTCCCCTAAAGACGATGAGCCCGTCCTCAACAAAGTCTCGCGCCATATCACACAGCCCGTCTCGCAGGGTGCCTCCCAGGCCATGCTGTACGCCACGGGTCTCACCGAGGCCGACATGAACAAGGCCCAGGTCGGTATCTCTTCAGTTTGGTACAACGGCAACCCCTGCAACATGCACCTTCTCGACTTGAACAACCGTGTCCGCGAGGGAGTGCAAAAGGCCGGCCTCATCGGCTACCAGTTCAACACCGTTGGTGTCAGTGACGGAATCAGTATGGGCACAAGCGGTATGCGCTTCTCACTGCAGAGTCGTGATCTCATCGCCGACTCCATCGAGACTGTCATGGGTGGCCAGTGGTACGACGCCAACATCAGCATCCCCGGTTGCGACAAGAACATGCCCGGTGTCTTGATGGCCATGGGCCGAGTCAACCGTCCCAGTCTGATGGTCTACGGTGGATCCATCAAGCCCGGCTGCGCCTCCATGCAGGGCAACGCCGACATCGATATCGTCTCCGCCTTCCAGGCCTACGGCCAGTTCATCTCCGGCCAGATCAACGAGCCCCAGCGCTTCGACATCATCCGCAACGCCTGCCCCGGAGGCGGCGCCTGCGGTGGAATGTACACCGCCAACACCATGGCCACGGCCATCGAAGTCATGGGCATGACCCTGACCGGCTCCTCCTCCAACCCCGCCGAATCCCAGGCCAAATACGACGAATGTCTCCGCGCCGGTGAGGCCATCAAGCGCCTCCTCGTCGAGGACATCCGCCCCTCCGACATCATGACCCGCCAGGCCTTCGAGAACGCCATGATCGTCGTCAACATCACCGGCGGCTCCACCAACGCCGTCCTCCACCTCATCGCCATCGCCGACTCCGTCGGCATCAAGCTCACAATCGACGACTTCCAAGCCGTCTCCGACCGCACCCCCTTCCTCGCGGACCTCAAGCCCTCGGGCAAATACGTCATGGCCGACCTCCACAACATCGGCGGCACGCCCTCCCTCCTCAAATTCCTCCTCAAGGAAGGCGTCATCGACGGCTCCGGCATCACCGTCACCGGTGAAACCCTCGCCAAGAACCTCGAGAAGGTCCCCGACTTCCCGGAAGACCAGAAGATCATCCGCCCCTTCAACAACCCCATCAAGGAAACAGGCCACATCCAGATCCTCCGCGGCTCCCTCGCACCAGGCGGATGTGTCGGCAAGATCACCGGAAAGGAGGGCACAGTCTTCACAGGCAAGGCCCGCGTCTTCGACCACGAAGACGACTTCATTGCCGCCCTCGAGCGCAAGGAAATCACCAAGGATGAGAAGACCGTCGTTGTCATCCGCTACACCGGTCCCAAGGGTGGGCCCGGTATGCCCGAGATGCTCAAGCCCTCGTCTGCCCTCATGGGTGCTGGCCTGGGTAACACCTGTGCCCTCATCACAGATGGTCGTTTCTCCGGTGGTTCGCACGGTTTCCTGATTGGTCACATTGTCCCTGAAGCTGCTGTCGGTGGACCCATTGGTCTTGTGCAGGACGGCGATGTGATCACTATTGATGCCGACAAGCGTGTTCTGGATCTCGACGTTGATGAGACGGAGCTTGCTAAGCGACGGAAGCAGTGGGAGGCTGATAACGCGGCTGGCAAGCTGCCGCAGACAGGGCTGAACCTGCGCGGGACGCTGGGGAAGTATGCCCGGAACGTCAAGGATGCTAGCTCCGGGTGTATCACGGATGCTTTGGATTAAGCGGACAGTAGAATTGTATGGGATGATGTATAACTGATACTCTGTTTAATAGCCTAGTTTAGCTTTTGGATTACAGGCGGGATTTTACCTAGAGAACAGAAAAGCGAGTCTTTTTTTTCTTCATTTGTTGAAGGCCATGCATGGTCCATGATAATTAGAGTACGGTGAGTACCGTGTGTAAGCGTGAGCTATAATGAGCTATAATCTATACAACTTGTGCTCCAGTACAATGCATACCCATATCCAATCAAACCATAATAATATAATAATGACCACGAGCGACATCATTCCCGATGCAATTTGTTCCAATGGTAAAGAAAAACCTCCTTGTCATAAACCCCCAGTCCAACTCGTCTCACCCGCCCCATCCTCGCCAGTGCCTCTCCAACCGCGTCCACGAGGTTCTTTTCAGAAGGGCTAAGGTCAATTTTTACCTTCTTCGCCCTTCCTCCCTCGGGTGGACTTACCTCGTTCATTAGATCAAAGTGGTTAGTCTGGATAGTCGACGTCTCCGCCTTCTCATGCACCAGGGGACGACCACCTAGAGCCCCAATAGGCTCTGCAATGCGCACGAAGATACAGTGAGTTGGGCGACTAAGTAATGCCCAGAGAAAGTTAATGTAGTGGCCTGGTAACGGGGTGACAACATCTTCAGGCTGATAGCGTATGGAGATCGGGAAGATCTTCGACGATGATAGAAACGTCGTGAGCGAGGCAGAAAGCGGGAGAACTCCGTGGCCGTTCGAGGTCGTGCATTCTGGAAAGACAGCAATCGGGCGGCCGGGATATTTGCGTTGTAACTCTTCGATGGTGACCAACTGCGCGCCCGGTCGCGGTTCATAGTGAGTTTCTGGCAAATCAAAGGCGCGAACGATAGCCTCAAAAAGCGAGATATGCTCGACCTTCTTGGTCTCGGCATATGACGCTGTGAAAATAGGGTCGAAGATCGCCGCCAAGTAGAGCGCATCGATTGGGGAGGTAAACGAAGCCGCGATCACGGAACCCGGTCCCGGAAGGCGAGACTTTTGCTTAGAAAGCTGCCCTTTCCTGACTCCTTCCACTTGAAGATCAACCCACCATATACTGGGCACCGCCAGTATACACCATAACGCGGCTTTCTTCCCCAACGATCCTATCGGTAACCATTGTAGGACGGCAAAGTAGGCCACGAATGCGAAGATCAAGAACGGGAGTCGGAAAATGAAGAGTAACGCCCGCAGCGGCAGCGGGCACCAAGTTGGTACGGGGGTCAATGGAGCGGGAAGGAAAGGTGCAATGCCGGATCCTGCAACAACTGTCAGATTGCACGTCTACGGAGTATAAGCAATGTCAGGAATCATACCTCTGTCGCGGAATTGATTGTAGCGCTCCATGGTCAGATAGTAAAGTAATGTTAGCGAGTGTCGAGTTCGATCGGTGTCGAAAAGCGTCAACGAGTGTCAAAGAATATGGGTAAAGTCGTATATCGATGGAGCGTTAAAGAGAGATGAAGTTGTTCTGAACGGCCATCTCACACAATGCGAACTACGGATTTTATATGGACCCTGGTCGGTCTTGCAGTTTGAGTGTTCGAGAATGGAAGGCGTAATCAACGACTCTGGTCCGTTGCTATTCGTCCTTTGTTTGGAAAGTGTGGTAGATTTGTAAGGAGGCAAGCACGGCGGTCGAGGTGTGAACAGCTATCGCGGTTACTGACGGCTGACATGTGAAATTTCTGCCTTGACGCCTGAGGCTTGCGAGATTATCCACATTCCACGATTTGGATAGTAACGACTCGACGCTCTAAAAATCATATTGATAATGATAAAAAACACATTGGTATATGACAATCTATGATCCCCGAATATATATAACCCAGCCAGCCGAACGCCTTCGCACATAAAAGATAACACCACTATATATACATCGAAATGAAACCAAGCACATACCAATTAGTCGATTAATCCCCATGCTCTTCCATCTTCTCATCAACAGGCGAAGGCAACTCAAACACCCAAATCGACACACCCACGAGACAAAACGCCGTCGCAGTCATCATCCACGCGAGACCAACCCAAGCACCACCCCAATCTAGACCGATCTGGAACACAGTTGTGATGGATAAACTAGCAATGACATTGCCAACTGCCTGCAGGACCTCGATGACGGTAAACAGTCTCGCCGTTTCCTCGCGCTTGACAAGCGTCGTGATCAGCGAACGAGCTAGATACGCGAAGCCGGAGCCAGACGTCTGAATGATCAAGCTGGGAATCAGCATTGCGATGCTGGGAGACAAGCCGATACCCAGCGTGCCGACGGCAAGGAAGACAATACTTGCGCGAGCGAGCGTAAGGTCCTTCATGTTTGACTTCATGCCGCGCAGGATGTGCTTTGAGATTGCCGGGATGATGAATAGGAATAGCGGGATTGTGAGGGCTGGTTTGAAGGAGATGAGGAGGTTCGCTTGCGCGATTGTCCAGTTGTATCTGGCCGAGATATACTGCACTAAGAACCAGGATGAGCCGCGGCTGAGTCGGTAGACGAGGAAGGCTGTGAGGAGGAGAAGAACGCGCTTGGTGCGGAAGATGAAGGCGTACGGGCTCAGGTATGAGCGGATTAGAATGCCTAATGAGGCAGGGAACGAGGTTCGTTTTGGGTGGTTGAGGAACGGCGCGCCTAGATCCTCATCTTCGTTCACGGGGTCTACCATGTACTTCTCCGACGAAACCGAGACTTTGCGCTCGTGCTCGCGCTCGTCATTTGCAGATGCAAGCGGGTCGAGTTCCATGTCGGGAAATTGCTCGAGAGTACGAGGCGTAACGGCATTCTTCGTCTCAGGCAGGAGCAGTGCCAAAAATGCACCAACAATCACAATACTCCAACCGAGTATCAGCGGAAACCAAGGGTTCATAGTCATCAGCCACGAACTCGCGGCGCTGGAAACGAAATCGGCAGCCATGCTCGCAACGCCGAAGCGGAAGAACATCACAGCCCTAAACTCGTTAACCGGGTCCAAGCCAAAGCACAAACAGTGAACTCACCTCTCCTCTTCGGTGGTCACATCAGACATCATCGTATAGATTACAGCAACAGTAACGACCGGCCCACCGCCAAAGACGAACGTCAAGCAAGAAGCCCAGGTAGCCTTCAGCGGAAAGATATCGTCAAACCACATAACCACAAACATGATCACAACGTTAAGAATAAACCCCGGGATGCCGAGGCAGAGGGTCTTTTTCCGACCATACCGGTCCGCTAGCAGCCCGTAGGGCGCAGCCAAGATGACACCTAGATCCTGCATCAGCCCTGTCCGCTTCGCTTCATCTCCATGCCCGCATCTCCAAATGATGACGGACCAATTGACGGGATGGCAATGACATACTCAGCACCCCCTGGAAAAACTCCATATACCCCGTTACAGCGGCGATCTCACTCTGCACCTCCTTGACTTTACACAGCTCCTCGAGAACCTGGCCGTCGGCGCCAATCTTGGCTGGGTCGAATTGCTCATAGTACTCGCGACAAGCAATCGATTCGTAGATCCTCGTCATGGGTCCTCCGGCCATCACGAAGCCGACTTCGACGGCGAGGATCATGGCGAGTAAAGTGACCATGAGGCGCGAGCGAATTGCGCCATTGATGACCACGCTTTCTTTGCCTTCATGTGCTCGCATGGATGACTGCGAGATATGATCGCCATGTTGATGTTGCGGCGGGAGGAAAGGGACGTCTTCTTCGCTGTCGCGTGCGTCCTGGTAAGGTTGATGGTGCTGGTGAGTAGGGGACATCCTGAGTCCCCTGTATCATCCCTGGATAGGTGATAAAAATAGATTAACAGGGTATTATAGATAGACGAATTCACATCAGAAGGTAGAATTGGTTGAAAAGAAGAGCTGCACACGTTTATTGAAGACGTGCAGACGTGCAGATGTCACGTCACGACTCTGGGGAGAGGAGGGAGCTGAAGCTGCGAGAACCGGAAGCACAGGAAAAGCAAAGATTATGAGACAAGAGGCAGAAGCAAATATAAACATTTCCATTGGAACCAAGACATACTCCGTAATAAGTATGATACAGTAGTCCAATAATCTGCAATGGCCCAAATCTAAGCCATCGGCCATGGGGGCCACTAGGGTTGTACAATTTACCGTAAAGAATAATTCCTTACCCAAAATTACTAACCAAGGTTTATTTATTACTAACAAAGTAATAAATCACGTGATATAAAAGTAGGTTTAAACTAACTAATAAAAGTATAGCTTAGTGCTTAGGTTTTTTACCAGCTAATTAAATACAGGGATTTTTAATTACTTACATAAAAAAAATACCAAAGGCCTATATTTATAATTTACACCTTATATTTAATAAAATATATATTTTTAAATATTAAAACTTTACCACCCTTACTAAAAAATTAAAAAACTTTACTAATATAATTAGGTTATAAAATCCTTTGCTAAAAAAGAATTTTATATATACCACTATTATTAAAAAGGTATTTTTATATTTTTATAATTTTTTTTAGATTTTTTAATGTGTTTTAAAAACCTTTTTTTAAATTATAACTATTAAATATAAACATTGCACCTGGACACGCGCTAAAAACTTTACTTAATAAAAAACTTATTTTATAAAAAAGTGCATTAACTACCTTATTTTAATTAAATTAATACCTTTAGGCCTTTCTCCTAATTAATTAGTTTTTTTTTTTAATAGTAATCTTAAGCAAGAAGCTTATTAGCTTATTAAAATAATTATTTTTACTAGCGCGCGGCCTTTTTTTTTTTTAATAACCCCTATTTTTAAGAACTTTTTTTTTTTTAATATAAAGGCTTTAAATTATTATAATATTACTGGCCTGATTTTAAACTAGTGCTATACTTAAATCTTAAAGCTTATAGCTATAAAGCTCTTAAAAACATGCTATTTTAATATTACTATTAATAAAATAATTATAGTTAATAAATAGCAAATAATAACTATGTATTTTAATACTTATAAAAACTCCTTTTTTTACTGCCTTAAGGAACTAGGGGATATAGCTTTAAATATAAATTAGGTTTTTAACTAAATATATAACTATATTAAGAAGTACTTTACTAAAAATAAGGCTAGTATTAACTTTTTTTGTATTAATTTTTTATTTTTTAATATTTATAATATTATAATAGTTATATAAGATTATTTTATAGCAAAGCTAGGTATAAAACATGTTTTTTATATTTCTTATAATTTACATGGCCTTTAGCTAGTTATTAAAAATCTTTTTATTAAATTTTGCTCTTTTATTAAAGCCACCTTTAATAAGGCCTTAAAAATTATATTACACTTTACTAAAGCGCCTAGGCAGTTAAAAAAACTCCGCGCCTTTTAAGTTATTAAGTATAAAAATACTAAGGCCTTAATTACTTTAGTTATTATTTATTAGGGATTTTAATATAACATGCTTATTTTTATTTAGTAAACTTAAAAAGCTATAAAAAACTAGGCTTATAAGTTTATAACATAGCTAGCAAAAAAAACTAATTTTAAAATAACTTTAATTTATATTAATCTAGTTTTTTAAAGTAATTTAAATAACCTTATTTAACTACTTAAGCTACTAAATCTAAAGATCACTATTTTTAAAGGCTAGTAATTAAATCTTATAATAATAAGCCTTTAAAATTACCTGCTTAATAATAATAATACTAATAATAATACTAACACCTAGGTAACTAACCGCTAGCTAAAGCTTTAAAAAAATTTTAAAAAAAAATTAATAAAGCCCCCCTTTGGTATTAATTTAGCTTAGTATTTTAATATTAAATAGCTTTTTTAAATAAATTAATAAATAATAACATTTTACTAGCTTTCCTATTATTTTTATTTACTTAACACCTACAAGCAGGTTCCGCTGGCGGATTAAAAATAAATAAAAAAGATTAATAAGTTACTAGTTAAATATAGCGGCCAGAAAGGTCTAAATAGCTTTTTTTTATTTTAAAATTAGTAAGACTACTTTTATAATAAAGTAATTTAAAAAAAGAAACTACTTTTACAGCCCTTTAATTAATAAAATAAGCAGGCAAGTTTTTTTTACTATATAAATTTTATAAAAAAAAAAACTAACTTAAGCACTTAAATAAAAATATTTTACTTTAAAACTTACTAATCTAGCCCTTTACCTTTATTATATAACTATTAATTTAGTAGTAGCTAAAAGATTATTTTTTATAATAAAGCTATAATATACTAAACTCCGCAACTAGTTAAAAATAAAGTAAGTTAAAAAGCTTACCTTTATTTAATAAAATGCCTGCTTTATTAATAAGATTTTTAGTGTTTTACAGGCCCCTATACTAAAAAAATTTAATAAAATAATGTTTATTAAAAATTAAAAGTTAAAAAAAAGTTTCCTTTGGCTTAGTAACTTCCTAGTTAGCATGGATAAAAAAAACACTATAAAGCTAGCTTAAATACTTAGTAAATAGGTTTATAAGCTTATTAACTAGCTGCTATTTCTTTAATTATATAAATAACCTTATATTAATTAAGTTCGGGGGCTAATTTACAGGTAGTTTAGTAACTAGTAAGTAGGTAATTTAGGGGTATATATAAAGGGGAGCAGCCGTAGTAATATTTATAATAATATTTTAAATAAAAACTTTTTATTAATTAGTAAAAGTAATATTATAAAGGTCCAAACTTACCTGTATTTACGCTTTTTAAAAAGAAGTTAATTTTATATATAAAGTTAGAATTATTACTTTACTAGCAGTCCTTTACTTAATAATTCTACCGCGGCGCTAATCTAATTAAAAGGTAGTAAGTCACGTGATTTTATTCTTTTRTCAGGAATCATTCCTTACCAAAAAAATCCTTAAATTTCAACTTTCCGTAATTACCGTCAGCCATTTTGTCCATCCCTAGGGGCCACAGCCCCGTTCATTGGCTGCTAATTCAGGAGGTGCGCAAGCTGAAGAATGTAAGCTTCAAGCAGGGGATAAGAGACAGCTGTCAGTATAAAGATTCTTTATCGTCTTGTCCATACAACAAAGGGTTTGATTTGATCTTTCACCAAAGTAGAGACGATCAATGGGCGCTGCTTGCGCATCCTTGCCCCTTTTCTCTGCTTCTCCACCAGGGGAACCAAACTGTGGGCGGCTGAAACATTCTTGGAAGCTGCCCTATTTCCCGGAATCCTGATGATCAGCACTAACAGCACTGACGGCACTGCCTGGCAAACTGTTCTTTCTTGGCTTTCGAGCATATCTTTAGTTCCGGATGACTTTGAAGCGCAGCAAGGCACCCGCTTACATCCGGTGACTATGAAATACTATTGCCTAGTAACCATGTTCTTGGTATGAGATCAGCTTATTACGTGGTAATATATGTTCGTCTCGTATAGATCGGCTATGATACAATGGCAAGTAACTGGCTTGCTTTAAAATCGACATGTCTAGACCTATACCCTGCATAACTAAAAGGCGTCGCGTCGGTCCAGCCACGGGCGCCCGCTCTCGGAACAGCTCTAGAGGTCGTCAACTTGCACAGACAGGCCTACTCCTTGGAAGCCGGCTTCCTCGAAAAGAGTGCCGCGAGCCTGCACCACTGCTGAGATCTCCAGGAGGAATTCGTACAGAATCACAACGTTGGTGAGGACGTGGCCGAGAGTTGCACTAGCGTCCTTCGGTTTGTGCTCCTCCTCATCATCTATGATCGCTACCTCTGGATCTGTCTGTGCCGCCCCCTGCCCGCCGTTCTCAGTCGAGCCATTGGCGCTGCTCGGTCGATCATCTAGCAAGAAGGGTGCTGATAATCGCTTGCGTAGCTCTTCGGCAGCCGAACGAGCCTCCGAGGCGTCGCGGGGCGGAGGCGAGTGTAGTGTATTTGCAGCATTTTCTTGTAATGGAGACCCGACATTGCTGCGTTGCGGAGACGTAAGATTTCGCAGGTCACGTCTGCCACGCGGTGCCCCTTGGTCGGTACCTAACTGCGGCGTTCTCGGCGTAGAAGATCTGTCAGCAGAGCGTGTAGCAGGAGTTCCGGGTCCCTGCCCAAGGGGGTCGGACGGTTCATCGTCCTCGTGCAGCAGGCCTCGACGTGCGGCTATCAGAATATCAAAGTCGGGAATCTGTTTTCGCCATTCTTGGACTCTGTCGACAAGTCTGTGTAGAAGAGCGGTGAGCGCAGGTGTATCTGTGGATGACCAGCTGGGTTGTCGATATACACTGTGAACCTGGTTGAGTATATCTGTCGAGCTATCGTCCTCTTCTGAAACGCCATCAACCCTGGCATACTCGTACTTTGCAGGATCTACAAGCAACCATCCGTCAAGTGCCATAAGGTGAGAGGAAGCGATGCTCATCAGGACTTCCGTCAAAGCCAGGTTGACTATCACAGTGTTGGTAAAAAAGTTCTCTAAACAACCCAACAACTGGCGAAATATCGGGTCTTCTTGACGAATCTCAAGGGGAAGATTTTCCGAGCCGTTATCCGGCAGGGGTATGCACAATCGGGATTCAAGGATCCACGATGCATCTTTGAGGTAATTATCGAACGACTGGTCCAATGTTGGCTCATCAATAATCGAGGTGGCCAGGGTCAGAAGTTGGCCTAGTTCCGCATTCAACGCTCCAATCGTCCGTTGTTTGGCGGGCTGCCCGGGGTTAGTACGGATCAAGGACGTCGCAAAGGAGGAATATCGCTGCAGAATAACAGTCAGTAGCCGCAATGTAGCCAGGACAGTCTGCCGATTAGGTGACTGAAGTCCAAGGAGGACAAGATCCCTTAAGTTGAAAAGGGACGGCGATGGCCGAGCTGCTTCTTCTGAAAAGGCAGCAAGCACGTCTAGAGATTTCCGCCGACTGGCTGACATATTCTTCTTCTTTTCGTGTACGTCCGAGCCAGAAGGTGACGCAAGTAGGAAGAGTAGGATCCGTTGAACCAGGTCATCCTGATCCACTGAAGCGAGAATGCGATAAAGGTAAGTGAGTACTGCCGCTGTTGAGCCGCCCTCAACATCAGACGATTCGAGCAATGAAGGGTATCTAACGGACGACGATCAGTAGAGGTACATATAAAGGACATGGAAGACTGACAGTAGTTGTTCGAGAAATAAAACCTGGAAGTGGTCTAACAAGGTGGCGACCACCTCGGCTGATTTACAGTGATCAATAGTATCTTGCCAGAACAAGAGGTAAGCCATGAACGAATCCATCGATGCGCCGAGTGCAGGCGGAAGTGCTGTCTCCTGCTCTGCATGATCGGAGTGCGATATGATATGCGGTACCTCGGGCTCTACATCCAGACTAGAGGTTAAGCTGATGATGAGTTAGCGAGTCTCGCCTGCTTCACTCGATGATCGATAGTACTCACCTGCCCAGCTGACTGTATAAAGCACCTAGCCCAGTTGCCATCAGAGTAGCCAGATCACTCTCGATCAACCATCGCTCGAGATCCTTCGACCGCGACGCTGTCTCTATCAAGTAAAGAAGCCCCGTTCGAGCGAAATCGCCCGCCCTCCCCGCATGGTGCACCCATTCCACTAATAGGTAGAACAACGGGAAATCGTCCGTTCTCATCGTGCCCGCGAACTCGACACTACCAGTACTCTGATCCTCATCGTCCGTTCGGGGAGCAAACCACGCAGGAAGGATGTTGGGCTGGAGACGGATGTTGTTCGCAACGCCAAACAGCAGCTCCACCAGCCTTCCCTCAATATCTGCTGACTTCTTATCTGCACGACGGACGAGATCTACCAGTGCACGCGCAAACAACCTGTTATCGACCACTCCATCAACCTCCGAATCTATTAGGGTATTGAAGAGGACCGTCGCCGAGCGGAGCATAGCCTCATCGTAGGACGAAAGTGCGAGTTTGGTGACGGTAACGAAGATCTGAGAGGATGCGGCGTAGGCAAGACATGGATGGGGTGCAGGGCCGCGAGATTCATCGCCCAGAACAGAATTGAGGCGCTCGATGCAATGGCGCGCGTGTACGATGGCTGCTTGTTCCGCTGCTGTCGAATTGCTGGAGCGCCATATTTGCTAAAGATAGGCGGGGAATGTTAACGAGCTGACGTTTGGCTGGCATTTAGATTCCGGCGACTGACCTGCAGGGTGTTGCATGTCCGCTTAAAGGCTGTCAATCGCTCCGTGGGGGAGGAAGCTCGAGGGCTCTTTGACAACGAGCGGGAGCCGCCTATAATCCGAGACCACTATGTTCGATTAGGAGAAGCCACATGGACGCGCAACGCGTAATTTGAACAGGGTTTTCAACATACAAAATCCATTTTACGGTAGCCACGTCATGATACTCCCTCCAGGGAGAAGCACGAGCAGGAGATGCTGCTGAACGAGAGATTAAGAGGGAGAGTGGAAGTACTCCGAGTATGCGGCCTGGTGTCCCTGAAACCGAGAAGGGCTTAGTGTACTACTCCATTCAGGACTAGCGTGTTTGCTAAGGTCATCTACAACTATACAGGTTACAGCATGATACTTCCAAGGTTGAAAAATAAGCAAGACATTAACGCATTGAAAGCCAGATTGATGGCTTGAGTGATATCAAAGTACCCAAGAGCAAAGCCTTATTGACATCGAAGATGCACGCCATCCCACCACCGCAACGCCGAAGAATATGCGCACCATCCCGGTCTAAAACAAAAGAAACGCTACCCATCATCCCATAATAACACAAATAGAAAGACCACAAGGCAGAGACTAATCACTATCATCCTTTGGCCGACGACCACCACGCTTCCGTTTTGGTTGCTCGTTCTGATCACTGCCATCATCCTCATGCTTGCGCCCCGCCGGTTGATCAGGGACCTTGGCGATGATGTCTGCTAGGAAATCCAACACTTCGTCTTTCGCAACCGCTTGCTTGAGGTGAGACGCGGTTACGCGTTTGGAATTTCGGTCTTTGGCTTCTTTCGCGGCTTTCGTGACGAGTGAGATCATGAAGAGTTCAAGTGCTTTGGCTGTAGAGGTCATCAGTTAGCATACTCCTCAAACAATCGGAATTGGAAAAGTTCCAATACGTACAGACAGCAATAGGAGTCACTTGCGCAACCTTGCCGACATCTTCATCCGCCTGCATGATACGCTTGATGCGTGCTACAGGAAACTTGGTCTTGACCTCAATCCCAGCGGCCGGATCCAGTTTAGGGGGCTCTACAGGCTCCGGAGACCGTTCGGGCATAGCGGGCTCGTGGTAGACTGGCTCCTCAAAGACTGGCTCGTCGTACTGCGGCTCTTCATATTTAGGCGCAGGCGCAACTTCAACGGCGCGCGCCAAACGGGAGGACCGACGAGCCATATCGGAGTCGAAACTGTGGTCGAGGTACGGGGGGATGTATGGTTGGGAAGTCCTGGCGGAGGCGACGGACGGGTGTTGGTAGTGCGGGGTGAAGAAGGGCGAAGCGTCGTAGGATGCGCGATGGGCGACCGGACTTGCGAATTGGTAGACGGGGGAGGGGATCGTGGGCTGGAAGGTGGAAAGGTCGGGAGAACGTGGGCGATAAGAGTTGTCTTGCTCTGTCATTGCTGGCAAATCGGTCTCAGCAACTGGCAATGGTATAGGTATAGAGAGGTATATAAGTGTAGCGTACGGCGCGTCGACACCGGACGGGACGGGGGCAGCAGCACCGAGTGCGCTGCCGGTTGTGGATAGAGGACGCGTAGTTACCTCTGCTGCAAAGAACTGAGTGATATCCGATCTGAAGAATCAGGCTGATCGCGACATCCGTCGTGAGGACTATAGATGTTGTTGACGGCCCAAGCTCCGGTGCGTGGGCCCAAGGGTCGTCGGGGCCGTGGCAGTTTGGCCAGAAAAGATTCAAATTCTTTCTTCCGGGGGGCGCGACCGGCTTTTTAGCCCTTTTAACCCTGCCTTGGCCGCGCTAATTTTAAAACAAAAATCATCAGAATCGAAATCATTTTTCGATCCTGGCTCGAATTCCTGATGTCGCTGCTTACTTAATTTCTCCTTTCTTGCCTTGGTCGAACTATGCTTCTCTCTTCATAAGTTCTCTTTTGCTACTTGCCCAGTCTCCTAGTTCTCTTCTCTCGCATTATCCCGCTGTTCCCTTCCTTCCTCATCACATGTAACTAAATGACTCTTCCAACTCTACCTCGCCACATCGCCCAAACAGTCACCTTTGATGGTCACAGCCCTGATTGGTTTCGCCGCGCTTGATCCCGCCTTTGTTGTCCTTTGATGATGCAAGTAACTTTAACGCCTATCAAATGGTATACTCTTTATGATTCATCTTGTTGCTTGTATATGTTTATTTCGTGTTTACCTATTTGTCCCACCTTTTGTTCCTCGGACGCTGCATGATGATACACAGAGCCCCAGAGATGTAGAGGATAGCTGTGCCAGGCTGAAACCATCCACGTCGTGGACTGGTATCGCTTGCTACGGGTTTATCATACACTCATCGGTGAGGGACCAAAATTACTTGATCTAATCTGATCGCGTTCAAGCACATCAATGATCATACTCCCAAGATCTTGCCCTTCCCCATGGTTCAAAGCCCTAACCAGCCCTGGAGAGATAGAGTCATTGGACTATACTCGGCGGGGTAAGAGAAGAAGGACTAGGCTGGACTTGGATTTCAGCCTTGCCTCCGGGCCCCGGTCGATGTCATCCTGACATGCACGTTGATACTTCCAGGCACAGCTGCGGCTAAAACTGCCAAACTGCAGTCAGCTGGTATTGGTGAATTTACAATAGTTCTCCGTTATATACTGCTCCCTTTTCTCTTGATATGACAGCCATTTCTTGGATGATATTCTTCAAAATTTTGTCTTAATTTCAGTGTAGCGTTTTTATATGTAAGAAGAGTCAGGGACTTAGAACTTAAGATTTACTGTTAGGTGTTCTTGACCCCGGCCTGATTCGATCTTTCGCCGCAGGTACGAGAGTGGAGTCCAAATCAGATCGGCGATAAGATAAGAGGCGGAAATTAAATTCTTCCGGCGCGATCTTGCTTTTTTTTGGGCGGCTTGAACAAGTCCAGTCATTTCCTCCACCGTTGTCGACTCTCGAATCCGTCTCGATGGCAACATATCCCGCTCAAGATGCCTCCTCTTCTGAGGATGGGTCGTCCCCTCCTCCACCAGATTCCGAGTCTCCGTCGACGCCATTACCACAGACGTTTCAAGAATTAGGCGTCATAGATTCGCTTTGTGAAGCCTGCAATACCCTTGGATACTCGGCACCAACGCCCATCCAGGCACGCTGCATTCCAGTTGCCCTACAAGGACGAGATTTGATCGGTCTCGCGGAGACAGGTAGCGGGAAAACTGCTGCCTTCGTGTTACCAATCCTCCAAGCGCTAATGGAGAATCCCCAGCAACTCCACTCCCTTATACTCGCACCCACCCGAGAGCTGGCGCAGCAGATCTCGCGTGCCGTTGAAGCTCTGGGAGCTACTATCTCTGTACGATGCACACTCTTGATCGGTGGAATGGATATGGTCCCACAGTCCATTGCTCTGGGGAAAAAACCACATGTTATCGTCGCAACTCCCGGCCGACTGATGGATCATCTGGAAAATACAAAAGGCTTTTCGTTAAGGCATTTGAAATACCTGGTGCTGGATGAGGCCGATAGATTACTGGATATGGACTTTGGCCCTATTCTAGACAAGCTGCTCAAACTGCTTCCACGAGAGAGGAGGACTTATCTATTCTCTGCCACCATGTCGAACAAGGTTGAGTCACTTCAGCGCGCGTCATTAACCAATCCAGTTCGAGTTGCCGTTTCAAGCAAGAACCAAACAGCGTCAAAACTTCTACAGTCATTTGCACTTATCCCGCTCAAGCTGAAAGATATATATCTTGTGCATTTGCTGCAGGAGCGAACAGGCCAGATGGGCATAATTTTCGCACACACAATCCACGAAACCCAGCGACTGGCTATCATGCTGCGGCACCTTGGCTTTCCAGCTATTCCAATCCACGGCCAACTATCCCAAAGCGCTCGGTTGGCTTCCCTGAGCAAATTCCGTGCACGTAGCCGGAATCTACTTATCGCAACTGATGTTGCGGCCCGCGGATTGGACATACCCTCTGTGGACTTTGTTCTTAACTACGACCTGCCTTCGGACTCCAAAACCTATATTCATCGTGTCGGCAGAACTGCCCGTGCTGGAAAGAGTGGTATAGCCATTTCATTCGTAACACAATATGAAGTGGAGCTGTGGCTGAGAATTGAAAATGCTCTTGGCAAAAAGGTGGATGAGTATAAGGTAGACAAGGACGAAGTTATGGTCTTTTCCGAGCGAGCCAATGAGGCGCGGCGAACTGCTGCAATAGCAATGAGAGACATGGAGGATAGAGGTCGGGGGAATCGGATGAAAAAGAGGAAGAGAACCAGGGATGATATGGATCAGGAAGAAAAATAATGAATAAGACTGCATGAGTTGGCGTGTTCACCGGTTTATATCCTCACGATTCTGTCTTCTGCCTGCCTGTCCATTGTGTTCAAAAGTTTGTCTCCCTGAGCGGTCTATTGATGTCTCTGATTCCCAGAATATGTGTTGTATGGGTATAATGTCAGCCAATTTATTAAACTTCACAGTTTTGCTTTTGTAGAGAAAAGTAGCGCAAGCTGAATTCACGCTCCATACTTGAGAACTCATTTGATACAAAGCCTAGTGTATACTGTAGGTTTGGGTTCTCACAGGCTTGTGATGCAAGTCACAATGTAGAAAGGGCAAGGGTGAAGGTTGTTCCGGTCCGGCTTCCGCCTCCACTCCGAAGCCAAACCATTGCGACAGATTCTAAGGCTTCCGAGTCCTCACCCTCTCGTGTGACGCTGTTGGAAATGCACTGATGGTCGACTAGAGTCATGTCGCGCTTTTCTGCCTTTTCGGCCTGCCTTATTTCGTCCTAATTGACTCGATCGAGCTTTTCTTTGCTGCCTGTGTGTAGCTTATCTTCGCAATGGCGGCTGCTCAGCCTTCGGGCTCGATGGACATCGCGAGGTGAGCCATGGGTGGAACCCTATATCCGTTGTGCCTTGTGCTAATCCATCTTCTGAGCTTCAGTACTTTAACCCAAGATGAAATCCCTTTTAAATTGCGCTGCGCCATTTGCAACAAGCTTGCCGTAAACGCCTTCCGTCTTCCGTGTTGTGATCAAGCGATTTGTGAAAACTGTAAGCGCTTGCCTGATTCGCACACTTGCCGCTCTTATCCTTACACGGATTACAGGTCAAGCATCACTCCCGGACACATGTCCAGTCTGCGCACACACTCCCATTTCGTCCGATCTCTGCAAACCGAACAAGGCCCTCAGGACAACGTTAAAGGCGTTCCTTCGCACGGAAGAGAAGAAGCGGGAGAAGGAGCGACAGGAAAGACAGGCAGCACAGCCTGCTACCTCTGACGAGGCTGCACCTGTGGAGGAGACCTCGATCAAACAGGACATCCAACAGGGCTCGAATACCGTTGAGGAAACCCCCGCAGGGGCGCCGTTACCGGATACGCAAAACTCTTCGGCACCACAGTCTGCTGATATCGCAGTTGCAGAAGCTGCTGATTCGAACGTCCCCAGCGCGGAACAGAACGGGACGAATGGGCTATCCCAGGTACCGAAATTTCCTCGTTGGTGTATATTACAATCTAGCGCGGATGATTAACAGACTTACAGGACGAACAGCCTGAGCAAATCGCTCCCGATATAGCGAGTCAACCGAATGATGCGGAACAGAAGGAGAACGTCGAAGGCGACAAAACCGAGAATGCAGAAAATACCGAATCCGCTGAACAACCTGAGCAGGACGCCCAGAATGGGGTGACAGGCGCTGGTTTTCCCAATACTATGGGGTTCAACATGAATCCGGGGATGTTTCCGAACATGGCGTGGGGCGCAAACCCAATGGCTCAATTCATGGGCAATGGAATGATGGGTTTCCCCAATCCTATGGGTATGTTTAAAGACGCTTGTTCTTTTATGATGAACAGTCAGCTAACGTTAGTCCTTAACAGCAATGGCCGGAATGGGCATCGACCCAATGGCTGCGAGTCAGGGCATGTTTGGAGGTTACGGGATGAACATGAATGGCATGAGCAATGGCATGAATATGGGGATGGGGATGTACGGTGGTTGGGACGGCTCGCAGAACAATATGTGGAATGGAAGCCAAGATAAATTCAATCCAAATGCTTTCGCGAATGGTATGGGCGCGCAGTTTGGGGACCCGTCTGGCTTTGGCGGATATAATATGTCTCAACCGAACGGAGTTCATCCTCAAATGCAGCAGCAGCAGTTTCCTAACCAAGACTTCCAGAACGGCTATCATGGTCCAGGCAATTACCGGGGTCGCGGCCGTGGATACTACTCCGGTGGCCGTGGTCGTGGTGGCTACAGCGGCCATATGCAGCCTAGTTTCCCCCATAATGCTAACTCTGCGTTTCAAGATAATGCCTCTAACGGAGACCAGCCCGCACCTTCACAACCCGAGGAAGGCGCAGCAGATGCAACGGCTGCTGATGACACCCAGGTTTCGGAGGGAAAGAACATGGCAGACGGACCAACTGCAGCTAATGCAGCCCCCAACGACCCAGCTTCAAATGACTTAGACGACAAGACCAGTGGTGGTAATCTGGACACCACGCCTAGCGCTGGTGGCCAACCTGACCAAGCCGTGAACGCGGAAGATCAGCTGCAGGGCATTCCCACCATCGATAGTCTTAACCAACCGAATAATTTCGGAGCCATGGGTGCACCGGCTCATATGCATCAAGGCTTCAATAGAGGTGGTGGCTATATGCGCGGAGGCTTTCACGGTCGTGGCGGCAGCTTCGGTGGGCAGCAGTTCATGCCAGGACCAAATATGGCGCCCCGAGGACCGGGCGTTGAGGGTGCTCCAGCTGCGCCGAGAGCGATGAGGCAGGGTCTGCCAAACACTAGCGTTTTCCGGCAGAGGAATTTCCAGCCAGCCGGCCGTGGCTCCATCCAGCCCGGCAGAGGCCCTGAAGCTTCAGATACGTAAGTTGCTACCTGAAATGCGTGTCATTGTCAATCATTGAGCTGACGAGTATTTTGCAGCCCGCATACTGAGCCAGCCTCTGAAGAGCAGCCTCAGTCGACATCCCGATCTATCTCTAGAGCAAGATCGAGGTCCAGGCCAAGGTCGAAATCCAGAAGCAGGTCTCGATCTCCCATGCGAACCCGGTCGAACAGCCGTCGAAGGTACCGTCCGCGCTCTCGGAGCGCTGAGAACAATGCAGCCGACATTGATCGGCCGCGGGAGCGACGAAGAAGGCCTCACGATGATAGAGACAGGATTGCAGAAGACGAGCGCCGCACTCGGTCGCCGTCCATCGAGTCTCTTAGGTCATCACGCAGGGACAAGGAACGAGACCAGCGTCGCAGTCGTCGCAGTCGTCGATCTCACCGTCGGCGCAGCCGCAGCCGCAGCGCAAGTGCTGATCGCAACGGTGATAGTCGTGACAATGATCGCCTCGCTTCCATTGCCGAAGAGAGAAGCAGCTCCAAATCTCGAAGTCGAAATGATGAGCCCCTAGAGAGTTCGAGCCATATCCACCGGTCTGGAAAGGACCGTTCAAGCCGACGCGAAGAGGATCGAGAACGGGACAGAGATGCCCGCCGACGTGACCGGGACCGTGAGCGCGACCGCGATCGTGACCGAGACCGAGACCGTGACCGTGATCGTGATAGATACCGCGAAAGAGAGAGGGACCGCGATAGAGAGCGAGATCGCCCTCGAGACCGAGACCGAGACCGCAAGCGGTCTCGACGGGACCGGTCTGAATCTGCCGTCGACGATGATTATCAATCAAGAAAGGCCAAACGAGGCCGTGAAGACGATGCCCGCGCCTCTACCACTATCAGAGACCGTCCAAAAGATACGAAGGACACAAACCCCTCCGAACCCGAGAAAGATCCTCATACCCTAGAACGCGAAGCCCGCAATCGCGAACGTCTGCTCAAAGAACAGCAGCGGCGTGAAGCAATGCAAGCTGACCGAGACACCGCCAAATCCAGCCGCCGACGCGACAGCCGTCAGGAACGAGGTGGGCGTCGCCTCAACTACAAATATGATGATGAGAGCGATGGCGCGAGGGCAGCGAGGGTTGAAAGGGAGCGAGAGGCGAGCCGGTGGGAATAAGCATTACACGTTCTTCCATCATCCACCATCTACCTCTTCCTTACCTAGAGAAACTCAAGATGTACCTATCACCATTGCAACCAAAAGTTAGCATATAGACGGTGGTGTTCGGTTGATCGCCGAAAACAGCAGAACAATTGTTGTTGGTAAATCATGGCTAGAAGGGGTTCTTGAAGGGTATTATTAGTTGTGCGTAGTTGATAGTTGCAATATGAACGGTTGCATGATGCTATCCTTCAAAGTAATCGATTTGCCAACTTGTACTCGCGCATCGAGAAAGTATGTAGATGATGACGAGGTTAAAGGCTGTTAGGACTTAGGTAAAGAGCTATGTCGCAACAAGAAATGCAAGGAAAGTGTAGAAAGGCAGTAAATCATATCGCACATCTGCCCAGACAGCAATGACGTGGAACCATGGGGAGGACAATGAAAATGGCACAGCCTCACCCAGATATCAGTTTTAATCTTCTTTCTTCAAGACATAATAGGAAGGAGATGGGAAGTAGAGCAGCTGGTGATGTTGACTCTCGTCTAGGCTGAATAATTGACAAGAAAATCAAGTCAAATAAAGCAAATCATGGAGGAAGATACTTGGAATAAGTGAATAAGTAGGTAAGTGGTTATATGGGGAAGTATATGTAGATAGTAGTATTGTAGAGTACAAGGAATTGAACAATGGCAATCGCAAGCGCAATATCAAAGTTACTGAGATGCAAAGCAGAAGGCTAGCCCAGCTTAGCCTTAAGAGACTCAATTTCGGCAGTGAGGTTCTGGACCTGCAGGGCCTGGGAAGCGATGGTCTTTGTTTGTTCGGCGAGGAGGTCTTTAATGGCGCCGATTTCGCGCTGGACGGCGTCAGCGGGGACGGGGCTGGCGCCGGCGGCAATGGAGCCGGTGGTGCTTGCGAGGGGCGAGGCTGGTTGAGCGCTGAAGGGACTTTGAGCGGGAGACTGGGAGCGCTCGGCGGGGGCGGGGGAGGCCTGGGGGTGGTTAGAATGGCTTGCTGATCCTAGGGTGATGGGTAGGTTTGCATAGCTTACCGAGACTGGGGAGGAGGTTTTGATGGGGTCTTCCTTTTGCAGGAATGGGCTGTCCTTAACGCTGGGTGAGGCGGTTTCTGAGCGGGTAGCGCGCTCGACTGACTTGGAGGGCTCATCGAAGCTGGACTCCTCTGCGGGTTCAGCTTCCTCGTCGTCCGCAAACTTGTTGACCATTGCAGCCATGGAGGCACCCTGTTCCTTCATGGATGGTGCTGGCCTGGCGACAGGTGTTGGCTCCGGAGTGGGCTCGGGGGTCTTCTTTACGGGAGAGGCGGGCTTCGCCTCCGGTTCAGCCTTAGGCTCAGGCTTGGGCTCAGGCTTGGACTCAGTGCCCAAGCTAGAGGTGGGCTTGTCCTGGACACCAGTTACTTCCTTCAAGCCCTGGCCGTCGTAGAGGCTCCCCATGGAAATCTTAGGAGGGATTGCTTCCTTGCCAACAAACCACTCTGAGGCGCTCATGGCAGGCTTCAACCCAGTGGTAGGTGGGTAGATGTCATCCTGGAATGTCTCGGCCCGTCGAGGAACAATGAAAGAAACCGGCTCGATGTAAGTATCGTTGACGGTCTTGAAGGCGCGTGTAACCTCGTTTTCGTGCATGTTTACACCGCGCTTGGGCATGAAAGCAATACCGCGTTGGGGATCTGCGGATTTGTATTCGGACAAGTATTCGAACTTGTCGTTTTCGAGCTCAAAGTATCGGATGTTGCCATCACCTCTACCAGCCAAATACAGGCACTGAGTACCATCGTCCCAGAACGGCATGCAAACTCCGGAGATAGAGTCAAGAGTTTTGAACCCATCAATTGGCAGTTGAGGGGATCGGATATCCCAGAGGGCGAGTTGGCGATCACTCATCTTGGAGAAACCAGTTGTAGCAAACCTGTCCCGCTCGCCCAGCCACACCGAACGACTGTTCTTCGCTCCTGTATGACCTGGTCCTTCGTGCGCAGGGCGCTCTTGACGTACATCCCAGACGCGGAGCTTCTTGTCGCGAGAAGTCGTAACGAGAAGGGAGCCGTTTGCGCTCCATGATTGCGATTGCACGATATCACCGACATTCAAAGTCAGCTTAGACGCGCCGGCCTCGATATCCCAGATCTTCACGGTATAGTCTCCGGATGCCGTCGCAAGGATGTTCTCAGCCGCGGGGTTGAAGAGCACGTGCCCAACCTTCCTGTGACAGGCGTGAGTTTGTTGATCGCACGCAGGCGCATGTATGGATACTCACTTGGGATGACCACTGAGCTTGCCAACGGGCGCAACGTCTTGGATATCGTCGGCATCTACGTCAGGAGAAGTCGTGAATCCCTCGGGGACCCTCCAGAGGTAAACCTATACAACGTTTAGTCCGGGCCGGGCCGTATCTGATTCGAACACTAGACAACCATACCCTGCCATCATCGGAACCAGATGCAATCAAATCATCGTTGAAAGGGTTCCTATGTACGTTGGCTTCTCTGGACCATTGCGACGAGAGTAGTATAGCCCATCCTTACCAGTCTGTATCAAGAACGACCGCGGTGTGGCCACGGAATAGGGGTATCCGCTCGGGGAGCTTGCCCCGTTCTTCCAGGGGTATAACAGCGAAAGCGCCTCCACCACCAGCTTCCCAGTTCACGGACAAATATTTAGGGTTGACCTAGGGGGTTGTTAAACGGTCTCGGAGTTGGCGGGCGACTGAGGAGCGGTGACACGAACCTTGACGAGGTTGGTATCCCAGGCATTTCGCGATACACGAAGGTTGTCATAACATTGTTCCTAAACAGTTGTAAGTCGTCTGCAATCGTCTGAGCGGTCGAGGATCGCACCTTTCGGGTCTGTCGTCCGAAGACGTGGCCTGCTACCTGTCAGATTGCGGGCAGGAGGAGGGGAGAGACAAACTTACGGTACTTGGATGAACGCACGAAACGGCCAGACATGATGCTGGGTATCAGAAGAACCAAAATGCAGGCTCAAAAAAAAGAAACCAATGCAAGAAAGGAGAGAAACTGAAACTGGGGAGGGGGATGAATCCAGGAGGCTGCTCGAGGGCGATAGCAATTAAGAATAGTAACGGTGTTAATTACGGGGCCGGCAAGCTTGATGCTGGTCGGCACCGCCACGTGGAGCAGACTGAAGTTAACGGTACTTTGATAGATCTGTCAAACTGACCAAGGAGCAGGTCAAGATCTCAATTTCATCAGAAATTGAACCACGAGTTCATCAATTGATAGACACAATAGTATGAGCATGACCCTGAGACAATGAAACCCTGTGACGCCGTTACCACTAGTACCGCAAAGGCCTAGTGCCTCCCCGCGGAGCGCGGCTGAGTCAGCAGAGACTGTTTACCGCCCTCGTCGCTCCAGAAACCAACTCAAAGCAGTTCAACAATCAATCAAGATTCAAGACTAGAAGCCAGTCAGTGTCAACCCGCTTCAAAGATAGCTCCCCCACCCACCGACCACGCAGCTCAGCTGCTGATACGCTGCATTGCTTTGACTTGTTTATCGTCGTCCTTGCATAACCTCGACCTCACATCATTCGCATACCGTACAGTCGCCGGTGAGGACGCCATTATGGAGAACGTCAGTTTGGGACTTCCTGCAATAGCTCTCCGAGGCAGGACACCCCCTAATAATGTCTGCCAGATACAATCGAAAACGCAGGGATTGCGCATCCCCGGACTCAAAGAGATGAATTCTTCCGGGACGAATTCTCGTTCGAGGCTGCCGAAGCCAGGCGCAATTGCTAGCAAACCCACCGCAGTGCCTCGTGAGTAGCAGGAACACCTCTATGCGCGGATCGCCATCTGACAGTAGCAGAGCCGACCCGTACGAGGAGTACCACCGAAAGCACACGGACAGGCGCAGGTACGCTGTCCGCGACACGATCTGCGACCGGAACGACAAAATCCCATACCCGCGCCAACTCGTACGCAACCTCTTCCACCTTGACCAGATCGGCCTCAGCGGCTCCGCGACCCAGAGGCCCGCTTACATCGTCGACTATTGGTCGCCCCAAGACCTCAATGAGTACCTCCCGGAGACCGAACGGATATTCAGTCCCCCGACCAGCAACATCCCTAGATACCCATCAAGAGGAGCGCAGCTACGGAGGACTAGGAAAACGTAAGGGTATGCACACATCTCCGCTCTTGATATCCCCGCCCTCCTCCCCTACCCCAGTGTTCTCCGCATGGAGAGCCCCTTTTGACTCTCCGAGGGCGAGGCGTGCCGCACAGCCCGACTTGTCTCCCCTCCTGGAGCCTTATCTGGAGCCCTACCATAGCGAGATGCCACTATGTTCTTTCATGGAGGACTTGACCTTGGACCCGTTTCCTGACGAAATCGTGAGCCCTAACATGGTTTTCAAACACAACAGAAACCCCAGTCTCAGTCCCTCGAAAATACCCGTCCCCATCCCAGCACAGATTTTCCCGTCTAGCCCCCAAACGCAAGTCCGTTACCCACTGACAAGGAAACGACCCCCATCCCCTGGATTTTTGACAAAAGAAACCACGATCAAGTCTTTTAACTTTTCTGCAGGCGGCGAGTGGGACCAAGAGGCTCGGGAACAGAACGTGGAGTACTTTGTGGATGCCTTTATGGATCGTTGGACTCAGCAAGGGCAGGATGTATCGGGTTACAAGGAGTTGGCCGATATGTACAAGTCACGAGGTAGGTGACCCCTGAACCGAGCAGGAATTGAGCTCACATGTTTGAAATACAGTCGGTGAACTTGAAGAAAAAGGGAAAGCCCAAACGGAGGAAAACATACGTTTTCGCGCTGAACTTGAACAGAGCAGGTTACGCATCGCGGCGGCGGAAGACGCCTTGAGACATGCCCAGCGGGATCACGAGATCGCATTGGACGAGCTCGTGTCTCGTCAGCGTGCAGAGAGTGAATCCGTCAGGTATGAAGGCCAGAAGAGCCTTCAGGCATTACAGGCACAACATGAGTCGGAGGTCGACGAACTGAAACGACGATTTGAGCGTGACTTGGAGGACGAGAAGTGTGCGCGACTTCGAGAAATGAACAAGCTTCACTCACAGACCGCTCTTGATGCCCAACTCTCGCAAATTGAACTTGATAAAACAATGAAGGAGCTTGCGGCAACCCGAGATGATCTCCAATCAGTCCGGGCCGAACTTGATCGGGAACGAAAGAATACCAATAATCTCCGGCACAATCTGGATACTGCCACTTCCAACAGCGTAACCTTGGAGTCTACCATCAGCGCGCTAAAGGCCAGAATTGAATTCCTAGAGTCTGGACGGGAGGAGCAATCCGAGGCTTTTGAACGGTTGAACCAGCAGATGATGGATGCTATGGCCGAGACTAACACGGCCAAAGAGAAGCTCAGAAGGGAAGAAACCCTCAGGCGCAAACTACACAATCAGGTGCAGGAACTCAAGGGCAACATTCGGGTGTTCTGCCGTGTCCGCCCCACGTTAGGAAACGAAGGTGTTTCGGATGCAGCTCAATTCACGTATCCGGACGAGACCGAGGATTCCAAGGAAATCAACATAATCGGCCCCGAGGAGAAGAGCACTCTTGGAACGGTGACGAGAAAGAACCACAATTTTTCGTTTGACCACGTCTTCGGTCCGTCAGCGCAAAACGGCGACGTTTTCGACGAGATCAGCCAGCTTGTACAGAGCGCCCTCGACGGATACAATGTCTGTATCTTCTGCTACGGCCAGACCGGGAGCGGTAAGACTCACACTATGTCCTCGCTGGACGGCATGATCCCCAGAGCAGTGCATCAAATCTACGAGACGGCCACGAGCCTCGAGGAGAAGGGCTGGAGGTACACGATGGAAGGCAATTTCGTGGAAGTCTACAATGAGAATCTGAATGATCTCTTGGGCAAAGCCGAAGAGCTGGACAAGAAGAAGCTTGAGATACGACACGATATGCAGAAGGGCAAAACGATCATCACCGATGCTACCACTGTGCAACTCGAATCCCCAGAGATGGTTGAATCCCTCCTTAAGAGAGCGGCAGCCAATCGCTCGGTGGCGGCTACCAAGGCGAACGAGCGCTCGTCCCGGTCCCACTCAGTCTTTATTCTCAAGCTCATCGGCGAGAATTACATCACCGGCGAACGCAGTGAAGGAACCCTAAACCTGGTCGACTTGGCTGGTTCCGAAAGACTAAGCCACAGTGGTGCAACTGGAGACAGGTTGAAGGAGACGCAAAACATCAACCGCAGCTTGAGCAGCTTGGGAGATGTGATTGCAGCTCTAGGGCAGGGCAAGAAAGAGGGCCATATTCCTTACCGAAACAGCAAGGTACGCTCCATTGACATATCGCAGAATGTAGAACCACTCTAACGAAATCACAGTTGACATATCTTCTCCAATTCTCGCTGGGCGGGAACTCGAAGACCCTCATGTTCGTCATGGTCAGCCCATTGCAAGCCCATCTCTCCGAGACCTTGACTAGTCTCAAGTTCGCCACAAAGGTGCACAACACCCACATTGGAACGGCAAAGAAACAGACTCGCGTCCGCGACGTCTAAACACACGCTCAACTATATCCCTTCTTGTTCTAATTCGCTTCGTCTTTGCTTGGCCGCTATGACCCTGGCCCTCTTTTTTCCATGTTTGGTGTCCGGGCGTCTATATCCCCCTCCTCTTGCTTATGCTGTTCTTTTGGAGATATTACCCCTGCACATCTGCCGCTATCCCTTGTTTGGTTCTGCTCTTTATACATAGGTACACGGTACACGGTACACTACACGCTACACTCTATGCTCGCGCTGACTTGTATGGGTTGCGTTGATTGGTTGGTTTGGTTCGATTTGATGGATGGATGGGATCGCGGTTTCGATTGGATTTAGCTTAATGATAGTTACCTGGTTAAAGTAGTAGTATTTACCTTCAATGCCATGAATACCATGTCGTTTTCTTGCCTATAAATGCTTGCCTGTTCCGCTCTCTTGTTTTGTGTAGATGGTGATGGTTTGACTTATTACGACTGTGATGATATATCCTGGACATAGCTGTCATGTCTCATAGTTAACCACTAGAGTAAGAAATGATTCAATACATCTGATAACGTTTTCCATCAAGTTATTGGTTTATATATAATATAGAATGCTGTAATGGTACGGCACAGTGAGAGCTGCACCTACCTGGAGTTTATTCTCTCCAACAAGAATCGCACCGTCCCAAGCGGGTATATATCGTCTATCCATCTATAACTATAACTACATCCAGACCCGGAGATCCCGTACATCCGGTCCCAATATATGACAAGCACTTCGCTCATTCAGACGCCTCATCCGTCGTCGACCCATTCCCACTCCCACTGCCACCCTCCCCCTCACTCGCACCACTCCCCGCCCCAGCCCCAGCAGCAATCTTCGTCCTCGAAAGCGCCGTCCCCGTCGCAGAAAGCGCATCCAGAAAATCACCTAGCAGCCGATCCAATTCCGCTGTTGTGGCGGCTTCCCCCGCGCCTTCCATGAGGACTTGGAGGCGGGGTGGGACAAGGTCGGGGAACTTGATGGGCGACATTCCTGAGATGGATGAGGGGAGGTGTAGGGTTGTGGGGTTGTAGCGGGCTGTGTGGAGGGGTTCGTAGGGTGGTCCATGCCCGGAGTCGGAATCTGTGATGGAGCTTGCGGGCGTGATTCCGATTCCGGGGCCTGGGCCGCTGGGGAAGGGGCGCATGCGCATGTTCATGGGCATCGCCATGTTCATGTGCATGTGCATGTGCATGTCTTTGTGGGGGATTGCGGTGGGGAAGGGCTCGGAGTAGGACATTTGCATTGGCATCGGCATTTGAGGGTAAGGATGTGGTTGGGGTTGTGGAGGAGGGCCAGTGGCGGCGACGTTGTTCTGCCAGTCAGAGATGGGGGTTGTTTCTTCCTCGTCGGGACCGGGCCCTTCGAGTACGGAGGAGCGTGAGTAGCGATTGTAGCCGACGGACGTGAGGAGTTCGGGGTAGTCGTGGTCCATAAATTGTTGTTGCCGCTGCTTGGTTTGTGCGCTGCCGTCTGGGGGCGTAGGGGGTCGGTCGAAGCGGAAGGGGTCATAATCATTGTCGGAGCTTGTGGAGACGTTTGACTGCACGGAGGCAGAGGTTGACGGGCGCGAGATATCTACGTCTCTTTCGCTGTCGCCTGGTTCACCGATGTTGTTATTGCTAGGCTTCGAATCGCCGGCTCTGAGTGTGTCATTGCGGGTAGGGCCATCGTCTTCCTCTGCAGAAGAGCTGTTCTTCGGACTAACGTGGTCGTCATCCGCGGAAGATGTCATAACAGGGAACGTCCATTCCATCGTCGCCCGCTTATCGGACGGATCGAACGCAAGTGGCTCGTTTAATGAGTCCCGAACGATACGTTCAGGTTCGGATTCGGATTCGGCCTCCGCTCCCGAGTCAACCTCTGGAATTGAGTCTGGTGCTGGTTCTTCTGTCGGAGCCGTCATGAACGATGGGAACTTCCAGTCCATGGTCGGTGGACGGGGACCGGTGCGAGGTTGAAAGGTTTCTTGTATGTCGAGACTACTGCCCACTTCGCTGCTCGAAGAACGTGACCGGCCTTCATTGAAGCTGCGGTTCCGCCCGCTGGATCTATTAGCACGGATGGTGTCTGCGTCTGCGAGCTGGAATGGCTGCGCCGTCGTAGCACCAGCGGCATAGTGGGAGGAATCGAACGAGGGAATGTCAATGTCGATGAACGTCGATGTGACGGATGAACGGTCTGTGTCGGTGCGAAGAGGCAGATCAGACACGGGAGCTTTTTCCTCAATTGGCACAAAATCGTTCTTTGTTTCGTATTTATAGCTCGGCTTTTCTTCGTCAAAAAGGCCCTCCATCGCCGCAGCACCTCGGCGCACTCGCTCGTCGAAATTTGCCTTGTCCTGCTCTGTCATCTCGGTATCGGTTGGCTCATCGCTCGGCTCTTGCTGGGACTGGCCGGACGTGTCCTTGACTTCTTGTTCGAGCTCGGCCAATGAAGCCGCCAACTGGTCAAGGTCAATAACGGAGAACCTTCTCTCAAAATCATCCGTGGTACTGAAGTTCCAGTCCTCGTCGATGTCGGACTCGTCTTCTGGCATCTCCGCCGCTGCGGCTCCGCCTGGATGGAACAGAGAGATACGCTGACCGCCGCGCTGAGACCATTGATAGTAAATGCGCACCAGCTCGCCCAAGGATGACGTCGGGTACTCTTCCTCTGAGTTCGCGATATAAGGATGCATCAAGATGTCTGCCATTGAAGGCCGAGTGATCGGATCGGAGTTCAAAGCAAATGCTACTAGATCCCTCATACCTTCGGGATATTTATCGTTATCGGCTAGTTGAGGTGTTTTCCTGTTTAACTGTCTGCCAATCTGCATCCTCTCCCGCAGGTTTGCGTTTGGTGGATTTCCAGTGGCGAGTTCAAACAGCGTACATCCGTATGCCCAAACGTCAATCTAGGGTTGTCAGCGACAGTCTATGGCCAGAGTTATGTACGAACCTCGCTACTATACTGATGCGCCTGGTTACCAGAAAACATTTCTGGCGGCATCCAGTGAGGAGTACCGATCCAGGTCGACCGCTTATCCTGTTGTGATTGGAGTATACCGGCAACACCAAAATCACATATTTGCAAATTTCCCTCCTCGTGGATAAGGACGTTGGCGGCTGGTATGGTTAGCGAAGTGTTTTCATTAGCTTATATTGCTAGCTTACCTTTAATATCTCGGTGAATGATGCCAGCATCATGTATAGCACGTAGGCCGGCAGCCAACTCACGGGCCACCGGAATAGCAAACTTCTCTTCGAGCCGGTCACCAGTCGCACGCATCTAATCTGTTAGCGGCGAATGGTACCCTAAAAGGCAATATTAGGTGACCTACCAGAGTCCTAACACTGCCACCAGGGCAGTACTCGCAAACCAACCAGAGTTGCGAATGAATAGATACAGCCTCGATAATCGCATTGATATTCTTCGCCCCTGAATCCTTAACCTGCTTCATCACCTTCGTTTCATGAATAAAGTCCTTTATCGACTCATCTTTGAAGTCGCGCACAGACTTGTAATCCAACGAGTCGATGTCCAAAACTTTAATAGCAACAACTTCCCGAGACGGCAGCTGATGGCCTTTATACACACGGCCGTAAGCACCCTTTCCAATTAGCTCCTCAAACTCGTAAGCGGGAGGTTCCGTCTTTGCTCTGCGGCACATCTCGCGGACGGCGGCGCCTTGCTCGCGCGCTAGCCTGATGGCCTCTGCTTTGTGCTTCGTGATGGCCGCCATCGCGGACGTGGGGTCCAGGAAGCGGGAGGCGCGGGGGGGCTCCATGATGTCGAGCTGTCAAAGTATACCGTAAACTGAGACAAGTCTTGAAAGCTTTGCAAAGGATATAGATAACCCTAGAGACGCAAGAAAGTGATAGCGTCGAGCTAAGTGCTGATGTTTCAGAGTGACACCGACTGCACAGAGCCAGCAAAAGGAGAGCCCAGCCGCGACCGCAAGCCCCTTCCTAAAGTGCAGAGAAAAATGCTGAGCTCAATTCAATTGAGTCTTGATCGAAATTCGAGATAGTGAGGTGAAACACGAGGTCGCTATCCATATAGAGCAAAAGGATTGAGTTGCGAAATGCTAAAGCCTCCAAGCCAAACCGTGAGGCTGGGAAGCTTGGAACTCAATGCCACGATTCTTCCTTGCCGTAGAACCAACTGAGGGCATAAAGTCTCAACGAAGTCCAGCCGTCGAGACCACGTTTAATGGAGTTTCAAAGCGAACCAACCACCTAACGGCCAGCGATAGTCGCGCCCCAATTCAACCTCGAAATTTTGATGTCGTCCAGCCCGCACCAGGCAGTTGATCATGGCATTATCCTTTTTATGAACTGCTGCAATGCGAGAATATGCTGCACTTTCCCGACCGTCGAAACAATAAAGACAAAGGATAGAAGAGGCGTGGACGCTGTAGGTTGGGTTCGCGAAGGTCTGGGCATGCCAAGAATCCCTGCACCACGCTAGTTTAGCGTCCGCGAGAAGATTGGATCAACCAAGAGATCTCGCCGCTCGGTCTTACTCTGTACAACGTTGGCAGCATCTCTGCAGATTGTAGACGCTCTGGTCGGATCAATGCCCCGGCCTCTCCAAGTTTCAGCTCACATGATGTGACTCACTCCCGCAAATATAGATCTAAGAGAGCGAGGTCCTGCTATCCCTTCTGTAACAATCGAGTTCCTAGCCGAAGACATGGAGCAGGAAATGAGCCCCAACTACTACGAAATCCTAGGCATTCCCCCGACCGCAAGCGCAGGAATCGTCAAAAGGGCCTACAGGGTCATCGCGCTCGCCAAACACCCAGACAAGAACCCGTCTCCAGACGCAACAGCTGAGTTTCAGCTCGTGGGCATAGCCTACGAAACGCTCTGCGACGCAGACAAACGGCAGCACTATGACACGCATATTTACCCCAAAGTACTCATGAGCAGATCCAGATCTCAATCCAGCACTGATACAGCAGGACAAGACGCGAACAAGAAAGGAAGCCAAAGCCAAAGCCAAAGCAAACGGGATACCAACCCTCAAACCCCGGAGGAAAAACTAATGGAGCGAATGGAGCGTAAGCTCGCGAGGAAAATACTTAACGAAGCCTATGCCCTGAATGACAGATTGAAGACGGCAAAAGCTCACATTGCTAGCCTGCAGCAGCAACTAGGTCGGATTTTGGAGCAGAGAGCCGCTAATGGGCCATCGGCTGATTTGGGCTGGAGGCAAAATACCGTTGAGCATCAGATTGCGAAGGCGCAGGAGGAAGTCATGTATTGTGAGTCTGGGATTAGACTCCGCCTTCGGGCAGCTCAGATGTCCAGAAAGTGGTAGCATAGCAGCTCCGAAGGGAACAGGAATCTATTTTGGGGTTAGATGTACTGGGTTTGTTATGTCTTGGAGTTACTGGATGGCATGCCAAGTTTTGGAGGCGTTTGCTATGGAAAGCTACTCCATTTTACAGCTAAGTTAGTTAATTACATTGCTGTTTGAACCAAAAAGAAAATCATCTAAATTCATTAATTACTGGTTTGCCATCTATATTTTACCCGAAAACATGTAGGTAGTGGTCGTCACAGCCGTATATACAATCTATAGCTTGAACTCAACCCGGAGCGCATCACCAAAGCGCCTGATAGCTTCAGTGATGTTCTCTTCACTGGCGGAGGCGAATGTAGCACGGAAGAACAGCTTATCCTCGCTCAAGCCGGCAGCCTTGAACCAGCTTCCACGCGACACAAGGACGCCGTTGTTGATAGCGGCATGGAAGAGGGTCTCTTCAATCGAGTCGCGCGTCTTGCCAGAGGTGAGTTCGGGGTGTTTGTTCCAGTCGATTTGAATCCAGTGCTGCGGCAGATGTTAGTACTATTTAGTGAACATTGGGTTGGACCGAACTTACGAACATGCCCGCTGCAGGGGCAATCCAGCTAGCAATTTCCTGAGGGAGGTGCTTCTCGCAAGCCTGGACCATTATGTCTCGGCGACTGGTGTACTGCATGCGCAGGTTGATGAGCCACTCGAAGTAGCCGGGATGTCCCCAGTGCTCGTCCAGGAGCTTGAAGAGCATCAACTGAGAGATACCGCTCGGGTGTTGGGCAGAGACTTCGGTGTTTCGGAGGAAACGTTCAATGACCTGCTCAGATCCTACAACCCAACCGGTGCGCGAACCAGGGGCGAGCACCTTGGAGAATGATTCGATGCGAAGAACACGACCATCAGTATCAATGCTCAGGTATGACGGAATAAGCGACTTGATGAACTCTTCGTGGTTGGCAGGAGGCGGCACCGGCTCGGTATCGGCACCGGTATACGGCTGCATTTGCAGGAAGTAGTATGGCTCATCCTCGATGATGTAAACGTCGTGCTTCTGGGCAACCTTGTAAATCTCCTTGCGTCGTTCCACAGACTGGGTTGCGCCTGTAGGATTCTGGCCGGTGGGAATGGTGTAGAGAACGAAGGGCTTCCGAGCACCGCGGGCCTCCTCGTCCCAGTTGCTCAGGACATGGTCCAGGTCCCCAGGCAGCAGACCTTGTTCGTCCATCTTGACTGGGGCAACGTTGACTCCCTGGGGAAGGGCGGTTTCCTGGGCGCTAGAAAAGGTGTATTCTTCCATCAAAAGGTAATCGCCCCTTTCGCAGAACAATCGGAGGGCCGTGTCCCAGGCGTAGGTGCTTCCGGCGGTCAGAGCACATTGCCAGTCGGAGTAGGGCGGGTTATGGATGAGCTGCGCACATTAGCATTTTTTTCAGCACATCACGAACACCCTCTCCCAACGCACCTCGGTATGTTCCGTCACGAATCTGAGCAATTGAGGAGATCCGGTCGACTGCCCATAGTTCAGAGAGACCTCAAGGTCATACAAGCTCTTGCCCTCACGGATATCATGTTTCCCTGCCACCAACGAAGTACCAGACTGCCGTGTAGCTTCGGGAGAGAACCCAGGCGGAGTGGGGACTTTGAAAGAGAGTTCCTCGAAAGGGAAGTATTCGGGGGATGGCAGTCCGCCGCCCAAGGAAATGAGGCCTACGACAATAGATCGTTAGCCCTAACTGGAGGCGACAAAGCTTAACGACCTCTTACCCGGATTCTTCAGGAACTTGGCGGCTCCCTTCAATGTAGAAGTCTTGCGCGACTTTGCCTCAAGGGTGAAGAAATCTAAGACATATACCATTAGCGGCGGGACGAAAGATAACAATGCGCTGGAGACATACGGTCCAATCTCTTCGACTTTGGTTTGGTATAGCAAGCCTATCATTCCCAAATCAGCGTCCATCGACATTCGCAAAGCACGCCACTACGGTACGGAACCCACCGGACTCTTGAACATATCACTGCTGGTAGCAGGCGCAACCCCAGCAGGCATAGGGGCGCTCTTCGCCCTCAAAGCAGCAATACCATCAACAGTCAATGGCTTGGGAGCACCATTGCCGTTGATTTCCACATCCAAAGCCGCCGGCGGGGACATCTTCAGGTCGTTTGCGCAAGTTTATCGATCGGTTTCAATGCGGGTGTCGAAAGACGTAGTGTGGTGGTGCTAGATGTAGGCCGCGATAGCTTCACCCAGCGAACAAGATCAAGTGTCCGTGTATATCGTAGATGTAGATATGTCCGTTGCAATCGCGCAGAGGCAAGGTGAGTCACGATCTTTTATCTTTTTCGGTCTTGGGTGGATCGGTCCCGACGGGAATGTTTGGAGGCACGCCGCGGTTTGACCGCCATCTTTAAATCGGACACTGCGGAGCGCAAGCAAACTGATCCTGAAAGAAGCAAGTTTTCGTTATCTAATTGGAGTCAGCAGCTCGAGCTTTGGTTCGTCGCCCTTGAGGGGAAAATGTGATCATGGAAGGGCGTGATCTGTGGAGAACCAGAACGGATAAGCTTGTGCTCCGTATTCGGCGTATGCGTAACATGCGCCGCTCAGATAAGGATAGCATCGGAGCGTTGTGGCCATGGCCGGCCACCGGGCCAATTTTCTGTGTCAATAACGATCACTTGACTTGAACAACAACATTGCTCAACATACTTGCCCTGCATTATTGGTTGGTATGATACTGCTGGATTCAAACCATTGTTATCCAAATCATGGTCCTGTCATCTCTAAATGAGTCTTCTAGAAACCAGCAAGCAGGACATGGCCAAAACTCACTGGGAGGATTTGAAAGCGCCATGGCGTCGCCACGTCAACTGCTGCCTTCACAAACAGACTAGTACATCTTTATAACAAAGAATTCGGGGAACTGGCCGTCCCAGCGCTATGGAAGGATTATAGTGTGATCCTCCAGTGTTTTATTCAACCTGGTCGCTATAACTACCAATGCCCCCCTTGCGTGTTATGACTGTTGTTATGTCGTGCCTCGTGCTTGGACCTTGTTGGTTTACTGTGTTGTCGCCGTCGGAGTCAATTGACAATTCTGAGGGGTTTTCCTAAACCAAAGGTGAGGTAGACTACAAGGAAACTTCAGATGCCGCAACCTGAATAAGATCTGTCGCGACTGCTCAATTCACGTCGATATTAGGTACCTGATTATCCGTGGCCATCAAATCCGGCAGTGACCACAATTGGAAAAAAAAACAACAACATACTCTTTCGCTTTACTCACTAACATCATCTCGCCGACTATCTGCCCCTCGACAGCAAAAGATGACACCGTCAACACATCTTTCTGACATCCCTTCGACCATGCGCGCTTGGGTACGCCAACGACGTGGCCCTGCAAACAGCGCACTTGAGCTGGTCAATGATTTGCCGACACCCACTGTGCCAATAGGCTCGTCATCCGACGTGCTGATCCGCGTCTCCCACGTCTCGCTGCAAGTCAACTCTGAGGCGCTTATAAAGTTGCTGCCCAGGCTGCCTCTTACTAGCCCGGGGGTCCCGGAGATCGAGCTATCTGGGGAGGTAGTGGCGGCTGGAGAGGGCGCGCCGGCGGAAGTGCGCGATCCTGGCACGCATGTCGTCGCCTTTCAGAACATCCCGGCTTGGGTGGTTATGGGCCGCGGCGTACTAGCCGAGTACGTGCGACTACCCGGCAACCAGGTTGCGCGTATTCAGTCCACAGTTGATATGGCGTCGGCATCTGGCATCCACGGTTGTGGTAGCACCGCACTCAGGATGATTCGTACGGCGGGCGTGCGTCACCGCCACACAGTACTCGTGAATGGTGCCAGCGGGTCGGTCGGATCAATGCTCGTCCAGTTGTGCAAGCTGCGCGGGGCCAAGGTGGTAGGCGTAGCCAGCGGCGGCAACGAGGACATGGTTCGTGGATTAGGCGTAGATGAGGTACGTAGAGAGCGTTGTGGCCACGGATTTCAGGTCTTGACGGAGACTAACGGTATCCAGTTTATTGACTACCGAAAGCATGACCCGCTGCAAGACTACCTAGCCAAGCAGTACGGCAGCAAGCAGTTTGACTTTATCCTCGACTGCGTGGGCACGCAGGCTCTATATGCCAACTCCCCAGCCTACCTTAAGCCCGACGGCGCTGTAATTAACGTCGGCGTGCTCGAGGGCCTCGGTGCTGCAACACGCAACTACCTAGTCAACACCTGGCTACCCACTTGGCTGGGTGGTGTGCCGCGCCGCTATATCATGTTCAGCACGCCGCCCAATCGTGACGACACCATCTACATAGCGGACCTGGTCGAGAAGGGCGTCGTGCGCGTTTCCGTCGACACAGTATTTGGCATGGAGGATGCCCTGGACGCGTACAAGCGCATCGCTACTAAACGCGCGCGCGGCAAGGTCGTGGTCAAAGTGCGCAGCGATTAGCTGTGACCCCAGGGTTTTGTTTATCGGCTTCCTGTTCAATCATCTGTCATTCCCTCATTTTGGAGAAGATGCTCGATTCCACGGTACTGCTTTCAATCTCTCGAAAATAGCCAAATAAGATTTTGATTGGCCAAAGACAATTTTTTGCATTTCCGCTGTAACCTCGTCATTTTCCCAGATGGCTTGCTTATCAGTCACGTGGATGCCCCGCATTTGCTTGCGTGCAGGTGGAGGGAACGTGCCGGTACGTCATCTGCTGCGGCTGAGAGCCTCGAGCAGCAAGGTTGATCACGGCAGCGATGCGACTCCTACGATCAGGGCAGAGGAGTTGGCAGTCGTCATTCTAAAAACTGTGCCTCCTATACTTACGGTTACATTCGCCCAAAACGTGTACGATGTAGCGATTTTCAGTCCCTTGTTCTTCTACAGAGAGGCTTTCCATACTTCTGTCGTGTTCTAGTGCCTTCTTGTAGAGAGATGCAGGCAGGATGCGATAATATTGCAGGCTGCCATTTTCGTAGGATACTACGTGGATGACCACAGCCACGTTTTGTCAATTTCTGTGAATATGGTGTTTCACCTTATCTAAGGAGGGAAATTGCCTATTGAGTCACCCCTCCCCGGCAAAGACGCCCTATATAAACCCGGTCTCCCCACCTTCGGCTGAAGGACCCCTTTCAACAATCTACGATCCACCACTTCTATCACCGCTCTGAAAGCACATCTCGCATCTCCTGCTACTCCGTTCACTACCCATACCGCAAGTCAAACAACCAAGATGCCTCTCTACAACGTTCGTCTCACTACACTCTGTTTGGCTGCTCACTTGGGTACTAACACACCCCTTTTCCAGGTCACTCTGAAGAAGGACTCTCCCATCGAGGAGCTCCACAAGTAAGACTTCCCACAACTTTGCCAACGAAGACAGTCGCTAACCACGCTTCCCACTATAGGGCCAAGGAAGCCGCTCGCGAGAAGGGAGGAACCATCAAGCACGAATACACCCTCATCAAGGGCTTCACGTAAGCCAAACCCATGGTCATCTTACCTTCGAAACAAAGCCTGGCTAACACAGTTTCTAACAGCGTTGAATACCCCGACGATCTCGTTCAAGTCTTCGAGTCAAGCGAGCACATTCACGTCGAGCAGGATGGGGAGGTCAAGACTCAGTGATGGGGTTTTTTTGCGGTCCATTGGCTCTGAGCTGATGAAGCGAGAAATACTTCCGTCTGTGATGTTTCAAGCCGTTATTGAAGCGATGTACGAGTTACGAATCTGATTTTTATGCTTATGACAAGAATACATGGCATTCAACGAGCATTAGTGTTTCCATGCAGTACTGAAGCGTTTCTAGTCTTTTGAGTCTTCGATATCTTGCGACTAGATAGATAGGCGATATTCTGGAACATCGAGACGGTGACATAGCGGGGATCTGTTACAAGTAGTGTTACCATTGCCCCTCATCTCTTGCTGTACAACGCTGCTTGCACTAGATCCCCGCTATCTCGCCGTCTCGATAGTCGATACCTATCTTATCGAAGACGCACTAGCCTTGATGAGCATAGGTGCCAGGCTTATTTTCTTACCAGTTGCTAGAGCCTGGAAATGGAGCCAAGGCATGCAGATATAGTCTTCAGGTTGATGGAGGAACGATGACAGTGCACGTGTTGAACACAAAGTATGTGTAGAATGGTTCGACTGGACCACGTTATCAAGGCTCAAGCGGATGATAACTCCGCACCGAGCTGGCACGTGAGAGCATCTCACCGCGGACGACAACCCGATTTCACGAGAGCTTATCCTGCTCTCAACCCAACTTTCAGCATGGCTTGTGCTTGCTATGGCCGCAACACTCCCTCGTCAGACTCTGTCTGTAGGTTGTGGCCTTCGCAACAGCGCCCTCCACTGTCGTAATCGAATAGCGGCAGTACGCCTATTTGCAACCTCCAGCCATTCCAGACTCACCACGGGAACCCAGAATCTCACTCCCCGAGCAAACGACGAGGTCGCTCAGCTTGCTGCTAGTCGAAGGCGGCCTCTTACTTTAGCTGACCTACTCAAGTGAGGAAGTCCAATTGAATTGATGGAAACGCGAGCTGATGACTAGCTGCTACTAGACACGGCCGTCCGCCATTGTCAAAAGATGCCCTCCTCGCCTCCGCCAACTTCACCCTCTCCCTCCTTCCTGCTCGACTAGCCTCTCGTATCGAAGCGCTCCGGAACCTTCCATTCATTGTAGTCGCAAATCCACACGTCTCCAAAATCTACGGCAACTATGTACACTCACTGTCCACTCTCCTCCCCTGGCAAAAGCGGCAGGTCACGACGCTGGAGGAAGAGAACCAATTCGCTGAAGTGCTAGCAGACCTCGTCCACACACATTCAAACACAATCCCTATTCTCGCGCGTGGATTTCTCGAGTGCCGACGATACATCGATTCCGCGGAGGTAACACGGTTCCTGGATACACATTTGCGTGCACGGATTGGCACGCGGCTAATAGCTGAGCAGCATCTGGCTCTGCATTTCGCGTCGCGGCCTGTGGGAGAGGGTCTAGATGAGCTCCGTGAAGAATCACGGAAGAATACAGAACCGTCGAACTATATCGGAGTGATAGATACCGCTTTGCAACCGGCGCGGATCGTACGGTCGTGCGAGGAGTTTGTGGGAGAGATCTGCGAGTTGAAGTATGGGGTGCGTCCGCGGTTGGAGATTGGCGGGCAGCCGGATGCTACTTTTGCGCATGTCCCTGTACATGTAGAGTATATCCTCACGGAGCTACTAAAGAATGCTTTTAGAGCTACCATCGAGAGTGGGAACGAGCGGGAGCCGATTGAGGTTACTATCGCCGCTGCACCTGATGTCCCTGGCAACCACATGCAATCCCACGAACCGGTTCCCAATGGCAGGCCGTCAGAGGCCGTAAGTACAGGCGCCCAGTTTGACTCCGACAGCGATGTCGGATTCTACCTCGACACTGTTGTCGGCACGGCAGACGCAAACGAGTCAATCAAATTCTCGACCCCATCCTCACAGAGTATAACTCTCCGAATCCGAGACCGCGGTGGCGGTATCTCGCCGGACGTCCTTCCTCAGATCTGGTCATACAGCTTCACGACATTTTCTGATCTAGATATGGGCGAAGGTGGTGGGATCGATGCCCTGAACACGATAAGCTCGAATAGTGGAACGCTCAGCAGCATTGCAGGCCTCGGATATGGTCTTCCGTTGAGTCGCGCTTATGCGGAGTACTTTGGAGGTAGCATTGCCGTGCAGAGTTTGTGGGGGTGGGGAACGGATGTGTATTTGACGTTGAATGGGGTTGGGAAGATTGCCTGACGGTAATCTAGCTACGCTCATGTATGCTTCAGCTTCTATAGAATCGTACCGACTACATAGAACGTCCGATCTGCCGGGAATATATCCTCGGGACTACCACTTGAGTGTGGGGATGTACCCCGCAGCGGAATTGGTGCGAACCCTCAAGCTTTCGTCTAGACGTCTGACGCGCAATACATATGCAAGTTGGGTCTGAGCTGTTGCTCGGCTCCCGGGCTCGGAGATGTTGCCGATGATTGCGCTGATGGAACCTTTATTAAGCATGTTTCCCTCATCCAAGAGACTTTATACTTCTCAAGACTATTCACCTTCTTCTCTCCATACTACGCTGGCGTTGACTCCAACACTATCACCATGTAAGTAACAATCTAACAATATCCAGACTGGATAGACGGAAGATGCTGACAATATATCAGGGTCTACACAGCTTCATTTGCCTTTTTCGAGGCACTATGGGAGGTACGCTTCGCCAATCCCACCAAACTCGCCGATATTAACACTCGAACTAAAGGCCGGCGTCTCCCACTGTTTTGTGAATCTGGGCTCCGATCATCCCTCTATCCTAGAAGCAATGGTAAAAGGCCAGAAAGAGAAACCGGATGAATTCCCCAAGATCATCACATGTCCCAACGAGGTACGCTAACAACACCAATACCACCAACTACTCAACCTGACATACTAAACTTAATACACAGATGGTCGCCCTCTCCATGGCTGACGGGTACGCCCGGCTCACCGGCAAGCCGCAATGTGTAATCGTGCATGTTGATGTGGGCACACAAGGCCTCGGCGCCGCAATCCACAACGCCTCGTGTGGGCGCGCACCGGTCCTAATCTTTGCCGGCTTATCGCCCTTCACAATTGAAGGCGAGATGCGCGGGTCCCGGACAGAGTACATCCACTGGATCCAAGACGTGCCAGACCAGAAGCAGATCGTGTCGCAGTACTGCCGGTACAGCGCGGATATCCGCTCCGGTAAGAACATCAAGCAGATGGTGCATCGGGCGCTGAGGTTTGCGACATCTGACCCACAAGGCCCGGTGTATCTTGTTGGCGCGAGAGAAGTTATGGAGGAGGAGATTGAGCCGTATGCTGTTAGCCCGCATGGGTGGAGGGGCGTTAAGCCGTCTGCCCTCCCGAGTGAGGGGGTCGAGCTTATCGCAAAGGAACTGGCGGAGGCGAAGGAGCCGTTGGTGATTGTTGGATACTCCGGGCGTGATGCGCGTGGTGCGCAGGAGCTCGTCAAGCTGGCGAATACATTCCAGGGAGTAAGGGTGCTGGATACAGGTGGTAGTGATATGTGTTTTCCAGGCAACCATCCGGCGTCCCTGGGGATGCGGTTCGGAATCCACGACGCCATCAAGACAGCGGACTTTATCCTGGTTGCGGACTGCGACGTACCGTGGATCCCGACACAATGCAAACCCTCTGGCTCGGCCAAGATCATCCATGTCGACGTCGACCCGCTCAAGCAGCAGATGCCTGTCTTCTATATCCCCGCAATGGAAACCTACCGCGCCGAATCGGCAACCGCATTTGCGCAGGTAAACGCATATGTCGAGTCCAACGCCGAGCTAAAACAATACACCACCTCCGACGCAAACAAAAGCCTCGGCCAGCGCCGCGAGGAGACATTCCGCAAAGCCCGCCAGGCCATCACCGATCTCGCAGCCACACCATCCGGCGGTCCCGAAGCCCCTCTCAACGCCTCATACCTCCTCTCCCAGATCCGCCAGACCCTCCCAGCAGACACAATCTGGGCCATCGAATCCGTTACCCTAACCCCCATCGTCTCCGACCAAATCGCCGCTACATTCCCAAACAGCTGGATAAACTGCGGCGGCGGCGGCCTCGGCTGGTCTGGCGGCGGGGCGTTGGGAATAAAGCTCGCGTCCGACGCGCAAGCCGGCGGCAGTAACAAGGGCAAATTCGTCTGCCAGATCGTCGGCGACGGGACATACCTCTTCTCCGTGCCTGGATCTGTCTACTGGATCGCAAGACGGTATAATATTCCCGTGCTGACGATCGTACTGAATAACAAGGGGTGGAATGCGCCCCGGCGCAGTATGTTACTTGTGCATCCGAACGGGGATGGATCGAAAGCGAGCAATGAGGAGCTGAATATTAGCTTTGCGCCGACCCCGGATTATGCGGGGGTTGCGAGGGCCGCGAGCGGGGGGCATGTCTGGGCGGGTGTTGCGGCGAGTGTGGGGGAGTTGGGGAGGGTGTTGCCGCAGGCTATGGAGAGTGTCAGGAACGGGGTTGGGGCTGTGCTTGAGGCTCAGTTGGATGGGACGGAGGGAAAGTATGTCAAGAAGTAAATGCATGCATCATTGGGCTTCCATCTCAGCAGGTCTTGCCTTAGGAAGTTAGGATCAATGTCAGAGAATAGACTGTCCGTGCGTAGCCCTAAGTGTTTCTACCTTACGGAGTCCCAAGACATTACGAATACCCGATTGAAGCACTGCGAATTACTATTCGAGCAACCAATTGGCCTTTGCATTTGGTTTCTTTTAGTTTGATTGTATTGTCAGACGTTTTGCTTATCGCAATTTTTAGGGTGCACTTGGTGATGATTATGCGAGTCGGATAGTGTGAAATGGTAGGGAAAGCAGAATGAACGGCTAAATATCGTCCGCTAGTGTCAATATTTGAACTAGCAGCGTATCAGCGGGGTGTCGAGGAATATTTCCTCCGCGCCATCACAGGCCAACAAAGTCCGTTTCATCGTTCTCGCGTGTGGGCATCTTGATCCCATGCATCCCGGTGTATTTCGGGCACTGGGGCTCGGTCCATCCCGCCAATGCTTCAGTCTCCGTGATCTTGTAGACCTCCACGCCCAGAGGACGGGTGGTGGCCCCCATATCATCCTTGTCGTCCCAGCCCCAGTTCGAAAGGTCGCCTGTTAGAACAGCCGTTAGTAAGTGTTCGCGTACCGAAACAGACAATGTGCGGTTGACATACCTCCAGGGCACGCGGAGAGGGCACAGAGGACATCAACCTCCGCGAAGAACTCAAAGTACTCGCCAGGCTTCGCCGGCGATGTCTCCATGAAGTACCTCCCCTCTTCATCCAGCCCCGTCACCTGGAAGACATTGAGGACATCATGCACGTCCAGCTCGGTCAGACCATACGGCGTCACCGCACGAGTAAGGTTCGAGTGACAATGGAAGTCGAACGATTCCCCACCCATCAAGAGGTTGACGTACGGGTCACACCTCGTGCCCATCAAATCGTGGACACGTCCTCCCCACTGCGAAGTACCAAAGCCCTTGCCCTCCTTTCGCTTCCCGTCAACATCCAATACCTCATGTAGCTGCCCGCCTGCGAGCGAATCTCCGGTGATCGTCACGAGGGGGCGCAGGTATGGGAGATTCGACCAGAGACGGTCACCAACAGAAACGTGGGACGCGTGAATCTGACGGGTACGTGCTGCCCATAATCGCTCCCTAGGGTTGTTGGCGTTCCAGATGTTGAGATCGCCGACTTGGGGCCCGTTTGGAGTTGTTAAGCGGCAGATGTGTCCCGCTGGCACCACCCAAGCCTGGCCGGAAACTGGGCGGATAGTGAAGGACTTCTGAAGCTCCCGCTTGGCGGGGTCAGAGGCAGTCTCAGAAATAGTTCTGTAGACCTGTGTTGTGCCATGGACGGGCGAGTCCTTAGGAGCGTCGTATGCGGGGGGAGGTCGGCGCGGGGTGGTCATCTTGTGGTCGCGACTCGCGATGTTGTGCGGGCTCCTGGTGAAGGTCAGAATAAAAGAACGGTGTCAATTGCGCAGACACACAGGACCGATTTGCGACTTTAGTAACAAGATTCGGAGACTCCCGACAACATTTGGAGACCCCATTTTGCCTTGCCCCGCCTCGATTGACTCCGATGTCGTCGACCCAAACGTGCTTGGAGCTGGATAAGGGCAAACCGGGCCGGGTCCGATAAGGCGGGCTAACTCCGTAATGCTACTAGTGTAGTTTAGCGTCTTATCTTATCGATAAGCATTCCGCCCTTACCTAATTAGAGATTCTGAAAAATTATTCGGCGCCAACAATCTCCGCTCCGAAAAGTGCTTGACGGAGGGAGGAAGAGAGCAGCACAGCTTTCTCGCGGGTCGCTAAAGTACAGGAAGATTCCGGCTTCCTGTCAGGTTGTTGGCCTTCATTCTCCATCATGGAGCAACAATCTAACAGGGCCCACCGGGTTACAAAAGAGAAGAAGAAATACGATGGTCAGTATAGCAGCAACTCTGTCGCAAACTGCCGTGGCACGCTGTTCTCTTGAAGTAATAGTTGCTTACATTCAGTTTGGAATTATAGGACCCAACCCGAAAGCTTTTGCCTTTTCGAACGCCGGCAAGGCAAACAAAGCGGGCGCGAGATCTCACGATGTACAGTCGATACCTTGACTTTCGATTTTTCGTTTCCGGACCTGCGAGCTGATGTTTGTGTCCCATATAGATCAAAGAGAAGAGACTGCACGTTCCTCTGGTCGATCGCTTGCCTGAAGAAGCTCCCCCGCTCGTTGTCGCTGTTGTTGGACCTTCTGGTGTAAGTGTCTAGAGATTTGTAAACTGGAGTGCGCAACTAACATATCCTCTCCGCACAGGTTGGAAAAACGACACTCATCAAGTCCTTGATCCGCCGATACACCAAGCAGACGCTCAGCACGCCCAATGGACCTTTGACGGTGGTGACGTCCAAGAAGCGACGTCTTACTATCCTAGAATGTCCTTCCGACTCGCTGGCCGCTATGATCGATGTGGCTAAGATCGCCGATATTGTGCTCCTGATGATTGACGGTAACTACGGATTCGAGATGGAGACTATGGAGTTTTTGAATGTTCTGTCTACCAGCGGTATGCCCGGAAATGTTTTCGGTATCCTTACACACTTGGATCTGTTTAAGAAGCAGAGCACGCTGCGAGCCGCCAAGAAACGTCTTAAGAATCGCTTCTGGAGTGAGCTGTACAACGGTGCAAAGCTCTTTTACCTCTCCGGTGTTATCAACGGCCGCTATCCCGATCGAGAGGTGCACAATTTGTCCCGCTTTCTGTCGGTCATGAAGAACCCTCGGCCTCTTGTGTGGCGTAACTCCCATCCTTATGCTCTTGCGGACCGCTTTCTCGATATCACGCCACCGACAGAGATCGAAAAGGACCCGAAATGCGACCGGACGATTGCCCTGTACGGTTACCTACGAGGAACGAACTTCCCTGCGCAAGGCGCACGCGTTCACGTACCTGGGGTTGGCGATTTGACGGTTTCCGGAATCGAGGCTCTGCCTGACCCCTGTCCAACCCCGTTTATGGATCAGCAGATACAAAAAGCCACCGGGAAATCGAACAAGCGCAGGCTGGGTGAAAAGCAAAAGCTGCTCTTTGCTCCGATGTCTGACGTTGGTGGTGTCTTGGTCGACAAAGATGCCGTCTACATTGACGTAAAGACCTCCAATTTCAACAACGAGGACGATGAGGACCGCGATCCGGACCGTGGCTTAGGTGAACAACTCGTTATTGGCTTGCAAGGCGAGCGGAAACTTCTCGGTGAGGCAGATGCCGGTCTCCGCCTGTTCAGCGGTGGAGAGGCCATCACGAAGACCGAAGACGAAGACAGCGGCACCGGAAGGAAACACAGAAGAGAAGTACGATTTGCCGGAGATGGCAACCAAAATGTTGAAGAAGAAGATGAAGGCTTCGAAAGCGCGGACGATGAGGAGGAAGAGGAGGAGGATGACATGGAAGAGGGCAGTGATGAAGACGAGGAGGAAGTGGACGTTTCCGCTCCTGCAGACTTCGCAGAGAGCTTCAGGGAGAGACAAAACGGACCGTCGTCCCGTCAGGAATCCGATATCGCATTCGCTGACAGTGACTCGGATCTGGGCTCTATCTCGTCCGTGGAGGATCAAGTCCTCGAGAGCGCCGATGAGGAAGAGGAATCAGACGAGGAGGATGATGGGACCGTCCGATGGAAGGATAACATGCTCGAAAACGCCAAGTCACTCCATTCAAAGCGTCCCAAATTCCGCATCACGGACCTTTCGCGTACCATGTACGATGAGTCAATGACCCCGGCCGAGGTTATCCGCCGATGGCGCGGTGAGGAGGACGAAGATGAGGAGCCTGAAGGCGATGAAGATGAGGAAACGTTCTTCAAGAAGACCAATGTTGAGGAGGAAGAGCAAGCCGAGTACCGCGCTGTTCCCGAATACGACTACGAGGAGTTGGAAAAGAAATGGCGTGACGAAGAGATGATTGAGGCTCTGCGAAAACGTTTTGCTAGTGCTAAAATGGGCGATGGCGACGACGAGGACGACGAGGACGACGAGGATGTTGATGATGCCTTTGACGAGGATGACGAGGGAGACGGTGCGTTTGAAGATCTGGAGACTGGAGAGGTCTTCAATGGGATCCAAGACGAAGACGAGGATGAAGGCGAAGATGATGGCGAAGATGAAGAAAACGATGGTCCGGAAGATCTGGAAGCCGAGCGTGCGCGTAACGCTAAGAAGAAGGAAGACTTGAGGCTCCGATTTGAAGAGGAGGATCGCGAGGGATTCGCAAACTCGAAAGACAATTCAAGAGGAGACGGTGCCGATCCTGAAGAGGAATTCGGAGAGGACGAATGGTACGACGCACAAAAGGCGAAGATGCAGAAGCAGACCGACATCAACCGCGCCGAATTCGAGTCTCTGGACCCTAACTCTAGGGCTAGAGCCGAGGGTTACAGAGCGGGAACATACGCCCGTATCGTACTCGAGAAGGTACCTTGTGAATTTGCGACGAAGTTCAATCCTCGATACCCTGTCATTGTTGGTGGCCTGGCTCCGACTGAGGACCGCTTCGGATATGTCCAGATCCGTATCAAGAGACACCGTTGGCACAAGAAGATTCTGAAGAGCAACGATCCGCTCATTTTCTCTCTCGGTTGGCGCCGCTTCCAGAGTCTGCCCATGTACAGCACCTCAGACAGTCGAACCCGTAACCGCATGCTCAAGTACACCCCCGAGCACATGCACTGCTTCGGTACATTCTACGGGCCACTCGTTGCGCCGAACACCGGTTTCTGCTGTGTTCAATCATTTTCAAACAAGAACCCTGGTTTCAGGATAGCGGCCACTGGAGTGGTCTTGAGCGTGGACGAACACACCGAAATTGTGAAGAAGCTCAAACTCACCGGTGTCGCCTACAAGATCTTCAAGAACACGGCCTTCATCAAGGACATGTTCAACTCATCTCTCGAAATCGCCAAGTTCGAGGGAGCGGCGATCCGAACCGTGTCTGGAATCCGAGGTCAGATCAAGCGAGCTCTAAGCAAACCAGATGGATGTTTCCGTGCCACTTTTGAAGACAAGATTCTCATGAGTGACATTGTCTTCCTGCGCGCATGGTACCCCATCAAGCCTCACCGCTTCTACAACCCAGTCACCAACCTCCTGGATCAGGAAGAGGGCGAGTCGGGCGATGCTGGCTGGAAGGGTATGCGACTAACGGGAGAGGTCCGACGTGAAAAGGGTATCCCAACGCCCCTGAACAAGGACTCTGCATACCACAAGATCGAGCGCTCTGAACGCCACTTCAACCCCCTCCGCGTTCCCCGTCAACTAGCTGCGGAACTCCCCTTCAAGTCTCAGATCACCCGCACAAAGGCGCGCAAGGACAGGACCTATCTGCAGAAGCGTGCCGTTGTTCTAGGCGGAGAGGAGAAGAAGGCCCGCGACCTGATGCAGAAGCTCAACACCCTGCGGAACGACAAGCAGGCCAAGCGTGCTGTCAAGCAGGAGGAGCGCAGGAAGGTCTACCGTGCGAAGGTTGCGGAGGGTCTGGAGAAGAAAGCCGAGAGAGAGAAGAGGGAGCGTGATGAGTACTGGCGGAGAGAGGGCAAGAAGCGCAAGAATGATGATGGAGAAGGCGGTGGTGGTAAGAAGCGTAGGTAATAAGCTAGCTTCTTGGTCGCTTGCATATATAAAAGTACATGTGATGACGATGTTGTACCTATAAGTCGCATGACCGATGGCGTTCAGAGATACCTTTCATCAAAACAATCCGAGGTTACTGATATCTTATAAGTTCTGCTTCGCTGGTAATAGGTCGTTGATTGTCCCAATCTCCTCCATACCATCTTTATTGTTGTACCACCAAAGCCCAGGCCGGAATAGACTTAGGTACCTCCCACGTGACCGTGCTGTGGAAACGCGTCACACGTGTTGACAATGGAGTGACTCCTAAAGTACAACCTTCTACTCCAACCTGAGCCGATACAGCATTTCCTGGCCAGGACTTTATTTACCCTGCACAAATAACTACCCATAACCATGTCCTGAGTGTTCTCGCCCGCGCCTCTTCATACCTTGGTTCGCGATCCCCGATTCCCGACCCATGAGCCCGCAACAGCTTCAGGTGGAGACATACAGCATTCAACTCCGGTTGTGCTGGGTACTGTTGCTGTAAGGGCCCGTCTCGCACGTGCAGAATTCCAGTCCAGGGGCATGCTCCTTGCAGCGGATCGACCTGAAGGATATTTACAGAGAGGTGATTGGTGAAGCTGCCTGCTGGGCTTGGTGGCTGACCTGGGTTCCCCCGGTATTCTGAACACGTTCCCGCGCCAACGGCCGCCCTCAGTCCGGGGTATACGGAGCACCCCGTGCACGGTCCATATTTTGCCTGTCGATCTACAACGGCCTTGGACGCGTATCTACGGAGTTACTCGCCCGTTTCGCGCACCGCAGTCAATAATGGACAGATCGTTGCAAGTTGATACTCGGCAGGGCGCGCAGAGCCCGGGACATATATATCGACGCGACGATACTTCGACTACCGATGTGCCGAGCAAGTTGGATTATTATAACGGGCGACCTGCAGGAACACGACCCCTATCTCTAGATGCGGCTTCTAGTATACTTCCGCATTCGAACAGAGTTGCTGTTGACGCTCGAGCATGGCTACACAGGTCACCAGCGGTACCTCTGAAGGGAGGTACGCGATCGCAGGACAATTTACGCGTCAGACACGAGATAGACACATATTCAAAGGACGCAAGTGGCCCAAAGGTGAACGAGCAAAGTGACATACCGAGACAGGACGAATTTCATTACACGAGGCCTTTGATGAATGCCCAGCACATGCCGAGACTCGAGGACACTGGACGTCGCCGCTCCCACAGCACAGGTCTCGGATCGCGCGGCTCCAAAATCGCTGCGGTAGGTCTTTGCACCATTAGGTCACTAGTGGATTGCTGATTTCCCTTTAGCTATCTGTCCAGTTACGCACGCGCTTATCCTATGCCGCTGCTAGGATTGAGAAGAAGCGGCAATCGCAGTCACCATATCAGTCGCCGACAGGCTTGCTGCATAGAAACAGCTCGACACCGATCCTTAGCGTTGAGACATTGTCTCAATCAGGGCAATCGTTGATTGGTGACTTCAGAGACCAACTTGAGGATTCACCAGATGGAACTACTGTATCCGCGCCGGATGCTCCTGCCGCATCCAGTTTCTATCGTCTTGATGCCCCCATACGACAGGCCCTGAACATAACGAGTGATATATACCCACAACCGCAACAAGATCCGCAAAAGTCTGTCGAACGCTCTTCAGAGCGGCAGCCTCCACCGAAGCTAGCTCCACCTCCGGATATAGACTCAGGTCGTGTAAACGGCCAACGACGACGTCCAAACTCGAATATTCCCGGTAACTCCTTGCGATACGCGCCATTTCCCCTGCATAAGCGCAGCCGGTCACAGCAAGAGTTTCTGATAGGCTCAGAAGTCACACGCGTGCCTGAAACACCGCCGCTTCGACCCTCGGGGTACAATAGTGTAGGGCCGTTCAGCGGATTGTCGGAGAACTTGCAAAGTTCCTCAATGGAACAAGATGCTATTGAGACCCTACTTTTCATGTCTAGTCCGGGAACTTCGGGGTACTATTCGAACTCGCAAAACTCCCAGCGCAACCAGGACGTCAAGAATGTTGATGATAGTGCTTCGCAAGGTGTTCGGTGGCACGAATCAGTTGTCGACAATCAATCCAGCAGCAGACAGCCTGCGGTCTCCCACAACAAGGAGACCCGCGCGGGGGATGAGATTGATTTGATCCTCGATCAAATGGACAGTGATAGTGAAGACGATGCTAATTACACTTCAAGTCGTCGGACTAGAGTCGAGGCTCGTCCTAGCACGATTGGTGGGGTGGGAAGTGCGCGACGCGATACATAGCATGGAATGGATTGCATTGTTTACACTGGGGGCTTCTTCCAGGGACCCTAGAGCTTGCGAGCTCGAAGGAACTCTCCATCCTGCCACAATGCGCACGCGTTAGTTGCATGCTCCGTCACTTTGTTGGGACTTTGAACCGTTCGCATTGTCATTTTGGGGTGACACCTGCCACGGACGTACCCCGAGAGCCCGGAATATCCCCACTGAGCCAGCCACATGTATACCGCGATCGGTGCAGAACTATACCCACACATATGCCATAGCTGGAGTAGAAATACCCCAGCTTAGCCCGGCTTCTCCAGAATCTTGCAAGGAATACATCGCCGATTGAACTCGTCCCAGACCTTTTCGAGGACCTGGGTTTGCGCCGTTGACATTAACTGTCGAATACATCCCTCTTTCATCGCAAACCTCGAGCTTTCTTACCGTCTCCTTACGTTCTTAATCTCTAACCCTAGAACAGACCTTGAGAAACCCTCAGACCTTCAAAAATGAGCTCCTCTCAGCCCTCTCCCTCTCCCTTCGAAGTCGGCGCCTTCCTCCCCGGAGGGCACAACACGGACCCCGCGCTCCCGGAAAATAGCCCCACGGTGGGCTACAAGCTAAACCACCTCATGCTCCGCATCCGCGATCCTAAGCGCTCGCTCCACTTCTACATTGACCTGATGGGCATGCGTACCGTGTTCACGATGAACACAGGTCCGTGGACAATCTACTACCTGGGCTACCCGTCCACACCTGAAGACCGCGCCGATCTCCCCGCATGGTCCGCCAAGGTCGGCGGGGATAACAAGACCCTTACATCGACACTAGGCCTGCTGGAACTATACCACATCCATGGCTCGGAGAAGGATACCGCTGAAGGGGGGTATGAGATGTCCACGGGTAACGTGCCGCCTCATTTGGGATTCGGGCATCTCGGGTTCACTGTTCCAGATGTCCCCAGTGCTCTTGAGAGACTGAGGAATGCTGGGGTAAAGGTTATCAAGGACCTTGGTGTAACAACGCGCGAGAGCATACCGCTCAGCAAGTGGGAGGAAGAGCGTGGTGTGGGTGTGGGCGAGATCCATCCGACCTATAAGGCTGTCTTTGACCAGATTGCTTTTGTGGCTGATCCGGTGAGCGCTCCCTTTTTTCTTGTTCATTCCGAGATGTGTTGGACACCGCTAACGGAGTGTTGTTAGGATGGGTATACTGTAGAGCTCGTTCCGCAATCTATGAGTTAGAAAGCCGATGGCATGGGGTTTCTTTTCAGAACCACGCTATCCAATACCCCTTTATTAGAGTAGGCTCATTCCTAGCCTTGTCTTGCGGGGAATGCGTCTTGAACATACATCTCTTAGAGAAGTATATACTAGAACATCAAACATTAATCTGAAGTTGGTCCTCATTTACCTCGTGAAAGTATTTTTTCAGTCGTTTCGATTGCAATTGACCCAGAAACGGGCATGCACAAGAAGTAGTTCGATTCTAGATGATCATATCGAAACAGATATCTAACTCCAACAAAAAGGCGAAGCATGCTCTTCTCATAGCTACTAGGCACAACGAAGCAACACTAAGCGCCCCAGGTATCATCATCCTCCGCAACATCATAATCGACCTCCGCAGCGCCAGCCACCGCCCCATTCGCCTGGTTCCCACCACGCACCTGATCCTGGTCCGAGACCGAATCCATGATTGTGTCTTCGTCAGAGCCGGTTTTGCCATCTAGCCCTGATGTGCTGACGGATTGTTGGCCTGTTGTTGATGGCGGCGGGATAGAGATCGGCGGGTTCGGCACCCACGAGAGCTGGACCTCGCCGACGGAGGGGATATTGCGGGAGCTAAACATGAATTTCTCGGCTTGGTAGCGCTCTTTGAAGGAGACGATGAGGGAGTTTTCTTCGTTGGGGTTGGGTGTTACGGATTCGTAGTCGCCGACGCCCTGGAGGGGTGGGTTAGTTAGGGTTACACCACATGGTTTAGGGTTAAGGTAAGTATGCATGCGTATGGGGAGATGGAGAGATGGGGAGCGTTAGTTTAGGGGTGGAGACTCACAATAAGGTGCTGCCGGAACGCCTCATCCTGCTCAGAGTGTGGCTTGATGCCCGAGACGGCAACCCGCTTGGGCCGATTGTCGAGGCGCAGGACACCGCCGCGACCGCGTGCAGGGAACCCGCCTCGCCCGCGATAAGAGCCGCGATATGACGGGTCGTAGCCGCGGCCACGTGGTGGGTAGCCGCCGCGGCCGTAGCCTCTCCCGCGACCGCGGTAGGATGTGCTAGGGTCGGAAGAGTGGTTGGGGTCTAGACCTAGGCTCTTCGCTTCAGCTTCAAGGGCTGCGAGTTGGGCACGGAGCTGTTTGGTTTGTTCGCTGGCGTTTTCGTCAGAGGGGGACTTCGATGCCTCGCCGGTTGGTGTTGCGCTGCCCGATGAAGCGGCGCCGCCGATTTTCAGCAGAAGTCGCTTTTTCTCCTCTTCCTGCTTCTTGAGCAGTTCCTCGCGCTGTTTCTCTAAGTCCTGCTTGGCTTTTTCTGTTTCTTGGCGCTGTCTGGCTTTCTCTTCGTAGGCCTTTTGCGCTTCTTCCTGCTGTTTCTGGAATTCCTCTGCATCAAATGGTTGGGAATCCAACCCATTGGCGCCTGGTCGCTCCTTCGGTTTATGCCAGTATACTTTGACGAACCGGTTGTCGAAAATCACCTTCGGGCTGGACCACGCTGCCTTGGCAGTGGCATGGTCGGCGTAGGTGATTAGGGCTAGTTTCTTGTATGGCTGGAGCGAAAGATCTGCGATCTCGCCGTACTGAGAGAAGAACTCTCTCACCGAGAATTCATCGAGCTTGTCGTCTGGGATTTGCTCCACAACAATCGTCTTGACGGTCGGATCATCGTTAGGTCCGGCAGCAGAGAAATCCGATCGACGGCTGCGATTGTTGAAGCCACCTCTATCCCCGCCACGCCCACGACCGCGGCCTCTGTCGCTGCCCCGCATTGGGCCGTCGTGGCGACGTCTAAAGTCAGGAACGATGCCTGACGATTTCGGGTCATATTCTACGGTTGTTAGCATACTTATATCTTTCAAGTACAGTGCGGCCGGAAGCGTACCATCATCCTTTGAAGCACCCGGCACCGTATCATGCTGATAGGGACAAGCACCACCCAAGTAGCAGATCCCTTGAGTTTCGTAGAAAGGGCACTTTTCTGTGCTCTTCGGTCCCATCTGATCCGGCTGCTGCCCAGGAGCTCCACCTCCCGGCGGCATAGGCATAGGAGGCATACCTGGCATCTGCGGAAAGCCCATGCTCTGCAATGCCATCATGGCTGCCATAGGATCGTTCTGGTCAAACCCTGGAAACGAAGGAGGCATAACCGGAAATCCCCCGCCGGGCTGAGGGAATTGCCCCGGACCAGACGGAGGGTGGCCATCTCTCCCCATCCAATGTCCACCTCGCCCACGACGAGGGTTCTTGAAGTTCCGGTGGTGGTGAGAGCCCTCATGTGCTTGGTTCTCACCGAAACCATCGTCGAAGGTGCGCTTGCGACTAAAGTTATCACCATGTGGTTGCGGTCCGTACGAGCCGTTCAAAGGCCCCGATGGCGGGATGTGTTGTGTGGGTGGCTGGGTGGGAGCCTGGGGAAGTTGTGCCTGGGACGGTGCGGCGGGCGTCTGCTTGGGCGCGAACGTAGCAAAGAGATCTTCGACAAATCCAGTGGTATCTAATCAATAAAGACCATTTAGCTGTCACATCCTCCACTCCGATGCACGAACTCAAGGGGCAGACATGGACTGGAAGATAAAACTCACGCTCTCGCAAAAAATCCTCCAAATTCTCGACGGAAGCCTTGCGGATCTCTTCATCAGGAGCGTCAGACCTGATAAGAGCTAGAACATAATCCGCGAGCACGTCGGAATCTGCGTCCGATCTAGTCTGCAGAGTTAGCGACCGAAATTTCCCACCAGCCCAGCCTTCTGGATGCGCGCTCGAGCCTTACATGTCTTCCAGCTTTTTTACCACCCATGTCTTGACCTCTGCGGCCTGATCCTCTGTGAGCTGCATGTTGTCACAGTATTTCAAGTACAACACGGAGATGAACGGAATTGTCGCCGGCGCCGACGTAATAGTAACGTGGGTGCAAGCAGTTCGCAAATTAGTGTGTTACAACGCACAATCTGTGTGAACCAAAGGATGGGTAATTGGCGCAAATTCAGTTCATCTCATTCCCAAAAGGATAGTACCAACAAGGGTTGTGCAATAGAAACAACACAAAAGCAATGCAGCAAAAAGTGCTCCTGCGGAACTGACAGAGCTCTGAAGATGCGCGAGACCCGAAGAAGGATGCGGGCGTTCACGTGATGTACCTTCACAGGGTTTCACAGCCTCAAGCTTACACCTTGGGCAAGCACTAGGGCTACCTACCTAGGTAAGCAGAATACACATGGCAAGTAATCTAGAGCCCCTAATGATTAATCACTACTGCTTTAATTCAAGGGTAATGAACATTGAACAATATCATATTTTTCGTGTCCAACTAGAACATATCGTAGCCGTTAACATAACAAAAAGAAAAAGGAAAAGTAGGCCATAGCAAATGCATGAGCACACCGGTTTCTACTGCTCTAGTGTTCCGAAAACCCATACGACATTAAGCTGCATTGCGTCGATTTATTTTTCTTGCGCGGTTGTCTCCCTTTTAGCATTGGCCGGGTATTGCGTTCATCAAGTTCATAAACATAGGATTCGAGCACAAAAAGGCTTGAATCCTAGTACGTTTGTGTAGAACGTTTTTACAGCTTGTCGTAGTACTGTGAAGGGGGTTAGTAACTGAAAACCATAAGGGAATCAAAAAGGAACTTACTTCGGTGTAAGGGGGAACAGCCTCCTTGAGACCCTTGCGCTTACGCATCTCGTTGACGACCTGACCAGGCTTGGTAGTGACGTCAAGAGGAGAACCACCAGGAAGAACAGCCCAGTGGTCGAAGACGGACTGAGGGAAGGCCTGACCACCAGTGGCCTGGCGAAGCTCACCGGGGAAACCGAAGGACTCGTTGACGGGCAGGTAAGCCTTGACGGTGAACAGAGGAGTACCGACACGCTGCTCCTCAGTGTAGACGTGACCACGGCGGCGAGTAAGGACACCGTAGATACCACCCATAGCCTGCTCGGGAACCTGGATCTCGACGTTGAAGATGGGCTCGAGGATACCGGGCTCGGCAAGGAGAGTGGAGGCGTAGAGGACACGACGAGCGGTAGGGATGATCTGACCACCACCACGGTGGATGGCATCAGCGTGAAGGGTAACATCAAGGACGTTGAAGCGGACGGAGCGCATGGGCTCCTCAGCAACGGGACCCTCACGAGTGGCCCACTGGAAACCGGAGACGACGGAGTCCTTAATTTCGTTGAGGTACTGGACGGCCTTGGTCTGGTCAACGAGCAAGTTGGCACCAGTGGTGTCGGGACCGAAACACCAAATCTTACGGGCGTCGGTGACATCCCACTCGTAGTCATCCGCAAGGATACGAGCACGGGCCTTGAAATCGTCACGGGGGTTGATCTTGCCCTCCTCAATGGCCTTGGAGACCTCCTCGCCGAGAGGCTCGGCAACCATGTAGAGACGGTTGTGCTTGTTGGGGGACTTGGACAGAGCAGTCATGGAAGACTTCTCGGTAACGGTCTCACGGTAGGAAACGACGGGGTCGGAGATACGGAGAGGAACACCAGCGTGGTCCTCCTCGAGATCCTTCAAGCAAATTTCGAGGTGGAGCTCACCAGCACCGGCAACGACGTGCTCACCAGACTCGTTGATCATGGTAAGGACACAGGGGTCGGACTTGGAGAGACGCTTAAGACCCTCGACAAGCTTGGGCAGGTCACCAGCGTTCTTGACCTCAACGGAGCGCTGCACGACGGGGGAAACGGAGAACTTCATGACCTTGAGGTTGTGGGCAGTGTCGGAGGTGGTGAGGGTACCAGACTTGAGCAAGAACTGGTCAACACCGACGAGACCGACGATGTTACCGGCGGGAACATCCTCGATGGGCTCGACGAAACGACCCATCATGAGAATGGTACGCTGGATGGACTTGATGAACAGGTCCTCCTTCTTGCCAGGAGTGTAGTTAGGACCCTGGATGCGGACCTTAAGACCGGACTTGACGGTACCGGCGTAGACACGACCGAAAGCGTAGAAACGACCCTTGTCGGAGGTGGGAACCATCTTGGAGACGTAAAGCATGAGAGGAGCCTTGGGGTCACAGTCACGGATACCAATGCAAGCCTCGTCATCAGCAGGACCCTCGTACAGAGTCTCAGCACGGTACTTCTGAGCAGTGACGGGAGAAGGAAGGTGGATACAGATCATCTCAAGCATAGCGTCGGCAGCGGGAAGGAACTTGCGCATGATGGTCTTGAGGAGCTGCTTGCCGGCCTGGTCCTTCTCGTCGCTTGCAAGCTTAACCTCGATCTTCTCAAGGAGAGCGGGGATCTGGTCCCTCTTGTCGTTGGTGACAAGCTGGAAGATCTTGTAGATGGGGTCAAGAATGAACATGTTGAAAGCACGCTCAACGGGCTTGCCGTCGACCTCGGGCTGGGTCTTGGTCCACTTCTTGGTCTTGGGGTTGAAGTAGTTGTCACCCCACAGACGTTCGAGCATCTTCTTGCGGTCAACACCGAACTTCTTGGCGAACTTGACGGCGAACTGGCGGACGGTGAAAGCCCAACCGTGGAGACCGGAACCGAAAGCAACGGTACCCTTCTCGGGGTAGACCATGACGTTGCCAAGGGCGGGGTCCTCGTAGGTAGCGATGATGACGTTGACGGACTCAACGGTACGGGCGAAAGACTGGTAGAGTTCCTCCTTCTCGATCTGGAGTTCGAGCATGGAACGGTCGACCTTGTTGATGATAAGGACGGGCTTGATACGCTCAGTCAGAGCCTGACGGAGCACAGTCTCGGTCTGGACGCAGACACCAGACACACAGTCGACGACGACGAGGGCACCGTCGGTGACACGGAGGGCAGCAGTGACTTCAGAGGAGAAATCAACGTGACCGGGGGAGTCGATCAAGTTGATCAAGAACTCGTTACCGTCGACGGCCTGGGGAATCTCCTTGAGATCCTCCTCATCGGCGAACTTGGCGTAAAGAGAGATGGCAGTGGACTTGATAGTGATACCACGCTCCTGCTCATCAGGACGGGTGTCCATGAAACGGGCGTCACCAGCCTTGGCACCAGCAATGATACCGGCACGAGAGACCAGAGAGTCGGAGAGGGTGGACTTTCCGTGATCGACTAGCAAGCACTCAGTATACAGACCATCTCCATCATAGGAACCATCAAGTACGTACCGTGAGCAATGACCGACATGTTACGGATGTTGGCCTTGCGGTCCATGAGGGAGCGGAGCTAGTCATTGTTAGTACCATATCATCCTCATCCGCCCGGTCGACCAGAAAAAATTTTATAGCTCCGCATCGCCATCGTATACAGGGAACGGCATACCTCCTCGATAGTGAAGCTGTAAAAGCGGACGTTAGCAAATACATCCTTTTCATTTTCATTGCGATAACCATCTTGATGGTTTGGGATGGACGACGTACTTGACCATTTTGGCGGTTTTTTTTCTGTTAAAGCCTTAAAGGCGGGGTTTGTGTGGAAGAGGGGAAAAGAAAAAGAAAAGAAGAAAGCAAGAACGACACAAAAGATCAGGACCGAGAGCTAGCTCGACCTGAAGATGACCTGGGGATAGAAAAAAGGCCTATGTGCGCTGCTCCAGAGGAGAGACTGAAAGAGGAGAGAGAGAGGGTTGAAGAGAGGAGGGAGGGAGAGCGAGGAGGGGAAGGGAGCAAGCGAGTTCTTTTAGTGGTCGTGGGGCCGGCGGTGGTTGGTTTTTTCCCGAATCCCAATCTGGGATGTGCGTTTTTTTCCACCCAATTCCCGCTTGTGCCCCTCTGCTGCCGTTTAACTCCGGTTTTTACGAAACATATGACTCCTCTATGCAAAAGGGACATGGAGTGTTCTGTTGCCACTGCTTGATTCCTCATCTGCTGTTGATGGCTTTCACCTCCGCCGACGGTGCAGGGTGTCCGTGGTCTACATCATGAGATCGGGCAGCTAGTGGTCACCACTAAACTTCATGCTTCAAAGCTCAGTCGATCCTGACTCAAAATAACCTTCACAGTCATTCGGGATTTTTCGATTCTACATAAAGCATCAAGAAAGAGTCACCTCCCGTCAATATCATACCAATCCATGGGAATCTAGCAGTGCAACTATGGTTGGTAATCAGCTTATAGACCTCAATCTTGGGACACACCGCTCAGCAATTTGGAGAACTTGAGCCAATCATGAGTCCGAGTGAAATCAGCAGCCATGATGAATTGCCTGTTGCAATGTTGCCACTCATGATAGAAACGGGAGCCTGCTGCCACCTTTGCTGACTTGGAATTTTGTAGCAGCCCTGGTGAGGGGCAGTAGTGGGGTAGCCGCTTATTAAGCGTCAGAAGCTCTGAAAGCTCTGCAAAGCCACAACATTTGATTGGTTGAGATCTGTAAATCAGGATTCAGAATCTCAAAGGAGCTTAGCTTGAGCTCAACTCTTTGTTACCCGCCAAGAAGATTTCCATATCCAGCTCTACACATTGCTGCTTTTAGGGTCTTACGGGCCATAATAGCTGCAGAGTACTCCGTATCGACTCGTTATTGTATATGGCTAAGAAAAAAGCACATGAATGTCAATTGGGAAAGGGTATAGTCGCACTGATTATAGTATACAAAAAGATATACAAGAATGACAAACAACACGAGAACTCATGAGGACCACAGTATCTTAGCATAGGCGTCCTCAACCTCCTTGGCCACCTCCAACAGAGTAACAATGATAATTTGATGCGTGACATTAGGAAGCTTATCCCTTTGGAGACCAATCCACTCTAACGGTGGCGTTGCTTCGCCCATGTCCCGTAGCTGTGGTGTCTCAATCACCGGCGGCTCCATTGCCACATAGTTGTACTTGGACTGCGGCACATTCACAACCGCGGTGATCTTTTCTTGCTGGTCGCTTTTGTCTCCACCACCTTCTGCATTTAGGCCTCCTGTAATGCGAACGGCGGATGGCGGGAGCGGCTTGCCCAATCGCGAAGCCAATGCACGAGAGTGGGCCTCCCACATGTCCCTGATGAAGCTGATGCGGGAGTAATTCCAGCCAACGTCGACTTTGCCTTCAAAGCTGCTGCGGAAGACATACTCAATCTGGTTCGACCCTGGCCCTTGCCATGTTTCCATCCCAGCCACCACTCGGGGAACTTTGAGGATTGTCCCCCCACGGGTTTCGATAACTCGGGTGGCAGTCTCGTTCACAAGAAGTTTCTCGACCGGGACGGGGTCAGACCGCTCGATTGGGGATAAGGCAACACGCAGTTGTCCTAATGTGAGCCCCAGGGAGCTATGAATCTTGCCTTTGTCCAGTGACACATCGAATCGAGCTTGAGCCTCGCGGGCTTCTAGCTTGAAGACATGGTTGTCAAAGAAGGTGCTTGGAAAAACTCCAAAATGAACTGTATGGATCGTGACGACAACTCCAGTTTGGAGAGAGATAGGAGCCAGTTCCGATTTCTCTTCAACCTGCTTGGTCACCTTCTGGGATGGTTCAGTTCGATCGGAGAAGACCGAGCCCTTCCTGCGAAGGTACCGGTCAATCTCCCTCAATGACGATTCGTAAGCCGCTTGCTTGTCTTGCATTAGCCTCTGCCAGGCCTGGAATAACGCGAGCGACTGTGATACAGTCAAGGTCGTGCAGAATACTTGTACTTCACCTCCATCCAGGATACTAAACAGCCGCTCGTTCGCTTCATCGGTAGAACCCCCGACATTGTACATCAAGAAGTCAAAGGATGCTATATGCGCGATCAAGAACGGTTGATAGTCAAAAGAGACTTTCACCTGAAGCTGATCGAAAGAAATCGAGGCCTGGATCAAAGGCGTCTTGACTTCCGTGGTATCCTCCGGCCAGTTAATAGAGGTGCGGACTTTGATGATGTGGAACTCGGCCAAGCCACTCAGCCTGCCTGTACTTTCGATCCCGACTGATTTGAGGCCAATACACAGAACCTGCTCATGGACAGAGGTCTTCATGGACGAGAGCCATAAGTTATCGATCGCGAACTCTGCTTTCCCTAAGGTCGACCCCATATCAAGCTGAATCGCGACTTTTTCAATTGCTATAGTGGTGTTCCATGGAAAAGCAGGAGCAGAAGCAACTTGCTGGTAGCGTTGCACGATGTAGGCCTGCGTCTCTGCAGGCTGTGCCTCAAATTTTGCACTCGGATCTGGAGAGTCGTTTGCCGGTACCCAGATCTCACGAAAGAGTAAGAGGTCTTGAACTTGTCTGACGTTGAGCATGACTTGCATGGGGCTCACCCGTAGAGCCACCGAGACTCCCTTTGACTTGCCCAGGTGTCTGTTGTTCATCAATGACATCACAATTGAATTGACTTCAAAGCTTGCAGTCGACTCGTTTGAGTACACATGTTTCACAGACGCTCCAAAGTCATTGAACGCTACAGAGAGCGCTAGGAATCGTTCATCCTTGTCAGACTGGACGGTGTTGATGGCAACATAAACACTCTCAAACCCCGCAGTGGCTGCGACTCGAGCGATGGGTTGGCAGCTTAGACTGAACTCCTGCTTGCAGATCAAAAGGCCAACGTTCAATTTGCACCGGCCGAGTACTGAGGCAGGGTCGCTAGTGTCAAGGGGCGTATCCTGCATAAGTCTTTGTGATTGCAGCATCATGGTGTTGGAGGGCCTTCTGGGCTTCGTTTGCTCACCCATGACTTCCTTCACCGTGGCGGACATCTGCCTAATCAATGGAACGATGCTTGGATATAGGACATTGGTGGATGCATCTATTTTCAATTCTGCGTTTAAAGTGGAGTCCTCATGGGCGCTGTCCTCAAATTGGACTTTCAATGCAACACCAGGTGCGCGTAATGTTGCGGTGGATGCCGTATCATCGCGCATGAACTGGCCGTACTTCGACTCTGACGCTACTTTCTGCTTCAATGTAGTTGTTAGAAGGGTTTGCTGATCTTTGCTCTGTTTCCCTTGCAAGGATACAATGGCACCAGCGAAATCAACGTCAACAAGCACGGAGCGTACACGTTTATTGCCGAACAGAGAGCGCGGTTTTGTATTGTCATCAGACGGTTTCGACATCGTGATAGAGTTGGCATCGCGAATGGTCTTGACCGCAGAGGCTATTGAATTTTGGATCATGTTCCCAGGGAGTATGAAATCAGAGGTAGCCCTTATGTCCAGGGACTTTCCTGCGGCCTGGAGCGCCACGCGAACGTCTTCGGCTGTCGAAGAGTATGCCACGTTAAACACTAACTCCGGTAGCAAAGCTGAATTGAGCGCCCGTTTCCTCCTATCACCCGAGACGGGCACCATTTGTAGTTGAACATTTTCGATTCGGAGTTTAGCGGAGGTCGTTTTCTTGTTTGACAGATCCACGCGCTTGATCGAGAATATCAGGTCGTCAGGTCTGTGGTGAGATGTCTCTTGCGAAAATGTGGCCATGTTCCAAGCAACTTGAATGTTGTTGAGAGCCAGGGAGAATATGGCGCCGAAAAGGTCATCACTCTGAGCACTATCATCGGGTACCTGAACGCTAGGGACATTCGACGCCTTGGGCTTTGCCTGTGAATGGACTCGGTGGCGCAACTTTTTCAACCGCTTCACTTCATGCGAAAGGTCCAAGGTTCTAATCCTTTCTTGAAGATGAGCTGCCACGTCAACAACCAGTGCGGCTGCTTCAGGATAAAGTTCAATGTTGAAGTTCTCACTGGTTAGATGGAAAGACTGTAGAGTCTTTCCATTCTCATCAGTTGTGGATGCTCCTTTGACCTTGGCATCAACGGCAAAGCTGCAGTATGAACGAGCACTGTGACTGCCCTTCTTGCTCAGGTCAAAGCTTATCTTTGAGGTATCGATTTGGAATTCGGGGTACTCCGTCGGATATCCGGCGTCTAGGCCATTGTTGACCCGCATTCGAATCATTCCCAAGCTAAATCCCATGTCTGCCGAGTAGTTCTTGCCGTTTAAGCCAGGCGCTGTCGCATGTATCTTAGTCCCAGCCATCGATGTTCGGGCCCTGTAAAGGAACACTGAGTCGGAATTATCTTTAGGTTTAGATGAACCGATGTCGAGGGCAAGGACTTCCTGTGAATGGAGCTTCAATGACTCCATGTTCTGTTTGAGATCAGATATAAGATGAGAGAATTCAGGCCTCGTCAGAACACCAAGAAGGCTGCGAACCGCGCTGGCCTCAAGTTCTATCATTTCGATGGTGATGTCGACCTCCATCTCAGTGCGACTGGGCAACATGTTGGCTACTATTCGACCATTTATCGGGGGGAAACCGAGCTCTGACACGGGCTTCCAATTGCCAGCTTCGTTGGAAAGGAATGCATGGGTATTGTGTTTCACGTCAAAATCAACATCTAACCTTGGCCCAAGCCTGGATATGATGGAGGCTCTCGCCACCTCACCGGAGATTGTATACGCCAGAGATGGTAGTATGCGGAAGCTCAGGCGGTAATCATCTAGGAAGGTGGCTACCTGAAACTTATGCTGCGGTGGCTTCTCGTCTGAGACCTTGTCATGAGACTGGCGTGCCGGTAACTTCAGGTTCTTGATGAGTTGATTAACGAATTGGATCTCGTCGTCTATCACCCTGTCTGCTGTGTGGGCAAGACTTAGTGGATCCTCATTCAAGTCGAATCTCAGTCTTCGGCTCGATACTGCGACCTTCCAATCGTGCTTGACCTCGGCCACCGTCTTCTCAGTAAAGCGAGAGCAGTAGATGTGGGGGTCGATAAATTTCCATTGCATCATGACCTTCGAAAGATTAGAAAGATCCAACGAAGACGTTTTCGAGCTGATTAGCAGGCTCGCGCTCGCGCTCTGATGATCCAGGGGTTTTAGGATTATGGAACTTCGGAGGGCTTCGCCGACGAGCGCTAGTTTCAGGTTGATGCCATCAACATTCAATGTTCCAGAATCTGTACCGAAGACGAACTGGAATTCCTTCTGTTTGAACTCATTCTCCGGGGTCTCATCCGAAACCGTGGATTCCAACGTGACTGTGGACATAGCGATTACGAGACCCTCCAGTAGATCTAAAATCTCCCACCTTAGACGTAGACTCACAGAGAAGCAGTATGACTGAACAGTGACGAGAGATCTCAGCATGTTTTCGGAGCCATTCGAGTCACTTTGTCGGGTATTGAATGCTACAGCGGTGGACAGATCTCGGACGACAAAATCGCTTCCCCTGGGTCCAGGGTCAATAGAAAAGCGGAAAAGTTTGATCGTGGAGGAAAAGGAGGACATGGATGGTGCATCCCCGGATTTTTCCTCTGGCGAGCCCCATATTCGTCGCATCACATAGCTCTTCTCAACGTGAGCTAAATCCCATGCCCGCCATTGGTCGAAGCTAGAAAGGACATCTGTTTTAGCATTGGGAAGCAATGTAATGTCCTCGGAGGAGCATTTTGCAGTCAGTTCATCTTTCTGCTCGATTGAGAGGTTGTTGAAGACGTTGCGTATACGAGAAAGGATCTTCCATGAATCATGGTGTCGCAAATGTCCAGAAGCCATTCTGAGCATATACGAAATGCGCGTTAAGAATGTAGGATCCGGCATATCTGCAGCAGATTGAGTAAGGCAGTATATCAAGAAGCGTAATCGCGTATGGCGACGCGTGGAGACATGTTGAAAGGATGATGTTGCAGAATCAAGCATGGTCGTCGTGCGGCGAACAAGATACGCGAGCTGCTCAACTGACTTAGTCGAGGTGGCCGTATCAAAGGCACGAACTTGCAGATTTGATTTGCTTTCGGGTGAGGTCACAGTCCAGAAACTGATGTCACGCATCACACAACTGACTCCTGATTTCTGTCGGTGCTGGTCAGTCTGACTACTTTCAACCGAGACTGAAAGACTTTCAGCAGCGGCATGTGCAGTTATTTCTTCTTTGATGCCAGCGAGAAGATCTCCCTTTTGCCGTTCGACCTTTGTCCGGAATTCCGTGCGAAGGCGGGATACTTCAACCCTATACTCATCTTGAAAGCTAGCTTCGTCGGCACCGGAAGGTTCTGAGGTGTTGACTAGCTTCATTGAGATCACAGGAGCTCGAATAGCAAAGCTTGTGACTTTCTTTGGGCGTGATAACGATTTTTCGTAGGCCATGATATCAGAAATAATGCCCTTCTGCAGCGAGTCAATTATCTGAACCGGGTGTCGCAACTGCAGAGATCCAAGCAATACGGAGAGTAGAAACAGAAACCTCGGTGTACAAAAGCCTTTCACACCATTATGTAGGTCGACCATAAAATTAGTGTGTGTTGTACTATCACTCTCAAAGGGTGAAAGTTGAGGGTCGAACTTCGGCGCCAGAGGGTCTGGCTGAGGAACAATGGCACTCGGCACCTGGCTTGTCGGCAGGCTAGAAGTTTTTATTTTGATCCGGTGAAGGGTAAAATCAGGGACAGCCCACGTGTTCGAGTCAACCCGAGAGCCTTGTTGGATGTCCATTTTTCCATGCTTCGGGCCATCTCTGACCGGCCCGGGGTATCTTCGGTATCGGCGGATCGAAGATGACATACTCCGGGTCTCGTTCAAACTACGGGTCCGTTTTTTCAGTCCGCGTCCAATGCTGGAAGCATCTGAGGAAAGGAGAAAACTTCTTTGGCTGCTCCCATCCCTTGGATATGCCGCTGTGGACAAGCCCTGCAATGCCGAGCGCGTTGTTAGTGGTTCGGGCATCGTGGGTATGGCAATAGTTGGCCCAGGTGCTACATCCTGACCCGGGTACAGTGCACCCGGCTCAACCTCCTCCGAGTCAAATAGAAGCCACGGTGTGCGCTGAGTTCTCTGGTCGTGGGCTTTGATATGATCCTGCTGAAGTTTCCGACTTTCCACAATATCACTCCTTCGTTGAACCATTTTAAGCTTTATAGATGTCTGGAACAGAGCAAGTGGAACGACGTCGTGAGGAACTAGGCCAGATTTCTGGAGGAAGGCGCAGTCGACAGCAGCAATGGACAGGTCTGGGACCATAAGACTCATACGCTTCGTGAACCTATGATTAGCCCAGTCATTGAACTTGGTCGTTATTGTCTCGGATTTTAGTAGGAGGGCATTGTCGTCCAAAAGGACGGAGATGTGTACTGCAGCAATTCGAGCCCGCAGAAACGTCACGTCGTGAAGAGTGACAGGGAAGAGTGGTGGAAGGGCATTTTCTTCGTTATCAAAGGAGAAATCGAAGCTCTGCAAAGCACTGGCCAGTGAAGCCAGGAATTTGGGGGAGCACTCGCCAATGATTCTTCCAATATCAAAATCCCAATTGCAAACGTAAGTTGGCTCAGTGGGAGGTAAACCAAAAATGCGGTGTCCGTAGACAGAGGCACCATCTATAAACAGCTGAGTATCAGAAGTTGCGGGACCTTCTTTAATCCAGGGAGATTCTAAAGCAGCTTTCAAAGGTGCAAGTGAGAATTGCATGTCCATGTAGTAGTTGGTAAACCTCAAATCGATTTCGAGGGAAGGAGCAGTAAGCTGAACATAATTATGATCATCATACAGGGTCTCCGGAAGTAAGACACATGGGTAGTCGACAGTGACGCGCAATACGACGTCCAGGTCATTTGTCTTTTTGTTCGGGTTGATTCCGTTATGTGCTGCGGCGGAATCCCCCGAATATGCGAGCTCTTGATATTCCTCAAGTGTTTTGAAGTGTACTTCCTCGCCGAAGTAATTCTCCTTCACAGTCATGAAGGACTTGATGAGGAAACCGAACATGTACAACCTCGGAGAGATGCCATGCAGGTTGAGTAGTAGAGTATCAGTCAGCTCGGGCGAGGTGGAGAGGAAATAGCTGTAGGTGCCATTTATGGTCAGGGTCTTCAAGCTGGCTGTAGTTTTGTTCTTCAAGAATGTATGCAGTGTGTCCCACATTGGAGCAACAAAGTCTATTTCAGATTCCTGGAGGGTGACACTGAAGTCCACCGCGTTCTGCTCAGCACGGTACTTGTCCAGCGGAATAACGGTATGCGAGGTCAGCTTACTGCTCTTGACCACAAGCAAGCGGTTGTCACTGAGATTAGTAGGGTCGCTGACGATGTTCGAGTCATTGACATTAGCATAGAGCTGTATATTTGTAAAAGACATGTTCAAACGATAGACGAACGGCACGAATGTATAGTAATCAGACGCGGGCCCGGAGCCCCAATCCGTGATCAGATCGGTCAGAAGAAATATATGGTCCCGCAATAAAAACAGTTCCATATCCTGGTTCTCCACGTCAAAGTTCCATGTACGGAGCGTTTTCCAAGAGAGCGGCACTGAAAGATCACAGGTAATGAGCTGCCGGGGACAGTTCCATAGCAACGCGTGGTTCACACTTGACGACATTTTCGAACCACGAAGGTCAAGGTGAAGTTGGCTGGCGAAACCTGACTTCCCAGCGACCATGTCCATAGTATAATTCATGGTCGAATTTCCAGCGATGCGGAGGGAGAACCATCCGAAAGGACGCATATCGGGACCAACGTTTCCTTTGTCGCCTTCTGCAGCACGGTTCTGTTTCCGGCGTTGCTGCTTTTTCAACTTGGATGCACCGCGGACGGCATCGCCACGGCCTTTCCACTGCCAATCCTTAGACGGCTCTCGCGTTGGGATACGGAGAATGGTCTCTTGATCGAATTCAATCCTGAATCTGAATGCCGAGCTTTGTCTTGTTGCTCCGGGGCGCAAAGGCGCCGCCGGCTGGGAATTTCGGTAGGCGTTAGGGAAGAAGATATTTTGCAGGCCGACGCGTTCTCTGTCAGCCCAAGGCCCGTAGTTTATCATTCCACCAGCGACTCTGACATCAATGCCCCATTCCGGAGCAGGCGCCCCGTTGATGTCGGGAGCTCTCGGCGGGCGGTTTCCGTCCGCGGCGAAAGGCGCCCTAACAACCCCTGGAATGTCCCAAAAGTATAAGACATTCAGGCTAGGGCTATCCAAGATTGTGGAGAACCGGCCATATTCTATAGCATCCCATTCAGAATGATCATCTTGACTGCCTTGGTCTAGATAACGGGAAAGGCCAACCCAGCGTGTATCATGGTTGGCATCAACTGTATGCCGAGGGCCTGGGCCGGCGCGCTTGTCGGTTATGTGAAATGATTCGACCGAGGTCTGAAAGTACGGTATGAGATCACGGACACTGTGCCAAACCCTGCGCTTCTGGAACTCGTAATTGAATATGGTATCTCTTTTCCTCTTCGCTCCAGGTTTTTCGTCCCGCGTTGTGCTTAGTCTTTTTGCAGCAGATAATTGGGTCTGTTTATAATCGGGGTTCGGCCTCATTTGCACAATAGGGTGTTCGAATTTGAAGCTAAACACTTGTCGATAAAGGTCTAGAGGGTTCGCGGCGCAACAAGCCTCGATTAGACCAGCCGCTGAATCAAACGTCGTAGTCAGAACCGATCTTGTATTCTCATTCCCCATCACTATAGCACCCTTGTCACATTCAAGTTTCAGCGGCAAGAGCTGTAGCAGGCTGGACAAGCTGTCCCCAATCTCCCGCTCAACATTTGTATCTCGCCGAGAAGCGCCCACGTCCATGTCGGTCCCATCGTGAACAGTGCTGCCATCAGAAGTATTGGTCTGTCCAAGCGATGACTCGTTTGAATATGGTGCGGCAGCCCGGTCGCCCTTCAAACTGGTGTCTGATGATGCGTTCTCACAGTCAGGTGATAAATTCGATGCTGCCGGGTTGAATCCAGCGAGAATGCCATCATAAGCCGGCGTCCGATTATATATGAACCATTCCAATCCATAGAACTTGACCGTGATCCGACAAGGAAGGGCGGTAGGGCAGTCGACGCCTCCTGTTTCCCCAATGCTGCCGCTCTCGCTCCCGCCAACCTCAGTGTCCTCTGGTCTTCGAACTCTAAAGCGCGAAAAGTCCGGGCGTCTCACCGCACGCTTCCAGAAGTTCCAGGTGACGAACCCTCCATGTATAAAGATTGTCTCGTTCACGCCATGATATCGGATGCCTTTGAAGAAGATCCGCCCTCCAAGTAGGGATATCTGGAGCGCGTTTATGTCAACATACGCGCGGTAGTAATGCCATGTGTAGGCTCTTATCCCGTATGATAATAGGGCAGCAAAGAGGCGATTGAAGTAGAGCAGGAAAAACAGTACGCTTGGGAAACCTTCGCATTAGCCAGGTACTCTAGCAGGGGACCACACAAACTTACAGAATGCACGAGACAATAATCTGGAGAAGAAAGAACCTAGAGAACTATCAGCACAGTAATGACAGCGACAGCAGGGTTCCTACCAGTTGAAACTTGGGTCTGGGGTCAAAGCCAAGGTCGTGAATGATGAAGCGGACATTTCGCGATATCCGTTGAGCGGCCGATAGCCTTCAACATGGCGGCCGGAGTCAGATTGCGTCCCTCAAGGCGACTAAAGGTAAGCCTGGGATGTTTGCCTCCATGAGGATCGTTTTAGACCTCAAGCATAACATGAAACATAGTGTTTTTGAAGTAACAAGCAAATGGTGATCATCGCGATGGGGAGGAGAGATGGAGAAGGTCCGAAGGCGGTGGGGAAGAAGGAGCTTTAGACTGGTACGGAGGCCGACGCGTAGAGCATGATGCCTGCAGCCTGCCCAGCTGCTCACTCTGGCTATGCGATTTCTGTCTTATCAGAACGCGAAGTCAAGCTAATTCATCCTTCCACAATCGCCTGAGTGCGACCTCTCTCTCCGAGCCCTCGGTTCTCCGCCATGCTTTGATTGAGCTGTGATCAGCGTACGCGGCCGAGGACCGCGAATGATCATGGCAACCGAGATAACAACCTGGTCGTCTGGCGGGACAGGCTCAAGCTTAGCTCGAGCTGCAGTAATAGTTGCCGGTGTCTCGTCACTGGTTGCCACGTTGCTCTCTTTTGTGTACGAACTCAGCTTCTCCCATTTTCCTCGAATGCTAGAGCTATACTAACGGCATATCTTCCCTCCTAGGTCTATATGGCTTCAGACGTACGCCCACGATACTATAGGCATTCGCCTAATCTGTCCTCTTATTAGTGCTGATTAGTTGCGCCAGGAAAAACTACCGCAAGCCGCTCCTTCAACGATATGTCGTTCGCATACTGTTAATGTTAGTCTTGGATCTCGCGTGACCGTTACCTGTACTCTGCTTATCGTAACAGGGTCCCCATATACGCGGCGTCTTCTTGGGCAAGCATTGTATCACTGAAGGCGTCACTATGGCTGGCTCCCATTCGTGATGTATACGAGGTATTTCCAATTGTTGGAGGTATGATCCTACCATTGTTGACGGGATCCGCAGGCCTTCACGATCTACACATTCTTCCAGCTACTCATAAACTTTCTCGGCGGCGAAAGGGCTGTGATTATTATGATGCACGGCCGTCCGCCCGTACAACATGCTTGGCCACTGAATCACTTTCTATCCAAAGTTGATATCTCTGACCCATATACCTTCCTCACTGTGAAGCGCGGCATTTTGCAATATACATGGCTGAAGCCGGTTCTCGCCATCGTTTCCATTATAATGAAAGCAACAGACACCTATAAAGAAGGTTACTTGGGCTTATCTTCCGGCTACCTTTGGACAGGGATCCTGTACAATATTAGCGTTACCATTAGTCTTTACTCGCTGGCGTTGTTTTGGGTTTGTCTTCATCATGACCTGGCGCCTTTTCGTCCGGTTCCCAAGTTCCTTTGCGTCAAACTTATTATCTTTGCTTCTTATTGGCAAGGGTTTTTCCTGTCAATCCTGCAATGGCTGGGGGCTTTGCCCAATGCCACCGGGGACTATACACCGGACAACCTCGCAGCTGCCATCCAAGACAGTTTGACCTGTTTTGAGATGCCTATGTTTGCGGTTGCTCATTGGTACGCGTTCTCCTGGCACGATTATGCGGATTCGAACATTTCGGCCGCTCGCCTACCGGTGAAGTACGCTCTTCGTGATGCGCTCGGGGCGAAAGATCTGATTGAAGACACAAAAATCACTCTGCGCGGCGAAAATTACGCATACAGGCTTTTCGACTCGGGGGACCACATCATCCCTCATGCGGATTCAGATTCGCGGGTGAGACGAGTGATGCACGGCATGAGGTACGAACGTGGTGGGAAGGCGAAATACTGGCTCCCTCAGCCAGGTGAGGTGAATAGTCGAACCCCCTTGCTTGGGGGCTCCGAAGGTAGCAGTAGCAGTCGACGCGGCAGCACTCTCGACCGGTATCGCTCGCACAGTGCGTCCGAGGAGAGTACCTTGGATGATGCTGACGAGAAGCTCTTCTCCCAAGCCCGGGAGCTCGAGTTCGGCGACTTCAACGTAAGTTCATCGTTAGTAGCCCAAAAACACAACGCACACTGAAATGAATTAGTATCCGGTTATCACTGCCAATCTTGTTCCCAAGGACCAACGACTGGCCAGCCCCGCTCCCTCGCGCTCGAGTACGCAACCAGCATTGGTGAAGAGGGCGAGGAAAAGCAGAAAGTCTCATGCATCAAGCAGCGGACATAGAACTAGCGAGAGCCGTGCCTCGAGGAGTTCACGGCCAGAACGCTCTGAAAACTCAAAACCTCAACGAAAGGGTACCGACTCGCCAAAATCACAAGGCTCTCACCGCAGTCAGTTAGTGGATCTTGTCGTAGAAGATCGAGAGGCAGAAGAGGAGGAGCGGGGACACATTCAACGAGCATTTGGCTCAGTGGCGGTCGAGGACGAGCCCAAGCACTTTCAGTATGTAGTGCAATCCAATTTAACATGGTGTGACTGTTGCTGACTTGCGCTACAGAAGACCGTCCGGTGATCCAGTTGATGAACGGGCGACCAACGATGCAGGAGGAAACACCGAAATCTCAAACAAGCAGGCTAAGCTGCAAGAACTGGATGATCAAGATGCGAGTCCCAAAACACCTGCGTGGGACTACAGAGATCTGGACGACGACAATGTCTGGAGTAGATAGCGCAGGGGACTTCACGCACAATGGATGACATTTCTTCTCACTCCTTTGTTACATACTTATTGGTTTCTGTTTAGCCTTGGGTTTGAGTGTATTTGAAGCGCTCTGTATAGTCTAGTATTGTTAAAAACAAACATGATGACTATCGGTCATGCAAGGGTCCAAGACTCCAAACCGCTCCCGTCCTCCGTCTTCCCCTCTCCACTCCCCAACTCTCTCCTAAATCCCTGCCCCTCATCCATCGATTCTGCAAGTGCAGTCTGCCCCCCAAAAGCAACTTGTTTTCTTTTTCATCACTAGGGTCCATTCATGCATGAGAGCGAGGGCCCAGTTAGCCAACGATCAGCGTCCTACAGGGTTCGTTTGCCAATCCCCGCGAGTCAAGCAATAGAATCCCACCGTTACGCGCCCGCCACAATGCAGCGTCATTTAGCTCCAGCCTCCAGGTGATCTGGCAGAGCCAATGTGACATCTCCACAGTCGCCCGACAAATGGAATGCACGCCCTGCACAATCGCGGGTCAATGGTTCGACACGCTGGCCGAGGAGGGCTGGCATGCAGCATGATGACTGGCCTGCAACAAAACTATGGCTGGACGACACCTGCTCCTGACCTTATCAGAGCATGAGGGTGCCTGAGCAGCGGGATGCCATGGAACCATGGATGCCCACGTTGCATGGTTGATGTTGGCCAGACTCGAGCGCCTCCTTCCTTTGTCCAACTGAGTTGAAGCAGGTGCTTCTTGAACGGATGCCCTGAACTCATTTCCCGACGATTATTTCTGTTTCTGCTGCCGCCGCCCTAGTCTATCTACTGCTGCATGCCCTCTTGAGCTTTTGAGTTTCGATGACTTGATGTCTGCGTAGGTTGATTCCTCGCTGGTCTTTCCTTCTCATACCGCTACTTTTGGGGTTTTTGCTTTCTTGTTCATATTTTTTTCTTCTTGGGTTGTTTTCTGTCATTCCCTACCCCTCCCCAGTTCCCTGGAACATTCCGCACTTCATCCAAGGGAATGGGCCACCAGCTCTAAGCTCTGGTAGCGATGCAGAGGGCAATTGAGCAAGCAGGGTCCGGATTCACTGGATGGGTCTCATCCTGCTTGTTCTGCCTCGACTCAAGTGGCGATGATGAGCGCGCCCGCCATCGGCAAGCCATGGAACAGAGAGGTATGCACACACACTCATCCACCCCGGCGCTTATCAAAGACACCGACTGACACCTTCCCCTCAATAGGCGCTGAGCGAGAGATGCAAATATGCCACTCTCAACCACACCTCGTCCCTCCCATGAAGCTGGTCGTCTATGACGACCTTCCCAGCCCAGGTCCACCACCCCGCGCATCTTCATTCCCTTCTTGGGTCATGGACGAAGGCAAGAATCTCGCCTCTCGAGCTTCTAGCCGGGCAAGCATGTCATTCAGACGCAAGTCAACGGTCCCCGTGAGGATCAGCGCACCTACAGACTTCAGAGTGGTGTCAGGGACTAGTACAACGATGCTTACCCGCTCCCTCACAACAGTCCCAGTTCATAGGAGCTACCGACCTCTGGAGCTTAGTTTTCAGAGCCCAGCGAACAAGCTCCCTGAGCTTCCCCGCTTCAGTGACTTCGACTTCGGCCTGGATACCGATCAACCCCAGGCAGCAGCTATAGCTCGGCCACCGAAAGCCTACTCAGTCATGACGGACTTCTCCTATCAGGCTCGTCCCCGAACAGTCGTTTCTCATGCTCATCGGCCTTCTTCTTCATTCAACCTACCTCGGAAGCCAGTAGGCTCCGGCTCTCGTCGGTCGTCACTTGCAACTATCGATTTGCTCATGGAGAGACAAGCCCCAGGCCCTAGTCCTCTCAGCAGCCCTTTGATCCCGCACTTTTCTCTTCGCTTTTCTAACGCTTCTCCGTCGATAGCCACTGGTCTGGCTACCAGTGCATTTCCTTCTTCTTCCCCTCCCACCCCTTGGCCGGATTCAGTTGTGGGCGTGGGCAGGACCCCTCTTTCAAACCATGCCCCTCCCCAAGCAATACATTCACACGATGCCACTGCATCTGCATCTATTACACAGAGAACCACAAAACCTACGACTACACAGACCTTTACGCAGACCCAGGTCAAGAACAAAGCCCTGCCACCCGTCCCGTCAAGGGAATCCTACGAGCCCCGAACAGCGTCAATGGATGTGGGAACGTATATTGAACCCGAACACCGTTCCTTCGCACCATCCATGGCCACACTATCTACCTCATCTCGCCCTCAATCTCGCGCCAGCCGCGTTACGCAATGGGTCCTCCAACAAACCACAGCCACACCCCCCAGAACCCCTACTTCTACGGCTGCAATGAACGCCCCTGTCTTCCCTTCCACCTCGTCGTCCTCGCGCAAGCCAAGCCTAAGCCTGAGCGACAAACTTTCCATGCGCATCCGCTCTCGCACCCTGAGCGGGTCGACTCTCACGCCATCTACACCAACTGTTCCTGCCCCTGTGCCTGTACCAGGAGGCTTCAAACTCAACAGCACTACTACCGGAATCTCAACGCCGCCTGTTTCACACACAACTCCAGCACAGACAAGGTCGTCAACTCTTGATTCCCGTGTCGACAAGGATTTCGAGACGCCGTACCCATACGCCTCCGCAAATCCTTTCCCCCGCCAAACTCAATCAAGCCTGCACCCGACAATCCACGAGATCCAGCAGCGGAGTGACCCGAACTACGACTACCACACTCATCCCTACGACCTTGACGTCGACCGCCACCGACACTCTGCCACTGCTATCGGCGTGGCGTTTTGAGCTTGGCTTCTTCGCCTTGATCCCTCTACCTTTCTCTAATGATCTCTTCCGGTGTATGCGTAATATCACTCAATTTTCTCGTCGAACCATGGATGATTTAACCTTGCAGCTAGCTAGTTGGTGCACCCTATCTACCCACCCACCTAAATACCCACTCCGTTTCCGTCTCTGTATCTGCTGCCATGGATGTTGATTTTGGTTCCTGATATATGTGTATATACCCTTTCTAATCATCTGATGAGCCACTTTACGCAATAATCATAGCTCGGGTTGCTCTGCTCATGTGTTTCAGGTATACTGCGTTAACCACAAATTCGCCAGATATTCAATACACCCCAAGTTGTGCGATCTCGCATGCTACAGGGCTTTACACTGCTATGTTATGCGGCAAGAACATACCTAATGCATACAGAAAACGACATAGATCATGGTGCAGCACGAGCCGCAAGACCCTACGGCAAGAAAGCCAGCCTCCTTTCCTTCGACCCCTACTCATGATAACAAGGACAGCACATCTCGCAAATATCTCTATTCCTCTTCTCCCTATCAAACTACTAACTCGAACGTTGAGGGGAGTCAATAAACTAACTACCTACAAAAGTGTACTCAGGTATATAAAGCTAGAAACAAACTCTCAAGGCAAGCAATCCAAAAAAACAGAGAGGAGCAAGTTGGTATAATAAGAACTTGAAGCAAAGCAAAAGCCGGAACAACTAGGTAAATGAACACCGACATACTCCATCATTTCAGTTGGTATCATAGCTGTAGATAGATAGATAGGTAGGTAGGTAATGTTCTTTTAACAAAAACTGGCCGGCTGGTTGACTGGAGCTAGGGAGGTGGGTGAAGGCACTCGAGTTCATGTTATAGCACAGTGGCCACAATCGAAGGCCCAGCGGAGCTGATGAACAGACAGACCGTGTCCTGAATAGGTTCATAGGGTGGTAGTAGTGCCCTCACAATCCAAGTCAGGTCGAGTCCCAGCCGACCATGATTCAATCCGCGATTTTCTTTCAGCGCCATGCTTGTAGATAGCAGAGCACATACAACTCAACTCTCTTTGGTATCAAAAAGGAACACGGTCAAAAACATCAAAGACAAAGTCCGAAAGCAACAATTCGCTCGTAACAGTAAAGATGGCAAAAGGATAATGACAACAAAATTGAAACTGAAATTTCTCTTGGGGTATACTGCTGCAAATTGACATTGATTTTAACGCGGTGGCCCAATAGGGGCCGGGTATCCAGAAGTAGAATTGGAAGTGCTAGGACGACCACTATCAAAAGAAGCCCGGAGGTCATGCTTGGGTGTCATGTCCCCCGGCGCGGTACCGAATGGAAATTTCGTGTCAAAGCGCGCGGGCCAGCCATTGCTGCTGCTGTGGCTGTGGGAACTCCCAAGGGCAGGGAGGTCGTCCTCGGGGAGGTTCACGCCGGAGTCATTCCACGGATTGCGGTAGCCGCTATCCCGGGACTCCATGGAAACCAGAGACGCCTTTGAGGCATTGCTGGAGGCGTGCTTGAAAAATGAGGCGGGGGAGGCGGAATGGTTCTTGCGGCCGATAAACGAGGAGAACGAGGAGATGCTGCCGGGCTTCCTGAGTCGCTCGAAGATTGATCCACGTTCACTGGACTCGTCGGTGAAGCTAGGCCGAGTGGGAGAGTCCGTCGCAATTGGAGTAGGAGCATGCTGCAACAGTTTCGAGTCAAAGAACGGCAGGGACTCCTCAAACGAGTCAGATTTAGGTCGTGGGATGGCCCCTTTAACCGTGGTGGCATCGAGACCGTGGGCAACAAGTCGAGAGATCAAGAAATCAATTGCGTCTTTCAGACCACCAGCGTTGTTGCGCGTGTACCCGAGGACGACACGGTCATCGGGAGGGAACGTAGGCGAATCCGAGCCATTCTCAGAAGCCGGTGGTGCGTCCTGGATATCCACAGTAGTATCAACCTCGTACTGGTCCTTCAGTTTCGCACAGACGTCCTCGCGGAAGTCTGCTCCCTTGAAGAACTCTCGCAGCTCGGGAGAGGTCTGGAATAGGAGCTCATGGCTTTCGGGCACCATTCCCAGCAAGGCATCGACGGCTTGAGGAACCTGATACTCAGGACCAGAAATCGTAACAACGTCACTCGCAAGTTCGGTGCTAGGGAACTCGATCTTGCAGTTCCATTTCTTCTCGAGTTCGTCAATCTCCGTCATACGTGCAAGAAGTTCACGGTGATATAGTCGATTGATCACAACACGCTCAGAAACATACTCAGCGTCGACCTTCTCAACCATGTCCATGATCTCTTGTTTAACGAGGTCGAGGCTCTGCGCATTCCGTGCAGGAGTCCGGCAGATGACATTGTCGACCTTGATGTCATCATCGTCTTTGCCCATACCGCCGCGGTCCATGGCATTGGAGAACTTGACGAAGACAGAGTACTTCTTCATGATACGTTGAATATGCTGACCACCAATACCAATGATCCTCTTGTGATACTGATCTGGGACGTGGAATGAGATCGATGCCGGCATTTCCTGTTCGACAAGATCGAGACCGCTCTTAGTCGACTCAAACTGGTTTCCACAGACGTCGATGTAGAAGTTGTACTCGTTGAAGCCATCGAAGATGATTTGTACGTTACCTATCCACTGTCAGTGAATTCCCATTTCCGGTATTAATGGTTAGCACTCACTTTGTCCCATAATCTTATTGATCTTGCCGTTCTTCTTGCCACTGACAAACTCCTTATGCTCATTCGCCAACTCGATCTTTACACGCATCTGATACTGGCTGCGCTGGACAAAGGGAATCTGGTTGATGACCATCATGGCAGCCTTGACAGCGTCGTCGGATCCGTTGATGGTGAAGTTCAGATTATCGAAGCTGACCTCAGCGCCAGAATTGGTACATATGTCGGAAAGCATCGTTCGGACTTCTGCATGAGAAGGGGTCCGCCCTGCGCCTGGAGTTGGGTCAGGCACAAGAATCCACCATGAGGCACTGTAGAATTGGCCAGCCTGATGAATCGTTAGTTGCGTTCAATCGTAGGTTAGCTTGGGGGCCGTACCAATGCCATGATCTCCCTAACAGTGCGCTCGACGTGCAGCACATCAGTTCCTTGGATACGAACGATACCCCGCTGGCTACCCAATTGCGGGAAAAGTACGTAGGAGCCATTCATCTCCATAACCTTCCGGACCTTGTCCAACCGATCAAGCAAGACGTTATCGATTTTATTCGAGTTGACCACGACGTCCTTGACATAGACCTTCACGCCCATAACCAGCTCATGCAGCTTCTGCTTAGCCCGAGCAATTTGTTCCTGAGTCTCTCCCGTGATGTAAACTTCGTCCTCACTGCGGCGGTGGGCGCCCGGCGGAATGTAACCGAAGATGCGCGGGAACGGAGGAGGAAAGTAGATGGCGGTACCAGTGGCGGCTTCAATGAGCTTGATGTTCTTGCGAGTCCGACCGCAAACCAAGGTGTGTGTGGTCAGGTCCAGCTTGACTGCATCCACGTGACGTTTGAGCTTTGTTCAATTAGCACGATTTACCCAAACGAAGGAACAGCAAAACTCACAATTTGATCGATCATGATCAAAACTCTGGTCTTGGCATGTTCCGTGCTCTCCATATCTCCGTAGATGCAGACCCGGAAACGCTGGTCCAGCCCATTGTCGGAGGCATATCCGTACGATGAAACAACGGCACTATCCGTATCGCGAAGCTTAGGGGTGAGCAAGAAGATATCCGTGCCAGTGTAGGCGGCCAGGGTGTCCAAGTGCTCCAAAACAGGCGGCCTGACTTCCTTGGTCTGGTTATCCGTGATAAGATGCGTATCAACGTCGACGGTCGCACATCGCTGCATAGTGAAACAGTTAGTGAGACATGACTCAAAACTCGAGGCACCGAAAGCCAGCAAATAAAAGACCCGAGTATATGTACATACCAGCAAGATAGGCGTATCATTCATGATCTTGGCTCGCATTTTTCGCACCGTCTCTCCGTCACCGGTAATGCAGACATTGGTAGCTAATCCCTGTGGCCGGCGTTGTAGAGATGGAACGGTTTTGGGCTCCGACGAGCTGATGAGCGCCTCAACCCTCCCATTGCTGCTTTCCGTGATTTGGCGGCAGAGATTCCGTAGCGACTCGACGTTGTTGGTGTGAACGGGCAGCTGGTGAATGGGCGTGCCTTCGGGGGTGCCCTCGGGAAAAGACCATCGCTGAAGGGCGTTGGGGCTTGCGTGCAGTACGTCATCCACATCGGGACCGGCGAGCGTCGAGGAAAACGGCACATTGAAGGAGAGGTTGACAGTAGGATCGATACCGGTCGGCGGGGTCATCGGAGGTGCGCCATGGGGCCGTCGCAGGGAGTGAGAGGCCATCTCCGCGTGAGGGCGCGACATGCCGAAGGTCGGTGTCATTCGTTCCCAACCATGACGGGCCTGGCCCGTAAAGTTGGTGATCTTGTGCATATCAGAGCAGGATCGAATCGAATCTCTAACCCCTTGAACGAATCGAGGGGAGAGAGACGATGGGAGTCAGGCGGAGAATATGGCGGGCGTCGGAGGGAGAGGAACGGGGAAGAGAGGAGAAAACGGAAGGAGAAAGTGGTTTTTCCCAAGGTTGAGTGCGCCGTTCACGACAGGAATGAGGATGGAAGAGGAATGGGCGCGGAGGAGAGTGGATTGGGATGGGAATGGGCGGAATGAATTCAGCAACCTAAAACGGGTATCGAGGGATGGTGGGCAGAAAGAGGAATGGAGGCAGAAAAAAGAAGGGAAAGGAGAGCAGGAAAAGAAACAGAGAAGAAAAGAAAGGGAGAAAGTATAAGAGAAGTAAAGCTGGCAGAGGAGGTAGGACAGTGGTGGGATGGGATGGGGAGAGGTTGGTGAGGTGTGAAGGTGAAGAAGAGTCTACCAGCGAGAGCGAGAGAGGACGAGCGCCAGAGTGGGAGAGCAGATCGAGACGGATCGAGATGGAGGAAAATCAACGGCTGAATCCAGCAAGGTCTGACCACCACAACGGTCAACAACGGCAATATGGTCACCTGAAGGTACTTTCTTCAGCTTTTCAAGCGTTTATTTTGCAGCCTTGATTGAGTCTTTCCATGTGCTTAGAGCAGTATTATCTTTGCTTCTTATGTCGCGGGAACTGCGGATGTCTCAACCCACTGCATGTTACGCATATCACATCACCCAACCAAAGTACGACTACAAGGGCAACCGTGACTCTCGTCCTCGATAATAACCTCCCGCTTTAGCACTCGACACGAGTGTCTATCTTACAATGGCTTTGCGTTCCTTTCGGGGCCCAAAAACAAGGGATGTAGGAGGTCAAGACAGGGCTGAGCTTGGCCGAGGCTGAAGCTGGGCAGGATGTTCCTGGAATCTGCATCCAAGTTATTGCTCCGACATCCAGTTGGAACAAGAACTTCCCCTCAGCAACGGAACAACACCGGAATGGAGGATCCCATGAGCTCCATCCCAAGCATCCCAGTCCTCGTCATGATCGCAATCAGGTTCAGCACGGTCCACCGATGATTCCATTTCGAGAACAAGCGAGGGAACAGGTCACGTGCGTCTGTAGAGCCCGGTCTGGACTCGGAATCATCAACAGGTGTCTGACTGCGCCCGCCAGGGTTCGCTAAGGACACAGTATCCATGCTTATTTCCAGCAAACATATCTACAACTTGCAGACAACTATTGTCTTGTGAGCTCTGCTAGCTAGACAACTCATCAAGGCTCGTTGGTATGACAGAGTGGATCAACCCTTTCACCCGGTGATGATCAGATCAAAGCTGGTCAAGTTCGCAACATAGGAAAAACAGCCAGACTCCGGAGTATTTAAGCTTCTTTCTGGCAGAAGACTAAGTTCCACGGCACCCGGTGCAAGCTCATGCCTGTAAACTCTACGGAGTGCTTCTCTTTACTTCCCGGCCTATGAACCTGCGTCTTGGAAGCATCAAAGCATCATCTGGCCTGACCCACCGCTGTCTGCCCGGCAGATGACGTCGGCGAACTGTGTAGCTGAATAGAAAGAGAGGGATAGTTAATACCGCGATAAGGCGGGGAGAACTACAGACTTTGATGGAAAGATTTTCTGATATTTTGAGGTACCATTTGAGGATCGCTTTTAACTCGCTATTTTGTAGTCAAAGCTGGCAACTGTTGCTTTTTGATATCACTGTACAAGAACCACACCAATGCTTGCAATCAAATCATCCTCTTGACACAAAATCTACCTCTCAATACCGCTGAGAAACTCGGTGGACTACATCTCTCGAACCATCGAGCGCAACTCGCTCGGGCTCGCCGTTCTCGTAGTACCGCTCCTCACGGGCCACAGGCCGTGCAGCTACATATTGAACGGGCCGCTCAATGTAGTCTCTTGGCCGTCGCATCTCCTCGTCAATGTATACGCTCGTGTCGCGACCACCAGGATGAACGCTCTCCACCCGTTGAATCACCTCGCGCGGTTCCTGGTATCTGGTCGTCGGTGGCCGCACACTTGGGATTCGCACTATCCTCTCTCGGGGCAGCTCAGCTTCCTCCGCATAGTGACTTTGCCGGGGTGTCCAATCATGGACCTGCACGCTGCTACTACGCGGGTACGGCTCTCGCACCTCGAACGGCGCTGCGAAAGGGCGCCTTTCAGCCGGTGCAGGCCGAGCATAATCTGCCACTCGTCGATAAGTCCCCTGAGGTATTTCCTGTACATATCTTCGACCACCGTATGGATCTTCAGCAACTGACGCGGCCCGTACGCTAGCGTGGCGCATCTGCGGAGGCGCCTCGTACAAGTCGGCCCTCGGGATCCGACTGGCTGGCGGCGGCATTGCTGAAACTCTCGGTGCCGGGAGGGCCTCGTAATACTGGTTACCATGCTCGTCTATAACAATTCGTCGCGGAGGTGCCTCCACAACATAATCGCTATAGTAGCTTTCCGGCAATGGTGGCGGCATAGGCGAGGCATAACGCCTTGGTGTAAGTTCCTCGAAGTACCGTGCGCTATCTTGCTGCGGCGCGCGTTCAACAACCGTATACGGTCCGTTACGAGCAGGATGGGGACTTTGCTGGTCAACATATTCACGCGCCCACTCCGGTTTCCGGGCCTGATGCAAACTCGCAACTCTCCTCAAGTCCTGATCATCCCGCATTGGCCTCTGGGTGCCGAGTCGCGAAGCCGTACGGGGTACGACCTGATCGCTTTGAACCTCATCGTAAGGTTCCATCCCATATCCTGATGTTCTTAATGCTGGCTCTCTTCGGTCTGCCACCGGAGTATAGCGGGGTGAGGGAACATCAATATAAACGGGTCCTTCTTGAACACGAGGACGGTAAATGGGCGCAGAATCTGCAAAGGGAGGAGGGGATACAGGCTCCTCTTTGACGAAAGGCTTGATCGAGCCACCACCTGACGTTCTATAAACCACTCTGTCATCTTGCAATCTCCTACGCTTCCTGGATACTGGAGGTTGGGCCGGCACCTCAGGGCTTCCTCGGCGCTCCACATCATACTCCGAACGCGAATCATGATGTTGGTTAACGGAGGGGACCTTAGCAATGGCGAGAGGGGAGACTCTGGACGGTTGGGGAGCCGCTGGTGACGTGATATGGTTTCGTATAACTCGTACTCCGTCTGCCGGAGAGATCGACCGTCTAGCATAGCGATCTCGAGGGTCAACTGCCCGGCGTTTGGGCCCGTTTGGCATAGTTCTCGAAGGTTCGTATGATTCTACCCTTTCCATTGGCGCCACACCGGGAGCTGGAGGTGAGTATTCAGGTTCGTCCAGCGGTTCGGCCTGTTGGCGAGTATGTGCCCTGTACGCTTGTGTATGGTGCGGCTGCCTTTGAGACGAAGGTCGGGGGTCTGCAATGGAGTAAGTATCTTGCATTGACTGATCCGAATCAGGACGGTTGAGGGCCTCAAGCCGATGCAACTCATCTGAGTATCTTTCTCCAATAGCCCCGGCGCTATGCTCCCCGGGTACAGAAGACGCCGACGACGACTTATGGTCACCGTGCTGCGGGGAGTCAGGGGCTCTACTAGAGTAGAAGGAGTTGTCATCAAACGAGTCACTCGGCGCCGCAACCTCGGGTGCCGGGGATGGTTTGACCAGCTCGAGTGCTCGTGAGAGAACGTCAGAGACGTCAAAATCAGGAGTCGCGTCCTGTACGGATACTTTCTGTTTTGATTCCTGTCTCCTTAAATCGACCTGCTCCCGTATCTCTCTTTCCACTCTTTGTCTCTGCAGCTGTAGTTCAGCTCTCACCAAGTCCTCTGACTTCTCTAGAAATATCGGATCAATTTCGGAAGTGGGTTTAGGGAGGATACGGGGAGGAGCTGTAATCGAAGGGCCATTGGTAGAATCTGTGCTCGGAGAGCTAACGGGCCTGGTTGTAGACGCGACATGGCGAGTCAGAGCTTTGGAAGGCGAGCCCGCCTTGTCGTTTGCCTTGTTCTGAGGCGTCACCGTCGCAGGCGGGTTGCGAGACGCGACTTTGCGGACAAACTGCTGCGGAACCTTCAACCTAGGGTGAGTCCCAGAAAAGATGTCCTCGCTTATTCTAAGAATCTTCTCATACTCCTTGGTCTCTTCCGCTGTCGATAGTTTAGGGCCAACGCTCCTCGTGGGAAGCTGCGTCGCTGCCATGTTCTAGGAACAGTTGAAAAAGGAATATGGATCCCTGCAACCCGAGATGTGAATTAGTACTCTTAAACGCCCTCTTTGAATTCAGTGTCCCGCAAGCTGCCTGTCCCTTTGACTTTTGCCAGTTTCTTAAGGGATCAGGAGTGACTGAGTTGCGAGAAAACTGAAGTCGAGCTGAGCTGGATGAAACTCGAAAGTGCAGTCCGCGGTGAAGCTTCGGTTCGGTTGAGCAGAACCGATCACCTGCTCGGAGTCTTGGCCGCGAATCACGCTAAACCGCTTTCATTGTTGCCCTGGCTGCTTTTCAAGCATCCCTGCTTTGTAGGGTGTTGATCTAGGGGTCGTATACAAGATTGTGTAGTTTGTCGCTTTTTTAAATATTGGTAAGCGATGTGTGACTCATACCTCAGTGAAAGATGAGTTATCTTGTGCCGCTTCGCCTCTCCAGGTCCATTCCCGCATCCCACGCATTCACCCTTCCCCCCGCATATCGCTCACCACCGACCCGCACTCCATTTCGCGTTCAAAGACCAGGACTCGCCTCGACCAGAGTGAATTATCTGAGCACAATGGCGGACACTCGACCAATCTTCTTCTTTGACATAGACAATTGCGTGGGTATCTTCTTTTGGATTCCAGAATCGATCCAGACTGACTTCGCTCTCACCAGCTCTACTCAAGAAGTCCGAACACCCCTATCCAACCCCGCGCTGCGCGAACGCTTCGCCGGAATCACAACTAACCGGGCATTTCGCGCAGAAAGCAACATCCACGATGAAATGCAAAAGCTGATCCGTACGTGGAACCTCCCTTGATCCGTCTGCAACTCGTTCGAGTCATCCGCCTGGAATCCTCTCTAACCGACTCCCTGCATAGACGAGTTTTTCGTGAACCACCTCTCCCTGAGCTCAGAAGATGCCCACATGCTGCACATGAAATACTACCGAGAATACGGTCTGGCTATTGAAGGTCTTACGCGCCACCACAAGATCGACGCGCTCGAGTTCAACCGCCTCGTCGACGACGCCCTCCCACTAGATGACATCCTCAAGCCGGACCCCAAACTGCGCCAGCTCCTAGAAGACATCGACCGAGACAAGGTTAAGCTTTGGCTCTTGACAAATGCATACGTGAACCACGGCAAACGGGTGGTGAAACTGCTAGAGGTGGATGATCTGTTCGAGGGTATCACGTACTGCGATTATGCAAACCCGCCGCTTATTTGCAAGCCATCGCAGATGATGTATGATAAGGCGGAAAGGGATGCTTGTGCGACGGATAAGACCCAGTGTTACTTTGTTGGTAGGAAATATCCTCTTTCTGAGTTCTTGGACTTGTGGACGCTGACATTGTGAAGATGACTCTGGCCTGAACTGCAAGGCTGCTGCGGCTCGAGGATGGCAGGTTGCGCACATCGTTGAGCCGGAGCTTCCTGTGCCAAAGGCTCCGGCCTCTCAGTTCCAGATCCGGAGCCTGGAGGAGTTACGGACATGCTTCCCTCAGCTGTTCAAGAAATCCTGATTAGACGGTGGGTAAATATACTAGATGCGGACCGCGTACCACGATTGATGTTATGATGCATGCTTACACCCTTATTACTATAAACTTCTACAGTATATATTGTCATGGATAAAATGGTAATAGTTTCATAGAGCATGTCAACAATTACTACAGCTATATATTCTAACAGAAAACGACAGACCATCTATCTTGAGAAACTGAAGGAAAGAAAAACATCCCCTCAATGAACCCAATTTGCAGCGCCAACGGCAATACTCAAAAGAAGAATAGTGATAGACACCGAGACCTCATGCCCAAAAGAACCCCGCTCAACGACGTCCTCATTGAGAGAATGATTCTTCTCCGTAGCAATGCCGTTCCCAGCAACCCCCCAAAACTCCCCCTTCTTTCCCTTCCTTTCTTCAAACCCAAAAGCCGTGACACCGGAAAGAAAGCCTTCGGCTCACCCTTATCCATCTGGAAAACGATCCTCCCCTTATGATTCGCAGTGACTCATTGGCAACCCAGAAACTCCACCGCCTCAAGCCCTGGCTTGAATGCACCAGGGATAGTAAAATATACGGACCACCCCGGGGCCCTTGGTTCGAGAAGACAGGCGATCTGAAAGCCTTCAGTGCCCTTTCGAGTGGGATATGTAGAACCGTCGATGTACTGCTCTTAGGTGTGGTTAAGACGTAGTGCTTGTCGAGGCGGATTGCGTGGTTGCGGAGCTTGTTGAGCGTTGCTGTGGTATTGTAGAGAGGGTCGTGGGTGCGGTACGATGTTTTCCAGAGCGTTTCTCGGTTGTACGGCGCGTATTGGCCTTTCATGTGCGGCTCTTGGCCTTATTAAACTGCGTTTTGTTAGCGTTTGGATTTTGAAAAATGGATGATAATACTTCTCGTCGTTGAAGGGGATCAGCCGTGACCAGTTGATGCTGGGCTCGCCATCATCTGTCGTTGAATTATTGACAGCTTGTGCCATGTCGTTGATCACAACGTCGACCATGAGGTACATTCCTCGCTTGTGCAGCTCCTTAAACAGCCTTCGAAGTTCGTCTGCGGTCCCGAAGTGCTCGTTCAAGGCATACATATTCTGCGGCCAGTATCCGTGGTATGCTTCTCCGTGGACCGTGTCATCTGGTATTTTCTCCACCACTGGTGAGGTCTGGACCGCTGTGAATCCGAAGTCCTGGATGTAGTCCAGCTTGTCGATGATTCCGGTCCACGAGCCCCAACAGTATATGTAGGGATCACATGGTTCGTCTGATGAATTGTCGGGTCTGGCTTGCTTCTTTTCATTCCTGAGGGGCGTGCACAGATCGATCTTGTTCGATACCGCTAGACCATAAAAACCAATTGGCTATAGGCACGTCCTTATACTCCAACTGATCTCTCGGCCCATTGTTTGGCAGAGGAGATGCAGCGGCCACGCTGACTGGGGCCAAAAAGAAATTCGAAAAACTCAGACGCCGCATCATCAAGTAATATGGGTATTTGAGGGCGAAAAGACATATATTTGTCGGGATCTTTTTTGAAACCGTAGAAGATGAATATATATTTTGACGGCTGGGCACACTTGGCTCTGGAAGCAAACGAACAATGTGGAAAACCAGAAATATTTAGGTGATAATCGAGTATCTAAGAGAGAACGAATAGGAAGTAATTTATACCTTCAACGCTATCTGAGGGCAAGCCAGGCACTCCCTTGGGCTGCTGAACTTGCCATCGTAACATGGAATGGGTACTGGTAACTCAGGAGATAGCTCCTTTCGTACAGAGCCATCCCCACGAACCCCGCGGTCCCAACGAGCTTTTGACTCCTGAGCTTGACACATCGTGGGGATTCGTTCGTAGAGAGACCTACCTAAGGTCAATCAAAGCAAGGAGGAACAAGGGGGCTTTGCATCACATGGGCTCTGGGAACAGGTACAAAGTTGATCAAATATTTGCTAAGACAGAGCGATCGAAAGAGATATTTGATGACCAGGAGCGAAGGGATAGATGGGATGAACGATGTCAGGAAGGGAGCATAGAGGAAGCATGAATTGGATCCTTATAGGCACAACAATTCAGGCAGCAATAAACTGGAGCCTGGCAGATAAGGCCACAACAGCCCGTAGTTTCCCCTGGCGGCAACAACAACATTCCCGAAGTTCCAACACCAACACCTCCGCCCTTCTTCACAGCGCTTGGAGTTCTTACTCTTGGCCATTGCGCAGGAGCTCCAACTTACGATCAGCATGGCCGAGCTTACTACCGGCTGTGTGATCACTCTCACGGACGGTCGGCAGGCCACCGTCCGGTTTATAGGAGCTACGAGCTTCGCCGACGGCGAGTGGATTGGTGTCGAATTGACCGACGACTCGGGGAAGAACGATGGATCTGTGCAAGGAGAACGATATTTTGACTGCGAGCCGGGCTTTGGCATGTTCGTTCGCCCAACTGCCATCGCCGCAGTCATTGAACGTCCCGTCCGAACAGCCAAACCCGCAGCCAAACCAGGCACCGCTCCTTCCCAGAGTAGAAGCCGCACTCAGAGCGGCCTATCTGCCGCACCAGGGCTGAAGAGGCCGGGATCTATATCAGCAATGAACTCCAAGCGAAACAGCGCCAGTTCCAGTCCGACGCCTACCCCAAAAGGCCCAGCACAGCGCCCGTCTTTGAAGGTAAGCTGTCACAGTCGGTTTGTCTCAGCCATGCTGATTCTCTTTCATGCAGGCACCCTCCAAATCGCCTACAAAACAGTTAACCTCCGCAACCCCCGCCGGACGTCCGTCTATCAGCGGCACTTCGCGCCCCTCTGTCGCCGCACCAAAAGCTCGGCCTACTACCACGAAGTCGTCAATGGGTCCTCCTCCACAACCTACCGCATCCCGTCCCGCTCGTACATCCTTATCCGGATCCGGAAATAAGGCAAGCAGACAAAGTTTGCAGGGACCTGCGGGAACCGCAACTTCAGGATTGTCCAAGCGGCCCACTCTGCGACCAACAGCTACGACCAGCACATCAGATGAGGCGAGTCCAGCTGCGGACGACTTTGAACTTAACTACGATGATGCGGAAGGTGATCTCGACATGGAGGATTCCGCATCGAAGCTTGCACCATCCGCACAAACCAGCTCTTCCCGTCTGTTACCTGGCCAATCTGCATCGCCACGACAGCCACAGAATACGGCCATAAACAGAGAACTTGACGAACTGAAAACGAAGTTGAAGGTGATGGAAAAGAAACGAGCCGAGGACCGAGAGAAATTGAAGAATCTGGAACAGTTGCAGGCCGACCGCGATAAATTGGAGGGTATCATTCGAAGCGTGCAGACAAAATTTCAGCCACATGAGCGCAATATGACCGAGATGCGTAAACGGGCCACAGAGGCCGAGGCCCGAGTGGAAGAAGTTGAAAAACTCCTAGCGGAGCATGACTCGCTAATGGAAATTGCTAGTCTTGACCGCGAAATGGCTGTAGAGATGGCTGATGCGCATAAGATGGAATGCGAGACCCTTAGACTGAGAGTTGAGGAGCTAGAGTTGGAAGTAGAAGTGCTAAGGGAAGAGAACGAGGAATTCGGACAGACCATGACCCCAGAGGATAAATCCAGCCATGGGTGGTTGCAGATGGAGAAGACAAACGAACGACTTCGTGAAGCACTGATTCGCCTTCGCGATATGACACAGCAGCAAGAAGCAGAGCTTAAGGATCAGATCAAGGAGCTCCAGCAGGATCTTGAAGACTATGAAGCTGTCAGGTCGAAATATGAGACTACGAAGGAAAAGCTATTGAAATCAGAAAACAACCTGCGTGATCTCAAAGAACGGCTCGACTCTGTTCAGGCTCAGGATGAATTGGTGGAAGAGATGGTTGAAAAGAACCTGGCCCTCCAGAAAGAAATTGATGACCTTAAAGCGGATATTGCTGAGCTCGAAGTATTGAAGGAGATCAACGACGAGCTCGAGTGGAACCATGTTGAAACGGAGAAGCAATTGCAAGAAGAAATAGAGTACCGCGAAACTCTCTATAACGATCAAGTGCACAGGATTTCGCAGCAGGATGAAGTGATTGAAGATCTGGAATACACGCTGACCCGCTTCCGAGATCTTGTTTCTAACCTGCAGGCGGATCTGGAGGATATGCGGGCCTCCCAACAAATAACAGAGGCTGAGGCTACCGATCTTACTGCACGCTCCAGAGCAATGATGGACTTGAACCTCAAGTTGCAGTCGTCAGTCGCGAAAGCTCAGACGAAGACGATTGATATTGAGCTGAAACGCATCGAAGCCGAGGAAGACACGCAACATCTGTCGATTTTGAAGCTGTATCTGCCGGAATACTTTGAGGACGAACGGAACTCTGTTCTCGCACTCTTGCGCTTCAAGCGAGTCAGCTCCAAAGCATCATTGATGAACAGCACCATTGAGGGGATGATTTCCGAGCAGGCGTCGATATCTCCAGCTTTGGAAGACATTTTTACTGCCCATGATGTCCTAGAGAAGCTTCTCTGGATAAACTCAATCTGCGGTCGATTTGAGAGCTACATCACAAACTGTTCTGCTGAGAGCTTTGGCGGTGTCCAAGGTGCTTTCTACGAGCTGGAACCTGTGGAACGTACGTTAAACTTCTGGCTCGAAGGCTTGAAGAAGAACGAAATAAACATGAAGAAGTGCGCCATCGAACTGCAAAGATCCATATCTCTGCTATCACATCTAGCCGAGACTCTACTCCCGACTTCGTTGGAGACATTCGCTGACGAACTCTGTATGAGTACGACACTGACACTATCGTACATTGAGAATTCGGTATCTTCAATGTTGCGACTCCTCTCCCTACTACAGTCGAAACTTCCGAAGCCTGAAGAAGGCGATGAAGAAGCCGCATTTTTGTTCGGCAAAATTGAAGGCTTTGTCTCTCAAGCTCGCAGCTTGAAAGTTGCCACGGCCAAAATCAACCGTGCTCTTGGCGATCTGCGGTCAAGGTCTCTTGCGCTCTCGAAAGATGCATGCGGTCCTTTCAAACAGGCGGAGGATGCTGCGAAGGATCTTTCAAGTTTATCGCGACAAATGGGAGAGAACATTGTGCTCTTGGTTAGCGATGATAGTCGTGCTGAACCGATTTCCTTGCAAGAGGCCTTAACGAGCATGTCTCAGCAAGCCACACGATACCAGCCAGGAACGACTGAAAACAACGACGGCATGTCGCTCATTTTCACCATGCTGCGTAGCCTGAGCGGTACTCTAGAAGAACTTGGCTCTATTTCATCCGATTTATCTATTACTTCAGAGTTTGAGAAGCGTCCTTCGCCTTGGATTGCACGATCTGCAGAGCTAAAATCCAGTAAAGCAAACTCCCCGGATGCCGAGGAAGAAATCCGTCGTCTGAAAAACGAACTTCGCGAAGCAGCTACTGCGCTAGGCGTCAAAGACAAGAACATCGAGGAACAGGCCATCAAGGTAGAGCTCGTCGAGTCACGTATGCGAGAAGCAAGCAAGAAGGCAGCCGCTGTAAAGGACCTGGAAGCAAAGATCGAAGAGATGGCTACAAAAGAGTCCGAGCTCAAAACCACAGTTGAAGCCCAGCGCAAAGATCTGCAAGGCCTTGAGGCGGAACGAGATGAGATTAAAGCACAGCTTGAGAGGGTGAAACGCCTGTCCGGAACCGCCGGAGTCACCGCATCCCCCGGCACGGTCGTTGACAACGCCGCCTCTCTAGCAGCAATGCAAGAAAACGAAGCTCTCCGTGCCGAGGTCGAATCCCTTCAATCCGCGGTCCGCTTCCTCCGCGAGGAGAACCGCCGCCAAACGATCCTCGACCCATACTCCGTGCAACGTTCCTCAGAGCTCTACTCTTGGCTCGACGCGCCACTCTCCCAGAAGGCCGTCCACAATACCCACCGCGAAAAGATCCAGCAAACCGCCTCCGAAAGCCGCGATGTCCTCTCCCACCTCCTCAAACTCACAAAAGAATCTTCTATCGCTGACCTCAAATATACTCGCTTTGCCAGTGGCACCAGCACTGGCTGGCGCCCGTCAAAGGAGAAGCTCAAATACCAGGTCCTCCAGCAGCGCGAGGACTTTGAGCGCTGGGCAGAGTGGAAGGATGAGGTTGTTGGCCTTGGACGCGAACAGGATCGCCTAGTCGCTGCTAAACAGGAGAGGTTTGTGAGGGGCCCGCGTGCAGGCGGGCGTGGGCATGCCTCGCATCCCTCTATGGGGTATGGTATGATGGGAAGGGCGTGGCAGATCCTGGGTATGCAGCAGGATCACAAGACGAATGCTGCCCAGTCCGTTGAGCCGGCCATTGAGCCAACATTTTAGGGCAGTGATGCCAGGGCTACCGCAACCAGCCATTTGTTTTCTCCAATTTGTTATCAGCATGTCGTTCGCAGTTATTATACCCATTCATATTGAGAGTAGATTAGATTTGACTACCTTGCTACTATGCTATGCTAGGCAATAAAATATAAGGCCACCTAGAACCAGCTGTGGACAATTCTCCCAATTCAAAACGCAAACGGCGGGTACAGCAGCTACGAAGCTACCTCTTAGAGCACTTGAGCGAAACCGAGCTCTTTAGCCCAACGATGATTGACTATAACTGCACTGGCCCTCTCAGAAACGCAATCCTGTATACCGCCGCGATGACGTGGCGCTGGCTATTAACTGGGGGGCTCAGTATATTCTGCGTTGTCAGCGCCAGGATGGGTCTTGAATGGCTTTTTTTATAACAACGACGTGCAAGCAGAGACATCCCACACCGTGCAAATCACTTGAGTCTGTCTTGCCTTGATACACGCTGAATATCCTGACTCGGCCCCCATCCAGAAAGGGATCCTAGAGCGCTCGTCAGACTAGGTAAGAGGCTTTCATGGGAGGGCTGAGCTCGGTAACAACAGACGCAATGGCTCTTACTCTACGCAAATGCCAACCCTACCAACAAGAAAACGATTCAGCAGTAATTAATCAGGCGTACAGAAGAATCTTCAAACCCCCATCTTACTATCCACTCTGATAACCACCACCTACCTACTGTACCACATGCACCCCCTTTCCCTCCTCTTTCCACCCCTTCCCCAACCAAAAAGTATCAGCATCCTCAAAACAACATTCAACCCCCTCCACAGCATACCCCCTCGGCAGATACCCGCTAATACCAAAAAACCTCTGCAGCGCCTTCCTCTTGAGCACCTTATCGCTTCCCGTCGACCTCGGCACCTCTTCTCCATCTTTCAGGATATACAGCAGGCTCGGGAGCATGTACTCCTGGAGCGAGGCTGAAAGATCGGTTCGGATCCTCTGCAGGTTGATGTTCCCCTCTGCTGGAGAGATCCCCGGAGACTGCCTGCCGGCATCAGGAGCAGACTTCAGCTGAACAAGGGCTGCCGCGTGGCCCCTAAATTCGCGGTCGAGGACAGGAAGGATGTACGCTTCGTGGATGTAAGGGAGGGCGAGGAGGTGTGATTCGACTTCGGGAATGGAGATTTTGAGGTAGAAATGGTGGATATCTGGAGTATGATTTCATCTTATTAGTTGGTGAGAGAAGAAAAGCTATAGAAGGTACGTACAGTCAGCGTCAGCTCTGCCTTCGAAGAAGTAGGTGTCTCCCACGCGGCGGACCAGGTCGCCGGTCTTGTAAAATCCGTGCTCATCGAAGGCGTTTTTTTGTTGCGGCGTCGTTTTTGAGGTATCTGGGAGCAAGATAAAATCAGCATACAAAGGTACATCAGGGCAGGATGACCGCAATGTTTGCAGAGGAGAGGGAGAGTCCCACCGCGTGAACATCCTGGGAGACTTCACGAGCAATTCGCCCTCATCTCCATTTGATAGCTTAATCTCCACGTCATCAACAGGGGAACCAATTCACCTCTAGAGCAAATCAAGCTCACAGTCAGTAGGGGGTTTGGATAGTAGGGTATTCAGGCAAACCACCCACATCAAGATACGGAGCATCAACATCCGTCTTCAGCGCTGACCCTCCCAACTCCGTCGACCCATAAACGTACAGAATCTTCATTCCCGTGAGATCCATCCAGAACCGCGCCGTCCCGGGGTCCATCGTGGACCCGCTGACCATGCCATGCTGGAGCATTCGAGCCCCCGCGACAAACGCCTCGTGCTGATCATCTGGAAGTGTCCGAATACTGCTGTGATAGTATTCCTCTAGGCTTTTAAACAGCGATGGCGGGAACGATATATCCGTGATGATACCTTGCTTGAAGATCTCCCAGAACATGCCTGGGTCTCGTCGACGCAGAGGCCAGTGGATCTTCACCCCGTTGAGAAGCCGGGCGAGGAGACCTACGCAGCCGCCCATCCAGTGCACGGAGCGGTAGGCTAGGAATATGCGGCTAGACTCAGCAAGATCGGAATTGAAACTCTCCTCTGAGTTAGAGTCGGAGCTTTTAGAGTCGGAGTAGTCAAAGAAGAAGGTCTGGCGAGGCACGAGGACGCACTTGGGTTCCCCGGTGGTGCTGCCGGAGGTTGCGATGACAGCACAGGGACGGAGGGGGTCGATGATGAGGCTCTCATCGATCTCAAACTCAATCTCCGATCCACCGTTTGGTCCTTGCCTTTGTCTGCGCTTGATAGGAATTGTATGGATGTCTGGTGCAGCTTCTCTAAGCACGGCAACTTCGCGGGTGGCATTAGGCTCGGTCAGGAGATACACCGCGTCAGCCATGCGCAAGACCTTGAGAGCCTCATCTGGCTGAGGTGCAGATGCCGCATGTGTCGTTGCTATTCACATCGTAAGCCCATAGCTCAGTCAATATTGACCCGTCGACTGGGAGGGAAAAGTTCAACTCACGCAGCACCACGCACGTCCCCCCTAGGGCAGCAATCGCAAACAACCCCACCAGAAAGTAATAACCGCTTAACGAGATTGTCGCTATCCGGTCAGCATCGGGAGTTAAGAAGCCTCTGGCGTCGAACCAGGCAGCAGGGAGCTTCCTTCGCAGGTCTTCGCGCAGACCTATGATATCGTAGAGTAGGTCTTCGAGCGTTGCGTCGATACCGTAGTCGTCGTGGATCAGGACGCCCTCAGCTGAGTCCCTGAGCTCGAGGAGCTTAGTGAAGATGGGATCGTTTGGGAATTTGTCCATTTTGGGCTGAAATGGCGGGGGCTTGGAATTGTCCTGGTTGATGTGGGCGAGTGAGGCACATTGCGGATAGGGGGGTCATGATGTATGCAGATACATATCTAGCTTCCTAAGGAATGTATCCAATTCCTGAGGAGAGATTCAATCCCGAGTCTCCGGGAGTTTTGCGACCTGCTGACGAACCTCTACTACATACAGAGGGACTTCGGAATCATGATGATTCGTTTGAAGGGTTCAAGCGAATCATGATGATTCCGGGAATAGTCAGTGACAGGGTAAGATGGAGTCAGTGCCCGTCAGCCGAGCCGCGGCCTCTGGTCTCTTCCATCGTTGTGAGCAACTCCAGTAGTGGCCTGATCCCTTCCCCGGTGCATTGAGATAACAGTAGGGGAATGAAGCAAAAGGATGTTGATATCGAGAAGATCTCGCAGAGCGAACTGGTGGGATGACTCGACAGGAGAGCTCCTTCCTCCGGAACAGGCAACAGTCATCAACCGTCAGCGTGTTGTTACTGCAATTCTCTGGTGATGTTAGATTATGCACTCCAAGGCTTACCCAGAATATAGACTCGAAGTGTGTGGTTTAACCAAGGTTACAGAATATCCATAGATACATGCTAAACTCTAAAATATAGAGCAGTCAGCAATACCAATGAAAGGAACTGCTGCAATATTACGGAGGCATGATAGGCCAACATACTGGGATAACAAGCTATGCAAGCGCCACCTTCACAGCAACCTCACAGTGCACCTCCGCCGTACCAATCAACAGCACTCCCTCCTCACTCTCCCCTGTTTCGAACAACCTCCCAAACTCCGTGCACCCCAGCACAACCCCCTCGGCACCCCTCTCAACCAACCGCCCAATAACCGCCAGAAACCTCTCTCTCGTCTCCGGCAAAAAGATCCCAAGCGCGAACTCCTCCCCCAGCGCCCGATGAATCATCCTGCGATCCGAATCATCCGGAACAACAACCTCGACACCCCTCTCCACAAGCCTCTCCACAAAATACCCATCTGTCATGGTCAGCGGGCTCCCGATGAGTCCAACCTTAGGTATGCCCAATTCCTGGATTTTGTCGACTGTCGCATCAACAATATGCACCACCGGCAGAGAAATCTCATCCTCGATAAGCGGGAGAACCTTGTGCACGGTGTTACACGCAATGACGATGAAATCGGCCCCGGCATTTTCTAACTGCTTGCATAATGCTAGGAGTTCCTTTGCAAGGGAGGGCCAGTCTTTGCTTCGGATAAAATGGAGGAGGGGGTGGAAGTCGGTTTGGGCGAGGATGAGGCGCGCGCTGTGGTGCGGGCCTAGGGACTGAGATACAAGCCGGTTGATGGTGGTGTAGTAGGTTATGGTGCTGGGCCAGGCGAGGCCGCCGATTAGGCCGATGGTTTTCATTTCCTTTCGTCAGTGGAGATGGAATGGAGGGAAGGGCTGCAGATGGCTCTGAGTTTCCGAAGCTCCGGATCTCGGTGGTCTATATACAGAGGTGAGAATGTCCTACTCGACGTGGGTGAGGAATGTAGTTCCCTGATCCCTGGCAATGGCATGCAAGAAATATGATCTAGCGAACTTTATGACTGCCATACTTACGAATTTTTCAGCCAACACATCTATCTGTGCACTGTCAGACCCGGTGTAACATGTTCGCCCTCACAGTTTCTTTGCCCGATGACTCTCCGAAGAACCCTGCCAGGAGTGCAGGGCACGAGATCTCGGACACAGGGTCAACCTTGATCTAAGGGCCAGTTGTACAGTTGTACAAGGTGCGATTGACAACCCCTCAAACCATTTCCATCCTCTCTCCACCAGGTCTTTTGGATTGTACTATACACCGGAGTTATCATCATGACTGTACCAACTATACCTGCGCCGCGAATGCTCCCTCTAGGAACAAGTCAGCCACCTGATGATAGACATGTATGCCCGCGCTTTGTCCGGATTATGCACGATACGCTACTAACATAAAGCATGCAGGCCGTCAGCGTCTCCCTTCCAACATGGGTCTCTGTCCCGGGCCGACCCCTTGGCTACAAGTGGGTGATTGAGAAAATGCAAGCAAATTACCCTCGGTAAGTATATCTTTCCAACACAGCATCGATTACGACGAACTGACTTTTGACAACGCAGGATGGGCGTCGGTGATTCGTGCAAGAGCTTGCGACTGCGGTCTTAGAACGGTGTGCCATTCCAGCAGCAGATCGGCCGGCGAGGAACTGCATGCTCTTTCCCTCCAGGGACGCCGCAAGGCGATGTGTCGCATATCTCCAAGAGCATTATCCCGCAGACTTCCAGACGGACATTGTGCATTTCCTCTGCTCACCTGACGGGCATGGTTCAAGTGCTTGGTCCCAATTCTACGCTGTCCTATACGACACCAAAGCGCAGGAAGAAGCGGACCATTTCTGGTCTATATTCGGGGATGGGCTTTCCAGCCGCCATGCGGAGTTTCTCTTGCGCTTGTGGCCGGATATGTCCTCGAGCCCTTGTGATGAACTCGCAGAAACAGGTACAAACGGCTGCATCCAGACCAGGGAGGTAGATGATGGGGATGAAACCGCCAAAATGGAGATCAGAAACAGGATTGCGCGCTTGATTGCGCCCCAGGGCCCTCATGGTCCGCGGCCATCTGCACGGGATGTCTTCTTGTATGCAAAGGGGATGTGTGCAATAGCAGCGGTAGCAAGAGCCTTATTGCCAGGGGATGATTGCAAAGATAACTCTTCAGAGGCAGTGGTATTCGGGTGAGCCTACCGGACATAATAATTAACTAAACTAATATACTCCAGGTGGCCTTACTCCGAAACCCCCCGGTGCGTATCCCAAACCGGCTACGACCGCTACACGCTCTACAGCCAAGGCACAACCTCGGAACTAGACCAGCTCGAGCAATCTTTCGCCTCTGGCCGTCGCATCCGGGTCCTCTTCTGTGAGATCCCCACGAATCCACTCCTGCGCACACCGGATCTCCATCGGATCCGGGCCCTCGCAGACAAATACGAGTTCATCGTCGTCTGCGACGAGACCCTCGGCACATTCACCAACGTCGATATCCTCCCCTACGCAGATATCGCCATCACAAGTCTAACGAAGATCTTCAACGGCGCAGGCAACGCAATGGGCGGGAGTGCCGTCGTCAATCCGGCAAGCCGGCACTACAGACAACTCCACGCGAAGCTCTCAGCGATCTACGAGGACAACCTGTTCCCGGGTGACGCGGCCGTCCTCGCTTCGAACTCGCGGGACTTCGACGCGCGCGTGCGCGTGTGTAACTCTAATGCCCTGGCGCTCGCAACCTTCCTCACAACCCAGCCGGCTATCGCATCCGTCTTATACCCGCCGTTTCTACCAACGGGTAATCTCTACGAGCGATACCGCCGAGTAGATGGCGGATACGGGTACGTTCTGAGCGTTGTCTTCAAAGATCCCAAGGAGGCGGTGCAATTTTATGACAGACTGGATATGTGCAAGGGGCCGAGCGTCGGGACGAACTTTAGTCTTGCGCTGCCGTATGCACAGCTGGCGCATGTTTTCGAATTGGATTGGGCGGAGGAGCAGGGGATTCCGAGGCATATTGTCAGATTTAGTGTTGGGCTGGAGAGGGAGGCGGATTTGATTGAGTGTGTTGAGAGAGCGTTGCGGGGCTAATGTCGTACCATACTAGGTAGTCCCTTGAATTGGTGCTTGGATGGATAGCAGAAAGTACTCGTATCTCATTCTGGCCGGAGAAAGTATTCCAGCATAGGGACCTGACCAATCTGCAGACTTCAGCTCTCAAGATACACGAAGACAGTGCTTACCGTACGTCACCGGTTAACAAGCAGGCCACCTGAGGCATCATCCTGAATTCAGCTGAGCCGGGGTAGCAGATGTGTTCGTGATAGGTGTAGCTGCAAAACTGTTGATCGTGATGTATAAAATCATCTTCGACGGACCTTGCAGGGCAGTGATCACTGATCGATAAGATTATCTTCCTGTGGATAATATACCAGTGAAGGCAGACAAGGTCCGTTTAAAACTGTTTGTATTTGTCCAATGACTGAGGTGACAGTAGCTTGTCTCAGCTTGAGCAAAATCAATACAGGCGGATGCCTATACCCTCCCCAAAGCAGTCATACTCTCATTCTGCCCACCAACCACACAGTCCTCCTTATCACCTGCACTTGCATTCCTCCCTTTACCCCCAGTCAAGAACCCAAACACAACAATCACAATCGCCGTCAACGCTTCAGGCAGAAACATCAGCACCACGCGCACCGCCACCGTCCCAGAGACGGTACTCAGGTCTTTCCGCTGCGTAGCCGTCGCAACTAGGGCATAGATCACCCTCACACCCAGCGGGACAAGCGCAACAACCGTCCCGTAGAGAAGGAGCGTGCCCTGTCGGAACTTCAATGCGTCACGCCTCGCCTGCGAGGGGAGGAGCGAGAATGCGGCCCAGGCTACCTCGAGCACCCATGCCACAACCATAAGCGCAGACCCGGCTTTCCAGTGGGCGATGCTGTGCGGTTTTGGGGTTCCGCGGTAGATGTCCATTGCGCCGGTGACGGTAAGCGCGATGGCGGCGGCCATTAGGCCGGTGATTATGTAGATGACGGCCCAGCCGAGCCATTTTCCTGTTGTTTGGTGTGGGTTGCGGTGGGTGCGGCTGTAGCGGGAGACACGCTCTGTTAGTCTCGTTTATGATGATTGGGTTGTGGGTGTACGTACGCCTCGTGCACGAGCCCATCGATCGCGAGGATTAGCGGCGATGTCCCGATCCCCGTGAGGATGTTGGCTGCTACGCTCTGTTCGTTGGAGGCGCCGATGGCGCCGGCGACGATGCGGATTGCACAGAAGATGCCGAGGCCGTACCAGGCTAGAAAGCCGGCCCAGCGGTGGGTGTAGAAGTTGTAGATGACGAGAGGGAAGAGGGGGATGTAGAGGGCCAAGTCGGCGGCGAAGATTCCGTTGACCATTTTCGTCACTGATCTAGCTGTGCGTCGTTTGTGTGTGATGACAGGCAATAGCCTGCAAGTGGAAGGATCTCAGATGAAGAGGGCTGAAATGGTGATGACCAGGATAAGGGCTTCGAGGGAGACGTGCTGTTTTATGTTGGAATTTCTCTCCTTTTCCGCGCTGATCGATAGTGGCTTAAGGCTGTCCATCCTGGCTTTGGTTGAAATAATCTCATTATTTTCGACGACACTCCTTAAACTGATAGCCAATCCAGCTGTCGGCGCCTGTCGGCCGCTGTCGTCGTCACTAGTCAGAGGCTGAGCCCCAGGAGAGCAATCACAGCCTCAGAAGGAGAACAAGTGGATCGTGATAAGGCCTAGCTCGAAGCTAAGAGAGGACAAGCTTCAAATGAGAACTTGCATTATTGGGTCGTGCCGCTGTGGGATCAGGCCCATTGGGGGCTGAAAACCGACTCCACGGAGTCTGCCTTACGCTGAATGCTGATACACAGCCTCAGCCGCTCAGCCCCAATTCAATCAATGACAATTCTCCAGTCTATCAAAGATCAGGAAGCCAGGATAAATCCCTCCCCGAGCGCAAAAGATTCGACATAACGAGCGCCTGCCGGATCCCAACCCCATATCCAATTTTGAAAAGCGTATCCGCGATCCAATCCGTTGCTTCTGATGTTGCTCCATCACGCTCAGCTGCAACGAATAACGGCCAAATCAGCCGAATGACGCCGCCGGTCCGGGTACTATCCCAGTCTTCGTACGGAGATGTCTCCGTAGCGCCCAGATGATACGGCACGCTGGCACATATATCCTCCGCCATTTGTTGAGAGACCATTCTACTATTGGCAACTGTCTGTGCGTATTTTTGGCGGACGGTAGCTTCGAGGTCTTCTTTCCGCGAAAGATGACAAGCAAGCCAGCATATGACCTCGTGAAGTATAAGGCGCACGAAACGATAGTCGTTCCACCACGCTGAAATAACCGTGTCAGGGTATATGTGGTAATGGTCGCCGTAGATGCTTCGACAGGAAGAGCTGCCACTGCCATTCCCTTGCAGAGGAGCAGGAACGTTGACCACGGTGTAGCGCCGCTCGAGCTCGACGGATCTCGCCCAGGCATTGAGTTCGATATCAAGTTCCAGGGCCTTCTTCACAAATTTAGCCGGCTCAATAAACAGGCCGTTTCTCAGACTGGAGCATAGATCGCCAACCCGTGTCATGAGTATAAAGAGTGCATCTTCTGAACCTGTGCTTCCTTCACCACGGTAGACGGTGGCTTCGTGCGATAGCTGTACCAGCCACGAAGGAGTAGATCGCTTTAACCAGAAATTACCGAGAACCTGCTTGCCTTAGTACATGCTCACTAAGTAACTGTATTGGACAAATGACATACTATAGGTGTCCGGGACTGAGTAAACAAGCCCAGTCCGACGGGGTCCTGGAGCTGTTCGGTCCCGCGCAGCTGGAGGAGTTTGAGCGACCCATCTAGGTGTTTGACATACTTGTCCATCAACGAAGAACCGTCGCATGCCATCATCTAGGCCATGAATAAGCATCCTTCTCCCGCAATCAACATGCCAGTGATTAAGACTCACCTCGAACATGCCCAAGAAGCTTACCGCCACTACACTGGCATTTGATGTGGCCTGAAATGGGTCACTCAGAACAGCATTTGTCTCCTTCAAGGCCGAGACGTATTCCCGACGTGCCGTGAGCATAAGCTCCATAGATTGGTGAATATTGGACAGGGCCGCCAAGCCCACAGCATTAATGCTGGCAGTAACAGCACGTCCCGTCGTCGTACCCAGGATGTGAGGCAGGTTGATCCCTACAGACCGGCTGAGATACCGAGAAAGGGCAAACGCCGCACCCTGATCTTGCAATGGGACGGTGATCTGTTGTCGTACTAGGGCAGTAGACGGGCTCGATGTTTGCTGCCGCGGAGGAGGAGTTGGAGCGGAAGAAGAGGGTGAGTTCTTCTTCTTCACCTCCTCAGTCTGGTCGTAGAATCTGCCCGCAGAGACATCACGATACCCTGAGCATTCTCTCTGGGCTCGGATACACTGAGAGCAGGACGGCTTTTTATGGTCGCACTATTGGCAATAGTCAATGCGAGATCAAAGGTTGGGATGGCTACGGTAAAGGACACGCACTTTGAGACGACGGCTTCGACAAGGACCACAGGCAGCGCTGAGCTTTCCGCGATGCACCATGGAAGGCTGAGGATTTCAAATGGGATAATTGGTCTACTTTGATCCTATGGTGATGAAGAAGTCAAGGTAGTGATAGTTTGAGATGAGAGAAAGAATGACGGTGCCTGTTGGGGGCTGACGCAGAGGGAGGCTGTGCCCTTAAGACGGAGAAGCTAAGAAGCTTGTCTCCAAGGCCGCCCCACCTTCCCTTCCAACACCATCACATCTTGCATTGGGCTTAACATTCTCCAAACAATTATTCTACATTTATTGTCTGTATTATTTCCAGCATGGCCTTCGCAGCCCTGCGACGGCCGACCCCGTACACGTCCTGTGCCTGCGAGCTCTCTTCTTGGGCGAGAATATGCCCTTGTAGCTCCTTCGCCTTCATGCTCATTACCCCTCTCCTAATACCATTCATTGCTTCACAGATGGCAGTGCCTAGCTCCTCGCCCTCGAGATGTGGCGCCGCCTTTTTGTTCCCCCTCACGCCAACACCCAGGTACTCAACCCTGGCAGCAAAGTCGTACGTGTCCAGCCAGACCGGACATACCACCTGCGGTACGCCGGCAGCTAGAGCCTCATGAAAAGAATTGGAACCACCGTGGTGGACGTACATGATGGCATTGTCATGGGCGAGGATGGACATCGGCGACGGTGTGATCCAAGAGGTGACTCGGATGCGATCGCGCATTGCCGCCGGAATCAAGTGCTCGATACCGGAAGGCTTTGATGACCCCTTAATATCATTTGTCTCATCCTCCGATAACTGGCACTTCCACAGGACCTGCGCATCGGGAAACCTGCCTAGCACCATGGACAGGGCGGTTATTACTTGCTGCGCATCATCGACCTTGTATTTCATGTGCGAGCCAAGGTTAAAAAGAATTGTTGGACGCTGGGCCAGCCAGGATGCGGTTGATTGATCGCGAGCGGCCGACTCAAATGGTGGAATTATGGGCCCACAGCCAGTGACGTTGGCAGGGACCTTGATGGGAAAGTCGCTTTGCGGAATGGATGGCATCAACCATGCCACCTTTTTGTTAAAATTGGCGTATATCGTGGTCAGGTCACCTGGGATACCAATTTGGTTGCGCCACTGGGTTAAGGCTCGCACTCTCGCGGATAAAAAGGTGTGGAAGACCAGTTTAAAGATCAGATAGATGTTGATGGCGATGAGGAGTAGTGGTAAAGGATAGGGCAGCCCTGAGGATATCCTATCGCTAGTCAGCCTCAACCCGGATTCTTCGAACAGAGGACTAACACTGGATACTTCCACAGGACACCCTGATACGGTTGATCCTGGACCAGATGGTCCTTGAAGGTCGCCGGGCTCAAGACCAGATAACGTCGCCTTTGGACATTACAGGCATCCTCACCAGGGCCGAACAAAGGGTCTACGGCTATCAAATCCGGGTTGAGCTTGTCAAGGAGATCCAAGCAGGCTCGATAGATGGGCTCATAGCCTGCCGGGTCCCACGGTGCGACCACATACTGCAGACCCTTGCAATAAGACTCAACTGCCCCACGAGCTCCTGGTGCATGCGTAGGGAGATAGGGAAGGCCGCTGTCGGCTAAAGCCTCTTTCATTGACCGTCCGAGGAGGGTATGGAAAACGATAGACGCATTGAGGGCGTCAACCTGCTGCTTGAGCGCAGGGAACGAGGCAATGTGCACTTCACAAGCTGACTGACTCGCTAATTCGTGTGCCACTGCCAGATGCACCGAAGCTTGCCCTAACTCACTGTTAGTGAGGAACAGGACGATGTGTTTGTGGTCCGGCATAGTGGGTAAAGACCATGAGCGTGTTTCCTGACCTGGGAACTGTAAGCTACTAAAGAGAGTACATTATGGAGGGATTGAAGCTCCTGTTCTGGTTGACTTGACAGTTAGATAGGGCTGTCAGATCCGACTTCCTATTTGGGACAACACTATGATCGACATCATCATCAGTCTCTTAAACCACAATGTACTAACCTTTGAGAAAGCTTACTTTCCAGTATACTACCAGCAATAACCACAAACATGGGTCTCCAATACGACCTCCCAACCACCCAAACGGCCATCATCGCTGGACCAACCGGCGAGTTCCAGCTCTCCCACGATGTCCCCGTCACCCCGCTCGCCGACGATGAAATCATCATGAAGACCGCAGCGGTAGCCCTAAACCCCGTCGACACAAAACTCATCGGCGACTTCATAACCCCCGGCGCAATCTTCGGCTTCGACTGCGCGGGCGTGATCGTAGCCGTGGGTCCCAAAGTCACCAACGGCCTGGCCGTCGGCGACCGCGTCTGCGGCAGCGCCCGCGGCATGAACAGAGCAAAGCCCCTAGGTGGCGCCTTTGCAGAATACGTGATGCTCCCGGCTGATCTGACGCTACGGATTCCCGAGGCAATGTCGTTTGCCGAGGCAGCGTCGCTGGGCACGGCGCTGGTGTCGGCGTGCATGGCGCTCTTCTGGACGATGGGCATCCCAGCGAGTCTGCAGGAGCCGGCCGAGAAGCCTTTCCCTGTTCTGGTTTACGGTGGGAGCACGGCAACGGGAACGATGCTGCTGCAGGTGTTGAAGATGTATGTTTTGTCCGATGGCTCACGAACCGGTTATGGCATGGCATGGCATGGCACAGCTAACGGATAACCACCAGTTGCGGAGTCCGAACGCTCACCACCTGCTCGCCCAAGAACTTCGACCTCGTGCGCTCCTACGGCGCAGACGAAGTCTTCGACTACGCGTCCCCGACCTGCGCCGAGGAAATCCGCGCCGCAACGCGCAACAACCTAAAGTACGCCGTCGACTGCATCACCGACTCCTCGACCATGAAAATCTGCTACGGCGCAATCGGCCGTGCGGGCGGCCAGTACATCGCTTTGAACCCGTACCCCGAGAACCTGGCCACGCGCAAGGTCGTCAAGCCCGGCTGGATCCTGGCGACGCTGATTACGGGTGAGGGGAGTGCGTGGCCGGAGCCGTATAACCGCGAGCCGGACCCTGAGATTCGGAAGCTGGCGAAGCCGGCGTATGGGGCTGTGCAGGAGTTGTTGGATCAGGGGCGGTTGAGGGCGCATCCGATTAGGGTTAGTGGGGGTGGGTTGGAGAAGGTGCTTGAGGGGGTGGATGTGTTGCGGAAGGGGGAGATTAGTGGTCAGAAACTAGTGTATTGTTTTGATTAGGTAGTTGAGTGTAGTTGAGTGGTAATGTCAGGGTTTCTCTTTGCAGATGGAATAGCAAGTAGAAAATGCATGCAGCGAAATGGCCTGTCAGATCCGCTGTCAGCATACAGCCGAAGCTGACGGTGTCAGAATCCCAATTTGGCCTGCCTCTGATCTTTCCAGAAGTCAGCTTACCCCTTCAGTAAATATACCCTGAGTGGGTAGACTCATGTTTCGCCTAGTTTGGAAATGCAGTGCCCGTACCTAGTGGCATTCAACATTGCTGTGACATGAGGTAACAAACACTCACAATAATTCAGCAAATACTCATGAACACACTAAAGAGTCGAACTCCGTTTGTCTCCAGGCTACTCCCTAGTTGAATACTTTCTCGCAGTGTCATAATGTCCCTCCCAGGCCCAGTACTGATTCTGCTGGGCAATCTTGCCATCACGGGCGCTCTAGTACATCAATTCGATGACAGACTCCCTCTAGTGCAATTCCGTCTTTTGACCACTTTTCTTTGCCTCTCTTCGGGGCAGTTCCTTCTCTATGCGCTGTGGAAGGTCTTTCTGAAGCCACTTTGTTTCTCTCCATTCAAACATTTGCCCAAGCCTCCGGTGCGCATCCCTTCTTCCTGGTGACCGCGGGAGTCGCTAACCAGAACGCCGACAGGGAGGCAGCTGGATCAATGGGCATTTCGGCGAAATCATGAAAATGGGGAACGGGGAGGCTGAGGTTAAGTGGTAAGTAGGATGCTCCAGAAAGGATGGTTGGGATTGACAATGACAGGATGAAAGAGATACCTAATGACGGCATCATTCATTGTCGAGGCATGTTGAATGGAGAGCGCCTCATTGTTTCCTCGCCAACAGCGCTGGCTAAGATTGCAAGTGACAATTATACTTTCATCAAACCCATGGCCATCAAACTACTGGCCGGTCGCGTCCTGGGCATGGGTCTCGTCTTGACCGAGCGAGATGAGCACAAGCAGCAGCGCAAACTCTTTCTGCCGCCTTTTGCCCCAAAACACATACGAGACTTGTACCCTACCTTCTGGCAGAAAAGTCGGGAGGTGACGGAGCGGATGGGTGACGAAATCCATGCAACTGAAGGCGCGGTTTTTGAAATTGGCGACTGGGCAGCGCGCGTAGCGCTGGATATAATAACCCTATCCGCCATGGGCAAGGACTTTGGTTCAATTCGTGACGCTGACGCACCGCTGGCTAAGGTGTACCACACTGTGCTGCAGCCAACGATGGGCCATGTGGTAATTGCGGTGTTGAAGAACTTCTTCCCTGCGCGGCTGGTGGAAGCCCTGCCGCTCCAGACTAACCGGCACCAGGGAGACGCTTTCGACACAATTCGCGGGGTGTGCCGGGACCTCTTGCGGGAAAAGAAAGCTCAGCTAACAAAGAGCAATCGGCTGGAAGGCAAGGACATCTTAAGCGTGTGTCTGAGGTATGAGGAAATCGCCGGCGTCGACGAAGAGGAGGTGATCAACCAGATGACTACCATACTGGGTGCAGGCCACGAGACAATCTCAGTCGGTATCACTTGGGCTATCTACATGCTCTGTCTGCACAGGGACTGGCAGATCAGGCTTCGAGAGGAAGTACGCGCCACACTGCCATCCCCCAGTAACACGCAAAAGTCTGCATCTAGCGCGGACATTGAGCGCATGCCGCTTATGCGTGCCTTCCTGGAAGAGGTGCTGCGGTGGTACCCACCCATCCCGATGACCATGCGCGAACCGCTTGTTGATGCAGAGCTGGACGGCCATTTCATACCCCGAGGCACCCGCATCGTGGTTCCGATAAAAGCCATCAACCGCGAAGAGCGATACTGGGGTTCCGACGCAAAACGATTCAACCCGTCGCGGTGGCTAAAGGATGGCGGTGATTTCAACCCCAGTGGAGGGGCATCGAGCAAGTACGGATACTTGTCCTTCATGCACGGTCCTCGCAGTTGCGTAGCATCGGAGTTTGCTCGGGCTGAGATGGCTTGTGTGGTGTCGGCTTGGGTCGGCCGGTTCGACTTGGATTTGGCGGACGAACGGTTTCGGGACGAGGAGAACATGAAAACATCCAATGGCAATCTCTCCGGAAAGCCACTTGAGGGCCTATATGTGCGGGCCCATCTTCTTGACGGGTGGTAGTAGAACGAAGGAGCCAGAGGTCAAATACGGAGTAGTCAGGAAGCACAAAGCATAAAGTAGGTAGAGAACGACGACAACAACGGGCACCCACGATATATTCTGATCATGTGACCAGGCTCCCCGCACCTTCCCGAAGTAGAATCTAGTCACGTGATTTAGAAGAATCAACATGCCCAGATTCAAACTTTGTTTGTTACACTCGACACAATACATATCATCATTTGATTCCCCAAACCTATCAAGGCATCTTGTCTAGGGGGCATAATCTATGGAAAGAACAAAAACATTACGCTCGTAACACAGTTTAGGCCTCGCGGCTACGGCTTCGCTCCCAACGGGCATCCCACCTTCATCTCGGCGTTCATGCCGCGTTCCAGCAACAGCCGCACCACTTCAACATGGCCCTCCGCTACCGCCCGATGCAGCGCCGTCTGTCCATTGTGGTCCAAGACATTCAGGTCGCCGAGATAGCTAAATAGCAGACGGACAATGTCGCAATGACCCTGCTCTGCAGCAACATGCAGTGCTGTCTGGCCGTGTTGATTACCTCGATGTGGCTCGGCCCCGCGCTCTAGAAGGTAGCGCGCAACAGCAAAGTGCCCCCGTCCTACTGCTACATGCAGGGCCGTCTCGTTCTCGCTACTCAACTGATCGACCGGCATGCCTTTCTCTGTGAGCAGCTGCACAATGGGTAGATGGCCACGACTGGCAGCCATGTGGAGTGCGGCGTATCCGAAGAAGTTGTCCCTGTCGTCCCTGTCGATACTCGAGTCTGACGTCTGTGACTGTGGCTGCATTGTGGATTGCATATTCCGGGGCGCATTGCAGCACGTTGTGTGACCTAATTCTGTTCCAATCATCGGGAGGTCCTGACCCTGGATACCCACAAGATCCGCCTGGGATGAACTACCATCTTTCTCGGATATTATTGTTGTTGATGGCGCGACGTCGAATGTTACGGTTGTGTCGAAAATAGGCACCGGGCTTGTGCAACCCAGCACATCGTTCTCGATGGGCAGAACTGGCGAAAGCATAAGCGAGTCAATCCAAGAAGTCTCCATGACGTCTCCTGATTCCAGGCTATTGTGCAATCTTTCGCCTGCTGATACTTCGTGTAGCGAGCTGTCCCATATCTCCGGCCAACAATCCTGCGTCACCATAGGACCTGGGTCTTGGGGACGCGGCAATTCAGGCTTTTGTCGTTTCGTCGTCACCAGTTTCCCCCTTGCCGTTGAGGTGTTGGGTTGCACCCAAAAAAGCTGTCGATTCTGTTTACCCGCGGATTCGGAGGCCTTCTTCGTCGTCTCTCGCTTCTGGCTTTGAATCTGGCCTTGGGCCTGCTGATTGCGCAGATTGGTTCCTTAGGCCACGCTTCAGTCGTTACGTTTCGTGGCTAATTGGGCGGACAATGGTATACTTACGCCGATTCCGCTGCGATAAGCGATTTTGGACCCGTCGTCTCTCATTCAAGTCTTCGAGATGGTGCCATTCATCAGGACCGGGGGAGGATCTCTTGACGGGAGTGGCGCCCATGCTGAACACCTGCGCACGATTCAGCTTACGGTATAGTATGATTCCTTCAATCTCGAGCGACTTGGCAATATCACAGCTCAGTGTTGAACTTGGCTGACGACTGGCGACAGGGGCCTTGGCGATGGTGCTTATTTATGGATCTAAGGGAGTCGCCATGGTCCTTTGGCGGCCCATTTCGGCCGCTCGACTCTTGGAACCGAGTCCCATATTAGAGAAAGCACCCGATCCGCAAATAAACGCCTACGCATACAGGGGATATTGTAGCTAAGGAATGGGGGCCAAGCTTAAGATGGCTCAGCTGGTCTCTGACTGCATTAGTCTCCCCTTCGGCCCTTGACAAACGCTTGACAAAGCCATGATAGGAGGAGTATCTAAGGGGAGAACGGGAAACAATCGCACCGACTAACCACAGAAGGGGCTCAGAATTACAGATATCATCAACCCTGAGCCAGCTCCGTGGCCTATTGAGAGTAAGATTGAACGCACGGCGCCAATGACGATTCGCTATGGTGGGGGCGTCTATGTCCAAAATGTTTTTGTTGTTGCAGATTCAGCCGAGTCCCTTCTAGAACAAACCTGTACTCGCTCCCCACTTTAACCCCCCCACGCCAGTCTAACCTCCCCACCCCAGCCTCAGAAGTCGATCTAGTAAGTTTGCAGCAGGCGCGATTGGTTGTACTGCCAGGCTGTCATCTCTTCGCAGTACTTGGCGTCCTCGTTTGGGCGCAGTATTGTTGTTAAGGTGCCAACCGAGACATCACGACTCGGTTTGCCAAAGTAAGCAATCGAGTATCGATCGTCCACCAGGCCCTCGCCGTCGCCGTCTCCCAAACCCCGTGGTAGGGTTACTCGGTGATTAGCCGAGCGCAGGCGGTCGTTAGTCCAGCGCTGCAGGCAGTCCCCCACATTAATGATGATATCGGTACAGTTGTCCGCTGTGACGGGCAGGTATTGTCCCTGGCCTGGCTGTGTCTGGTCCTCGACCTCTAGGCCCCCAACGGAGTCTTGGAAAAGCAAAGTGATGGTCCCAAAGTCGGTATGGCTCGAGATACGCATGTTTCCTGTTCCATTCGTGGGATCGAGATCAAGGTCACGGCGAGGTACGGCTGGATAGTGGTTCAGGCGCAGTTCGCTGCTATTCTGGGCGCACAGCGCTGCGAAATACGAGTCTGGGTCTGGCAGCTTCATCGATCGCGCAATAACCGACAGCAGCTGCAGGTGCAATGCGTCGCACTGGGCGTAAAAGTTCTCCATAAAGGCCCGGAATCCCGGGAGATCGCTCTCATCGGACCAAATGTTTGGATAGAGGTTGTCGTCCTTCGGCCCCATGTCGAAGGATTCCTGGGTCGGCGGATCCAATCAGCCCCAGCCACGAGACGCACAGACTGTGACGAGATACGCATTCGGCGTTCGCATACGGAGCACGTACCTTTAGATCCAGAACTGCCTTGCCCTGGGCAATGAGTCAATGACCGATAGCTTCTCCTGCCCGATACAGCTCCAGCCCCGGTGGGGGTTGGGTTCGGGCGGGTGAGCAGCCTTCCGCTTGTGCTCGAGGGGAAGAGCGAAAAAGCGCTTAGCCTGTACGAGCGAGCGACGACGATAAGCAAAACACGAAAACAAAGCTACCCAGAGATGGCAAATTTACCCAGGAAAATAGTTCCAGAATGATATCCTTAGGGATAGGATGGTTGGTGATCTTCGCGAAGCCCAATTGTGAGAGGGCCGCATAGAGGTGTTGTCCAAATGCCTCCTGTCGGTCGGGCGCTTCGCTCAGGAAATCTGCGTAGTCGAGCCGTTCGACCTTCATGGTGTTGAGATTCGGCGATAAGTCTGCGTCAACGGAAAGGTGGACCTGCTGGAGATGGGTTATACTTCGCACCACGGCACGCCTTGGGAGTCGCCAGGAATAACGCTACCCAGAATTATTGATTAGATGGACGGTCTACACAGCCGTATTCCTGATCGGACAGCTCAGATACAATCAGCAGCACATTCCTTATCAGGCAACTGAGGGGTGTCAGCGCGTCCAATGCGATTACGCAGTAAGCTGGCGCCTGCCGGCCCCTGTCCGCTAGTGCTTATGTGTTTCTTAACGAAGACAAGCCTGGTTTACTGGAAACAAGCTTGGGGGCCCTTTCTGCCTACCGGTAGCGCCCTTCTTAGCGATATTGGCGTCCATCTCCAAACCTGTCTAACCAATCCGTGCCTCCATCGCTGACACGCTGTGCTCTTTGTCCACGGCCTGAGATCTGGTTGCCCCGCCCGGCTGCCTCTTTCGCTTCCTCCTCTGGACCTTGTCTCTGTCCCTTTTCTTTGCAGCTCTGACATTGACTTTGTTAGAGTGAAAGAGAAAGCAAAGAAACCTTGAAAGAGATCGTTAAGCAAGGAAAAGCAATGGTTGTCGTTCTAGAAAGGATGAACATGGCCATCGCCGCCAGCATCGGGCTGGTGGCCGAGGCTATCAACCGCCATAAGACACCTGAAACCCGAGGAACAGCCACAGAAAGTACGTAAAAAACCAAAGTTTCGCAGTTGTAATGCTGACAAAAATAGGTAATCTTGAAGAAGAACAGTGGGCACTGGATGATATTCAGGAAGAGCTATACCAGGAGCATGACCAGGAGCTCGCTTCTGACAGCGAAGACCAACCGAAAGAAAAAAAGAAAATCCGTAATCCAGCCCGTCTGGCTGACGATTTTCTCGAACGCTACCCGCCTCCACCTCCAGGGAGAGCGACCGGTCGACTCTCATTGCCCGTCATCATCCCCCAGCGCCGGCCCGGCGTGCGCGTCCGAGGCTTCGTGAGAGCGTATGCGCCAGACCTTCAGGCCTGCGGCATCGACCAGGATACATTCATGGACTTTCTGGTGACTTTTACACGCGCTAGCCGGGCACCACAATGGATGGCAAGCACCAATTTGACGGCCGCCGCGGCCTTTGCCTTGCCTGGCCATGCTATTGGGGCTGGAGTTGGATTTGCTATTCAGGTTGTCAACGCCATCGCCATGGAGATGCGAGGGCGGGTACAGGCAAATGCCTTCCTGCAAAAGCTCAACCAAGGCTTTTTCCAGCCTCGCGGACTTTACTGCTTGGTGCTTTCCTTCGACAATACTCACGAGGAGGCTATGACCGAAGATTCACTGGCCGCGGCAATCGCCACGAGTACGGACCCAAAGACGGGCATGCGCAAGTATACAGGGAAGCTGCGCTCACACAGCGGCACTACAGGACCATCCGAGTTTCCGGAGTCCGCTCCGCTGGTTTTTCCTGCCTTAGACTGGTTGGCAGACAATGCCAACGCTGAACAGGCTGAGAAGCTGGGAAGGTACAAAAAGTTCCGCAAGTTTGTGGCAGACTACTACGATAGACGGGCACAAGCAGAATACGTAAGATACCCATATTTTAACATTCACTACAACGACTGACCGTCTACAATTGCTAGGCCGCGAGGAACCCGACGAGCCCGCTGGCAGCGCCCCCGACGCGCGCATTCACTTCCAGGTTCGCGGATCCCAACGACGCCACCAACAAGTCCCCGATCTCGCTTGCTACTGGAGGTGCGGTACCCTACAACACTACCTGGAGAGGAGAAGAACCCCGCCAAGGAGGTAGAGGGCAGCGCAAAATCGCCGATGTGAGTCTCGTTCCTCTTCGTCAATGTGTCAGTACTAAACAAGTATCCTTCTCACAGAAAGTGCTCTATATGATCATTGTCGATATGCCCTCGGACGACGATATGAGTCGCGCGGAGAGCATCATGGCCACAGAGGTTGATCCCGAGTCGACTTCTGCAACCCAGAACCATTCAAAGGCAGCAGACAATACGCTTTAGAGGTTTAGATACATCGGAATGCAAGTGATTGATCAGAGCCCAGGACTCGAGCCAGTGGGCTTAAAAGACCATTCTTATCTTCAGCTTGTCTTTCTCCAAAATTTCATCTTTCTTATTCATGAGCTCCTCCATATCCCATGGACAGCTCACGTATCTCCCTCCTAGCCACTCCCTGCGCTCGGCAGCCAACCACGCAATTGTATCACCAGCTATGTCTGGACGATCAGGAAATGCATCCCGCACCGTCCCCGGCAGTGTGCCCTCGCTAATCTTTGTTTTGATCGCGCCTGGATTCACACAGAACGTCAAAAGTCCTTGTTCACCATATTCCAACTGCAAGGATTCGGTCCACCTCAATATCGCGAGCTTTGAACTTCGGTAGCTTCCGCCACCCGACCGAGCGCTCAATGCGCCTGAAGAGGATACATTGATCATTATGCATGAACAATTGGTGCTAGCATGGCTTGAGAGCTGCAGGGGCAGAAATGTGCGCGCCATGTTGAAGAGTCCGCAAATATTAACTTCCCATGTTTGCCAGTATACATCCGGGTCTGATTCAAGGAACGGCTTGAGTGGTTCCATGCAGGCCGCATTGTTCACAACAATATCCAGGCGCCCACCAAAGCTCTGCGACACCGTGCCCTGCATTGCCTGAACGCTGTCTCGGCTTGCAATATCAACCATACAGCTTAGCACCATAGGTTCACGACGACAAGCTTGTACTGCAGCTGACTTCAGTTGCGCGATTAGGTCGCTCGACACGCCATGTAGATCAGCAACTGCTATCGCAGACGCTCCTGCACGCGCAAAAGCCATCGCTGTGGCATATCCTACTCCATCTTCCCGAGCGGCCCCAGTGATCAGAACATGCTTACCACTTAGGTCTAGTTTAAGCGGCGAAATGTAGTCATAGGTCGTAGAATGACGTGTGGACGTAAAGTGGCCTCCGGATAGGTCAACTTGGCTAGACATTGTTGACTTGTTGTAGCACGCGAAATGCGAAGTTGTGGTCAGATGGTATTTTGCAATGGTCAAGCTTGTGGAAAGTTCCGCGATCAATCGATCAGCAGGTGTTGGCTATGGAATTGTACTTTGCTTGCTAAGGATGAATCCACGGCATGGTGGGACAAAAACCGGAGGTGCAGATTTGGGCCTAGGGGCTCCACCTCCAACAGCCCCCACCTTCCTAACTGGGTCATAGTACTTAAGGTCCCACCCTGTCACCAAAAACAACCACCCGGCGGCTATCCTCTTGTTGATAGGTAAGGTACTCGTAGGGTAGGTAAGCGAGCTGACTTTCCTTTCCGGGCAACCGGCACTCTACCTCTTGGGCTGACAACCAGTACAGTATCTCACTGAACAAAGATGGGCATCTTCTACTGACTGACAGTATCTGATTCTGCGCCGTGTTCCCATAGAGAGAACCGTCAACATGCTGCACTGGATCCTATACATCCTCCTCGTCCTTGTGGCAGTCCTAAAATGCGCAGCGACAATCTCAGCCCATCGCTACCGCAAAGCCCACGGTCTCCACCTCGCTCGCCCTCTTAGGCAAACCGAAAAGATCCTCGGCCTCACACTCTTCAAGCGCATGCAACAAAACGCAAAAGACGGTGTATCTCTTCAAAGCCACCACGAAAGTACGAAGACCGACGGCCCAACCATCTCAGCTGTCCTCCTCGGCAAAAGCTTCATATCCACCTCTGACCCCGCAAATATCAAGGCTATCCTAGCTACCAAGTTCGCCGACTTCAATTTGGGCGAAAGGAGCGATGCCTTCCGACCCTTCCTGGGACATGGAATTTTCACCGAGGATGGAACCGAATGGGAGCGGAGCAGGGCGCTCATCAGGCCGACTTTCAGCAAAGCGCAGTTTTCTGAGCTGCCGATTATCGAGCAGCATGTGCAGAACCTCCTAGCGAGAATCCCGGGCAATGGTGAGACTGTTGATCTGCAGCAGCTATTTTTCAATTTTACGCTCGACAGTGCAACGCATTCGCTTCTTGGCCGGCCTGTTGGGTTCCAGTTGAGTCCGCCGGGTTCAGACGCTGAGAAGTTCTCGCGGGCATTCGACGATGCCCAGGCTTACCTCCAGGTAAGGGCAAAGCTAGGTCCCTTTCGGGGGCTTGTGAGAAATAAGGCGTTCGATGAGGATTGCCGCGTTGTACACAAGGCTGTTGATGGGTACGTCTCTGAGGCTCTGAGCCAACGAATGGCTCTAGAACCGGGCCCGGTAAATAAGTATAATGAGAACGAGAAAGAAAGATACGACCTCCTCACCGAGCTAGCAAGCAGCATAAGCGACGGTGTACAAATCCGCAACGAGCTACTGAATGTGCTCCTTGCCGCACGGGACACGACGGCTAGTTTGCTGAGCAGTGTGTTCTTCATGCTTGCGAGGCATCCAGAGGCTTGGAGGAGGCTGGAGAGGGAAGTGCTTCTGGAGTTTGGACTCACGCCTCAATCTCATGAACAAGGGCAAGGGCAGTGCCCGTTACCGACGTATACCCAGCTCCGGGAGATGAAATATGTGCGAGCTGTGCTGAATGAAGGTGCGTGGCTAAGAATCGCTCTGTCTCTCAAGGCTAACAGAAGAGTGCAGCCCTCCGCCTCTTCCCCCCTGTCCCCACAAACATCCGCTGCGCGACACGACACACATCTCTCCCACGCGGCGGAGGCGCCGACGGCTCTGAGCCAATATTTGTCTCCAAGGGGACGATCGTGCACTACTCCATCTGGACAATGCACCGCTCGACAGAGATCTACGGTCCTGACGCAGAGGAGTTTCGGCCGGAGAGATGGCTGCAGACTGAAGAAGCCCCGCTGCGTCCGGGCTGGGGCTTCCTGCCCTTCAGCGGAGGGCCGCGCATCTGCCTCGGACAGCAGAAGGCGCTGACGGAGGCGGCATATGTTGTTGTGAGACTTGTGCAGATGTTTTCTGGTGTTGAGAGTAGGGATACCAGGCCTTGGAGGGAGCATATGGGGTTGGTGCTTAGCAGTTATCATGGGGTTAGGGTTGGGTTGAAGCCTAGGTGAGTGGAGGGATAACCAAGATAGATAGGTTTGCATATAGTGGCAGGCTTTAGGGGTATCATGCATGATACTCTACTTGCTGCTTGAGAAGTTTGAATACTATAAGCATATTGTCAGCATATACCGCTAGATCATGAAAACCAATTGGCTATAGGCCTGTCCTTATACTCCAACACACACCGTGGTATAATTGCTTTCGAAACCTAGGTAGCCAAGTCCGAATATATATATTTTGGCGACCAACCTCGAAGCCCGAATACTTGACAACCACCATGAACATTTTCTTGGAATCATACTACGGCTTGGCTGTACTCATTATAAATGATGTTATTGTGGTCCTTACTGGAAATCATATGTGCAACTACTTAATTGCCATGACCTTGCCAGTCATACACCATCCGCACCGTTACTACTTTCTCGTCCTTGGTGACTCGTGCCCGACGAGTATGGTACCGTTGCCCATCGATCTCCTCAAAGGCCCAGATCTGATGGCTGATCCATCCGCCGGTAGTCCCATGAACAATAACTTCAATGACTTCTTCTTCCGTGGCTTCGTCGTCTTCCTCCCCTTCGCCCACTTCAGCTTCATCATTCATGCCTTCGATAGTGAACTTTTCGTCCAGCGTACTCTTTCTCATTCTAGCCCACCGACTACGCACACTCATACTCCCAAAAAGTGGATGATCTTTGATCTCTTCCTCATCACTCCACTGCCCTTCTCCGTCCGGTCCTCTCTTCAGGTACTTCACATCGTCTACCGTTCGTCCAAGGGTAGACTGCGTTGATGCAATGGTTGTGATCTCGTTACCAACTTTCTCATCCAAGGTCTCGGACTGTTCGGTGGTGATGGTGACGGGTGCGCTGGCAATGGCGCTTCGGACTAGCCAGGATACGCCCTGGAGTTCAAGCGCTGGGGAGGGGCTGGATGAGAGGGTTTGGTTCTGGATGGCGTAAGTTGATTAGATTTGCATTGATAGATAAACGCCTGAGAAATGGTAGCGGCAGGGACATACAAGGGCCCAGCTACCGGTTAGGTTACGGACTGTAACGTTCAGAGGAGATGCCATTTTGATTGTAATGCCTCTTAACGAATGTTCTTCGAAGAAACCACCGTAGAGCGCACGTGAGGGTAGCAGCGACAGACGATAGATACAACCTTGGAAGCACTCACCCCTTGGTCCTTTTGGCCCCCGACCTTCAATGGCTATCTTGGAAAGTCGAAAAGCATGAGTACTCCACAAGATCTGACGGTGATATTTCCTAATCGGGAAATTTGACGGTGTCAGATCTCGATTGCGGCTGAGTGGCTGACTGTCGACTAATCAAGCACTTGGGTGTTAGCAAGTAAGCCCTAAGTCGTACCTGATGCTATACATGCAAGTATCGAGCCATTCTATATTGAAGGCATTGAACGTGGCATGATTGACCACTGAATTGGACTTCTTCTCTCCTTCCTCTACCTCTTCTCAATCACTTTAGTCATCATGCCGGAGCCAATCGCAATCATCGGCAGCGGGTGCCGCTTCCCGGGCCAAGCCTCGTCCCCTTCGAAGCTGTGGACTCTTCTTTCTCAACCCCGCGACGTCCTGAGCAAGATCAACCGCTTCAGCGCCGACGGGTTCTACAACAAAGACGGCCATCACCATGGCTCCTCCAACGTCTTACACTCTTACCAGATTGATGAAGACACACGCGCCTTCGATGCCCAGTTCTTCAACATCCCCGCCTCGGAGGCGGAGAGCATGGACCCGCAGCAGCGGTTCCTGATGGAGGTTGTATACGAAGCCATCGAAGCTTCCGGACACAAGATCGAGGACCTGGCGGGGTCGGAGATGGCCACGGCGGCTTATGTCGGCGTCATGTGCAACGATTACGCACACATCACCTATGCAGACCTCGAGTCTGTGCCCAAGTATGCGGCCACGGGCACGGCCCTGAGTATTCTGTCCAACAGGCTGAGCTACTTCTTCAACTGGACCGGACCTAGCATGACGATCGATACAGCGTGCAGCTCCAGTCTGGTGGCCCTGCATCATGCTGTGCAGACGCTGAGGGAGGGCAACAGCAAAGTTGCCGTTGCCGCGGGGGCGAACTTGATCTTCACTCCGAGTATGTGTTCCTCTTTCTCTTTTTATGCGGCTAGTGTGTGTATACTGATACTCGAACTAGCAAACTACATCGCGGAGAGCAATGTCAACATGTTATCACCTACAGGCCGTTCACGCATGTGGGACGCCGATGCAGACGGATATGCTCGTGGCGAGGGCGTCGCAGCAGTTGTTCTGAAGACATTAAGCCAAGCTATCGCAGACGGCGATCCCATTGAATGTGTTATTCGGGAGACGGGCCTGAATCAGGATGGGCGAACAACTGGCATCACTATGCCCAGCAACGTGGCCCAGGCGGAGCTCATTCGCTCGACGTATAAGCGTGCCGGGCTGGACTTGAACAAACAGGCAGACAGGCCGCAATTCTTTGAGGCACACGGTATGCTTTTTCTTGCTCCCTAAGTTCTAAGCCCTAAGTCCGCTGACCATGCCCAGGAACCGGAACCAAAGCTGGCGACCCCCAAGAAGCGGGAGCTATCTACAGAGCATATTTCGGACAGGGCGAGAACACCACCGACGGAGATGCAGAGACGCTCTACGTCGGCTCAATAAAAACGATCATCGGACACACCGAGGGCACCGCTGGTCTGGCAGGTCTCCTCAAGGTCTCGCTAGCCATCCAGAACAGAACCTTGCCCCCAAATATGCACTTCCATACATTGAACCCAGATATCGAGCCATACTACGGCAAACTCCAGATCCTGACTAGTGCTAAGCCTTGGCCGGCCCTTGCCCCGGGGGTTCCTCGACGCGCGAGTGTAAATAGTTTTGGTGGGTCTTCAGCCCTAACTCATGCCATGATCACTGCTTACAACTATTATTTCAGGATTCGGCGGTGCGAATGCACATGCAATCGTCGAGAGCTATGACCCGCCATCAAATAGCAGCCTTGAGATATGCAAGGAGACTATGACCGAGACTGCCATCCCCTATACATTCTCAGGATACTCCGAGAAGGCCTTAATGGCGCAACTCACCAGCTTTGTCGAATATCTTGACACCAACCCGGAAAAGCTAAGAGACGTCGCATGGACACTCTCTCGGCGGTCAGCTTTCGCAATCCGAACAACCGTCTCGGGAAACAACGTCGAGACACTAAAAGAAAAGCTCCAGGCCAAGATTGACGGCAAAAACAAAGATGGCAAATCACTGGGTCTCCGAGCCTCGGTCAAGAACCAGAAGATTCTGGGGGTGTTTACTGGGCAAGGCGCACAGTGGCCAAAGATGGGCTTGAGGCTGCTGCAGTCTTCAGCTACTGCGAGGCACATATTCGACAGTCTAGAAAAGTCATTGGTTGAACTGCCGGAAGAGGATCGACCATCCTGGTCTCTTTCGCAGGAGCTCCAGCGAGAGGCCGAGGACTCGCGCGTCATGGAAGGCCAGTTCTCACAGGTGCTTTGCACCGCGGTCCAGATCATGCTCGTCGACCTCTTGCATTCCGTTGGCGTCTCATTTGATGGCGTGGTCGGTCATTCAAGTGGTGAGATTGCAGCCGCCTACGCCGCTGGGTACCTCAGTTCCAACGACGCAATAAGAGTTGCCTACTACCGTGGCAAATTTGGCAAGCTTGCCCACGGACGCGATGGAACCTCTGGAGGAATGCTGGCAGCTGGAACGGACATGGCTGACGCCACGGAGCTTTGTGAGCTGGAGGATTTCGAGGGTCGCCTCCAGGTCGCAGCGAGTAATTCGTCTTCTAGCGTGACGCTTTCTGGAGATGCAGATGCTGTTCACCAGGCACAGTTTATCCTCGAAGACGAGAAGAAGTTTGCGCGTTTGCTGAAAGTCGATACGGCGTATCACTCCTACCACATGCAGCCGTGCGCTGAGCCTTATGTTGACGCCATGAAGAGGGCTGGAGTTCGGGTTCTCAAAGCCCAGTCTAAGAAGAGCTGCCGCTGGTTTTCCTCCGTCTTGGGGGGGCAGGAAGTTGGCGAAGAGGTCTCTGCGACGCTCGCTGATACCTACTGGCGCGATAATCTCCTCCAGCCAGTGCTATTCTCGCAAGCCCTCGAAGCAGCCGTGACCAACATCAACGACATCGGTCTTGTGCTGGAAGTTGGCCCACATGCCGCGCTCAAGGGCCCTGCAACCCTAACAATAACCGACAAGCTCGCCCGTGACGTCCCCTACACCGGCCTTCTATCTCGCAACACAGACGATGTCGAAGCCTTTTCCGACGCTATTGGCGCAGTTTGGGCCAGTATGTCCCAAGACATAATCGACTTTGCCCAAGTTGACGCTCTCCTCGCTACCGGTTTAGAAGACAAACCAGGTTTGTGTCCCGGCGTGCCTGGATACACATGGGACCATTCGCGTAAGTACTGGATGGAGTCTCGATCTTCCTCAGCCCTACGATTGCGTCCAGCGGCGCATCACGAGCTTCTGGGTGTGAGAGTCGATAGTCTAGACCGCGAGTTTCGATGGCGCAACTTTATCAAGCCGTCTCAGCTTTCCTGGACAAAGGGTCACCAAGTCCAATCGCAGCTAATCTTTCCGGGTGCTGGATTCTCTGTCATGGCGATTGAGGCCGCAAAAGCACTTGTTCCGGAGAAGGAGATTGGACTCGTTGAGTTAAGCGATGTCCAGGTCCTGAGGGCAATGGCATTCCAAGATGAGAATACTGCTGTGGAGGTTGTTTGTTCTTTGACTAATGTTGTTGAAGCCGAAGATCAAATCACAGCGAACTTTACCTGCGATATTTGTCTCTCCAAGGAGTCTGGATTTACCATGGCCTCCTGTGCTGCTGTCCGTCTGCAGCTTCAGTCGGATCAAACTCAGGTTCTTCCTGAACGAACCCCGTGTCCCGTGCGTATGAACGACGTCAATATTGAGCACTTTTACAGCACGCTCTGGAGCCTCGGGTATAATTACACGGACATGTTCCGCTCGATTACTTCACTGCAGCGTACAACCGACACTGCGTCGGGCGTTATTCATACCACTACAGAAGCAGCAGAGCCAGGATATACTACGTCGTTGATTTTGCACCCCGCAACGCTGGACGTTGCGTTTCAGGGTATTTTCGGTGAGAAGATCTTTTATTCCTCCTACATTACCTCAAGCTAACGATAGCAAAGGCGCAATGGGTGCCCCTGGAGATGGCCGCCTTTGGACAGTGCTCGTGCCAACACGCATCAAACGCATCACCATCGACCCAACCCTCTGTTCCAGCGCCTCCTTCTCATCTGGCTTGAATGTCTCTCTACCCTTCGACGCCAGCGTATCCGTTTCTCCGATTGACGGTGTAGCCGGTGATGTTGATATCTTCAATCCGTCTGGCATCAACAAGGCAGTCCAAGTTGAAGGGCTTCAGGTGAGCCCGCTTGCGCCTGTAACGGAGAACGATGATAAGGAGGTCTTTTCCGACACCACGTGGGCGTTGCAGGAACCTAATGCTGCGGCCGCAGGTAATGTAGGTGAGTGGAAACTAACCGAGCAGGAATGGGAGCATGCGCGTTACGTCGAGCGAGCTTGCTTCTTCTACTTGAAGCAGCTGGTTGATGCAATTACGCCCGAGGAGAGAGAGAAGTGCGAGTGGCATCCGAAGAAAATGCTTGATTGGGCCACCGAGGTCGTGGGCGTTGTGGCCCGCGGGGAGCATCCTATTGTTCCGAAGGAGTGGATGGATGATACGTGGGAGATGCTGGAGGGACCGCTGGACGAGTACGTACTCACATTCCATCCCACCCTTAACCAACGCTACATGAAAACATTTATCCATGGTTGACGCTGATATGTATGCAATCCAAAAAGACTCACAGCCAAGTACTCCGACTTTGAAAGCTTGACACACGTCGGAAAGAACCTGATTCCGTTTGTTCGGGGCGAGTTCTCGCTCCTCGAGCTGGTCAGGAATGGCGGACTGCTGGAGCATATCTATCGGAATACGTATGCCTTTGCGGAGTATAACGAGTGCCTGGCCGGGCTAGTCAAGCAGCTCTCGCATCGGTTCCCGCGCATGGATATTTTTGAGATTGGTATGTCCATTTTCTTACCTATTGTTGTAGGTGTACGCTAATTGGAACTACAGGCGCTGGAACAGGCAGTACAACTGAGGCGGTTCTCCAAAGCATAGGCGACCACTACTCATCATACACGTACACCGATGTCTCCGCGGGATTCTTCCTCAAAGCCCAAGAGCATGCAATTTTCAAGCAGCATGCCGCCAAGATGATTTACAAGACGTATGATGCTGAAAAAGAGCCCTGCGCGCAAGGGCATACCGAAAGGAGCTACGATTTAATCATTGCTTCCAACGTGCTCCACGCCACACACTCCTTGGAAACGACACTGTCCAATGCACGAAAGCTCTTGAAGCCCGGTGGTTATCTGGTAGTTCTAGAAGTCACGGACATCAACCCGCTTCGCCCGACTTTCTTCTTTGGATGTCTACCGGGTTGGTGGGTTGGTGAGAATGACGGCAGACCGCACCATCCGCTTGTTACTAAGGAACGCTGGGGTCAGTTGTTTGAAGCCACCGGGTTCTCTGGCCTTGACACGGCGACGCCAGATCACGGTGTCTTTATGGCTCCGTTCTCGGTAATGCTTACGCAGGCTGTTGACCGGCAGATGGGACTGATCAGGCAGCCTCTCCAAACGCAAAAACAAGAAGAGGATATCAAGACCACAATTACAATCGACAATCTTCTGATTCTTGGTGGAGGCGGATATGCCACTTACGACCTGATTGAGGATATTCAGCGCCAGCTTGAGCTCAACGCAGAGATTAAGCAAGTCACTGTCGTGGAGACCGTTGAAGCATTGGAGACATCACACTTTCACCCGCGCCAGATGCTGCTGAGTCTCGTCGAGCTTGACCGTCCCGTCTTCTCCCCTTTTACTCCAGAGCGGTTCGCAGGTCTGCAGCTGCTGACAGAGAAATGCCGAAACGTGCTGTGGGTTGTTCAAGGTGCATCAGGCGAGCAGCCCTATGCAAACATGATGAACGGCGTGGCACGCTGTTTGGTTGGTGAACAACCCGATATGCGCTTCCAGTTTCTGGACTTTGATGTGGCTGATAAGCCGGACGCCGAGTTTATTGTCAAGACCCTGCTCAGGCTCCAGATCTCGGACGCGTGGAATGGCTTCAGAGAGCCGTACCGGCCTGCCTGGACGCTCGAACGCGAGATCAGAGTTCGTGGGGGGCAGGTCCATATCCCTAGGTATGCGCCTAGTGCCAGGCGGAACCTGCAGTATAACTCGTGGAGGAGGACCGTGAGGGAGCCTGTGGACCTGCATGTCGACACAGAGCGTGTTGTTGTTTTGACCAATGCAAACGGTCACTTCGATCTCGAAGAAGATACGTCGCCCAGCCCGGTCACAGCAGCTGAGAATGTGATGACAATCAACGTCTCGCGATCATTTACCAAGGCCGTTGAAATCGATGGGGTGGGTCACCTTTATATTCTAACGGGAGAGTGCGCACAGTCAAAACAGCGAGTTCTTGCTTTTGCCCGACAGAATGCCTCCCAAGTCCAGGTTCAAAAGGATTGGGTCTTCAACGTCGAATCCATTCCAGGCTCTGAGGAGGCCGCACTGCTCCAGACCTTAGCCAACGTGTGCTTGGGTACCATGCTTTTGAGCCGGATGCCGCAAACTGGGCAACTGCTGGTACATGAGCCGAGTGTTACCCTCGCTCGGACATTGATAGCCCTCACCTCCGGTCGTGTCTCCTTCACTACGGCCAACCGTGCCAATCTCGAATCTGGTATGCCCTTTGTGTTTATCCACCCATCCAGTCCCGAAAATTCCATTGCTCGTCGCTTGCCAGCAGATATTGCGGGCTTCGTGGATGCGTCCGAGGGCCAGGGTCTCGGAAGAACCATCGCACGACAACTTGAATCACAGCCTCAAGTTAGGGTTCTTTCTATTACTGGCTTCTACAGTACCTCGTCTCGCCAATGGGGTGCTGCTGATGGAGCTAATCTGCAAGCTCTTCTTCGGCGCGCCACAGACTTGTTTACTCAGATACCCAAGGACGCGGTAGAAGAACTTTCGCTGGATGAAGTGATCCAAAGGACTACGGACGGTGAGATCGAGATCCTCAACTGGAAGAGTCAGCCCAAAGCCCTGGTGAAGCTATCACCCGTGCAAGACGAAATCACCTTCAGAGGTGACCGCACCTACCTCTTGGTAGGTCTGACGGGTGAGCTAGGAAGATCGCTCTGCCGCTGGATGGTGCAGCGCGGCGCCCGATATGTCGTCCTCACGAGTCGCAAACCAGACGTTGAGGCTGCTTGGCTCGAGCTGATGCAATCCTACGGTGCCCGCGTTGAGATCATGGCAATGGACGCAACGAGCCGCAAGTCTACGTACGACGTGGTCCGCAAGATCAGGCAGACTCTTCCCCCTGTGGCAGGCGTCGGTAACGGCGCAATGATTCTGAACGACGGCCTGTTCAACGTCATCTCGCACGAGGATTTCAACCAAACACTTCGACCCAAGGTCGACGGTACAACATATCTCAATGAGCTCTTCGACTCTCCGGATCTGGACTTCTTCATTGTCTTCTCTTCTCTCGCCTACGTGACAGGCAACTTTGGGCAAACCAGCTATGCGGCAGCGAACGGTTTCATGGCCAGTCTGGTTGAGGGACGCAGGAAGCGTGGCTTACCGGGTAGTGTGATGAATCTGGCGGGCATTTTCGGAATAGGTTACATCACCCGTACAGATCGCAGTATCCTAGAGCGACTGGGCAAGCTGGGCTATGCCAATATCTCGGAGTACGATTTCCTCCAGTTCTTCGCTGAGGCGGTCCTTGCTGGCATTCCTGGGTCTGGACGCGACCATGAAGTCAGTTCCGCACTGCGCCCAATTGACCCGGACCGAGAGACTAACCCGCCGGCCTGGCTGGATATGCCCCGTCTGTCGTACTACCGGCATACCAAGCACGTCACTGCGGAGGGAGGAGACAGCAAGTCTTTGTCCGTGCGATCCCAGCTCAAGGAGCAGACCACTATGGAGGATGTACAGAAGGTTCTCACCAGTAAGTGCACTCGGACACTTCCAGGATACAAAACTAACTCTTGTAGATGGCTTGATATCGACGTTATACAAGCAGCTTGGTCTCGACCCTGAGGACGACGCCATCTCCCCTGACACCAGTCTTGTTGAGCTGGGCATTGACTCGCTTGTCGCGGTCGATATGCGCGTTTGGTTCACCAAGGAGTTGGACCTTGACATGCCGGTGCTGAAACTGCTTGGCGGCGCCTCAGTAGCAGCCATGGTCGAGGATACGATGGAGCGCATGTCTCCGGATTTGATACCCAAGGTGGCGCGCAAGGACACCGCTACAGCTGACGCTCCAAGTGCCGATGAGAAAGTTCCGGTCGTGGAAGTTACTGCTGTGCCTCAGGAAGAGGGTGTCTCAGCCGAGGAGACTCAGGAAGACGAGTCCACATCTAACGGGGAGAGCAGCTCAACGGAGGAGCCTTCGCTATCGTCCAAAACCACGCCCCCGTCGAGTTCCGTTGCGTCCGAGGACTTTGTCAAAATTGAGAAGCCTGTCTCGCTCGACGAACCCAAGTACGTGCGAAAGGCCAAGATGGGATACGGCTCGCTCCAGTTCTTCTTCCTGGTCAAGCACCTCGATGACCCGACGGTGCTGAATATGCAGTTCCGGCTTCCTCTCCGGGGTTCCATCAGGCTCCCCGATCTGAAATACGCAGTGCAGCTGCTTGGCCAAAGGCACGAGGCCTTGAGAACCGCCTTCTTCGTGGATGCCGACAACGACGACGAACCCACGCAGGGGGTGCTAGAGACTTCGCCGCTACGCTTGGAGACAATCCAGGTTGCTGACGCTGATGAGGCCAAGAAGGTCTGCGAAGATGTCCAGAACTACGTGTTTGACATTGAGGCCGGCGAAACGATCCGCATTTTGCTGCTCTCGTTCACCCCGACCACGCACTTGCTGGTCCTCGCTTTCCACCATATCAGCATCGACGGCTTCAGCTTCAACGTCTTGCTCGATGAGCTGAACTCCTTGTACCAGGGTAAAATGCTGCCGTCAGTTACTACCCAGTTCACAGATGTCATGATCAAACAGCGGAATGATCTCCAAGCTGGGTACAAGCGCTCCGAGCTGGCCTATTGGCGTAACATCCTAGGCAAGATCCCAGACCCGATTCCTCTTTTCCCCGTTGCAAAAGTTAGCTCTCGTTTGCCCATGACGAAATACCATTTCAACGAAGCCCCCATGGCCTCCATCGACGCCGCCACCGCCGAACAAATCCGCAAACAATGCCGCGCCCTCAAGGCAACACGGTTCCACTTCTTCATGACCGTCTTGCGCGTCTTTCTCTTTGCGTTCCTGGACACGGACGAGCTCTGCATTGGTTTTGCAGATGCCAGTCGTGCGGACCCCAGTGTGGCCCGGACAGTCGGGTACCTGGTCAATATGCTATCTCTCAAGTTCGAGAGGAAGCCCAATCAAACATTTGCGCAAAAGGTAGAGGAGGCACGCAAGCAGTCCTACGCTGCTCTTGCCAACTCGACCGTGCCCTTTAACGCCTTGCTCGAGAAACTGGAGGCGCCCCGCTCGGCTGCCTATACGCCTGTTTTCCAGGTGTTTATGGACTACCTGCAGCACAAGTTCACGGCGCCGGAGGGACTGGGTGTGGTTGAGGATGAGGTGTATGCGCATCTCACGCATAACTTCTTCGACCTTGCTGTTGACATCAATGATGTCTCTGCGAGTGAGATTCTCATTCGGTTCCGTATGCAGCAGTATCTTTATGACACTGATAGTGTGGCCCTTCTCCTGAAGAGCTATGTACAGCTTGTCCAAATGTGCGCATATATGGAGCCTACTCGCACTATTGGAGAGCTTGCCCTCTATGACAAGGAGGATATCCAACATGCTGAGAAGCTTGGACGGGGTGAGTCTTACAACAGTTGGAATTGTTTGGTATACTGACAAATCAGGCCCCGTTGTTACCTCCCAGTGGCCCTCGACTCCTATTGAACGAATCCTCGAGGTTGCCACTACCCAACCAGAGGCCCCAGCCCTAGTTGACGGCGAAGGCGCCAAGCTAAGCTACGCGGAGACGGTTGATCGTTCTCGCTCAATTGCCGCCACTCTCCTTGATGCCGGTGTGACCAAGGGTAGTATTGTGGGCGTATACCAGGAGCCCACAGCGGACTCTATCTGCTCGCTCCTGGCGATCTGGATGGTCGGCGCCGTGTATTTGCCCCTTGACCGACGTGTGCCTTGCTCGAGGCTTTCGCGCATCGTGCAGGATTGCCAGCCTGCTGCTATCCTCTGCCACGAGCGGACTTTCTCTGATGCCCCTGGACTTGAGGCTGGTCAACAGACTTCCATTCTTACAGTGTCTGCTAGCGGGACAGACAGTGGTAAGATGCCGCTCCCATCAATCGCTGCTGATGGAAACGAGACTAGCATCATTCTTTACACGAGCGGTTCCACCGGTGTGCCCAAGGGTCTTCCCATCCGGCATATCAGTCTCCTCAACCAGGTCGAGGCCATGACAACCACTTTTAGGGTCGGTTCCGAGAAGGTGCTGCAGCAGAGTGCTCCCAGCTTTGACGTTTCCATGCAGCAGATCCTCATGGCGCTGTGCAATGGAGGAACGCTCTACGTCGTACCTGGCGAGACACGCCTGGATCCCCTCGCTATCACCAAGCTTATACAGTCGGAACAGATCACCTGGGCCCATGCAACCCCTTCTGAGTACGCACAGTGGCTCCGTCACGGATCAGCCCATTTGAGTGCCGCCAAGGAATGGAAGTTCGCTTTTTCATCCGGAGAAGCCCTCTCCAATGCGTTGGTCAAAGAGTTTCAGGCGCTCAATCGCCCGGACATCAAGCTTGTCAATGTTTACGGTCCTGCTGAGGCTGGTGTGATCACCGGAACAGAGATCAGTACTACCGACGTGCCTGTCGACCCCCGAGCCCCCGTCTCCCTTGGCTCTCCACTAGCGAACATGGCCGTATATGTGGTTGACCGGAACCTGCAACCTGTGCCGGCTGGGATGAGTGGCGAGATTGTCATCGCAGGCGCAGGAAACATACCGGGCTATCTCAACCGGCCTGAACTGACGACAAAGCTGTTCGTCAGAGATGCTATCACCCCTGCGGGATACTACCCCGGGCAGCTTCCTACGATCTACCGGTCTGGAGATATTGGTCGGTATAGTCCCGATGGTCAGCTCTATTACGAAGGCCGTATGGCCGGCGACACGCAGGTCAAGCTCAATGGCATTCGGATCGACCTGAGCGATGTGGAAGCCGCTATTCTCGAAACCGCCGCCGGTGCAGTTGTCAACGCTATTGTCACAGACCGAAGGAATCCAGACTTCCTGGTTGCGCATGTCGAACTCAAGGCTGACATCCCTGAGGCTGAACGGAAGGAATTCCTGACTCACATCCAACAGCGTCTCCCTCTACCGAAGTACATGTGTCCTGCCATGCTCATTTCTCTCGACCATCTGCCTCTCAACTCCCACGGCAAACTAGATCGTCGAGCGATTGCGGCGCAACCCCTGCCTACAGTCGACGGGCTTGACCAAGCGAACGGCGATGACCTCAGCGAGACTGAACTGACTCTGCGAGAACTCTGGGCCGGTTGTCTTCCAGAGGACGTCGTCAAGTCGGCCAGCATCTCCACTAGCAGCGACTTCTTCCACCTCGGCGGCAACTCCTATCTTCTCGTGCGCCTGCAACGGCTCATCCGCGACCGTTTCAACGTATCGGTTCCTGTCATGGCGCTCTACGATGCTAGCACATTAGCGGCAATGGCTCTTAAGATCCGGAGTAGCGAGTCACTGGCGGTCATCGACTGGGACGCTGAGACCTCGGTGCCCGAAACCCTCGCCGTTGGAGAGCCCTCTACTCACCGAAAGACCACCAACCTCACCGTCGTTCTTACAGGAGCAACCGGCTATCTCGGTTCTCGCGTCTTGACGTCTCTCATTGCAAACGAGCATGTGACCCGCATCCACTGCGTCGCAGTCCGAGGGCACTCCCCCGACGTTCCTCGCGAATTAGCACACAACTCCGACAAGATCACGATACATGCCGGGCACCTTGAGGACCCTCTTCTGAGCATGTCGGAAGGGGAATTCAGCTCCGTCGCGGCAGAAGCAGACCTTGTGATCCACAGTGGCGCGAACCGCTCGTTCTGGGACCACTACGACAAACTGCGCGGGCCGAATGTCCTCTCCACCAAGACCCTCGTTGACCTGGCGCTGCAGAACAAGGCGCCTCTACACTTTATCTCCAGTGGCGGGGTGCATCTCCTCAACCCTGGAGCTAGCGACAACTATGCGTCCGAGTCTGTGGCCTCGTGCCCCCCGCCCACTGACGGCTCCAATGGCTATATCGCGTCGAAGTGGGCGTCAGAAGTCTATCTCGAAAACGTCGCCCAGCAGACAGGACTGCCCGTACACATCCACCGACTCACGCCAGCCCCAGAGCCAGAGTCGGATGCGGATACAAATGCAGATGCACCGGTCCCAATGGAACTCCTCGAGGAACTCTCTGCTCTCGTCGAGAAGCTACAAGCCCTACCTGCCCCCAGCGGCTGGACAGGGAGCTTTGATCTGACACCAGCCAACGCACTAGGTGCCGATATTGCGTCCGCTGCTGTTGGGCAGGTTTCTGACTCGGATGCTGCTCGATTCATCCACCACCCGGCGCAGGTCAAGATGACCATGGACCATGTGGTCAAGTACATGGATATGCTGCAGCTCCCGTCGGTTGAGGGCTTTGAGCGCTTGCCGCCTTTGCAGTGGGCTGGAAAGGCGAAGAGGGAAGGGTTCAGCTGGCATTTCTCTAGCACGGATTTTGTGTCTATGGGTGGTGTTGGGGTTGAGTTGAGGAGGTAGATTTTACAAGTGTAGTCTAGGGCTTTTGCAGAAATCTGCTATGTAATTAAGAATGAATATGAGATGTATTGTCAACTTTGGGCCATTGGCGTAGGACATACTGTGAAAGAGCGAATGTTGACGGAAGCCACTGGGGAAGCAGCGACCAAGACTGGTGCCCTCTAAGCTAAACACATCACCCATTCCATCAATCCACTGCCAATTTCCTTCTCAGCTCAACCTCATCCTCTCTACATATTGCTGTCTGGAGTTTGCATATGATCTAGAGTTTCACCACTACGCCTAAAGTCAGTCATGGTCACTCTCCCATCGTGCTCTGCCGATGACATCGTCCAAACTTTCCACAGGTCAGCCCACTCCGTCGAACGCTGCCGGAAAGGCGAACTGGGAATGATGCAATGGGGCGTCTAGCATATAACCTGGGTAAGTATCCTACGTGCACTCAAAGACACCATCTATCTATCTAACAGTCGGTTCACCAGCGAGATGCCGTTCATGCAAAATGGCGCCGATACCGAAGACCTCTCCTCCTTCTCGCCCGCCTCAAAACCCAAACAATCCACGCTCACCTCCCTGCTGAGCTCCGTACAAGCAGATCTCCTAAGCCAAGCGCACCGCATTCCCGCCGACTTCCGTACCCTACGTGAGCTGTCGCAGACGGGGCTGAATGGCGGGTTGATTGATGATAAGAAGTACTTGACCGAGAGCATCATCCAAGTCCTCTCCAGCCTACCCAACAGCTCGGCCCTGCGGACAAAGATCACGGATACGTTCATCAAGACGCTCTGGGATAACCTGCATCATCCGCCGCTGAGCTACATCGGCGATGAGTTTCGGTATCGGAGGGCCGATGGGAGTTTCAATGTACCTTTCTCTCTCCCACTAAACAGGTATGGTATATCCTGTGGGCTAAAAATGGCTAGAATATCATGTACCCCCATCTTGGAGCATCGGGGAGTCACTATGCGCGGACAGTATCTCCAAAACATCCGCGTCCGGCGGTTTTGCCAGACCCGGGGCTTATATTTGATAGTATGTTATCATCTCTTGGAGATATCCCGTAGGTACTGACAAAAGGCAGCACTCCTCGCCCGTCAGGAACACGCAAAGGAGCATCCAGCCAAGATCTCAAGCATGTTGTTCCACTTTGCTACGATTATCATCCACGGTACCTCGCTTCGACTCCATCAGAAAGAAGGAGACAGAGACTAATAGGGATAGACCTCTTCTGCACGGATGAGAACGACCGCACCCGCGTCAAAAACTCCTCGTATCTCGATCTCGGCCCGTTGTACGGGCACAGTCAAGACGAGCAGACCCAAGTTCGGACCTTCACCGACGGCCTCCTGAAGCCTGACACCTTCTCCGAGAAGCGGCTCCTCTCGCAGCCACCGGGCGTGTGTGCGCTCATGATAGCATTCAACAGATTCCACAACTACGTCGTCACAGAACTCGCGCGGATCAACGAGGCAGGGCGTTTCAATCTCCCAAATTCGGGGGAAGAGAAAAGCCCAGATTATGTCTGGGCCCTGCAAAAGCGAGACGAAGACCTCTTCCAAACAGGACGCCTAATAACATGCGCGCTGTACGTCTCCATAATCCTAAATGACTACCTGCGCACAATTCTCAATCTCAACGACAACGCCGCCAACCCGCGGAGCGATTGGCGGCTTGACCCGCGCAAAGCCCTAAACGTCTTTGACGGCGAGGGTCTGCCCCGCGGCGTGGGTAACCAGATCTCGGCTGAGTTCAATATGATATACCGCTGGCACGCAACGACCAGCGTTGCAGATGAGGAGTGGCTGAATGAGCTGTCGAGTCAGATCTTTGGGAGCAAGATCGATGTGAGTAGATTGTCTGTTGGTCGGTATCTGGGTGGGCTGCATGAATATTTTGAGAAGGCGGCACCGGGGGAACCGTCCAGTTGGACATTCGGGGGGCTGAAGAGGGGGAAGGATGGGATGTTTGCGGATAAAGATCTTGTGGAGGTGTTGCAGGATGGGTGTGAGAGTGTTGCTGGTATGCTTTCCTCGAGGTCCTCTGAATGAGGCAGGTTGCTGACTGAGTGCAGGAGCATTTGGCGCCCGCAATACACCCAAGTGCATGAAAGCCATTGAGATGATGGGCATACAGAAAGGCAGGGAGTGGGGCCTCGCGACCTTGAACGAGCTGAGGATGTTTTTCAAGCTGAAGCCGCATTCGACGTTTGGTTTGCTTTCTCTTTTGACTTCCTAGAAGGCTAAACAAGCTAACAAATCTATAGCGGAAGTCAACTCGGATCCCAAAGTCGCTGAAGCATGTAGGCACCTAACCCTAACCCAATCTAACCCAGACAGTGCCACCTAACACACAACAGTGGAAGCCCTCTACGGACACCCAGACAACATCGAGCTATACGTCGGGATTCAAGCCGAAGAAGCCAAGAAGCCTTTTTCCCCCGGCGCCGGCCTATGCCCAGGCTTCACAATCTCTTTCGCAATCCTCTCGGACGCCGTGGCTCTCGTACGCGGAGACCGTTTCTACACAGTCGACTACAGCCCCGTCAACCTAACTAATTTCGGTTTCAACATCGCAGAGTCAGACTTCGACGTTGCGAATGGCGGCGTCATGTATAAGCTCCTCATGCGCGCGTTTCCTGGTTGGTACACTGCAAGCAGCGTCTACGCCTTGTACCCCTTCACCACTCCAGCAAAGAACAAAGAGATATTCGAAAAGCTTGAGAAGTTCGGAGCTACAGGTCTGTCAGGACTTGAGTATAAGAGGCCTGAGTTTACAAAGCCGCCTGTGGCTATCACGAGTTGGAGGGGCGTTGTCGAGTTGTTGAATGAGTCCAAGGGGTTACATGTCCCGTGGGGCAAGAATATCTACCATCTCACACAGCACGATTACATGCTCAGCGGGGACTCCGTGGCAAATGCGGAGCAGCGCACGTTCATGGCGGAGCGGCTGTATAGGGTTCCTGATGCACTGGAGCAGTTTCGGCGGTTTTACGAGGCTATTACGGCGGATTTGGTAAGGAAGTATAGTAAGAGGTTGGGGGATTCGATGTATCAGGTTGATATTGTACGGGAGTATGTTGCCTCCTTGTTTTTTGAGATAGAGGGAATGAATACTGAATTTTTCATGCAGTGTGTGCAACCTCGCGCACGCCTACTTCTGCGCCGAGTTCTTCGCTATCCCGTTGAAGTCCACGAACGGGCAAAACGGTAACGGCACCAATCAGTCCAGTACAGCAGACGCATACACGCCCCGCGAACTGTCCGAGGCCCTCTTCGCTCTATACCGCTATGTCTTCTTAGATATGGACGCTGCCCGATCTATCAAGAACCGGGCTGTCGCCGCGAAAGAAAGTCAGCGCTTGGGCGAGATCATGCGCAGGGTCGTTTCGAGTACATCTGAATCGGGGTGGTCTGCATCGGAGTACTTATTCAGCAGGCCATCGAGGCTCTTTGGCGGGAAGGGCTCGAGTCCTTTGATACTGAGCGGGTATGGGCCGCAACTGGTCAAGAGGTTGAAGGAGGGGGGCAAAAGTGTTGAGGATGTTGTTTGGATGATTGTTCCTACGGCGGCGGCGACGGGAGCGACGCAGGCGATGGGTGTAAGCTTTCTTTCATTATCTACAATTCATCGAAGAAAGCTGACGTGGATGTTAAATCCTGCAGTGGGCGCAAATGCTCGATCTCTACCTCTCGGACCGGTATTCGATGCACTGGCCGGCCATTCAGAGACTCGCTCGATCCGAGGAGCCGGAAGCCTTTGAGAAGCTGAAGAAATACGCTTTGGAAGGGTATACCTGCTCCCTTGTCTTTTATCCGTTTGTATGTCGCTAAAGACTATGCAGATTCCGCCTCTCCACCCCCGCCAACGGCGTCCTACGAACCTACAACAACCGACATTCAAAACCAACACTTCTTAAGGACGGGGCAACCACAAAATCCATCTCGAAAGGTGACACAGTCTTTGCAGACTTTGCATCGGCGGGTAGAGACCCTGAGACGTTCCCGGATCCCGAGGAAATCAAGCTCGATCGGCCGCTGCAGCTATATATCCATCATGGATGGGGCGCGCATGCGTGCTTAGGAAGAGCGATTGTTACCACGGCGGGAGCAGCACTGCTGAAGGTTATGGGGAAGCTGGATGGATTGAGAAGTGCTGACGGCATGCAGGGTGAGATGGTGAGTAAGGAGCATGATGGGTTTCGGATGTTTCTGGAGGAGGATGGTAGTGATTGGGGGGTTTTCCCGCGGAGTGAGTTATTCTCGTATTATTTTCTGAGCTTACTTTGAGTCGTGATCTAACACAGTGGTACAGCCAAGAAGGTCGTGTTTACTGGCTTGGGCGGGTTGGCTGAGAAGAAGGAATGAAGTCTTAGTCTGGTAGGTTGAGTTAGGGCAAACCTAGCCGGGCTCACCCTCACGCCACTGAAGCCACTCGAGGTTCCCATTTACGCAAACGTCTAGTCGTGACATAATTGTTGACCTGTCATCTAGTATAATTATCATCTAGTCTGTCTGTCTCTTCAGCTCAGCCTCAAATCTATCTGTCACATACAATGGCATCTTACACCACGGAAGGTTTCCAATTTCCGCAAACGTCTAGTCGTGACATAATGGTTAACCTGCCATCTAGTATAATTATAGATAGTCTAGTCTGTCTGTCTTTTCCACTCAGCCTCAAGTCAACCTCAAATCAATCCATCACATACAATGGCCTCTTACAACCCGAACCCACACCCAAGCGTTCCTCCACCCACAGACCCCTACAACCCGTCCTCCTCCTTCCTCACAATCCCACAGGACATCCCCTCCAACCCATTCTACCTAACAATTCAGGACGCCCTAACCGTCCTCCGCCTTCTTCCCCTGCTACCAAACGTCGTTCTCCCGCTCCCCCGCCCCTCCACCAGCACCCCGCTCTCCGAACTCTACCCAACGCCGTCAAACCTCCGCGATGTGATCCTCCACACAATCCTCCTAACAAGCCAGATCATCCTAATCGCAAGCGTCCCCCCTGCACTCCTAGCTCTCTTCGCTGTCCCAGGCGTTGTGCACGCAGTTTTCTACGCCTCCTTCGCGCTCATAACGGGAGGCATAACATGGCTCCTGAATAGACGGCCTCAATATAAAAAAAGCCTCGTGGGCCGACCACAGGGCAGAGAATGCGTTAATGTCACAGGCGATAAGAGAGGCGAAGTATGGTTCTTCGTTAATGGGGTTGCGACAGGGTACACTTCCCTCCCTTCCTCCTTCCTCCTCAACTGAAAACAAGTGCTAATGCGAGCAGAACACACTGGCACCAAGCAAACCTCACGCGTCTCGCCAACATCTTCAACCGCGAGATCATCGGCATCCACAATCCAACAAAGGGCCTCCTCCTCGATATCCTCGAGTGCATCATCCAGCGAGACCTCAACTACACCACGCGCGCGACCCGCGTCGGCCGCGCCCAACTCCACGCAGCCCTCTCCTCACCCGACACAACCAAAGTCGTGCTGATCGCGCACTCACAAGGCGGGCTCATCGCAGCCGCGATACTCGACTGGCTGTACAGCGAACTAGGCGACGAGATCATGGGGAAACTGGAGGTGTACACATTCGCGAGCGCGGGCCGGGTGCTGCGGAACCCGCTGCGGCAAGGGCCGGTATGGCCGAAGCGGATTCGATACGCAGGGCCAGGGCCGAAGACGACCCTCAGGAGCGAGGGGCGACGGGTCCTAGGGCACGTGGAGCACTACGCCAACACGAGCGATATGGTTTCGAACCTGGGCGTGTTGCAGTTTACGTCGGCGCCGGCTGCGACGGTGCGCTCGGTTGTCATGGCGAAGTATGTTGCGCCGCGGTGTTACCTGGACAAGCACCTGGCGCATGGCAATGGGGATAAGGAGAAGGGGCACGAGGGCGAGGGCGAGCACTGCCGGCCGTTCAACCAGTTCCATGGTCCCGTGATCGTCAGGTCGGGCTCGGGGCATTTGCTAAACACGCATTTCCTGGACACGATGTTTAGCGAGGAGAGCGGGTTTATGGAGACGTTGGTGGATGTGGAGGTTGAGGGGGGCGTTGTGCAGAGGCGCTTGGGGGAGCTGTCGAGGTTGTGGAAGTATAGGGATGGAGGGAGTCCGGAGGATCGTGATTATGAGTACCACCGGTATGATTATCAAAGGAACGATGGGAAGGAGGATGGAGGGGTTGAGGATAGGTTTGAGGTCAGAGGGTGGTTTGTAGAGAAAAGGCCTTGAGGATGACATTGTGTGCGACAGTTAGTTCCCCTCTACTGGGTTTAAAAGTTTGTTACTGTACTGAGCTAAGTACATACTTTTCTTTAATCTGCAACCACTTGGTCCACTGGTAAGCGGGCCTCCAAATATATTCTGTCAATGATTGTCAAAAGTGCCATGTACAGTAGTAGTTGCCACCAATTTGAACAAGGTAGCTCGCAAACCAAGGGGTACAATATGTAAGATAACGAAGTATGCTAGACATCAAAACAGGAGAAAACGCCGGCTAAATAATCGCTCGCCAAAGACACTTCTTGAAATATAAATATTAGATGAGGTGACCCTTTTATACACTCATGTCGAACCAAACCAACAACGAGGCGCTAATGTTCGTCTATAATATGGACGATAAATCACAGTTGGCCAGATAGGACGGCTTCCGTGGCTGCAGTATGTTAGCATCAGGCTATTCCAAAGGCAACGGGTTCGCGGCTTACCAGAATTGATGTACGGACGCTTCGAGTCCAGGCTCACGCCAAACCGCCTCTCCAACTCCTGCTTGATATTCTTCTTCGTAACGGTCATGAGATCGGCCGTGCGTAGAATGTCTCGGATCTCGGAAAGGACAGCGTCGTCGCTTGGCAGGTTGACATCCTCCATCTCCATATCCATGTGCCGGCTCATCATCTCAGAAGGTGCGAGCGACATGCGAGACGTGTACCGAGGTAGGTCAAGCTGGGACATCGGTCGTGCCCCAGGGAATCCATACTCCGACTGCGCGGCAGGGTGGTACTTGGTTCCGTATGAGATGCCGGAAATCTCAGATCGGTCGTCGCGCGAGGTCTGGGCCTCCCACAGCTCGGCCTGGTACTCCTCCCACCTCTTCTTCGGAATCGACGCAGGGTCAAACTTTCCTTCGTCGGAGATGACGACCTTGCGGCCTTTTTCTCCAGTGATGACACGCGTGTTACCCCAGGAGAAGTCATCCATGTGCCAGAATGAGTAGAGCGGCAGAGCAAGGGCATACACGGGCATGGCGAAGATGTAAATAATCATCCAGCCAATCATTTCCCATTTCCGGCGGACAATGAAGATAATCGCTTGCAGACCATAAATCGCGGCGAGAAGGAGGAACGAGGTCCACGGAATAGACGACGTGTCTTTCGCGATCCAGACAATCAAGTAGACAATATATGCGATGGTGACGGGCATGACGACGGTACTGATCAGGTCGATAAATACGACAAATCTCATACTAAAGCAGCAGAACCCACACAGCTGCTGAAGCGGGATCAGCTCAACCAAGTTGTGCACAGTAGAGTTAATCCAGCGACGACGTTGCGAAAGGAAGACCGCCCAGCTTTCGGGGGCAATGGTGTACGCCTGTGCCCGGAAGTGGTACTTGGTCTTGAACTTGGGGTGATGTTTCAGAAGCAGGGTCGTCAAGTAACGATCCTCTCCGAGGTGCAGCAAGTTCTTCATATGCAGGGTGTCGACTCGAATCTCCGAATACGCTTCCACGATCTCCTTGCTCACGAAGAGCGGTTTTCCTGTCTCGGCGGATCGGATACGGTACATGGTGAAACAACCAGGCAGACAGGTAATCGAACCGAAAAGACTTTCGAAAGCCTTGGTGAGGTTGTGTGAGATGTAGTATTCGTACACCTGAATCATCGTCACCGCAGAGGTTTTGGCATTGGTCAGCGATGTTTCTCCACAGACACCAATGATTCGGGTATCGTTCAAACAGGACGAAACCATCCGAGTTGCAGCATCCGGCGCCACGACAGTATCAGCATCGACTTGAAGGATAAACTCGTAGAATGTGGGATTGACTCCAATGATGTTCCGAATCTGGTGGTGCATCTCAAGCTCCATAGGGCTCATGGGAAGGTTGTAGTGGACGCGGTTCAGGAATCGCATCAGCACCATCTGAGAGTCACGCTTACCACGGTTACCAGGGCGCGAGACTTCAGACGGCTTTCCAACCTTGACGACAACGAGGAAGGGAACAATATGACCCTGCACCTCGTACAGACCAGAATAGATCTTACCCATGTTGTGCTGCTTCATACCCTCACCCAAACTCTCGAAACTGAGCGGCTCCGGATCCACAGACTCGGGCACACCCAAAATATCGAGAACAATCCGAGGCGTAGGGCGATCGTTGCCTTGACCGATAATCATACCGTCACAGATGACGACTAGAAGTTTGCGTTTGTCGTCATACTGCATGCGGGCCATCGAGTCTATAGCACGGCGCAGTGATTCTTCATCTTCCGTGTAGGCAGGAACCTGACAGATGATAAACTTGTCAAGGTTCTCTGGCAGATTCTTCTTTCCAAATTGCAGCGCCGCAAAGAACTTGAAGACCACGACGGAACAGATCAAGATCGAAATGGCAAGGATGAAGTATTGCGCAAACTGGCACTGCGTCGAGTTTCGAGTGTCGACGTGGCCAACAATAAACAGGTTGTTCAAGCAGAGCAACATGTCCTCTCGCATCGCGGGAGAAAGTGGCAGATCCTTCCAGTATTTTGTAATGTCTTCGCCGGACTTCTGCTGGAAGAGGTCAACCACCAGGGGGTCCATAAATTCAGTGTCAATGCCGGTAAGGTTATCGCCCTCGCGTCCTTGGATTCGTCGACCTCCGGCAATATAGGTTGTCATATCGTAAATTTTCCCATCAATGCTTGCAATGTTTTGAGATTTGCTAGCCAGGGTATGCAGGTACTCCGCACTGTATCCAATCCAGCCTTTGTAGTAGTTCGCCTTGAGGTATTCCATCTGCTCGGCATACCAGTCGGGGCGATAGTCGCTTCCGTGGAAGTACCTGAAGTCATGATACACGGAATTGGCGTCACCGGAACTAGTAGTAGTAACAGAACCAGAGAAATTGGTCGGCTTGTAGTCGAGCAAGACCTTCGGGTCGATGCTGCCGTCCTTGCCCTTGCACAGCGCTGATACTTGAACCGGGAACAGGGCCGTGGAATCAACACCAGCGTACTTCTTCAAGGACGACTGCGGTACGATTTTCGGGTAATGAGCATCCAGAAAGTCTCCAAGATTCAAAACAACACCGCGGATGGAAGTGTACGAGCTATGGCCATCTTTGCCGTCGTGTGACGACAATTCTGCCGCGGAATAGACGTGTTGTGTAGGACAGATGAGCGCGGGGAATCCAACAATGATGAAAATAGCAGCGCCACAGCAGAACCAGATCATCAAGTTAATTGCCAGCTTCTCACGCCACGCAACTTGAACATCCTTGCGCTTCATCCGACCAATATAGCGAATTGCAGGAGTTGGGATATACCAAGTGAGCAGCCACACAAGAAACATCCAGCGCTTTCGACTGCCGGAAACGGGCACTTCGTCGACCTCCTCCATCTGCTTCTCGTTTCCTTTTTCCAGCATCTGTTCCCTAGTCTCAAGGTTGTGGAACATATCGCCCGAGTTAAACGCCGAGTAACCGGCGTCAGAGCGTCCATCAAAGTCGCGACTAGCGTTGGACCCCTGCTTCGATTCGTCGCCGTAGATGTATGCACCGGGTGAGTGGTCCGAGGGGTTGAGGAGCCGAACCTTAGAATCCGCGTAGTTGGCAGATTTGGGATGCAAAAGTCCCTCGCCTCCGTCGTCTGAGGCAGCAAAGGAAGGGATGACGCGCTCGCCCACCTTGGCGAGGTCTGCCCAACATCGTTCGCTGAGGAAGACTCCTGTGCTGCCAACCCGGGCTTCATTGCCGGGCCAGCGCTTTTCATCCAAGACCACTTCAGATTTCTCCTTGTCACTACCAACAACAACGTTACCGACGTCTGCGAGACCGAGGAATTCGGCAAATGGCAGGAAAACACTGAAGTCGGCATTCCGCAGGCGTTGACTGATTTCAGCGATGCCAAGGGTTTGAACCTGGGTTCTCACACACTTGCTGTCGAACTGGTTGGCGATGCGCCGGTCGTTCGGCTTCAAGCAAAAGACAAAGTATGGGTTCAGGTTGGCAGAGGTCAAGCACTTGTTCACAATGTCAAGCGAAGATAGGAACTGCCCTGCCGCGCCTTGCATGCCACCCATAAGCATTCCGCCCTTCCTCTTGGCCGAAGAATTCTTGGCCGAACTACCGGTTTGGCTTTCCGTCTCATATGGATCTTCGGCTGGGGTTGCGTCGAAGGTGAGGCGTGAAGCTGGACTGACCTTGCGCCTTGCCATGCTGGGCATCCGCAGAGGCTTGGAGCTTACTTGGGCTTGTATAATTGCAGTTTTCTCTTTGGGGTGGGCCACAGTTTGCAGGGCTTCTTGACCAAAGAGCTCCCTTACAAAATCGCTGCGAGAAGATTTCATAAGGTTCATCAAATCGCCGGAAATAACCTCTCCGTTCTCCTCCAGTAGCCCTGTGGCGGAGTAGTCGACCTCTCCAGCAAAGTGCTTCACAGTGAAGGATGAGCGAGCGTTTTGAGAGACCATCCCATATCCTGTTCCAGAGCCAGAATCGCCAACAGTGATGGCAGGATTCTTGTTATCGAACCGTCTCCGCACCGCTTCGACGAATTGAGCGTCCGTCCTTCCACGCTTGGTCTGGTCGTCTAGAATGCTGAGCAACCCATTGCCTTGTTTCAGCAACCCACGAACAGCATCAGTGTTATCAAAATAGCTCGTCGCGGGCACGGCAACCTCTTCACGTTCCAGCATGTCAGCCTTGCGGTCGAAGAATGATCGAAGACAGAAGTTGTACAATGATTCGATCGCCGCGTTGTTAAGGAGCTGATCAAGGGTAGAGCCGGTGGAACAGGCTTGAGCGAAGCCAGGGAAGTCGATGATTGACACCGTGTTGGCAACACTGTCTTCAGCAGCACAGATTCTCTGGTTCATGTTCTCAATCACGTACGCAACTAACAAAGAGTACAAGACGCGCGAGAGCTCATCTGCGCTTCGTCGTGCCCCTTTCGGGTCAAGCATGACAGTAACACGCTCTCGGTGGATGGTCTTGGTACGGTACCCGAAGCTGGCCTCCAATTCCCCAACGCCTAAGCCGAGGAACGCGGCAATGATGGAGAGCACTTCCTTGTTCTTCACTACCGTAACAGTCTCACCACCCTCGTGGGAGTAGCCACCAGATTCCTCCGCACCGGTCATCGTAGCCTGCCCGCTGCCGAAGTCAAGCTGTCCAATATGGAGGATAGCAGCCAGGATTTGACAGATTTCGGCAATTTCACTTCGAGGGAACTCCATCTTCCGCAGGGCGGTCTTGAAGTGCTGGAATCCGTCCGCATCGTTGATGCCGACTTTCAGCTGGGTCGGGTGGCCCAAGTATCTCCATCTCTTGTGGTCGGCCGACGAGAGCTTACCACCCGCGGTTGTAATGTGGATAGGGCTGTCCAAGCCCAAATGTGACTTCTCCGCGGCGCTTGTGCCAGCAAGCAGATAGTACAGGACATGGAAGCTCCGTTCGCCGGTTGGAACAGAGGCGATTCGGCTACGTTCGAGTCGGTGATCGATGATCTTTCCACCAATCAACGTGGGGTTGACGGATGAAGATGCGTCATACTGCAGTTCCAGGAACAATCCAGCTTTTGACGCCGTCGGTGTTGTCAACGACTTGGTTGTGGTGAGGGTGTCGAAGATAAAAGCGGCATAGGACAGTTTGGAGGACAGCGGAGTAGACGAGTAGGAGAGGAAGGAGGAAAGGAGATGTGAGCGAAGTGTCGTTTTACCAGCGCCGCTCTCCCCTCTGGAAATGATCAGTGACCTGAACAGAAGCCAACCAGTGTGTACTTACAGGAAAACGACCGCTTGATTCTCTCCCCGAGCACCAAGTCGAGTATAAGCCCTTCGGGCGAGATCCTCTGCCTCGCCCATAGCACTACCTTCTTTTCCGCCATCAGGACCTTTTGAGGATGAGGTAAAGTTGTTCAGACTGATAAGTGCGTGCGAGGAGAGCCGCGCAGTGGGCAGACCGACATGGAATCTAGTAGACGGTCAAGTTAGATAGGCTGAAAGTATGAACGATAGAATGAAACATACCGGCTGGCTAGATGCGCGGTGAGATGGGTATCGGATTGCAAATGGGCTGGCAACGAGGGCAGTGACGACTGCACATGGGACGGGGTCTGTCCCGCTGGCGAATTCCCAACCATGGCCCCGAAACCTCGATCCGGGGAGATCGTGCTGAAGTGTGTTTTATAGCCGTGCTAGGCGAGGCGAAACGCGCAAGCTCTGGGCCTGGTACTTTGGCGAAAAACGTTGGAATCGATCAACAACCGACAAAAGCGTACATCTCCTGCAAACGAAGCAGAAATGGTCAGGGCAGGTGATGCAGAGATCTCTGGCGACTCGCGGATATGGAGCAGATGCAAAATCAGGTGGTATTCGAGTTTCGCGGCGTCAGAGGCAGTCCGAGCGATCGTGAGATGGACGGGCAATCAATGCGGCAGATTGAACGAGAGACGATCGAAGGTATCTAGATTAGTATTAGAGAGGCTAAAGCAAAGCCACGACTTTCAATAATGCAAGCAACGAGAGCGACTGCGATAACAAAATTGAAGCTGGGGAACGAGTGAGAAAAGACGCCAGACGACAGCAACAGAAACAGAGCCGAACAACAATCGGCGGCGTTTCTCTGGGATCAGCTGTGAATGATAAAGGGAATTCAATAGCGGAGAAGCTGTAACACGCTGGTACAAGCGGTATTTTTCAACTGGGACCTCGATCCACTGCCGTTGGGATGGAGTCAGTTTCACTCGATGATTCTACAAAGTACCATGATCGGAGTTTCTATCTGCTATCTTTATTCCACATCAAGATACCTTTCCATTGTTATCGATACTTTGCACGATGTTTGTGCGATGTTTGTGGACTGTTGATGTCAATAAACAAACCCTCTGTCCCTGTCCTGGGCAGTCCCTGGTTATGCTCCGGGCGGAAGAACCAAAAGACCCTTGGCCAGCCTACAGCACGCGTACCAAATCGAGTGCTCTGTTCTTAAAATAGGTATAGAAAACATGGCCCTCAGGTGAGCAGAAAATTTGAAATCCAGTCTCAGATATGATACGGAACTAGACCAGATCGAAGAATGTGAGACGGAAACCGGTCCAATCGGCCATTCAATATTAGCGGCAATCATTCAGCGCCACGCAGCCTGAGGAACTGGAAAAGGGGCTCGCTTGCTTCCCCTATTTCTTGATTTTCTTGCTGAGCAGACGCAGGATCGATATTGTATCAATGCAAGCACAGTTCTCGATGACGCGTTATAGACGTTTGCATGTCATGCCCGATCAGCGTCAACCCCGGTTTTCCTGGCAAGATTTGCCGTGGGTTTGAGGAGAATCGAGGGGAGCGACAAGCTCTGGAAGAAAGTGGGTGCCGATGATCAGACAATGGAGGAGCGATTTGATAAGAGACCGCTAGTAGTCAACTTGTTAACTGAAAATTACACTTAGTCTCAGCTCAAAATCTCCTTCACTTTCAGCTAGGCTAGAACCTTCGGTGGTATAAATAACAACAGGCGCCCACACGGCCACACGCCATTCCTGCTGGAGAGGAGCTGTCATATGCTTCTGCTCTCGCTGTCTAAGATCTGGCATCTGGCGACCGAGCAGAAAGCATCAGCCGTGGCGATCTGACAAGATTGATTGGCGCAGGGTGAGACACGACCAGACCTCCGGAGAAGTCAGTGAGACACTGCTGTTATTTTAGGGTCTAGCGCCCCGCAGCGCTTCTCAAGCGATGATTCGTTAGCTAGCAGTTAATTGGAAATGCAAATACAGCTGCCCATGTGCTTCTGCTATACGAGAATAAGGTCCAGTACAGAATGCTCAGGAATAATCTGGCTGGACGAGCGTGAACACAGAATCTGTTACAGGATGGTTGTTATGCTGAATACTCCGGGGAATCTCGAGTCCAGTCCCTTGAACCCTTAAGGGACACTTACTAAGAATCAATAAGGGACCATAAATTTTGGCCACTCGGATTCTTTCATTAGTCGATCATCGGCTGCTGTAGTCTGGAGGTTAGTGTAATAGATTCGTAATTGCAATACGGATGGAGTCGCCCAAACAACCAGGTGAAGCAAAGCAACTCACTACTCCGCTGCATCACAACCGATCGCTCTCTTTTCTCACATCTTCTGTCTCGCCTTCTTGTTCTGTCCTCCTACTCGATAATTTGCTTCTTGTCTTTGCTGAGTTGCTTGTTCTGTCCTCGTACATTCTTGCTTCTAGTTCCACTAATCGCTATATCTTTCTTTATACTAATTTGCTGTTTACGACCTTCGTTTCCCAACATTCGCTTGAGAATTCGCAGGACAACGACTTGCCCCGATCGCAATCCATCGTTTGAACCTCAAGAGCACTGCCGTTGTCGAAGTTATTGCCGGATCGCGTTTCTCGAACGACTGCCTGCAACCAAGTGGCACGGTCACGCTCAAGCATCTGACGCTATTAATCACCCCATTCCATGCATTAATTCTCGATCGATAACACGCTCGCTTCACTGGGCATCTCCCGGAATACTTGGTCGATACGCCGATCCTGAGATAGATCGATCACAATGTCGAACCGTTTCTCTGTATATTCCACCCAGTCTGCTGGTTTGCCCGGTGGCCGACCATCGAACCAGATTTCAACAACAACGTTATTGAACGCCCTCCACGCACACTACACCTCGGGCCAACCGTACCAACTGGACGCTGGGTCAAGCATAGTGGTCAACAACTGGCTTACTGCCGCTCAGACAGGGCCCAACGGTCACAATGGAGGCACGATAGACCGCGAATTAGCAGCAAGGGCATGGGAACACGCTCGACGAAGAGCAGAGGATGGTTGTATTGTGCTGAGGTTTGTCTCCCCGGAATGCTTTGGAAACACATGCTCACCCCTTATAGCTCTACTCACCAGTCGACCCCCTCCGTTTTTGAACCCTTCTTATCCACGCTTCCGCTCTCCACCCCAAGCGTCACTTACACGGCTCTCTCCGCGCTTAATCCGTTTCTACGGGCTGTGACGGCCTTCAACCCTTCATACTCTCTCTACTCTGCCCTCTCCGCCAACTTCACGTTCACACTCAAAGGCGACTTGGTTACGCTCACTTTGGCTCTGTCGACATCGGGCATTAACGTGCAAAAAGGCTTGCTTGACATTCCGACGGAGGCTGGGTATCGCGCATTTGATGTGTTTTACTATCTATTGACATCATCCTCAACCGCAGCGGAGCGGGAGTTTCTGGCCCTTAAAGAACCCTCCGCGTACGCCTTACTGAACAAGTCGGGAACATACGATCCACCTCATTATATTCCCACAGCCGATGATGCCGCCGCTGCAGAAGACTTCAGGGCTGCTCTGAAAGCAATTGGAATCAAAGGAGCGTCTCTACGAAATCTGCTGTCTATTCTCGCCGGGCTTTTGAAGCTTGGCAACACCGCTGGATTTCTCGTAGACGAGGAGGAGCTTGAGGAGACCTGCGAGGAAGTTGGAGACTTGCTCGGTGTAGACCCGGAAACTATTCTGCACAAATGCGCTACCGACGAGCGCGAGCTTCTCATTTCTGGAATCTATGAGGCGTTGGTCGACTGGGTTATTGGCAAAGCCAATGAGGCCATTGCCAGCGAGCTTCAAGAGCTGAGCGCCAGCGGATCAGGCGGACAGTGGAATGATGACGATACGGTCAGCATCTCCGTTGTTGATATCCCTCGTCCGGGCTTTGGGAAAGCTGTGGCCATGCGGAACGTGTTTGACGATAATCTTGGTATCAATGCAGAGATGAAGGAGGATGGCGTTCCAGCGCCGCCGGTCGGGCAAGCTGTTACAAATGAAATGACAGCCGCAGTGGAACAGTTTGCACCCGATCTCGGAATCAGTACAGACCCTGCAAGAGATTATGAACTTGACAAGCGACAAGGTGTCTTGGAGAAGGTTGGAATTGATCTCGACGCAGATTCGTTTCTGCGGCAAATCTTAATTCCAGTGGAGAGCCAAGGGATTGCCATTGGGAAGAAGGGACGGTTCGATCTTGCCAGCACTCTCGGTAGCAGCAGGGTTTGGCACCATATTTCCGTCCACCCCAGCGACGATCTGCCCGAGACATTAAATGCGTCCACGCCCACATCTGCATGGACAGCAAGTGTTGTATCTCGCCAAATTCGTGAATGGCGACTTGCTGAATGGGCAAATCGCCGTCTCAAACAGTTTGACTTCACCGCCGACTTCGACGTAGACGAGTTTGTCAGCCGCTATGCTCGGCTAGGCTGCGCCGAAGGCAGAGACGGGGTAGAAAGTTGGTTGATGGAGCGAGGGTGGACGAACGGCGATGCCTTTGTCGGCCACCAGCGTATATGGATGAGAGAAAATGCATGGTGGGAAGCCGAGACGATGATTGATCTCAAAGCGGATGAGCCGCCGTCGCAGCACTCGTACAATTTCAGTAACAGCATGCTCGACCCCCACTATGTGAGCACACCAATGGCCGAATCGTCGAGCCTTCTCGGCGCCAGCCAAAATACTTTCCCTCAGCGACAGAGCGCAATGGCACCCAGCATCATGGCCAAGTCCATCGCGCCGAGTGTACCTGCTAACATGAACATGGCCGGTGACTATGGTCTGGGCAGCAAGGGCGATGACAAAAAGTGGGACAATGTGTACTACGATGGAGACGCTGAAGGGGGAGATCGCAAGCATCTTGAAAAGGACGAAGTCACTTTCGGGCGTCGTGCTTGGACTGCTTTTGTTTGGGCGCTTACCTTCTGGATACCATCATTTGTTCTGCGATACATTGGACGGATGAAGCGCCCCGATGTGCGGATGGCCTGGCGAGAAAAGCTTGTCCTGGTCCTTTTGATTCTCCTCTTCAACGGCATTGTTTGCTTCTATATCATTGCTTTCGGGGATCTCCTTTGCCCGGGCAAGGACAAGGTTTGGAATGAAAAGGAAGTTGGCTGGCATACGACAACCAACAATTTCTATGTCAGTATCCATGGGTATGTCTACGATATAAGCAAGTTTGCGAAAGTCACGCACGGCACCACAACCTCAGAAGCGACGCCTTCGGATATGAAAGAATTGGCGGGAGAGATATTAGACGCTTACTTCCCGCCTCCCTTGACTCGGATGTGCGGCAACTACGTTGATGATCTGTCAATCAGCCTGCAGAACAATGACACCGCTGCCACGAATGACCACCCACTCGCTGTGCATAAGTCCGGTCCTCGAAACCAACCCGATACGACTACCAAGATGCACAACATTACATGGTACGAACAAGACTTCTTACCGAAGATCAACGAGTACTATAAAGGAAAACTCGTCTGGTCGAAGGACACTGTCAAGAAGCAAGCGGAGGGTGCCAGCCAACGGAAATGGGTCATTGCTCACAGCAAAATCTACGATCTCACGGATTACTTCTACACCCTGGACCAGATGAACTCGGCAGATTCGTACGACTGGCTCCCTTCTGCCATCACGGACCTGGTTAAGAACAATCCTGGCTCAGATGTTTCGGATCAATGGCCGTTGGAATCGTCTCCTTTCCGCGAAGCCCAGTCCTGTCTGGATTACGTGTTCTACAAGGGGAATACGGACTTCCGCGATGGTCCGAGATGCACAGTCAACAACTGGATTCTGCTGGCGTTCACGATTCTTATTTGCGCAGTCGTTCTGGTCAAATTCCTTGCTGCTCTTCAGCTTGGCTCAAAGCGTCGTCCAGCGCCCCAGGACAAATTCGTGATCTGCATGGTTCCTGCCTATACCGAAGGCGAGGACTCCCTTCGGAAGGGTCTCGACTCGCTCACTGCTCTTCAGTACGACAACAAGAGGAAGCTGATATTTGTAATCTGTGACGGCATGATTGTCGGTGGTGGTAACGACCGGCCGACGCCAAAGATCGTCCTGGACATTCTCGGAGTCGATCCCAAGATCGACCCTCCCGCATTGCCCGTGAAGTCGATCGGTCAGGGCAACGAACAGCTGAACTATGGCAAAGTGTACTCTGGATTGTACGAATACGAAGGCAACGTTGTGCCCTACATCGTCGTTGTCAAGGTCGGCAAGGAGTCCGAGCAGAACAAATCGAAGCCCGGTAATAGGGGTAAACGAGACTCTCAGGTCCTACTTCTCAACTTCCTCAGCCGCGTACATCACCGTGCGCCAATGTCCCCTCTTGAACTGGAGGTTTTCCACCAGATCAATAATGTCATTGGTGTCGACCCGGAACTCTATGAGTACTGTCTAATGGTAGATGCGGATACAAGTGTACGCGAGGACTCCCTGAACCGCCTTGTGGCTGCATGCGCCAATGACGCTCGAATTGCTGGAATTTGCGGTGAGACAAGTCTTCAAAACGAGGAGCGAAGCTGGTGGACGATGATCCAGGTTTATGAGTACTTCATTTCCCATCATCTGGCCAAGGCTTTCGAGTCTTTGTTTGGCAGCGTTACGTGTCTTCCTGGATGGTAAGTCAAATTTCCTACTTGATACGAACAATACTGACTGCTGCAGTTTCTGTATGTATCGTCTGCGCACGGCAGATCGAGGTCGTCCATTGATCGTCTCGGAGAAGCTTATTGAGGAATATGCGGACAACAATGTCGATACGCTCCACAAGAAGAACTTGCTGTCTCTGGGTGAAGATCGATATCTCACCACACTAATGACCAAGCACTTCCCCACCATGTCATATAAATTCATTCCGGATGCCTACGCTAGCACGGCAGCGCCTGAGACGTGGTCAGTCCTGCTGTCGCAGCGACGTCGGTGGATCAACTCCACGGTTCACAACCTGGTTGAATTGGCGGCGTTGAAAGATCTTTGCGGATTCTGTTGTTTCAGTATGCGTTTCGTTGTTATGGTTGATCTCTTGGGAACAATCATCCTTCCAGCGACCTGTGTCTACCTCGGATACTTGATCTACCGCGTTGCCAGCAATACTGGACCCTTCCCGATGATTTCCATCATCATGCTGGCTGGTATCTACGGTCTTCAGGCGATCATCTTCATTCTCAAACGCCAGTGGCAACACATCGGATGGATGATCATCTATCTCTGTGCATACCCCATCTACAGTTTTGTCCTTCCGATGTATTCCTTCTGGAAGCAGGACGACTTCAGTTGGGGTAACACTCGTGTCGTCATTGAGGAGAAGGGCTCCAAGCGCATTGTCGCGGTGGACGACGACCAATTCGACCCTCGCAGTATCCCTCTCCAGCGCTGGGACGACTATGCCCTAGCTAACAATCTTCCCGGGCGCCGAGGTGACTACGCAGTTGCCGGTCAAGAAAAGGGCTTTTACAGCGGTCGCTACATGGATGACACTGTCATGGAAATGGACGACATGCACTCGCAATACTCCTCCGTCAAGCCCGCGTCGACTATCCTCACTGGCTTCCCCGGACAGGGCCGTCATTCGTACATGCCGCCGCAATCCCCAGCTCCGTTTGGCGGAAACATCCCCGGTAACCGCAACTCGCACATGTCCACCTTCTCCCGGTACACAGACCAGCCTCTCCAGGGTAGCAGTCATCTGCAAGCACGCCCCATGTCAATGGGCAATCTGAGCCAGTTGGAGCACAGTGGCATGGCCAGTCGGCAGAGTGTCGGGATGGTCGGGCAAAGCACTGACAACCTCCTTCGTCCCAACTCTCGCAGCCCTGTAGGGTTCGGCTCACGGCCTGCTAGCGCATTCGATTTCCGGGCCGGCATGAACGGTCCTGATGAGGGTGCCATCACTGAGGCTATCCGTAGCTGTCTCGCAGAAGTCGACCTCGACACTGTTACCAAGAAGCAGGGTAAGTATTGCTTGGTTCTCTATTTCTCGCTACAAATAAACTAACGTATAACAGTTCGCGCGTTCGTTGAGCAACGACTTCAGACGACGCTTGTTGGTGACAAGCGGGCGTTCCTCGACCGCCAAATTGATAACGAGTTGGCGAATATGTGATATTCCACCGTCTGGTATTCTGTGAAAATATGGATTTCGACTCAAGCAGGCAAGCAAGCACGGCATACATGGCACGGCGTTTGGGATTTTGTTCTATTCTACATGTATCTTGAACTGTATTTATCAGCGAGCAAATACCTCTACCTTTACAGGGCAATGTTAATACTCACACACCCTTATAATTTCATGTCATATGCAAGAGTCAGACGCAGCGTTCATTCATCATCTTCTCATTCTAATAGTCGTAAAACGTGTCTCGTAAGGTGCAATGCGATACCATAAACCAGAATAAACAGATCACCATAACCAAGAAAACCACCCCTTCCTCTCCGCGGCCGCCTGCTTCCCCTTCCCCTTCTTGTCTTTCCCATCGTCCGCTTCATGGTCTCTGTATATCTTCCCATTACCATTAATGCTCGTAATCACATCCCCATTCCCATCAACCCTTCTACCCTCCCCACCATCTTCATCCATACCAACATCTCCATCCCCATCCTCCCCCCTCCACTCTCCACCCCCCAAATCCAAATTCCCCTCATCAAGCTCTCGGTCTCGATCCTCGCTCTCCAAAGCCCCCACAACCTCCTCAATAACCAACAGATCCCGCTCAAGCAACTCCGCCCAATTCTGCACGTCGCCAATCTCCTTCAGCGCATTGCGCCCCTCATCCGCGACTTTCTCCCACGTGTCGTTCTGTTTGCGCAGGGCCTCGGTGTGTTTCGCCAGCTGCGCTTCTTGCTTTTGGAGCGCGGCGGAATTGGAATGTAGGTTTTGGGCGCGGTCGACGAGGGCGGAGGTGTAGTTTGCGCCGAGGCTGTGGAGGGAGGCGGTGAACGCTGATGTTGCGAGTTTTTGGGGGTCGTGCTCGTCGGGGAGGGTTGGTTGGTTTGGGTTTGAGGGTGATGTGGTGGTGGGTTCTGCGGGGGAGGGGTTGTGGTGGGTTGTCATTTTTGGTTTGTTGGCGAGGGGTTATTTGAAGGCTGGTTGTTGTATGGCAAATAGTATTATGGGGGTTGATGGTCGACAAGAATGAAAAGTGAGGAGTAGGATAGAGGAATCAGCGGTCTCTGGTTGTGGATGATGGCGTGAGGGGAAGAGAAGGCTAAAATGAGCTGTTACACGATGCGACATATTAATGGATGAACACATGACTGATGGGCTGGCTGGCTGGGTTAGCTAGCTGCATGAGGATGGGTCTATAGCCAACTCTAAATATGCACAGGATAGAGTAGACGATCTCAACCGTATATAGGGAGTATGTATGCAGATATTTGAAGGATCCATCTAAGCACCAAAAACATCATCATATATCCATACCATTACTCCTCCTTACTCCTCCATCTCCTCAGCCATATCCCTCGCATATTGCCTCCATACCATTACCTCCAGATAACTTCCTGCTAACTCCTCCTCATCAGCACCAGCACGATCATTCCCATACTCATACTCATCCCACTCCTCCCATTGTCCCAAACCAGCAAGATGGCGCATGGTTGGCCGCCCATGCGGACAGTTCCACGGCTTATCAATAGCCCCCATATCCCTGACCACGCGCTCCATCTGCTTATGCGTAAGTGTCTTTCCAATCATGATACTTGAGCGGCACGCGCGCATAGCGAACATCTTGCGAACTCTGCTGGGGCGGGGAATATCGACGCTTGTAGCCGTACTATGCGACGTGGAAGTCTCCGAAAGAATAGCGATAAGCTCCTCCAGATCCTTGAGATTGAAAGTGACTTCTTTAGATAACGGTAGTGACAGAAGACTGCATCGTCGACCAATGGGTTCATCGCCGGAGTCATCAACTTCAACAACAAAGCCGTTCTTTTCGAGAATGACCTGGTTTTCAATGACGATTTCCTCTTCAACAGCGGTGAGATCCAGTCGCTTTGGGTGGACGAGGCGCTGGTTCTGGACAGTGGTCGTGGATTGGAGGCGCTCAAAGTTGATTTTTTCATCGGAGGCATGCTGGTCGATTATGAAAAGCTCGTCTTTTTGTCCTTTGGATCGCGAGGCAAGGATGAAGCCTAGGTTGAATTGCCCGAGGATGCGCATGCGAGAGAAGTCCTCTTTGAAGATTGTTAAGGAGAGGCGTTCTTCTGGCGCTACTTGGGAGAGGCTGGGTTCTTCGGGTTCGTCTTGAGAGGATGTGATGTTGCATTTGCTGCGAGTGGTGGAGAGATGGGTTTCTTGCGTTTGGATTCTGGGGAAGGACCCGTTGAGTGTTGTTTCAAGGTGCACGGTTGAATCGCGATGGCTGACGCCTTTATTCAGTTTGTTTGCTCGTGTAGCACTGTTGGCCTGGGTGGCTTTCTCTGCTTCCTGGATGAGCCGCTGGACTTCGGCGTCTTCGTGTCTCTTTTTCTCCTCGTCGTTCATGTCCTCGTCAGGCGGCTCCGGCTCAGTATGAACGTGCTCATCGGGCTGGCTAGCACTATCGTCTGACGGTGCAAATGATTCAGCATCATCCGCCTCTTGCTCGACTGCGTTTTGTGTGCCTTCGATATCTTCCTCTTCCGCCTCTGCCTCACCTCCGCCGGATACGTCCTCGATTTCTTCATCCTCATCTTCTACCTCGTCATCCTCGTCATCCTCGATATGCTCCTGCTCCTCGTCATCGTGAGCAGACATCTGTGACCCCGGGGCCGCAAAATCCTGCATACGACCAAATATGCTAGGGCGAGATGGGGTATGGATTCGTCGTTTCCTCGCCGGAGAAGGGATTGTATCGCCCATGTCTCTCTTCCTAGGTACACCACTACCTACCATTGTCGTGACTGTCCTGTTGCCAATAGTGATGGTTGCCATCTCAGCCGGTACACGTCTCGGCCTCATGTGATCAAATGCGTTTTGTACGGCGTTAGGCATTTCAAAATCCGACGGAAGCTCATGGTCTTGGGATGATTGCGTGTAATTCTCAACGCCCTGGTTTTCTAATTCTGGCTGGGGTGGATTCTGGCTCTGGCTGACGAAAAGCTCGTCGTCGGAGTTGCTATCTTCCGTTGTATCTTGAGGAGTGCCTTGTACTGGCGCAGACAAGGTACGCGAAATAGATGAGACAGGTGGAGGTTGTTTGCTGGGTGTTTTGCTAGGTGATGGTTCATCTGGCCGGGAATCACGAGCCCTGATGTCGCCAGAAAGGCTCTTCATCCTATCTTGCGCATTCAATTGACTCGCCCTTTCTTCATCACCTTCCTCATCATCTGATGCCTCCTGCTGCGTGGCTCTAGCAGCCCTGGTAGTTTCCGGCAGCGACCGCTGTCTAGCGAGCGGCAACTTCCCCAGAACCTGGGACTGCGGCACAGTCTGATCCGCCGACTCAAATAGCGTCTGAAGATTCTCCTTCAGCGACTCAATAAGCGCTCCCGCATCGTGCAACAAAATCGTCCGCTTGTCCGGCGACACGTTGACATCATACGCATTCGTATCCATCTGGAAGTCGGCAAATACAAACGGCGACTGGGCCACGTTAAATGACTTATACGCCTCATTGAAAGCTTTAGCGATCTGCGGCAACGCACAAGGGCGCGAATTGACAAAAAACATCTGCCGATCGGGCGTCTGTCGTCCCTCTCCGAAAACAGGCCGCGAAATGTGTCCGCGCACCTGGATCCTGTTCATATCTCCGCCGCTGGCTCCAGCCATCCGCCTCGACGGCTCAAACTCAAGCTCTAGATCAAGTGGTATCAACGCAAGGAGTGTCTTCGCCCCGTAGACGTTCGCAATATTCTCCTTCGTCGTCTGGTTGCCGTTTGTCGTGAAGACAACCGCTGTCTTCTTGGCCTGCGTATTCTTGACAGCGAGCCGCACTCCTGTGCTAATGCAGGCGTAAGCATGCAGCAAATTCAAGACCTTTCCATACTCCCGCTTAATGTTCTTCTCTAGCTCGCGTCGTCGGACGGGCAGCTTCTTGAAGAGACCTTCAACGGAAGCCGTTGTACCTTTTTGCCCTGCGACTACTTGTGTCTTTTTCAGCTTCCCTGACTGTTCGAACTCAAGACGGGTCGCGCGCGGGGCTTGGCTAGCTTGGGCGGTGGTGATGCGGAACTCCGAGAGCGCGCATAGTGACGATAAGGCTTCGCCGCGGAAACCGAAGGTTTGGAGGCGGAGGAGGTCATCGTAAGAGGAGAGCTTGGATGTATAGTGTTTTAAGGCTGCAGGCGGCCTTGTTAGCTGCGTTTTCCAGGCGGATTGCACCGAGCTCCATACCCACGTTATCGTAGTTCTCAGGGGCGATCCCGCTGCCATTATCTTGGACTTCGATCAAATCGAGGCCGTTGTTTCGGAATCGAACCTCTATAGAGATAGATTTGTCAGATAATAAGATGATAGAAATTTGGCTGCTGCAGAAACTGACCGATTGATGTGGCGCCAGCATCTAGGCTGTTCTCGACAAGCTCCTTGATCACCGAGTTAAGATCAACTATGACTTGGCCGGATTGGATTTGGTGAACCTGCGGCGCAGAATATTGTTAGAAGACGAAAACATCTCAAGTAAAGGAATATATACCGAGCGGGCCTCGATGGCCTTGATGGTTGCCATTGTCCCATTGTGAGCGAGGTTGAGGAGCACAAAATCGGGAGTCAAGACGCGCAACGCGTTCGTGCGGAGATCAATTTAGATAAGATACGAGCCCCAAGCCGCTACTGCGTCCATGATGCCCGTTTTTACTACGCATTCTCTTCCTTACTGGCACTTTGGACTTGATAACAAAAGCAAAATCCTGGTGAGAAGTGCTTGGGCCCGCAGAGGAATAATATCTATATATTAGGCCTCAATCATGTCGTACAGGTCCACACAGAAATACAGCGTAAAATATATGCTAACAGACTGATATCTAAATTGAACGTTGAAAACAAAAAAGCGTATCGTATAGAGCATAACGGATATCAATAAAAATACGAACGCCAATAAAAGAAATAACAAACGCATAATTCTCAAATCAACGAAACAAAATCTAGTACATATCAAACCGGTCGGGGAGAAGGATCGGGGCGACCAGGGTCCACAGGTATATAGCGTAGCATACCCAGGCGCTGATAATCTTCACCCAACTAGCCCAGTAGGTCCGGCCTACTGGGGCAAAATCGTCAACAGATTCCGGGTCTAGGTTCTGTGTCAAGAGGGTTGCGACCCAGGTCGTGGCCAGGAAGAAAATGATGTGGAAAAGAGAGTAGTTGTACTGAGTAGATCCCTTCTCGTCATCTTTCACGTCGTATTCATCCTCATCATCGCTTTCGTCTAGAGCGCTGGCTGGGAGACTGCCGCTAGCGACTGCTGCGCGGAGAGCCTCAGCGCGCATCTCGCGGCGGATGGAGGGTTGCTGGGTGACAAGGCCATGCTCGTTGTCGTCAGCGCCAAGCTCGATATGGCCTTTGGAGCCCAGGGCAAAGCCTTGGGTGGCGGCTCGGGTGGTGGTGTAAGCGATGGTGGCCATAGTGACAATAGCACCGAGAACGATAGTGGCGGTCCGAGTGCCACGAGCGCGGATCAAGGGGTTGCATTGACGATCATCGGGTTCCATTGAGACAGCCGACAATGTCAGGTAAGTACAGTAAGCCGTCACCATGGCAGCTTGAGCCAATCCGGCACGTGGGTTGTTTTCCTGGACTGCAGGCTGCACCGAGATGAACGAAATTATCAAGAAAACAACCAAGTTGATCTGTTCCATTAGCTTTGAACACAAAAGGCGAGGGAGCAACATACCGATATAGCAGCCTGGTTCATGGAACATCCACTCTTGGCAAAAAAGACATACATCAAGATCGTCATCGCAATAGATGCAATGAACATGCCCAACGTTGAGCCAATAAGCAGCCCCCTCCACGTCCTCGAATCATTCTCTTCAATCTTCTGCAAGCACAGCTCCGCCCATGTGTGCGCCAGGTCGACAAGAAGAATGAGACCCAGGAGCAAGAAGAGCATAGCGCAGAAGAACGCAATATAGTGTCCATAGACGAAGAAGAACGATTCGGGAATGAAAAATGACATGACCACAAATAGCAACCAGAGCACAATCTTCGGGCCCCAGAAGCCATTCTGCAGAGCCGCTCGGTTGTCCTTCGACGACCTTACACCGAGCAAGAACACGGCTAGGACCAGATGGAACAGCCCAAGACCGAAGTTGATCCGATGAACCGCAACCCAGCCGTAGCATTCCTTCCCGTCACATTTTATCTCCATATAGTCCAGTGTGAGGTGTTGCAACTTCTTCAGCGCCCATGGTGTGAGCATAATCCACGAAACGATCGAGTTGATAAGAAGGATAAAGGCGTATGCGATTCTCGTGGCCATGCTAGGTAGCCGCCATCAGTAACCTAGCCATATAGTGCACACTGCGAAGAAAGCGCATACCTGTTATTGAACTTGCCACACGCGCTGCATACAGCCGAACATGTTGCAGCACCGCAACAGGAACCAACCGCCGTCAGTACCTGGAAGCCGGTCAGTGCCTGATAATGAAGGGCGGTTTCCTGAGACAACATACCGTTCCAGCGCTTGGAAGTGCCAACAGTGGCAGGGATAATAGAGCCCCCATCTCAATCTATATCGCGGTTCTTTTCCAGCTGGGAGAGTATAGGGTGACCGTAGTCGCTTGCCCGGTTGGAGATTCGGAAGCGTGATGCAACCGATTAGGCCGCCGCCTTCGTCAATGGTCATGTGCCGCGTTACGTAATGCCCAAAATCACGTGACCGTGACCCTCGGCTCGGCAGATCGGCCATTTCCCGAGATGTATTATCTGTTTTTGACTTTTGTTCCTGATGGCTAGGGCCATTATTATTATTGCTAATTTGTGAAACGGTAACTGATGACTGTTGCACAGCGCGCTTGACGTGGCACAACTTGATGCAAAGAGACTCAGATAACAGCTCTAGACTTCAGAGTTGTGATTACAGCGTCCATGGTAGCTTGGACCCATAGTTTTACTTCTACTAGACAGACAGCGGGTGACCAGTAGTATTGGCTCCCCAAAGGCAGCTGAGGTGTTTGCGTGACTGGCATCACCAGACTGCTGAGGCTGCTATGCGACTCTGGAGTATGGAGTATGGCGCTTGGCAGGGCTGGAAAGCTGGAACTCCCGAGCTTTACTCGGTGGGGCCTGCGACGTCGTTTCATCAGCGATAACGCGGCCTCGACTTATCTGCGGAGTGCGGACACTTTGCCTTTCCTTATCACCCCTTGGCTTCGTCAAGTCTGTCTGTCGCTCCCGTCTCTCCTCCATCAATTATCTAGATACTGGCTATCTATTTCATACCTATCAACCAATTACTGTTTTGTATCCTATGCCCAACCTTGTCCTTCACAACGTTGCTCGCTGATTGCGTGCTTGCTTCTCCAACATTCGTCCCGATAGCGGCTTTTCCATCCTCCCCACGCGAACACCTGCCAAACTGTCAACACAATCTTCGAACACCTTCTGGGAAACCTTAACCTCCGCATAACCGATCGCGACCCTCCCTATATGATAAAACTAGACGACGAAAGCTCATCGGGGTAGCGGTACCCCCACCGACGCAATGACGGATACGGCTCAGAAAACGAAACGGATTGTCTCCGTTATCGCGGCGACACTGGTGGCTCTTGCTTGTGGTACAAATGTATGTCTCTGTTCATGAATAGTCGAGGCGGAGGATACTGAACTGTGAACAGTATGCGTACTCAGCATGGGCGCCGCAATTCGCGCAGAAGATGAAGCTTTCATCCACCCAAAGCAACCTAATAGTAAGCGGATACCCCGCTTGTACAAGGTCGCATACTCACTATCATAGGGAGCTTCCGGTAACCTGGGAATGTATGCATGTGGTGTTCCAATGGGTCTTTTGACAGACAATCGCGGCCCTCGACTCACAACTCTAATTGGAGCTGTAGCTCTTGGGCTTGGATACTTTCCTCTTCATCTCGGTACGGCGGCAGGCCTCGACTTTGCTGACTGGGAAGAATATCTCACTAACGCATCTCAGCTTATAACGGCGGCGAAGGGTCTATGGGTGTTTTCTTCTTGTCAGTCTTTTCCTTCCTGACTGGTTTCGGGAGCTGCTCTGCCTTTGGTGCCTCGATCAAGACCGGTACGTTCATTAGACTGTATTGAAATAGAGCACAGCTAAAACCCAACAGCTGCTACGAACTTCCCTGAGCATCGTGGTACGGCGACAGCCTTTCCTCTTGCTGCGTTCGGGTTGAGCGCCTTTTTCTGGTCGACCACGTCGGCTGTTCTGTTCCACAGTGATACTGGCCGGTTCCTTCTTTTGCTGGCCCTTGGCACTTCTCTCATCAACCTTTGCTCAACCCCATTCATGCGACTCTTAGCCCCTGCTCCTGCTGCGCCATACATTTCGGTTTCTCGGCCGCGCTCTGTGGAATCTAGGCCGCTGCGCAGGCCCAAGTCCACCGAGCTACAGTCTGATTTTGGGGACTCAGATGAAGCAGGTATGCATACTTCTACTACTATCTTCTCTCAATCGGCGGTTCATTCCAGAACACACTCCGCCGCATCACAATCCCATATCAACGGCAACGGTCCGGACTTCGATGAGCTATCATCCCTGGTCTCCAAAACGCCATCCAGATCGTCCCAGGAGTTCTTCCATGAGCGTCCCGCGGAGGAGGATGACGATGGATTTTCTGACGTTACTCCGGAATCACATCACCCAGACATCAGAGGAATGGCAATGCTCCGTAAGGTCGAGTTCTGGCAGCTTTTCCTGACCATGGCGCTTCTTTCTGGCATCGGTTTGATGACTATCAAGTACGTTCCTCCTTCAACTTATTCAAGGCATCTGACTAACATCTTTCAGCAACATTGGCAATAGTGTAAGGGTGCTCCTTCTTGCTCTGTATGTGTATTGACTCTTTTTAGGCCAAATCGCTCTGGGAGCACTACGACGACAGTGCATCACCTAAGTTCATACAAGAACGACAAATCATGCACGTTTCGATACTTTCGTTTGGCAACTTTGCTGGCCGGCTTTCTAGCGGTTAGTATACCCACCTGTTGCCTAGTCAAACCCAAATTGACACTCATAGGCATTGGCTCCGATATCCTCGTCAAGAAATTCAACATGTCGCGGTTCTGGTGCCTCTTCATTTCCTCGGCGGTCTTTACTCTCACCCAACTCGCAGGCGCATCGATCTCCAACCCGCACCAACTGGCCATCGTCTCGGCCTTTACCGGCATTGCCTACGGTTTCCTCTTCGGCGTTTTCCCGTCACTAACTGCCCACACATTTGGCATCAATGGTCTCTCGCAGAATTTCGGCGTGATGACCATGGCACCCGTGTTGAGCGGTAACATATTCAACTTGTTCTACGGGGCCGTTTACGACCACCACTCCATCGTTGACCGCAACGGAGACCGAGACTGCCCTGACGGGCTCTCGTGCTACCAGTCCGCATACTACATGACCTTTTTCTCTGGAGTTGGTGGAATCATTGTATGCTTGTGGAGCATTTGGCGCGACGGACGGCATGCGCATGCCCATGCTAAGCTTGAGCATGATAGACTCGCTTGATTGAACATTTCGCGCAAAGCAACCCCTTGGAAATTCGATACGCAGAGGCAGAAGGTCCATCCTGCCAGCATCTCATACCGACCACGGCCCAAACGCCGTACTTTCCATTCGTTCGACACATATTTTCCGACATAGACTTGAGCTTTTCTTTACATACCCCTTTATTATATTTCTTCCAATGAACATTTCCTTCGCCTTCCACATCACATATTCACGTTGGCAAGCACAACATCAACGCACGAGCCACCTAGTTTACGATCCCCTTCCGAGGGGTAACACAGTCGGCAAAAAAGGTCGTCAAAAAGGACGTTCCATCACAGCTGTGATGAGATTAGATCTGATTCCGACACGGGGAATCGAACCCCGAGCTGGTCGGTGCTATTTTAAGCTGAGAGTGACTGATGTTAATGATGTTAAGTGGGGCTGTTGGATAGCTTCGTGATCACGTGAATTCTAGTGTAGGGCTGGCCCGCAACCATACATCCACTTGGCTTCCGTTCGAGTAATCTCTGCAGTATACAGTCGGCGATCAGGGCCTACTCAAAGTACTAAGAAACTAGGTATGCAACGAGACATTACTTCGTATACTCGACTACCAGGTGGGCCACAGTCCTGACATGGCGATTGTATACATTGATAGTATAACCGTAAGAAATCTATGTCATTGGTATTTGGGAACTCATTAACGTCATTATATAGGTACGTATCGTAGGCCGAAACCGTCGCATCAAAGAACAAGTAGTTCGTCACTGCACTTCCAGGATAGGACAGGCTGCGGGTAATCAACCATATCTCCCTCTTCGTCTTCACCAAACAAGTCCAAGCGACCCAGCGCTTCCAAAAATGCCGTTGCAGCATTGAGCAGCCCCTGCTCAGGGTAATGGTCTAGCTCCGCGGAAATCGGAGCCTCGATCTCAATCTCTTGCGGCGCGTGAGCTCCACGTCTGGTGAAATAATACTTGCCCTGATGTCGTGACCAGCTTTCATTGAGGTAGGTTTCAAGTTCGCGAGTTGCAATGGCTGAAAGATCGCTAGTGACAAAGCTAGAAACACCCGGGGGCGTGGCGAAGTTGAGAGCTGTCTGTGCAGTCTGTTGAGGTAGGGTTCGGAGTTGGGAGGCTATGAACATGGCGAGTATCTGGAAGGCGCGGATCTGGGCCATAACTTGTTTGGTTGAATTCGTGTCTGTGGCAATACGGTCTAGGTAGTCGATGACCGGGAGGGTGGATGTTATCATTTCAAGGAAAGCGGTGGTGGTTATCAGCACGGTGGGTTGATTGAGCATATCGGTGTCGGTCATTATGCGGCGGAGAGCTTTGTACGAAGACTCCAAGGTTGCACTAGCGCTGTTCAAGATGGATGAGACGCAGTCTGGATCTGTGGCGTCCATATTGACAAGCAGCCCATTGAACACTCGAGCGATAGTCTTGATGATTGGGCGGCTCAGGATCCATGCGGCTCCATTGCTGAAGGCCGTTGCAAGGTACGCAGGGAAGACACCTTGCAAAAGAGTGGCCCGCAGAGTAGGCTGGTCCGGGCTTCCAGTCTCATATGCATTTTCCATGGATTTACTCAACTGGTCGACGAGGTACACCTGCTCGCCGTCAATGGCGGCACGTTCCGAAACACCTTGGACAAATACAATGAGTGCTTTGGTGACTTTGGCGGAGGATAGCTTGGGTTCGTAGCTCTTCAGCCTGGCAACGATGTAAAGTGGATCATTGGATGGCAGGGGAAATGTAGCTGTATCTGTGAAGAACGGGTCAATGGGGCAGATATCCCTTGTGTGTTGCTGCAGGAAGCCGACTATTCTTTGGACAAAAGCGACGTAAGCTCCTTTGACCTCCGTTTCGCCATTACCCAGCTCCTGGTAATTGGACTTCATGGACGACATCATTTTCTGGATAATCTCCCTATAATCTTGCCGCGTGGTGGAGAGCTCTCGAGATTTTGCATCGTCGAGGTCTTGGACGTGAACGCGCATATTCGACAAAAGAGACGATATTAGTGACAGCCGGCGCTCGCTAAGTTCTTTTATCGTTATCGAGAATCTTTCTCCTTTACGATCTCGAGAGAATGGAAGATTTCTCAGCAAGGGATCCTCTGCGCTCCGGTTCAATATGGCCTCTGTGAAGCAGTGTTGAAACTTCAGCATCGATACGCGTTCCACCAAACTTGACAGCCATATTCCAAAAGCCTGCACTTTACATTCTGATAAGACATCACCGTCCTTCTCGATACACTGGGCGAGAAACTGCGGTGTAAACTTCCTCGTCTGGGTTGTCCAGCGAAGCGCCACCCAAGAGTCAGCTTCGTACGGACTGATATAGCTGTCCCAGCGCCGCAATCTATGCTTCACAAGGACATGTGCAATATAAGTCCAGCAGTCCACGACACCTTCAAGGATCGAATCGTCGGGACAACGATCGTCACCGAAACAGTTCGAAACCAGACGTGATACCGCAGGGTGAAATACGTTTTGCACATGCTCTACCCCAGGGCTTATTGGCGAAGGCTCATATCCGTACACAGCCTCGATGTCAGCCCAGTCCCCATAGTCTTGACTGTCCTCATCCGCTGAGATTGAGGGGTTCCCCACGCTCACAGTCGATGAACTTGAAAGCGAGCTGCACTTTTGAAGGTAGATGATAATGACTTGCAGCCCCTCGAACACAGTGGCATTCAAGCGAACAGTCCGGCTATCGAAAAGATCCAGTATTGACTTGATAGGTGTCTGGGAAACAATCTTCTGGGCATGCTCTAATGAAGGAGCGGACTTGATCACGCTCTGGAGACCATGTAAAGCGGTCTTCAAAAGAGACTCAATCTGCCGCTGGTTTTGGACAACCGTGCGATCGATCAGCTCTTGCGAAAACCGCTTGCTGTCGTCATTTTGCGCCTCAATCTCTTTTCGAGCCAGGCTGTGCTGCTTCAAGAACTCGGTGACAAAGTAGCCATGCCATTCAGCGAAGGGTTCCAATCCAGATATATCCTCCTTTGTGGACAGCTTGAATCGGGCAAGCCGTGTCCATGTTCGCAGGCTAATTTTGCAAGTCTCGCGGTGGGAAGTAGCAGGATGGATGAGTTCTTTAATAGTTCCCAGCCGAGGGCGGCATCCATCAGGAACCGACGAGTACAAGGTGCAAAGAAGATCGTGATGGTTTCTCAGGGCATCCAAGTCTGATCGATGAACAGGCTGTTCTTTGGGATAATCCCGCCCATGGTTTGGTAACAGTCGCCAAGTATAGTTCCGGATCTTCTTCGTATCGTGCGCTTTTGTGAGGAACCGGAGCCCGCTTGCAAGTATCTTTAGTAGAATATGAAAGCACGGATCACCTGGCAAGACCTGGAAGGAAGGATTGCCATCAAGCTCGTCCAGGAAGGCGGGCGACTTGTGGTTCTCTTCCGAATCCAGATTATGCAGAGTCCGTTTGGCGAAGAAGTCATATAGAGTGTCGAGAATTACCTTGCAATCGCGCCAGCCCCAGTCATTGATGAGAATGAAACACCTGTGGAACAGGACCCGGCAGTAACTATAGTAAGAGACAGGCCGGGATCCAGAGCTCGCCTCGTCGCTCTCGAAAGCTGGACGCAGTAGCTGCTTCACAGCTACCCAGTTCTCATTGCCCCCCTGGAAGCGGGACCCAACGCGGGAGATCCCAAGAGCATCAATCTCCTGCAGAGGAAGAGTTGTAAAAACCTGTTGCCAGCCGCTTTCTAGGCTCTCGATGTCTTTCTCAGTGCTTTTGGGGTCCATCAATGAGCAAGCACTTGCAACATAATCCTCCAGGCAGCCTCTAAATCTGTCAGCGCTAGACAATACGTGCCGAACAATGACGTAGGCCTCGACAGTCGGATGATCATTCTTGATTCCCTCTTCCTGTAGTTTCCGCTGCTTAATCACAGAGAGGAACCTGCGAAGACATGCTTGCCCAGTCTGGCTTGATATAAGGGTGATAACTTGTCTTGAGGCGGACTTTGTCAGGTTAAGTACCTCAATCTGGATAGACTGATTCACAAGACTATGGCTGGCAATCTGACAAACTTGGTTTGCGAACACGACGTTGTGCGAACCGATCTTCATTAGCTGCTCTGTATCGTACTCAGTGGCGGAAATCATAATTGACAATTCTTCCATGAGTTTTGTGAGCAAGCCATTCGCCCTTGTCACGAAGCCGGCTCTATCGACTTGGTCCACGAATGACAAAGTTTCAGACACATATTTGATCACAGCTCTGTATGTATCTTGCCCAGCAGGTATGCTCGACAAAGTGTTTGCAGAATCTTCACCAGGCTTGCTGGCTCCCGCGGACTCGAGGATCTTGTCGAATGCGATGCCAAGCTGGGAAGAGACCGAGTCATCCCAGGCGCCCCATCGCATACGCTCGTCACCAAGTTGTAATTGAAGGAAGCCGCTGCCCTTGTCAAGGTCTCGTCTGGAAACATCGAGGGATCGAGAGAACTCTCCGCTTCCAATGAGAGTGGACTCGTGGAAAAATGTGCCAGCTTGTAGAGGACTGACATCGAAATCGACGGAATATGCTGTTCGGAAGCGATTCAATTGCCCAACGCTCCTGCTGTGAGGCAATCTTTCCGTGCTTTGAGTAGGAGTTTCCGCGGTTTCCACTTCTGGAGAGAAAAAGTCTTCGATATGCGTAAGATCAACGCGTCTCGGTTGTCGTTTCTTCACTTGACGAGGTCGTGATGAGCCAGCAACCGGAGGGTTCGGTTTGTCGATTTCATTTATCGCTGGAGGGGCAATCTCGGGAGGAGGGTGACCCTGTGTGCGACTCGAGAAGTCCGAATGCCTTTCTTTCCCAGAAAGATATCGGTTCAAAGGCAATCTATCATCGCGAGCCAACAAGGCAAGCGACCTCTGCAGCGACGAAGGCGGCCTTGCAATGATGCGATGACTTTCGGTTTCCGGCACCGCAGGGCGTAGATTGTTCCTGCTCAAAGACGATATAGCGAGGTTTCGTTGGATGATCCAGGCATTACCCTGCCGTCGCTGTATAGGTCTGGTCGCAGCACCATGAGCGTTTGATCGAGGGTCCGGAGGCGCATTTATCGTCGGGACATTCTCTTCCACAGTGTTGTCATTTTCTAGAAGGGTCATTCGTTGGCTGTCAGTGGAGGTGGCATTTGATGTGAAAACGTTCTCCGTCGCAGCGCTGATGTTCCCCCTTGGAGCAGCTTGTCGAGTTCCACTCTCATTGCGCTCCATCGTCCTTTTAGCGTTCAGCCCGTTGAAGACCTGTCTTGCGTTGGTAGACAGATCTCTCAAGGGCTGCCTTCGAGGGGTTTGACTCGGCACCCTGGGCAAGGTCGTCTGTCGCATTCGCCCTGAACGCCATTCGCGCAACGAGGCATTGGCATCTTCCGTATCGAACCTAGAGTTTAGCCTGATTACCTTGCGAGACGGACTACGTCTCCCCTTATCTTGGCGAGAACGTGCTTTTCTGGCGGCAATCCTCAAAAATTGCGGCTGCTCTTGTCGTGACTTTGATGCAACGTCCGGAGCATCCAGGATACCCAGTCTAGGAAGGCTCTGGGACGGCTTTTTCTTCCTATGCCCTCTATAGATAGCGTCCGTGAGCCTTGCCTGTCGTTTTAGGCGTGGCTTCTTCGATTCACCACTAGGCCGCATTCCATCAGCCTCCGGCCTGCTGCGCTTTTTGACACGCTTTCGACCTGCAGAAGTATGGTTGCGGGACGCCGTTGGAAACATATAGTCAATCTGATTATCTTCAGGTATGTCACCATCGGATAAAGGTTCTTGATGAAGAGCCGAGTCTTCAAGCCCAAACCATCTGGCTAGGTCCTGTTCGGGATTTCTTATGCTGTCAGTGTCATCGGACATGTCGCCCTCCTGGTCACTCTCCTCTGCAAGGTGTCTCAAAGACGACAGTCCATCCCTTGCACTGGACGGTACCGAGAAGGTGGGCTTTTTCGTGATCTTCCTCGCGACACCTTTGGCAGCTTCTGTCTCGAGTCTTCTCGTCCTATCATTCTGCCGCTGCGTGGCACCTGGAACTCCCTTCTGCTTTTGCTGGTCCAGTCGTAGCCATGAGGCCGGGAGAACGCCTTTAATTCTTCTCTGGTATCTCCTCACAATCGCCTCCTGTGCATCTTCCGCTACCTCTTCCTCTTCCGCGCCGCCCAGATCAGAGTCACTAGGCGATGCTGATCTAACGGTCCGGGCGTCGTCTGATTCATGACCGAGTCTATTTTCATCTTCGTCTATGACGATAGTTTCATTGATATTTTCGGTCCGTTCCATTGCTGCCCTGGGCGTATTGACAGGCGACGGCGAATCAAGGGGAACTCGAGGCCCTATACTTTTCTGCACAGGTGGGGAGGAGACACTGGCCGAGAGAGGAGGGCTGGGAACATCGAAGATTGAGGAAGCATCGGGTATTGAGGATGATACGTTATCAATAACAACCTGCGGCGGAGCTGGGCGAGGGACTGGACGGAGCCTCTGCCGTTGGCGTTCATCTCCAGGTCCTAATACCCTGCGCCTTTTCGGCGAGCGCGGCCCAGCATGATTTGCGTAGTCTTTCCGTTGCTGACGAGCCTGTCTGTCGCCATTTTCAGGCATGCCGTCTATCGGCGCTAGTCCGAATAGTTCTCGAGTATCTAGAGGAGACGACGGAATATACTGAAGCCCTGTCATTTGCGAGTCTGAAGTTGAGCCCGCATCGTCCCTCAGGTCTTGTCCCTGACTCTCATCGGCTGCAGCGCGAGGGGGTGATGAGAACCGCGGAATGGGCACGGGTTTGAGGCCCCTGGCTTTCATAAGCGTTCGGTATTTGGCATCTTCAAGAACATAGGGGTGGAGTTGAATGGGGTTGCGCTGTCGAAACGCTCTCCTTGACGGCTCCAACTGTTGTAAATCTTCAGATATTTCGAGAGGGGGCAACCGTTCTTCAAGAGTCGGGTTTGACTCTTCAATTCTCTGTTGCTGCTCGGGCTGCTCAAACTCGTCCAGTATCGAGGAGCGAGGGGACGATAATGGGGACGACAAAGGAGAGCTTTCCGTTTCCCTTTGCACATTCTCGTCTTGCGGGCGCGGCTGGCTGGCCTCTTGAGCCTTTGGTGTAGGTATACTCGCTGGGGAGGTCTGTCTACGCCAGGGATGGCGGTCAAGCTGCAATTGATCCTGAGAAGAGCTGGGAATATCCCAGAAATCCCGTTGCTGCTTAGGCCGCGGCGTCGACGACGGATCATTTTCGGTAACCGTAGGCAAGTCGGTTGGTGTCCGAGATCTTGAAGATTCCCGATGTATAGTGCCCTTATCTTTCACCACAGTACCTTCCCGACCCTGTCCCACCTCATCGTCCGGTGTCCGCGGCCGTTCGTGCGGCAAAGGTAAGGGTAGCAGATCGACCTCGTCGTCATCATCTGGTGCAAGCATATCTCCATTGGCAACAACAGCATCTGGTTCTTCCTCCATGTCCTCATAGTTATTATCGCGAGCGTCGTCTCTTCGTTGGCTGTTCACGGTATCTTTCTCATGCCCCTCATGTTCAGCCAATTCAACAGAGTCCTCCTTCTGCAAGGCGCTAACAACAATAGCGACATTACTGTCACGAGTCGTAGCGGTGTCCAGGGTCACCTCCTTCTCCTCGCTGTCGAATCCATCCTCGTCGTCCGAATCCGGTACAAACCCTCGTTCCCGCCATGACTCCATTTGTTCCCTCGGACGCGACAGTCCATGTCTCTAAAAGTCCATACTTCGAAAATTGCTTTTTCTCGGAATCGGCGATGGTCGGAGGCGAGCTGAGGTTCGCAGACAGTATAAAGGTAACGGTTCAATCGACGTCGTTGGTGGGCGTAGATGTGTTGATAAAACGGCTGTCCAGACGCGTCGGATCAATGTGGAGAGACCGAGAGACGCGCCGGCAATTTAGTCCTCTGGCGCCCGGGCGCCGCCCATTTGGTGAACCTCCGGGCTACGCTCCGCTAGCTCCGCCGCCAGCGTAAGGGTAGGCCATAATACTCCCGGCGACCAACCTAAACAATTCCCGCATTTCGCAAGCACTTTACCAAAGCCCTCGAAACAAAGTACTTCATCATGAGTCGAGGTTTCCTTCCCGTGGTCCTCGCGATCGCAATGGGCGTCGGAACAGGCACGTCACATACATCCCCACTGCACCTCGGACCACCCGGAGAAGCAGAACAGGACTGACATCTTCTCTCCGCGCGCCTGCAGGGTACTACACGTTCCAGCCTATGTTGAAGGACCTCCACCACAATAAGGGCACGATCCCTGGGCCTCCGGTCGGGTATGTTGGCCACTGCTAGACCGAATGCGCAATCTCCGTGCTGACGAGGAGCGAGAAGAAGCCAGAGTCTTCCGACGACACAGCAGGCGCCGGGGCTACAATCGCAACAGGAACAGCAGCAGCCTGCCTCTACGCCTACGTCTACGTCTACGACTACGACTACGACTACGTCTGCGTCTGCGTCCGCGCCTACGTCTACGGCGGTGCCTTCACCTACGTCTAGTTCGAAAGAAAATGTCAATGGGAAATGAATGTTCGGGTTCGACGGAGCTCAGATACCTCTGGGTTGAGGTGGGCTCTTCAGAATTGAAGAACTTAGCCGGGATTAGAGCCACTTTAGCTCACGAACGGCGTTGACTGCTACGCTCTTGGGACATTGAGGGTTCCCGAAGATCTCGGAAATGCTGCGCCCGAGCGCTGCGTAGCATGCTTGCGAGGCTTGATGGTGCTCATCAAGCCCGCCCACATGTGGCAAGCCTGGACTAAGGTTCCCAAGGGTTCGTAGACGGGCTAGAGCATAACTGCGACGCAGAGTAGCATATATAACGTTTTAATGCACATAGATAATGTATTATACAATTGGGACAGACAAGTCCTTGAGATTAATGATTTCTTGATAACCGGCCCAGCCAAACTCCTTTTCCAAGTGCAAATGACCGAAAGACCTACCCACTATAGCCGCATACCAATACCAATACGCCGAAGACGAAGCCGAATCCTGAGTGTGCCCATGATTTCGCACCAGTCACTCGTTATAGTTCCTCAACGAGCTTCCTTGCGGTTCCTCCAAAGATACGCCCTGGGGAAATTCCAATCCACTCCTCTGGCACAGCGACTCGGCTGCCTTCGCGGCCACTGAGCCATCTAACCATCGTCGGGTCCACGGGCTCGAATTCCGCCGCTGCTTCCTGGTCTGCAGCAGCGTTCTCGGCCGCCTCGGCAGCAGGAATTCGGCCGCGTCGCTTTGGCGCCTGTTTTCGTAGAAGTCGGTTGATCGTGTCCATCTGTCGGAGTTTAGCGTAATTGCGAGATAGTAGGGGGCAGCTTCCACAATAGATACCTTTTCTTCCTCGTTGCGCTTCTCGCTCAGGTTCTTCCGGCGACGGGCCATTTCAGCACGGCGCATTGCTCGTTCTTCGGCCGTCAGGTGCTTCTTGATTTGCGGCTCTGTAGCAGGTCAGATCGGTAACTCTATTCTTCAAGAAGATAAACGTACCCATCGGCAATTGCAAGAAGTCGTTTCCTAGAGAGCCTCGCTGTCTCTTGGTCAATTTGCTCATATCCGGCAGTTCACCGTCACTGTCCAGCTCTTCGTCCTCTTCGTCCTCGTCCGGCTCGCCCCCCTCATCCATGTTAAGTGTTACTCCCTCCTCTTGATCGTCAGGCTCGCCGTCGGCATCCGACTCTGGCTCAGATAGCTCCTCTTCATCATCCTCCTCTTCGTCTTCGTCGAGCTCCATCTCTTTTGTTTCCACGGGCTTCGCCTGCTTCCCCCTGGGCGCAGATGTTACAGCAGCCTTTGCCCTTCTTGACACTGGCGGCTGAGGAGGAGTGTCGTCCATGTCCACATCACCGTCTGCATCAGCGTCTTCATCTTCTTCATCCTCACCAGGCGCATCCTCGTCATCAACCTCGTCTTCTTCCTGGTCTTCCAGGTCTTCATCCTCTTCCTCTTCGTCGCTGGTGTTTACCTCAACGAACGTCTTCTTTGATCTACTAGCGCGCTTGCCGGTCACAATAGGATTTTCAGTGAACACATTATGCGAGCGCCTCGTCGCAGCACCCCGCGAGCTACCACTAGTGGCTTCGCGAAGCTTGTTTGATGGCATCCTCACGGTAAGACGAATTGATTTTCGAGTGCCCTCCGAAGTCTCTGAAGGAGCCCGCACCACTGTCACAGATGGCAGCTGCTGGGCAGAGCGAGATTGTCGAGTTGTTCTGGTACTTGTGTTAGACTCTATGACTGGAGGGTCTTCTCGCCCAGGGCGAGAACGAAGTGAACGTCGCAAAGACATGGTAAGCAGCGTGTATTTTTGTGTCGCTCAAGATGGAGGAGGGTGTTATGTGGAGGAAGTGGGATGTGAACACCAACAGCAAACGATATTTGGGGGCACAAACAAAGACTGTGTGGAGGGGTCTGAGAAGCAAATTGGTAAATCGGGGTAGATGAAGACGGAAAGTTCGTGGGCAGGGATAAGCCTCCAGTTATATTGCCGCTATTGGACAACACCCGGAGGTCTCAAGTGAGGTGAATAGTAAATACGCATGCACCTCCGCGATCCAAGACCGCCCGCCAGTTCTTCATTGGGGGGTCGAGGATGCAATCCGGAAAGCCACAGGGCATCAACCCCTATCTATCGAAACGTTCATGCGCCACTGTGACGCTTGAGACCAACATCGACGATGGAGCCAATGGGAGCATTCTAGCCCAGACGCAGCTCCAGATGGTGAGAGCCGGACAGAGCGTTGCGTTGCTGCAGTCACCAGGATGGTGCGATTGGGTTACTGCCAGGACCGGGCAAATCGGGAGCCACGACCGTTTGGACGGACCCGAGAAGGAGGAAAACAGCAGTGTTTCTCGGATTAAATAATCCCACGGGAAATGAAATGGGCAAGGTTCCACGATGTCTATAGCAAAACAATACGGGGGAGAAAACAGAGTCTTAAGTACTTACGCAGGAAGAGGCGCTGATTGCTGATCGGGTGACAGCGATGTCTCAGCAGGATTTCCGGCCTAGGTTCGGGGAACGCAGTGTGACTCGAGAGGCTCCGTGCCACCAGCGATCGATACACCAGAAAACAAATTCTTTTATCCAGATCCAAGAGGTTGGCTGCGCTACTTAAGATGTACTTTGGTCTTGGTCGGATGGCGATAAGCCCGCGTTCTGCCGGGCGGTGTACTGTGAGTCTCCATGATCGGCTGGGCTGGTATAGATCCTGAAGTGGTAGCTCATCTCCACTTCAAATAGTCCCAGCTTATAATCTTCTCATCTGGTGCCTCCTTTGCATCTATCCAAGTTCGTACTCTGGCTTTGATGTGGCCACCAAAAGCCCACGATACGGAGTGTAGAAGAGAGCAACCAGCCAAATCCCGTGATGAATTAGTAAGCCATGACTTCTACATCCCACCAATCACGGTAATCATCTCGTCTGTGGCGCAAGCCGCGCAACTGGTCCCTCCTGAGTCTGATTGTTAGTAGTTGACATGGATGGGATAAATACTTGCATTTGCATCTTACTATGTAGGAACTTATCGCAGGTGATCCCAGCAAACTTTTTCTGAAGTCTCGCCGAGCGTTTTGCCTCCACGCTGGCCAAAGCTTCGTTGCGGACGGTACCGGTAGGCTTGTGTAACCTCGATTCCAGGCGCGAACCTGTAAGCCTTAAGGTAGGTTTGGAAGGTCTATGCAACAACCACTCTAAATGGCTAAATGTCTGGCCGTATACGATGATCACTCTTTGATTCGAGTTCGATATAGTACTGATGTACTACGGGCCGGGGCTGCATAACCATTTTCTCCTTCAGTTCAGGTGTAGTATCCGGCGACGTCGATAAACCGAGAATTCAAGTCGCTTATGCATTTGATAAGCTTCTATCCCCCAGAATAAAACCAGCTGTGGAGGGTGCTTAGTGCGTCTCATTTATCAGGCTTAGAAGACGGATGCGGTTGGGACTCTAATATCATGCGACACACTGGCCTTTTTTGCGTTGGTAGTAGGAGCTGGACGAGGTCAGCATAAAGACGACGCGGACATCTGCATCACTAAGGTATGATATGCCTTGGACCTCGACAAGAAAGGTATAAATGTGGACGTCTAAGTATGTTTCCCCTTCTGTGCTGTCTTTCTTCAAGCTTGTCTTATACTTTCAAAGGTACTCGTTGGAAATTATATATTTCCCGACAGCAATGGCAATTGGCAAGGAACCAGCAAAATTAACTACACATCACAAGCAACTGAAAACTATTAATTTCCCATATTCATGGTGCACCGACTGATCTACAAGCTGCTATCCCGTCTACTTGACATTATACGCTACTTCGATATGCTCCCGAGCAAATTGACCCCGGTACAGCCGGATGGTATAGTACCACTGGAACAGAATGCACAAACTAGACAGCCGGCACATCAGTATATCACTTAAGACGGGGAAGTACACACAGGAAGGGCTATGGCATACAACACCGCAGCACCAAACGCCCCGCAAGCCATTGTGATATTCTGCAATCCATCTACAACAACCAGCCCGAGTTCCACGACCGGCGCACGCTTTTTAGAGTCCATCACGGCATAGCGACCATCATCACTGGCAAAGATGAACATGATGGGGAATGCGGCGCCCCAAGCAAGCGTGGACACGACCAGTGTAATTGTACCCAATTTGGATGGCCGTGCATCCGTCGGTGATACCGGCTTCGATCCCGCGAAGAAGGAGAGGAAGACCTGGAGAGATGCCTGCCGTGCCTTAGCACTCTGATATGTTTTATGGGGTGACAATAGCGTGGTGAAATATAGGTACGTACCACCGCAACGTTGTAGATAGCTGAAGAGCGCAGCGGGCTAGCAGGAGCCTTTGCGACTACCGCAGCAGCGAGTCCGAGAACTAGGATAGAAAGAATCCATATTCCAGTCGCACAGGAGGATCGTCTCTCATGGTAATGGATGACGGGGTTCCCGCGCTTGTCTCCCTCGGGTGCATTGGACGGTGGCATCGAGTGCTTTCACGCAGTATATAAGCCTAATATTTGGTATATGGTAGGTTGTGGTCAACCAAAGCTGAACGGATTGTGCACCGCAGGGAACGCAAGGCTTCTATATATTACGTTGATTGGCCAATCTAACCTAGTCTCGTGGTTGATCAAGCTAGAGCTCGTATTCGGGGCCCGGGCCCTGTCGTTGATCAGAAACATGTTCAGTTGAAGGCTGCTTCTGCCTTGCGAAGCTCCGGCTCTCAAAGCATAGCCACCACACTCCCTTGTTTACTCGACTTATTTCATTGTCCATTTGATTCCGATGTTACGGTTTTCTATCAATGGGTGATACTTGTGACACCCGTGCCGACCAGTAGAAGGCAACATCTGCCGTGTTGAGAATGCAGAGAGTGCCGAAGCGCATGTTTTCCTGCATATTAAGAGGCCACTGGCCATGGCCATGTAAGTACGGAGTATACATAGTTTCCATGGACGTAGGGCTTTATTACCGTAACGATGAACCTGGGTGGGGCTAGGCCGCTAGGTAGGTCTTAATGCCCAGATACAGCCTATGGTAGGGCTGATATGGCGTTGTTAGATGCTGAACGCATACAAACTCCCAGACGCGATTTGAGGCTCTTTAGAAGTCTACCGCACCGAAATATTAATAAGGAATACAAAAGCGCATCCATTGCTTTGTTTTGTGGTCACGGGACGGCCATTGTTGGTGCCGCAACTGGGCGATTGGCTGGGGCCCCAGAGGCCGATGCTGAGCCGAGGTTGAGTGTTGAGTGCTCATCTAGCCTCACATGAACCTTGACCTTATTGGAACCCGGCCGTCGCTTCTCCAACTGGCACGACTGGAAAGTTACCTACCTGCCATCCGTCCGCTCATTCATCTCGGCTACCGACGTATCCTCGTAATGTCTGACTCCGATTCGAGACCTTCTATTCCATCATGGCAACGACAACACCCTGCTTCCTCGCCGCCGACCTCCGATGGCAACGCTACCGATAATGACGACCGTTCAACACTGCTAGAGCAAGCGTCGAACTTCCTTCAAGATGACTCAATCCGAGACGCTCCTACAGATCAAAAGATTACATTCCTGGAGTCCAAGGGTCTGACAGCTACCGAGATTGACAGCCTACTGGGTGTGTCGCGGAACCCCGAGGCCAACAGCAGCGATAGCTCAGCCGAGGAAAACAAGAGCGCGCCTACTCCGAGCACAGGAGCAGACAGCAAAGCTTCCCTAGAACAAGACGTTACAGCAAATACCCCATCCTCAGACACAAGGCCCGCCGACTCTGCGCCCCGCGACGTCCCTCCGATTATCACCTACCCCGAATTTCTCCTCCACCAGTCTAAACCCCCGCCTCTGGTCACTCTTCGCAGCGTCCTCTATACCCTCTACGGCGCAGCTGGTCTTAGTGCTGCTGCATATGGCGCAAGTGAATACCTCGTGAAGCCAATGATTTCAGCCCTCACAGACGCCCGTCTCGATCTTGCCCATACAACGGAGGAGAACCTCAAGAAACTCAACGAAAAACTTGAGCAGAACGTCTCCCAACTCCCACCTAGTCTAACCGCAAAACTCACCACATCTACCGGTCACTCCGAAGAAGACATTGAATCCATAACCTCCGATCCCACCGAGCTCTTCCACCGCGACATCGGCACCCAAACATCCCACGACCTCATCCAAACCCCATCCACCACATCCACATCGACTGTCGCAGAAACCACATCAAATGACCCAACTGTAGCCGTGACAACACATCAAAAACGCCTCGAGACAATCGGCGCCCACCTCCGCGAGCTCGAAGACGCACAGTCGCAGTCGAGTACTCTCCACGATACAACTCGCAGCCGCATCAGCGATCTCCATCACTACCTAGACAGACTTATGTACGCCAAAAACTCGCACCTTTACTCCAGTTTGAGTTACGGCGGCTACAGCACGCCTGGAATTGACACCGGCGCTGCGGCAACGGGCGTCGGGAAGGCCGAGGAAGACGCCATTGCAGGCTTTAGGGCTGAGATCCGTGGTGTCAAGGGGGCTTTGCTTAGTGCGAGGAACTTTCCTTCAGGGAGGAGTGCCGGCTTGAGGTCTTCGTATGTGCGGTGATGTTTTATTTGCGCATGGTTATGGTTATGGATGATATAATGCTTGCTGTTGTGTCTTGCTTTTCTTATACTCCCATATATATTATCGCTAGCGTTCTTTGTATGGGTTGGACTTCGTTGCGAGTATGGCATAGACAAATGACATCCATGTACACCGATTCGATGCTGCCTGTTGTTATGTTCGGCTATGATAAAGAAAGCCGGAATGAGGCGCTTGGCCCTTGTACTTTGATTGTACTTTGACTAGGCCGAATCGAACCACGCAACTGCTTACACCCATGCCTACGAGTCTGCTACGGAGACGAGATGAAAAACGAAACATTAATATAACATTGACAGTTGAAGTAAACATGAAAGAAACTAAAATTCCCGGACAATCATCCCACTGGTCGCGGGCTCCCTTTGTACACGGGTATTTGCCAGTGGTATACTCTACTAATCTATGGGGTCGCTTTACTCATGCTAATAAGACGCTTCACACCGACCTAACGACAAATAATTAGCAAAAGAAGGTACGTGATTGATGGGATATGTAGACTTACCATCCAGTTGCCGCATTCATCGTTACGGTTTGTCATGATATCAATGTGGATCGTGCGAGCGGTCTCGTAGTCACGCGCTTGAATGGCGCGGGCGAGCTGCACCATGTCCTGGACGGTGTTGGGCTTGAGAAGGTCTTCATTGTTGAGATGGTCGAATAGGAAGTTCAACCTCCGCTCGGCGTCGTCAACTTGTGCCTTGAACGATGACGGAGCGCGAGCCTTGACGCGCTGCATGTCCTCGGAGAGGATCTCAAAGATAGGCTGTGCGTCGGCGGGAATGTGCGAGTGGTCACCGGGAGCTATAGAGGTTAGGAATTTGAGCTGAATAGGAAGTGGTGGACTTACGGTATTTGGGAGGCGCAGGGGCCTTCATAGAAGTGGCTGTGCCTGGTCGAGATCCCGCGGCCTGAGGCGGCGGCGCTTGCTGCACAGGCGGCTGCATGGGAGGCGGCGTGCTAGGAGCGTAAGGGTTGGCTGCCAGAGGCTGTGCGGGTGGTGGAGGGGCGTAGGGAGAAGCAGCTGCCTGGGGAGGGGGAGGAACAGGAGCTCGCGTTTGGAGTTGTGGGCTGGCCGCCTGAGCTGCCGGGCTCGGCGCGTACCGGTTGGTGGGTGGAGGCATCGTCTGTGGCGCATTGTAAGGAGATGGTCCACGAGGGATTGATGCTGGTGGCGCCATAGTGCTAACTGGGGGCGACGTCGGCAGAGCAGCGTAGGGGTTCGGGGGTGGTTGAGCGGCGGAGAGCGGGTTGGGCGGGACTTGACTTGCTGACAGCGGTGAAGTCATGCGGGGAGGCGGAGCAACGCCCTTGGGAGGAGGCGGGACTGACGGTGTCCTCTGGGGACCAGCACCTACAGGAGGAGGACCCTGTGTGACGGGTGGAGATTGGTTAGGGAACGGCGAGGCGATGGGCGCACTAGACGCCGGAGTTCCTCTGCGCGAAACGGGCTGCTTGGCGAAGCCCTCGGGCAAGTCGTTCCATGCGGGCAGGTTCTTAGCTGTGGTGTATGTGGTGACCGTCGCAGGAGATTGGCTGGAAGCGCGGGGTGGAGGGGGAACGCCGCCTACTGACGGAGGAGGAGCGCCGAAAGATTGTTGGCGGGGCTGATACCCTGCAGGAGGCGCGTAGCTACCAGCCGCTGGCGCATAGGGGTTTGTGGGTTGTGAAGGAGCCGCAGCCGATGGAGCGTAAGGGTTGGCAGCGGCGGTAGGGGGAGCATAAGGATTTGAAGCGGCGGCAGGAGGAGCATAAGTGTTTGGAGCAGCAGCAGCAGGAGGAGCATAAGTATTTGGAGCAGCAGCAGCAGGAGGAGCATAGGGGTTTGTAGCGGGAGCGGGAGGTGTGTAGGAGGTCGGGGCGGCAGCTCGGGCCCCGGCGGAGAAAGTTGTCGCGGGTTGGTACGCAGACGGCTGGGGGAGGGGCTTGTTGGGAGTGGCCCTGACGGCAGCCGCAGCGGGTTGAGCCCTGGTAGTAGTAGGCTGCCTCGTCGCTAACTTGATGCGGTTCCTGGCAATCTCGGCTTCGGGGTGTTTCTCCGGGACAAGGTCAAGGTACTTCTGCGCGACTTGAAGACGTCCATGGGTCGCGACAACATCAGCATATTCAATGTACTTGTCATAAAGCACACCGAGCTTCCAGTCGGAATCCTTGGTACGCTCCGTGTCCTCGAACTTGGTGACTTGACGGAAGATTGTCACCTTCTCGATCAATGACTGAAGGGCACGAACGTGGATAGAGAAACTGGAATCGTCGGTAGCCGTCTCGATAGCCGTCTGCTCACTCTCGCGCTGTTCCTCGATCCAGATAGAGACCACCTTCTCCAACTTCGAACCGGCAAGGTAGCAGAAAGAGGCGTCCTTGCGAGCAGCCTTGTCTCCAGTGTTTCGGATCTGCTCCTCAAGGCGGTCACCAAGGGCATCGCAGAGATCGGCAAAGTCCTTATCTTCCGCGAATGTGCAAAGAGCCACCATGATCTCCTTCCAGTTGGACAGCTCAGCATTGTATACAACATCCCAGAGGTTCTTGCCAACGACGGAAGCAAGCAGGCGTACGTAGTTCGGGCTCTCCGTCTGCTTGGAGAAGTAGTGCTCCTGCGCCTTTTGGATACACTTTTGACCACCAACGATAGCGATCATGAACGCGTCCGACATGCGGTCCTCCTTGAGCGCATGGTCAAGGGCTTTCTCGAAATCGCCCAGAAGCAAGGCCCGGGTAATGCTCTTGTCGGCCTCGGACTCCTCACCATTGAAGATTTGGAAGGGGTTGTTGGTCTTCGCACCCTTGGAAGCGGCAAGATCAGACAGAAAGTTGTCATCAGGACTAGCATCGAACATCGATTGCAGGCGCTTGTGCTTCTTGGCTCCCGGCCCGCGGGACTCCTTGGGGGACGACTCGCCATTTGCTTCATCCTCCTTCGTCAAACCAAGCTTGGCCAATCCCTCGGAAACATCATCTGCCTGGTCATTGAAGCCGAGATACTCCACCAGGCTCTTCCGGGGGCTACCAGACAGCAACGCCTCAATCACCTTCCAGTCCGCCTTTTCTTCCTCAGTAGTAGCGCTCGAAACCCCGTTCTCGCAGATGCTCTTAAGATCGCCCTCCTTGAGCGCTGTTTCAAAGGTCTCAGTGGACTTCCCAACCGCATCGTCGACTTCAAAAGGCGTGATCTTGATCTTTGACGCACGTCCGCCCTTCTCAAGAAGGTTGACTGAAACTACCCGACCACCGAAACCAAACGCGGCGCTGCAAGGTCGCTCCAGCCACTTGGGGGCCTTTGGCAACGAAAAGCTCGAGACCTGGGGCTGACTCTGAGCCTTGGCAAAGAAGTCCTCTCCATCAAGGGCCTGGTTTTGGTCAGCGACAGCCTTGGCGGTTTCCGTGCTGGTGTTCTGGATAGTCTGAATCGAGATCCGACCGTCGAACGAAGCGGTGGCGAAGAAGTTGGGATTGCGAGGGTTCCATCGTGTTTGGAATGTCCAGTTTGTGACGACAGGGAATTCACCATAGGAAACTCCAGTCTGGGGATTCCAGCAAATCGTGCGGTTGTCTTTGCCGGAAGAAAGAAGTAGATCGGGATCTTGGGCACACCAAGAGAGCGACAAAACACCGGCCTCGTGTCCGCGGAGGGTCTAAGTCCTGTTAGAAATGATGATATCCTTTTAAAGAATTGCGTCACCTACACGCTCTGGAGCATGGGAATTCCTAAGATCCCAAACATTGATGATCGGGTCTGATTCGAGCGGTGTCGCTGTAACGAGCTTGGTAGGCTTCTCAGGATCCCAAGCAACAGCACTGACAGCTTTCCGTCCCAAGTTATTGAGCGTCAAGCTCTCTTTCTTTGTCTTGACATCCCACACGGTAACGAACCCAGCGCTGCTACCGGTAACCAGAATATGCGCCACCTTCTTGTTCCAGTCCAAACATTCAATGTCGTCGGCGCGGGCGGTGGTGCTCCCGAGTCGGTAAGGGTTCTCGAGGTCGTTGAGATCGGAGATGTACAGCTATGCAATATTAGTAACAGTCCAGCCTGACAGATATCCTCAGCACTAACCTCTCCCTTGGCACCTCCTGTAGCTAGTAAGCTGGAGTGCCTAGGGTTGAACTGTAAGGCCTTAATGGCCCCGGAGTGTTTCGAGCTCCTCGATAATACAGCATCACTTGTCCCATCAGCACTGCCATTGAGATGATTATTCGTTGGTAACCAACCTTGTACCACTCAACAGCTTGTCAGCATCCCATAAATCGAGGGATCCGCTCTCGAGACCACCAGCAATTATTCCCCGCGAGATATCGTCGGAATCCGTCCAGGCGAGGTCATTGAAGCTATACAAACACCGATTAGCTTTTACGATCACAAACGGGTAGCCGCAGCTGTAAAGCACAAACATACCCCGAGTCGGTGTCAATCTTAGCTACTGGCTGCAGCTCCGCACCAGCATCCTGGTTGCTCAGGCCCAGATCCCAAAGCTCAAGACATGTCTCATTTGAGAAATCGGCATCGACAGCGCCAGCCCGCGTACCGGTGGCGATCAATGGCGAGGCAGCCCCGGGGGACCAGGCGAAGGTGGCCGTCCGGGGAATCTCCCTCAGACGCACCATGCTGAAAGTAGGGGTTTGCTGGTGTGGGGGTATAGATAGGGAGCGGAAGGTCGTGCACGCGGAATGCTCAGAATTATGACACGGAAGGGATTATAAGAAGAGTTAACAAGTTATCCAACAACGATTCTCCCCTCTAATCGAGAACCGAGGGGTGCATGGACGTAGAGAAGCGATCGAGTCGTTCTGGGCTGGGCTCAGTAGTGCAGTCTGGCTCCCGCGCAACCAAGCCAAGTGTCCTCCGGGGGGCCCAATTTCGGCCTAAACCCGATTTGGAGCTCGCCAAACACCCAGAGTCCCAGACAGATCATGGCACGTGATTAGTATCAGAATGCCCGCTCGGCTTTGGGATTGGGAGTCAGGAAGAGCTTCACCGCAACGCCGATATACGCGGATTACATACTCCAAGTCAGAGTCACGATGAGCGAGAAAACCCGTTTGAAGTGTACGGTTTACGTTGGCGGGCTCGACCAAGCCGTGTCCGTTCAAACCTTGGCCGAGGCGTTTGTACCCTTCGGAGAGGTTGTTGATATTACGCTGCCGAAACCCGACCTGCCCAACTCTAATGACAACCATCGAGGCTTTGGATATGTGGAGTTTGATCTACCTGAAGATGCGAAAGAGGCGATCGACAACATGGACGGAAGCGAGCTATACGGACGTACGATAAAGGTTGCCCCCGCAAAACCGCAAAAGGACGCCAATGAAGGCCTCGGAAGCAAGACGGCGATCTGGGAACAGGTGTGTCTACGCATGACGTACAGATCACGAATATGATTTTAACTGCGAACAGGAGGGTTACTTGTCCAAATACGCCGTGAGCGAAGAAGATAAGCTGGCGGCCGGGGAGCCGAGCATGGAAGATGGCGAGCCTTCGCAAGACCCAATGCGCCGGCTGGAAGAGTTAGACGTTGCAGGGCCGAAGCCTGAATGATCTTTAGGATTACAGCTACGACGTGGGAAAAGCCGAGGCTAGCCAGACGACAGTAATATTGCGAAATATTACCCATCAGAACCCTCTGTTCAAGCCGTACTATATACAGGCGCTCCAACCCCGAGCCTGGGAATCCTCGGAATATCACCCTCCACCGCCTCCCGTGACATCAACTTGGTCGTGGATAATACATATCGACTCACAAAACGAACAGGAAAGCTCAGATTGGCCACTGCATGGAATCAAGAATGTGATAATACATTTTAGTGCTCACGGTCCTCGGGACGGTTGGGGGTAAGACGGAGAGTCTTGTCGGTCATGAGCTTCTTGGTGCTGGAGTAGATAGCAGCTCCGACGGCGACACTGCACGAGGTGTCAGTGAGATAAGGGAGGACATTGAGCGGATGTGGCGGAATCGGGGGTCTTCAAGTAAAGTAATGGGCTCCATATACTAGAGAATAACATACCCAAGAACGACACCTGTAGATAATTAGTACAACATTCAATGGCGCGAAGCAGTGGAAATAGCAACGGCATACCGAGAGGGAGCAACTCCGGAGGGATCCTCTTCAGAGTGCGCAGACGCTGAGAGATGGTGTGAGCTAGGAAACTGTTAGTCCAGCCACGCCAGCATATCCATATAACAATCGTCAATGCGATCCTCATGAATATTCATACCGCTCTGGCCTTCCTTCTGTTATGTCCAGTTAGCAACCGCCAAGCCTTTTTTTCACATCATGCAACCAGGGATAGGACGATAGGTACGCACAGGAGTAGCGAAAGAGGGCCGAGTAGGCTGCATCCTCAGAATGGGAGAGGGGTACATGGCGAAGGAAGAGTGGTGATGGAACTGTACGAGACACAACAGCACTGGGGTGGGATGAGGTCGAGATCGAGAATCGGATGTGGTGACGGAGCTCGACTTGACGGCTTCGGGTGCAGGTGCTGGTTAGGAAATCTCGGCGTCTGACTGGCTCGTTTACCTGGGCGGTCGCTCCCGGCATGGGACTTCACGGGTCGTTCCACCCTCGCTCTCACCACCACCTCCTCTGTCAACGACTCTCACTCCCTCCGCATCCCCCCTCCAATCCCTTCAATCAAGCTTCGCTTCGTTGATTGAACCACTACCGCCAAAATGGGTGCCATTCCTGAAGCCGATCCCGATGAGCCCATGGAGACCAAGCCCTTCAAGTTCGTCACTGGTGAGTTTCTCTTTCCCGAGCTCAATTTGCTCAATCGCGCTTTGATAAGACTCAATTGCTAACTATTTTCTAGCCGGTATGTCTCTCACAAATATCCGGGCCCATTGAATCGCTTCTCAACGATCTCCGCTCTGTATCCGAGGTCCCTGGAGCTGACAATTGCGTTCCCAATGCACTAGGTTACGACGCCCGTTTCCCTCAGCAGAACCAGTACGTTTCGCACTCAGTTATTTCTCGCGATCAGTCTGTTAACAACATACCAGGACCAAGCACTGCTGGCAAAACTACGTCGACTACCACAAGTGCGTCACCGCCAAGGGTGAAGACTTCCGCCCATGCCGCCAGGTAAAACCCGCAACAGCCACAAATTCTATAAGGAACAGCCTCTAACAACCATCGCAGTTCTACCTCGCCTTCCGATCCCTCTGCCCTAAGCCCTGGACTGACCGGTGGGACGAGCAGCGCGGTATGTCCACACCTTGCTCTTTCTACTATCAAAAGTAAAACATGTACTGATAACAATCGCAGAGGCCGGCAACTTCCCCGCCCGCCTGGACCGGTAAATTAGACCAGACTGTACTAGAATTCCAGCGGTGATTTAAACTTCGAATGGCTGTTCCTTTGTCAACATGTACTCTACCCGTTCCGCGAAGATTATGATACAAGCTTCAGCCTCCTCGTTTCCCTTGTCTTCGTCTCCTAGGGCTGTATATAGGATGGCCGTAGTCCCGAAATATGCATATGCACATTGAGTGTCAAGCTTCTGGGATTACCTAATCATTGTCGTAGCCCTGAGACAAACATCGTATGATACTATAGATCGGCGTAGTCTCGGAAAACCCGAGGGAATGGTAGCAGTATCAAGATCACTGCTTTTCAAACACTAGTTTCCTTGTATACATAGTAAAATATTCACTAAGATAACTCTCTATTTTATCTGACTGACTGACACTGTCTACTCTGATCTATGCTCATCTATCAACCAAGTAAAGCTAACAACAAACCACGATATATACACCAAACTAACAAACCAAAAACAAAAGTGCGGTCTGTCCTGGAAGACGAGTAAGAAAAAAGGCCACCCGCGCTTTCTGCGCCGCTGGCGACCCACGCAAATGAATGCATGCAAGATCTATCTGGTCTGAGTAAGTTCGCCAAAGGGATGAGAAGGTAGGGAGGGTAGGGAGAGGGTAACTCGGTGTGGCCCACGCACCGCCATAATCGTGGACCTGGAGAGAGGGATGTGGCAAAGGGTGTCGGCGGCCATAATCCACGCATGCTATGTGCAGAAACGTATCCAAGCGGGAAATTCAAACATCGAATCGTAAGAGGTAGGGAATCCAAATGGTAAGGAGATCGGAAATATTCAAAAAAAAAGTCAGGGTATCTCCTCGCTCTCAGATAGGCACATATGGTGCATCAAAGAGGACGTCTACATGACCGTCGTATATGTAAGTCGGAAAATCAAATCCCCTTCAGGTAACGGTAAAGCTTCTTGTGCTCCTCAAGGAAAATGAATGTCGCAATCGTGTGCGGGCCCAATCGAATAAAACTGGGCACCCAACCGCGGAAAGCCCAAGCAAAGCCCTCCTTGCGAGTGATCTCGCGAAGGAGACCAACGATGTTGTGTCCGCCGGTCTCGGTATGAGAAGCGCTCATGACCCTAGTCTTGATCACGTCGACGGGGCTGCAGACCGTCGTGGCAACGAATCCCGCTGCGAAAGACGCGGTGAAGTGTGTACCGACATTGTCCTTCATGCCGAACTTCTCAAGGCACACGCGTTTGAAGAGATCGTAGGATACCAGCTGGGAGGATGTCATCAGGACGGCGCGTGTGGAGTTGGGCCACACGCCGCGGAAGAGACTAGAGAAACCCTCGGTGCGGGTCATCTGGACGAGGCCGTGAAAGGCATGGCGGTAATTGCGCCGTTGAGCGGGCGGGAGCGCGGCATCGGATTGCATGCGCACGTTGAGGACGTCGGCTGGGTTGCCTGCGATGCCTCCGAGGATACCAGATGTGCAAGCCATTCCAAGAAGGGTGAAGAAGCTAGGTGGTGCCGATGGCGAGGTAAATCGAGATTTGAGTTCCTCGTATATTCCAAAGCGAGTGGTAGAATATGTGAGTTGGCGCAAAAGAGCTGCCGAGAGCTATAACGAAAGAGATGGATGTGAGCGCAGTACTTTTTTTCGGCGTTTCCTTCAAAAGGTGGTAACGTACCCCATTATATAAACCAAAGAATCCATTATTCCGCAAGATATGCGCAAAAGTGCCCACCATCGTCGAGGGCGCACCAGGCCCCCGGGTCTGCAGACGGACCTATCAATTCGAAGTCTTAGTTCCTGAATCATGATGCGACAAAGGATAAGAGAGGTGTACCTTAACTGTAATTCCACGTATTAGCAGCAGTCCCACAGCAAAATATTCTAAAGTTAAGGGGAATAAGAGAAAGGCTCACCAAGATCCAGCGGATGTGTAACCGCAGCCGCAAAGCATGACGCAGAGCCACCAAACCAGAAGGGATAATGCACCTTCTTGACAGGTTTGGTGACCTGCTGCGGAGGATGTGAGATCTCCAACTTCGCGGTGCTTGCCATGATCAACAACAGCACGTTGACATGCGCGCAAGGATCGTGGAGTTGGAGTGGAGAGAAAGTTGGAGATTGCTGAGAATTTTAAGGTGCAGGACGGAGATAGATCAAGGCTCCGAGACTCTGCCGCTTCGGAGACGTCAGCGGGGTCCGCCAATCAGCGTCTCGGTTTATGCTTGCCAGCAGGCTCCACCTGCGGCGAGGCGGCGATGCGGCATTCTTCGGTAGAGCGCCGGTTATATGGTTCTGGCTCTGGTTCTGCATGTTTATGGGCTGGTCCGCTATGACGAAGGCAATACTTTTGTCGGTTACTTGTGCTGCGGCCGAGACGGCAATGCTGGTCGATGGCGACGAGTAGTCCAGTTTAAGCAGATTAGTAGCCGAAATCTTGTACAGTTGATTCAATATTATACACATATATACATAGGTAGATAGCTTCTGGTGAGCCTATCGTAGTTCAACACCCAACTGGTTGACAAGCTTCTGCCGCACGCCCTCGTGGAGATCATTGGTCTCCTCGTTTGTCAACGTGCGCTCCAAACTGCGGTAGTTGATCCGATAGCACAAGCTCTTGCGGCTAGTCTTGGGGTGGGTGAACTCGTCAATTAACTTCACATCCTCGACAAGGTCACCACCTATGCCGCGCACAATCTCCATGATGTCGTTCTCATGAACCGGCACCGCGCCGCCAGCTGCACTTCCGCCGCTGACAGCCGCGGAAGGAAGCCAAAACGCAACATCCTTGTAGCAAGCGGGGTACTTGGAGAACGGCTGGAAGCGCGTGATTTGGCCAGCCCTAAACTGCGAGAGGAACCGCTCGTCTCTCGACCAGAATAGCCGGATGTCGGGGATGTTGAAAAGAAGCATGGCGATGCGCTCCAGACCCAAGCCAAACGCCCATCCCACGCGGTTCGACACGTCGGAGTTGTTTAGGAGCTCCTGCTTAACCACGCCGCAACCCAAGATCTCGAGCCAGTCACCCTGCCAGAACACCTCAAGCTCCCACGATGGGCTGGTAAAGGGGAAATATGCCTCCACCCACCGGACCCTCAGAGGCTCTGTTTCAATTCCCTCCGATGCCGCAGCAGCCTTTTGCGCCTCGGTGAAAACCTTAATGACCATTCTCTCCAGTGATCTCTTGAGATGCGCGGCGATAGCTTCGACTTCCTCCTCGCTGTGATACTCGGCTTGGAGAGGGTTGCGCTGCTCATGAATGGTGGGGTTCGGGTCCTCAACTGGTACGTCATGGGTCGGGATGCTGTTAACGTCTTTCATGATCGCCGCGGCGGTCTGACTCGCGTGATCGAGTGGTTTGTCCACAGGGCGCTTCCATAGCATGGCGCCTTCCATCTGGTGGAACACCGGGTAGTGGCTGCGATCAATCGCATCTCTGCGGTAAACATCCGCAACAACGGTATATCCAACCTCCTCTGGACGCGTCGCCTCATTGCGGTTGATCTGTTGGAAGTATGCCTGCTGGTGGGCGCTCGTATGAGTCCGTAGAACCGTCTTGCTGTTCAGGTAGTACGTATCCGTGCGACTCCGGCCGGGATGGTCCGCGGGAAAACCGAGGACATCAAAATTCTGGGCGGTCGTCACAATAGGGTTTTTCTCAGAGTAGTTGCCGTAGATGGGACCAGGGAATTGGCTCTCGATGAGCTTGCGCGTGATTGCGAGCGGGTGGTTTTCATCGAGATACAGTCGGCGGTCGACGTGCGAGAGAATTGTATCGGGGGTGTTCGTCCAGTCATCAGTGGAGTACGTCTTGCCCTCTACTGTCAGGTCCTTTGGGAAAGCTGATGGGCTTGTTACTGTGGATTCGGGCTTGTTCGTTGTATCCTGTGTACTCCGTACAACTGTAGAGCTCCACTCTCTATGGCGGACCGAACGAGCATCTGAGAGACGGGACAGTGGGAGGCGGATGCTGCTTCGGGCTGAGACACTTGACCACCTTCCGCTTCCGAGGCGCAAGGCCCTGCTCGTAGCAAACAAACGCATGTCTTCCGGCGTTAATTGGGGCGTGCAAGAGACAGAGACGTCGGTTGATGGCTTGATGCGAAACAAATATTCCCTCGGCACGGATCAACTACCAGCCGGTAGGAAGTATATCGGAGTGTGCCCATCAACAGGAAAGGATAGTTACATAGTGAGTTGCTCTACTGTATTTATCTCATGTATCAACCGTAGGCGCATATGTACTGCATTATAGCCCGAAGAATCCTCTATCCTATAAGGTATCTGTCTATTTGGGCCATTCGCTGCGTATCCTGACCTAATGGTGACATAAACTAGAAAGCAAGAAGAAAGATAATACAAGAAAGAGAAGCCTGCTGATACTTAGTCGGTAGATAATCAGTAGTTAAGGTGAAATTAAATGAGAAGACACGCGCCAAGGCTGCAAATGAACCCTTCAAACCGCCAACTCCGTCCCATGCTAAATGAAGTTGCCCAAGTACGTTTTTGCGTTTATCAACGATCTTCCGGTTTCGACCGGCATAGACAAACGGAATGATTATGAGCGTTCGAAGATTAGAACCCATAACCGCCGCCGCCATACGGAGTAGCACCGTAGGGCGTCGTAGCATTAGCACCACCCCAAGCACTTGCGTTTCCGCCATTGGCATACGCTGTATAGCTGCCATCCTCGCGAGGCTCATAGGCGTCTGGGCTTTGAACACCCATCATATCTTCGTCGGCGATGCCGTTCTGATCAGCATTGCCCGAGAGAGCCGAGATGGCGGAGGCGAGTTTGCGCTGGAGAACGATGATTCCCTGCTGAATGATCATATCTGGGTCGAGGTTTCCAATGCTTTCAACGTCAATGTAGAAGTTGTTAGGTTGAGCGTCATAGTCAAACGGCTGGTCTGCGGGAGCTGCGTGTTCCCAGGCAGCATTTTGGGAGACGGGCCTTCATGGTGTTAGCAGACAGCTATGCATAGGGCCAGCATAAAGATGATAAAAAGGGCGACATACCATTCCTTGATCGGGTCCTCCTCGTACCAGTAATCCACGTGCCTGAGGTTATTATGCGGATCATACTCAAATCCGATCGCCGCAGTAGGTGCCCACTTCGAATGCTCCTTCGCAATGCCCTTCTTCGCGATACAAGTCATTTTAAGCTCCTGTCCGCGTCTCAACTTGCAAATAAGCGGGCCATTCCCCTCTGGGTCTGTGATAACCGGGTTTCCAACCCACTCATTCGCGCGCTCCCCGGCAATAACTAGATCCCGCGCATAAACACGCATGATCTCGTCGCTTGTGCAGCGCGCATGAAGGGAGAGTGTAACACTACACCGGGCGCAGTGGTCCTCGCACTCGCAGTCGCGCGTATACTCGACGTCCTGGTCGCAGTTCTTCGAGTCCAGCGGGATCAGGCCCAGTCTATGTGCAAGCATTTCATCGGGAAGGACAGAAGAGTTCTTTTCCACTTCGACGATGTCGATGGCCATTGTAGGGATTTCGGCGAGCATGACGCGGCGGAGGGAGTTGGCGAAGGCGAGGTCGACGGAGCTGAGTTTGAAGTCTACGCGGTAGGGTTCGGCCTGTTGCGGAGTTGGGTGAGGTTAGTTTTTCAAAACTTATTGCAAAGAGCAGACTCAGGGACGGGTGCAAGGTACGGTACTCACCTCGCGCACTGTGACCTGGGGCCCGGTGGGCTCGATGTCCATTTCATAGTCCATATTGTTGATGAGGCTGGGCCTCTGTATCAAAGAGAGTGATGATAAGCCAAAGCCAGGAACAGTCAGAGAATATACTAGGAGCAAGTTGTAACACTGCGTGAGTAGATCAACTGAGATGAGAGAGTGCGGGCGGCGATGCTCTGCCTGGCGAGTGAAGTCTGATGGGTCTGAATGAACCTCACGGGAAATTCCACGCTTTGCCTCATGGGGTAATTAGCATCAAAGTCCACCCACCCACGGGGTTGACTGGCCCAGTCAACAACAGAGAATATTTGTACTTCTATAAAGATTATTGGCAAATCTGAGTTGTACACTTTGCATGATTGCAAGGAGCAAGGAAGCATATGACTAAGTAATGTTAATAAAGTCTGAATGGGGTGTTCATTTATCTATCCTCGTATGGTCTACAGTCTACTTGAACGTTGAGATACTACGATTTACCTAAGCTGGTTCACCAATATTTCGTCTCTTTTTGCCTTCTTAGTCCAGATGTCTAGTGGATTTGAAATATCCAAAAGTCCGAAGAAGCAAAGCCTACTTAAGTAGGGATACGGACCAGACCAGACCAAATGGAGATGAAATAAATGTTACTTCATCAGCGAGCATCGAGCCATAATTTCTCGAACATGAGAAATATCCCAGACAAGAGAGTAGTATGCCACCCGATCACGGGGGCCTCGGGCGAAGATCGCGCGTGTATCCAAATATCCCATAATCTGACCCAAAAATCAAGATCGAGCGACATCAAGAACTTTTCCAACCATCCACAACAATGCCGCCAACCATTCCTGTAACTTCTATGGTGACGCGGTATCGCCGATCTATAGTTAACCGCATGAAACCAATGTCATGCAAAAAAAGCCACAAGCCGCCAACCGATTGTGCTGTGACAATAGGACCACTCGAACACCAGAATACACCGGACCAGAGCCAAAAACAGAAAGAAGGAAAGAGAAGAAGTCGCAAATTAAATATGATGTGGGGGTAGGTAATGCAAAGAAACCTTTTGAGATGGAGCATCATATCAAGTCGTAAAGGGACGGCCAGAGGCCCGTCCGAGGTCCAGCCCTAATTGAAAAGGTAGGGCCAGACTATCTCTTCATGGAACTTCGATTCAGCGCCTCTAGGAGCTCTGGGCGGCTCGCAAGAGCAGCGGCGGCCTGGGTATAATTTACCCACTGTCGCCTCCGCTTGTGCATTTCGGGCCACCGTTCCTCCTCGCGATCCACGCTGACCTCAAAGAACTGATATGAAGCTCTCGGTGCGTTGGACGTCAGCATTGTTGATGGGCGCATGTCTGTTATCGTCCCCAGATCCCGATGAACAGTGCATATTACCCCGGCTTCTTCCCAGGCTTCTCTGCAAGCCGCTTGTTGGGCACTTGCTTCGTCGGTCTCCCATCCGCCTTTCGGTAGTACCCAACCACCTCGGCCAACGGACTGAATCATCATCACCAGGCTTTTGTCTTTTGATAACGGGACGACGCCGGCCACTAGCCGTTCGCCTTTGGATCCGTACCCTAGAGAGTAGAGCAGGTCAGCGTGGCTCTATGACGGTATGTACAGAAGAGAAAGGCGGCGCGTTGCGCTGTCGGAATGACAACTCGGAATATGGGCAACTCACGTTGGTTTTTTCGTCCTACGCGGGACTCCATTGAACGAACCTGGTCCACCATGGTTGAACCAGCGAGGAAATTATGTAGAACTCCGTCTGAGGAACCTCGTAGAGAAAGTTATATGTCGTAAGAATCAAGTGATCGAAGGAATACAGCTTCGGTCGCACTTCGCGCAGAGGTAAAGATAATGAATGGAGGATTTCCGAAGCAAAGATGCAAAGATGGAGGGAAAAGTAACGTTCACAGGAATGACGCCACTATATATAGTATAGGAAGGTTCCAAAAAGAGAGAAACTTCAAAACTCTTGGTTTCCGGAGTAATGGGGGGCCAGCTGAGGTGGATAGGAGCTGACTGACAGCCGGTTCAGGGCTTCTCTCTTCTCCTGGTGAGGAATAATAAGGCGGCCGAGAAGCAATGAAATTTTTTTTTGGAAGAGGAAGACTGGAACGACTTGAGAAAAACTAGGTATACCCGTTCACTCCCGTGGCGGACGGGAACCTGGAGAAAGACTTGGAGATGGAAGTAGACATGTTCTTGGAGGAGATAGAATAGAAATAGGGGAGGGGATAGAAGAAGAGAAGAGAAACGGAGGGGAGGCCAGGAGACAGCTTGGGATAATGGGCGGCGGCGCGATCCGGAGTCAGGTCTATTCGGAGTCGGTCCCTATAAGCGGTATCGTATGTGTAATACGGTATTTGTCATACGAGGTTGATGTCCATTAATTCAACAAGCATGATGCTGATTTATTGTGAAGGATATTATTATGATCCTAGTCCTCTGGTGTCTTTAGCCATTGTTTCAGACGGTGGTTTACACTTTCTATTATAATTGACCACTTGCTGTCAGTCTCCTGCAGTCTCCTGTCAGCCCTCTAATGACATCACATACCAAATCAGATACGCAGAACGCAGACAAAGCATCACGACCATCATCCATGGTCCATCTCAGGAGTTCGTCTGCCCGCTTACAGTAGCAAGTAGTACTAGCAAAACGGCGGAAAAACAGCTGGGATCTTGGATCCGCACGTTTACAGATCTTTTGCTGCGTTGTCGTGACCCGATCCAATCGTGGCTGGAGCATCCCCAAGCCCTTTGTGACTTTCGAGCCGCTAATTAATCTTATGCGCATCCCCTGCTTTCCCTAGTCCAAGCCGTCTGCAGCTAGCGACAGCATAGATTGAGCAATACCAATGCTCTGATCGACCCCATGGTTCATTTATCCTCGTTGCCGTGGACATTTTTTGTAGCATCTGCAGCATGCCCCAGACATTGCCTGCATGATTGTTTGAAGGATGGGGCAGGTAGTCCATATTGACGTACCGTTATTATTTCCGGTCCGCTCGTTCGAGACAAAGAAACGCGACAGTTGGGTCGGGATTCGGAAAGCTCTCTTCCTGAATAATATCGTGTGCTCTGGGTTTGCCCTCTGCCCCGCGTTGATCGGCCATCAAATGATGACACAATAAAAGCTGATCCGAGAATCGAGTTTGGTAAGATGGAGCATGCAGGGTAGACTACGCTCGGACATGGCATGGACCCAATTTAATTTTACCTCAGAGGAGCTCCTGCAGTAAAAAGAAAAGAGGATGCTTTGTTAAGACAGCTTCTCCGCGATTTTCGAGAATTTAACTTTGATACCTGGCAACATGAGTCGTGAGTCGTGACTTGTGACTTGAAGCTCGCTGCTCGACCCTCGGAGTTGTGCTCCTGCTTCGTTGCTGCAGGACACGCGTTGACAGGGTTACGGGTACAGCCCAGCAATCGGTCTGTGACTTGGCATTGTCGGTACGCAGTAGTAAGAAGGGTCCCTGTACAGTAAGTAGGAACCTACAGACAGTGGACCAGACCCAGTAAAGCAAGCGCTTGCGCACGCCTTGATGAGTTTATAAATGCGGCCTGTCTTCCCAGCGTACCAGATGATTTCGGAATACTGTCGGGCATACCTAACCTCGGACTGTCGGACAAGAGAAAGATGGGAATTCGGTGCTGGTTCACTGCGGTCAACCCAATGATGCCGGTATGGCTGAGCCCCAAACCGCTTGGGTTACCGGATATCCACGTTTCATTTGTGTGTGGAATAATTATTCATTCGGAGTCTCACTCATTGTGGAACCGAACAAGGTCCGCAAATGCGCCGGAAGATATGGATTCGTACCTGGGTAACGCAGGCGGTTCAACTGGAAATGAACCCCATCAAATTGAGGGCAGGATGCCAGGATAAGAATAGATTAGCTCACGCGTGAATCACTTCTGGAGGCGATCGGCTGGATCAACAGATCTCCCCCTAGAAAGTCAAAGCTCGACGGTATGTATCATCAGCCCAGGGTCTGGGTCAAAGAGCACAAAGATCCCGACGTATAGCCCGCCAAATAAATTAAAGAAAGAGTCGAGCTGGTAGACCGGTAGACCGCGGAGTGCAAAGGGACGGTACCTTGAAAAATTCTGTCACAGGCTGTTTGTGTAAGTACAGTACGGTACGGACTGCCAAAGACCATCAAACTAGTGCTCTGTTAGTAGTTAGAGTAGTAGCTGGATGGATATCGTGATGCCAATAGTTAGAAGCTGCCCCATATATGCTGCACGTCAATGCTGGCATCGTGACCATCGTCAATCCTGGAGGTCGTCGTGGGCTTCAGTGGCAAGAAGGAATATCCAGATGACGCGCAGATTGGACCAGAAGAAACGGCCATCATACAACAAACGACAGGGGAGCGGGCCAATGTCTTCTAGAAGCATCATTATAGTACCCCGTATATACTTCAAGAAGTGCGAGGAGATAGCAGCGACCAATTATCTACTATCCTTCAACTTCTACTATATCAACAGTGCTGGCTGTGCAAGACAGCGGCATCAACTTGTTGAGTCTAGCCTAGCCTGAGAGTCGAGGACTTCAAACTGCCATCCACCGCATCGTCACGGCTTCGTCCACTTCCGCTGTTCTCCATCTCGATCAACCCTCGTCAAACCGGATATCATCCTCTTTTCTTCCTTTCCCGCCTTGAGCGCTGACAATTTTACTGTTCCAAATTCCCAGTCTGCAACTCGCTGTCCGTCATACAGCCTCACGCAACCACCACGCCATGGAGCAGGTTGACGCCGAACGAGCAAGGCAATTGTCGCTGTTCCGACCCCTCGGTGAGTAGCCAGTCACAACAGTCTGCCCTTCCCCGTGCAATGGCCATTGGTTCTTGTTTCTTTCCTCCTGCTTCTCTCCCAATCGCCTCAGCTTCATCTACCCTTCACGATGTATGGGGCATGCCCCTCCATGATCCTGTCAGTGATCACACTGTCACTGCGCGACGCCTGATTATCCTGGTCGTTTTCTTCTTGATTCATCCGTTGATTTTCGTCTTCGCCTCCCCTGCCCAATCCAGCCCATCCTGTTAAATCATTGACCACTCGCCGTGACTAAGATGATGGATCCTCTGCGATCATCTTCGTCGCCCGCATCGCTCTGACCAATTCATCACCTCAGGTTACCAACGCAACTCGTGCGGATACTGTAAATCAGATAACGGAAGTCAGTCGACGTAGCCCCACCTGACAGCTGCGGACTGGATTGCTAAAACGCATCCCCTCGTAGGTGCTTCTTACTACGCTAGCTCCGTCTCGGTTCGTCCAGGTCATTATGAAGAACTCGTCAATAGGGGATGGAGAAGGTCAGGCAGTATTCCGTGGCAAACATGCAATCTTCTGACCTTCGTCTAGGTCCGGCACCCTGTACTACAAGCAGAACCTGCAGCGGTCATGCTGTCCTCACTACACCATGAGGTGCGTTTCTGGTGCCCTGCCAGCTTCTTCTGAAGGTGCTGATTGATCCAGGCTTGAGGCCTCGGCCTACAAACCAAGGAGAGACCAAAGAAAGGCGATCAACCGCTGGAACAAGTTTGTTCTGGGTCCGGAATACATTCGCAGAGCTGCGTACCTCTGCCCGAAGACCAGAGGGTGAGCAGTCTTCCTCGGTTTCTGAAACTTTGTACTGTGCGCTGACAAGCTTGCTAGGGAGAAGAAGCATCGAAAATGCACCTTTGATGTTGTCGATGCCGTCCACGAGGTCGAATATAGCAATGTCAAGCGGCCAATTGACCCGAAGACGAAGAGGCCATTGGAACCGGCGCATCGGTTTGAGATCAACATAGAAGGCGATACTGTCTCCCAGGCGAAGTATGAGAGAATATCAAACTATCAAACATATACTTACATCATCTAGATTTGATCTATTCCGCAAGTACCAGACTAAGGTCCACAAGGAGGATCTCTCTAAGTGGCAAACGAAAGATTTCAAGCGTTTCCTCTGTTCGGGACTGAAGCGGAGCGAACCCAATGAACGAGATGCACAGCGCAGACTAGGGTCGTGGCATCAGTGCTATCGGCTTGACGGGAGGCTCATCGCCGTCGCTGTCTTGGATCTGATGCCTAACGGGGTCAGCTCGGTTTACATCTTGTGAGCTTTCTCAATGCGAATGCGTACGGCCAACAGCTAACAGGCAAAGCTACGACCCGGACTACGAGCATTGGGAAATTGGCAAACTGAGCGCGATGAGGGAGATAGCCCTCGCAATCGAAGAAGGCTATAAATACTACTATATGGGTTAGTTTCACTTGCTCGGTTAATGGACCCAATGCCTTGTGCCTTTTCTAACAACGCTACCAGGTTACTACATCCACTCATGCCAAAAAATGCGCTACAAGGGCACTTTCCGACCTCAACACATTCTCGGTGCGCTGCCTTCAAACCCACCCCCAAATTCAATCGACATTAACCTCAACAGACCCCGAATCCCACACCTGGGATCCTCTTGACGGCGAGCTAGCCACAAAGCTCAACACCCGACCTTATGTATCTTTTTCGCGAGACCGCGCCACCAACACCGACTCCGGAACTGAAGCAAGCACAGCCGGTGGCGCAGAGGCCGAAGCCGAAGCCGAGATCAACGACGAGGAAGTCTCCCTCTTTGCGCTGAAAATGCCGGGAGTCCTTACAGTCGACGAAGTTAAGAAGTTGGATCTGGGGAGCTGGCTATTGCTCGTTCATGGGTCGTTTGTACATATGAGTGTGAGTATTACTGCCCCTATGTTATTACCTTTTGTTGTTTCGTCAACAGTGTCCGCATATTCCTTATGTGTATGGACTGACATCGAATAGGACTTGGTCGGATGGGAAACGATGCCTATAGATGAGCCGCAGTCTATCAAGGGGATTGTCGCCGAATTGGCCGCGACATTGGGACCGGCTGTCGTCAAGGATAGCGCGGTGGTGTTGTTTGACTGAATTGAAGCTGGCCATATTTTACGGTATCGAATTTATCTACAAGTATTTAGAAGAGGTTGTCGCACATTGATGGATGAAAGAGGTGAAGATTTAAGATATTAAGCCAAATATTGATTCATGCATGATATGTCTAGTCCTGATTTGAACGGCCACAAATGCAACACATTAATTACGTCGCCATCGAACAGTTTGCCAATAAATCATCCCAGCCGAACGCCTCGCAATGAGCTGTTTGAGGAAGAAGAAAATAAACGGAACCGAAGCCGAAAACAGCGATACATGAACACGATTTAGACAAATAGCAAACTCCGAACCCAAGCGCTAAAATGCAGTTGACCCAGGCGTAAAGCAAAGAAGCAGCGAAGCAACGAAGCAACGAAGCGGCCAGAAAAGACGTTCAGACCATCAGCTCAACAGGCGGCCGAGCAGTCTTGAATGGTGGCGTCTGCTTCGTGGGCATATCAATCGGGCTCATCTCAACATCCATGTCATCCGGGTCGGCGCTTGTATCTTCAACCATGACAGCAGGGAGATTTGGGCTGCTGCCGTGTTCCTCGGGGTTGTAGATTAGCGTGCTGCTCCTGCTCCGCTGCTGAGACAACGGCCAGCTCCCTTGTCTTTTGTCAGACGAAAGAGACATTGGCGTATCCGGGTCAGTCTGCATCTGCTGGGCTGGCGCGGTAGAGGTAGCGTAGACATTGCTGCCAAAGGCAGCAGACCCGGAACCCTCCGTCTGCAGCTGAGCAAGTGCCTGAGCAAGATCGCTGGCGTGAACCTCCTTGTTAGGCGGATCTTCCGTGCGCATCACCCACCCGTGCGGTGGGGATGGCGGCGGGCTGATAAAGAACAGCTTATCGACCTGCGGCGCTTCGAGGAGCTTATGCTTGATTCCGCCTGCGTCGTTGGTTTCAAGAAGCGGCGTTGGCTCGCCAAAGTAGATCTTTGTGACGGCGCGGTTCAGCAGGCTTTCGCGGTCCAGATGCTTGCGGACGCGGATGGCGTCGTCCTCGTTGTGGAAGGAGGCGACGATGCGGCGGAAGGAGGGGAGCGGAGAGAAGGAGTTTAGCGGTGCGATGGATTCGATGAGTTCGCGAATGGCGGCGAGAGAGGATGGTTGGAAGAGGTGGAGGTCGTTAAGGTCCGTGATTAGGAGGGTGTTTGTTGGAGGGGAGGGTTGGGTGAGTGCTGGGAGGTTGGAGAGGTCGATTGACAGTGAGGGTTTGTGTGTAGAAGAGCGCGAGGCGCGGCGCGCTGAGATGGAGGGCGACGAGGGCGCCGATTGCGGTGATAGTGTGCCCATCATTGTGATTGTAGTTGTGTTGGTGTTGATAACGAGTAGGGGAGAGAGAGGTGGTTCAGGGATGAGGTTGCGGTGAGGTTGTAGAAAGAAGGAGATGGAGAGCGGAGGAGAAGGTTAAGTAGGTGGATGGTGGTGGTCGCCACAAGAAAATGGCGATAGAAATGGCTTTTGGATAAAAGGCCTTTGAACTGAGTCTGCGGATTTTATTGAACCAGATGAATTAGATAGACGCTTCTTATAAGTAGAATCCGGATTGATCACTGTCCTTCCGTGTTCGACGTTTGAGGCGCAGCAGCACGCTCCGGATGGGTTATCTCCCACCTCTTGCACTGCCCTCTCTTCTTGGCCTGTGGTACTCCGGAGTAGATTCTGGATTCTACCTCGTCTCCACGGTCTTTTCCAGGTCGCATGTGGTTCCTGAAGATCCAGTCTGGCTGCTAGTATCTTTCGCCACGGGGTTGCTAATTGCCACTCTATACTCCGTACAGAGTAGAGCCAGACTCAACAATTCTTTCCACGGTCTATCATCGGACAAATCATGTGTCTCAAGTAATAATGGCAGTGAAGGCAACGCCTCTCTCAAGTCTTAGACATATTTGCTGGAAATTGACATATGCGGCATGCCTAGCTGGCTGGCTGACTCTGCCCTGCCTGTTTCTGTATACATGCTCGGTCCTCACTCCGCAGACAGCCGCAAAGCCGGCAGCCGTACAGTTATAGCATAGGCAGCATCATAACGGATACTATTTTATGCTCCTAAGCCTCTATCCCGAATCCTGACACAGCTTCACAGTACCCTTGCTGACGACGTGCTCCATCGACACTCCGCCTGCGCAGAAACAAACGCGCGTAGGCGATCCGCAAAGTGTGGCTGATGCCCTGCCATCGAATTGTTGAGACAACGCTACCAGCTTCACTAGCATCACTCGTCAGGCTGCTTAATTCCTTGTGGCTAAGCTTGGACGTATACAGCGCCAAGCTCTTATAGACTTTCCATCCTGCATGCGGATAGCAGTCCGCCCGATGAGAACCGGTTGCCACCAGAATGGTGCGTATTTCTACAGGTCACGGGACCGCCAATGCCTCTCTCGGCATCACTCCACCACAACTCTTCCACTCACCTCTACGCTACGTGAATCATACCGAAGGCAAAGGTTCAACTGCGACCTCGTCACTCGGCCTCGTCGTTTCTCAATGCCACACCACACTATTGAAGATGCGGCCTTGGCCCAATTTGGCCTCGCCTAGCCTCCAGTCCCGCGGGTCTTGACATAGCCACTCCGCACGTTCGCGGAGCACCCTCCGCGCAACATGGTGCCCTTGCCTTCCTATTCATTTCAAATCATACGGGCTGCGGCGGAGGGCTCGGAGAAAGCGCCTCAGGGTTCATGCATATTCGCGCGGCTTACATCCGCATCGGACTCTGGGTTAAGCCTTAAGCACATCCAGTCCGCGCTTACGGCTGGGTGCTCTAAGCCTATAAGGCTCCAATTCACGCCATGTGCTAACGCCGTATTTTGCGGCTGCACCTGCAACAGACGAAGCTAGGGAATATGAATAGGGCGCAAGAACCTTCTTTATACGGAAGAAGCTGCCTCGTCTACCCGTAGCTCGGTATAGTCTTGATCGCCTTGCCGAACTCTGTGACCAGGCGGGCCGCCTTGTCAGCCGCTTCTATGGGCTGAGCTTATCGTTGGGATTATTCTGTGATGTTGATAACCTGGTGATCAGGTTCTTGTCCACCCCGCCGTGCTGCGGCTCTCTTCCCAAGGTTGACAACAGGATTCCTGGCGCAGTGACACTTTCCGCGAGATACTTGTACAGCCTTACGGGATCCTGGAGTCTTGCTCTTCCGATGTCTTGACCCGCTTAATCATCCGTAGGTGTACCTCTATTCTTGCACTGCTCTTACTTTCCTCACGTACGTTAACCAACGCCATACAGTTCAGCTTGACTTACCTACATGTAACGGGCATCTTTGAGATTGCTTTTTGTCCTTTTCTCCGCAGATGAATTAACAATGGAGCATCTTCTGACATTGCTGAATTCTCACGTGGGCATATTTCAGGATAGGGTCAAGAGCATGCATTCACAGGCCGGGTCTCGCATCTCACTATTGAAAGTAGAATAAGAACTTTGCTCGAGCCGCGTCCTCTCATTGATTGTAATCAAAATACACATCGCAATATCTCCATTGAGTCCATTCTGCTCTGTATATTATTGCCTATAGTTCGGTGGGATGTTTTTCCTCGGCCCGGTCAGGTGACGTCGGAGCTTTCAGATTTTCTACAATGATGCCGAGTGTCTCTTCAGCATCACATCCTCGCCTTCATCTTCAGTCGAATTATATCCTCTAATCCTCATCCACTCTTCACAATGTTCAAGCGGACTCTTCTCAGACAAGCTCAGGCCTCCCGGGCTCTGCTCTCTGTTCGCTCCACCTCCACAGCACCTCTGGCCGTCCGTCAGACATCACAGCTCCAACCACAGCTCCTCCGCCCCTTCGCTCGTTATCCTACCGCTCGGTGCTACTCCACGGAGAACAAGACAGAAAATGGCGAACAGAAGGAGAACGGTGCCGAGTCATCGGAAGCTACCGAGGACCCGTGTGTCAAAGAGCTAGAGGAGAAGAAGAAAGAGGTCGTGGAGCTCAAGGTGATTCACACTTTAACCGCTTTATGCTCTACTTGATTGCTTCAAGACCTCAAACTAACTCCTCGAAGGACAAATACGTCCGATCCGTCGCAGATTTTCTCAACCTCCAGGAGCGCACCAAGCGAGACATGGAGAACGCCCGCAACTTCGCCATTCAGAAGTTTGCCGTCGACCTCCTGGAGAGCATTGACAACTTCGATCGCGCCCTTCTAGCCGTTCCCAAGGACAAGCTTGGCGCCACCAAGACCGAAGAGAACAAGGACCTCTTGGATCTCGTCGATGGTCTGAAGATGACCCAGAACATCCTTTTAAACACCCTCCAGAAGCACGGCCTGCAACGATTCGACCCTGACGAGCCTACCGAGGATGGCAAGCCCCAGAAGTTCGACCCTAAGATCCACGAGGCGACCTTCATGACTAAGGTCGAAGGCAAGGAGAACGGCGAGATCATGTACACCCAGAGCAAGGGTTTCACGTTGAACGGCCGTGTCCTTAGAGTGAGTTCTACGCCTGTTGACCGAGAATTCGGAAACTAATACACTCTTGTTTAGGCTGCCAAGGTCGGTGTCGTCAAGAACGACTAAACGCCACGCCACATTCAACCTATACCTACTTCCTCTGTACACTATATAAAATACACCCACGCGCCATGAAAGCTCTGGTCTTGCCTTATCGCATTCACGGCGTTGGATCTCAAACTCAAACACTACCTTTATGCTCCCTGGATGGTCCTTTATTCTGTCTATGAACGCATATGTATGATACACCTTCTTGTACGACTGGGGGCGTCTGGACTGTCTCCCTTTCGATGGCATTTTTTTCATCTAGATTCCTCATCACGGCGTTATGTTTTACTCTCACCTCCCACCTCATGTATACTACCTCTAATTTTTGACCGAAGACTGCATCCGTCTGTCTTTCTTCATCTTTCTTATCTCTCGGAATTTGTTGGACATTATCGGCAGCATGGTATGGCTCTGGCATAAAATGATCATATTGCGGTCTATTGGGTTTCCAAGTTCTGGACTATCTTGGCCGAGTCCCGTATAGGTCAAACTCAGGGCAGCGAGACACATGAGCTCTTATTTCTCTCACTCGGCTCAGCTTCGCTGTGCAGTTTCACATGGTTCGTCTACTTATTCCTACCCCGCCTGCGTAAAAACATTTCGTATTCGGCGAGGCATCCATAATCCATAGTCAAGAGAGGATGCATAAGCGAAAGGAGGGATCGCACTCTACCCAATATTCATAGCTCGAATTGAGTGACAGAAATTCGGGATCTTGTTCGCAGTTAGCTACATCCTCGTATGCAGATGTTGAGATCCGGACCAGAGGCTAGACCTATGCAATGTATGCTAATCTTCCTTCAAAAGCGGAGTGGAGTTGGTAGGGCTCTCTGCATAATCATTAGGCCAGGGTATCTAGGTACCTTGAATACCTTCCCTTTATAGGCTTTAGACCTCAGGAATCGAACTCGTTCTCGATTAGCTTTGCCCACTAAGAGTACAGTTATAGATATGAAGCAAGCGTCTAATCATGGATGCCTCTCGTATAAACTAGCAGGTAAAAAAATGGATGAGGAAAACTAAGAACCAAACGATATAAATTCAATAAGATATAGAATATAAAAGCCATGCCTTGCCCTGTCGTAGCCTTATACTAGCCTTAAATAGCCCTCCGCAAGTCACCGGACACCGTACCGACACCGTAACGGACCAAGCCTATATGCAAGGAAAAGCAGAAACAGAAACCAATAATCATGAAGGAAGGGAAAGGAACAGGGGAACGAGAAACCAAGAAACGTTGATATTAGCAGGATACACCACTGCCATTGGATGGATCCCGAACGACCAAGCAAGGTTATTGGATTGATCAAATTCAACCCAAACGAATCCCACGCATCACTCCGCAGCAGAAACGCTATATAGTGATCATAAACTGCACGAGACAAAAGTAAGCGGGAGGAAATGACAGGGTAGAAGGGAGATCGATGAGATATATGAGACGGGATAAAAGAGTCCTAGAACCGTTGCCGCAGTCTATCGCTTGCTTTTACCTGCCTTCTCGCCTTGTTCGCCGTGAAAGTAAACCGACCAATAATGGTAAGAGAGAGAAAGGGTTAAAGGAAGCGATGACGGGATAGATGGAGGAGGGTTGTACACGCCCTATCCGCAGGCCGCGCCGGCTGAACCGGCATGTGCCACGGCCGGCAACAGCTTGTGGGTGGGGTGGGTTGTGTGAGACGGAGTATGTATATGAGTGGGAATATGTCCGGACGAAAGTGCGTATACATATGTAAGGAGTCGAACGCTGTCCACCCAACCATGTGCTAGCAGCAGACGCCAGATGAAGACCACTGATAACGCCGGACACCGATGTATGCAGAATGATAGAGGCGGAGAGAGAAGTATACGAGAAGAGATAGAGTGGAAGTGAGGAATAGAGGGAAGGGTTGTGAGAGGGGAAAGGACATCATGCCCCATCAATCGTATCTCCGTCATCAGACCCATCGGCAAGCAGCGTGCCAGAAGATGGCAGCTTGCGACCGGCCCCGTATACCATCTCCATGAGTTTTGCCTTCTGTTTCTCCCTTACAGAGCGGAGATAATCGTACGTCCCCTCCAGGCCCTTGATCTGACCATCTATCACAGCTTCAACGGGACCAAGTGTTCGACCACCACTGCCCCCCGAGTCCACGGCGCCCGCGAAGCTAACGGAGTCGTTGCGCCTTACGAGAGGGCTAACGAGTTTCCGGCGCAGTGTTTCAAGGTTTACTTTCAATGTCAAAAGACGCCCGCGATGATCCATGAGGAGGTGCTTGTTTGCGACGGTGCGGCTACGGACATTCGCTAATAGCCGCTTGTTCTTCTCATACTTTCTCACCACCGCGGCATCTGGCCCGAGGACACGGGTCCAGAGAGAACTGAGCATTTCACCCTCGGCGCGCTCCTGCGCATCGGACTCGCGGACAACTGTGCGCTGAAGATTGAGGAACTGCCGATCGATGGACTCAAATAGCGCAAATAGCGCCGTTGAGTGCGTCAACTCGCTGTTTATTGATTCTTCAAGGACGGAAAGAAACTCTGTGAAGGTGCGCGTGAGTGTCGCGCGAGTGCGCTGGGCTGAAGTTTGCCCAAATATGGCAGTCACAATAGTGCCAAACGTCGTTGGGGTTGTGGTGAGCTCAGTGGTGCCATCGCCGCTTGACCTTGCGACTCTTTCGAGTGTGCCGAGTCGCGATAGGAGGTCTTGCACATTATCCAAGACGATAGACGGTAAACTACTAGGCGGTTGCGACGATAAGGTCTCTAGCTCGCGCTTGGCCCAATCCATGACCAGGAGGATCGAGTCGACGTCCGAGTCGACGTTGGCAAAGAAGCGCGTCAACTCTAATGAGAGCGACTTGAGCGACTCCGACAACTCGTCGAGTTGGCGTACAATGATGGGTGCGCTGGTCATATTTGTCCCGCGCACCGACTCGCTGAGGTCCCAGACGGCCACACCGGTCTCTTGTAACGTTCCGATCTGCTGCACGCCATTCTCGGAGTAGTATATAAGCGGTTCGAATGAGCGCGCAAAGCCTGACAGCTTCACTAGGTCTGGGATTGCCGACGGCATGCTCGGCATGAACAGCGTGCGCAAGAACGCGATGGACACCAGGGCTATGAAGACGGACAGGGTGGTGTTGGACTTGGAGCTAGTGATGTAATCGACCTTGGATCGCAAGTAAGTAAAGAATGCGACAAACGGTTCTCGATGTTGAACTTCGGCGCGTACAGCGAACCTGATATCTTTGATAGAGATTCAGGCGTTAGTATATCCCGCGCCAGCAAGCTGGACAGGGTCGTCAAACCGCGGAAGACCTACAATTACTTATGTTATTATCGGGCTTGAAGTCCACAGTCTCAACGTCAGATATGATGGGTCGCATAGGCATCCGCACTGGACTGGGCGACCGGCCCTTCAATGGTGAATCTGTCTCTGGAGGTAACGGCACCTTGGCGGCGACGATAGCGTCCACAGTTTCGGTGGAAAGGGCGCGGCGGCTTGCCATGGGAGCCTCTGGCGCATCTTCATACTGCGGACTGGCTTCCCGCGACTGCGTTGGACTAACTCCCACGGTTGGTCTCAGCCCGAACCGCTCGTGGTCAATCTTGCGCGTGTAGGGCTGGTGTCTATACCACCCACTATTTGGGACATCATCATACCTTCTTCCAAAGCCGGGCGGAGACCAGCGTTCATCAACGGGTGTCGTGTCCTCCTCTTCGCAATCCGATTCCTCTGACCTAAAACCCGAGTGTTGTGATGGGAGACCGAATATCGGTGAACGGTGGCGATTGCTTGTATTCTCAAAGTCCTCGAGCGATGCATCCATTGATGGATGGTCATCGAAAAAGTTATCTAGCTCGTCCACCATGATGGACGGCGTCGCGCGCACGAGATCCTGAAGTTGTACGGCCACTCTCGATGCTATGGTTCCCCAGACGTCTTCAATAAACCGCCGGATATGGTGGTTCAAGAAGGGAGGGGGAGGATGTTCGCAAGGGCGCTAACGTATAGATTGCTGGACTAGCAAATGGAGGTGGGGGAGGTGCAGAAGAGTCGAGTCCGCCAGGACAAAGCAGCGGGGAAGCGATAAGGAGAAAGAACACAATAGCAGGCTTGATAGAAGCAGCTGCAAAGACAACGCAGGTGTTGAAGAATAATGCGACTGGCGGGAGAGACCTTGATTGATGCCTGAGGACTAGCAAGCAGGGCTGACAAGTCACGGCGCACGAATACCGGAAGGGAGAGGAGTTACAACGATTTGCATTGAACGGTATATAGATAGAAACTGGGAATCCTTCTCATCGGAAGTGTTTCAAGACTGTAGACCACGTTAGTGGTGCAGGAAAGGCACCGATACTTCCAGCCTGGATGCCTATGTTTCATCCGATGTCCCAAGGTAAGGATAATCAACGAGGTCCAGGAAAACGAGATGCTTGCTAGCCCCTCGCATGCGCCCTGAATCGGTATTCTTCTGTCTTGCTTGACTTTGCCTCGACCGGGTTCAGCAGTCGAGGTGCTGGGGAATTTATGAGGGGGCGCAGGAGAGGGAGGCTGGGCCAATAACGCGATGCACGAGCGGTCATGTGCTGGCCTCAACCTCTCCAAGTCCATCGAGCCGGTCTGCTCCGGGTGCTGTCGATGGCTTTCGAGGTCCCCAACTATGTCAGATGCACGAATCAAACGTCTCGAGGTGGTCTTAGGCCGTTTCCTGGAGTCGGCAGGAGTCATGCCTTGGGAACTCCTTTCATCCCAGGCTTCCTAGCCAATCATCCCATCATGCTACTATGGCATTCTTGGAGTAGATCGTCAAGCGCAAGGCATATTATTGGGCAGCAAGAAAGACCCAAAGAAGTAAAGTTGTTGTCGTCAGTTTGAAGGTTGCACCTTTGTCTGAGGTCTGCGGTCTGTAGATCAAAAGTATGCAAACCGATAAGCCGTCTTATCATGAGGGTCTTCAGCAGAGTCCAGAGAACAGCTCGGCCTGACTCGTCTGCTGGTCACCCCAGCTAGTTTGGTCACGTGACCTAACTTTATAGCTTACCCAAGCTTACCTTTAAATTTTACTTATAACTTTGGTTATAATTTAAATATAATAGCTACTAATATAAAGCCTTATATATATTACTTTTTAAGTAATATAAATATTAATAATTTTATTAAAACTTTATATTAAACTTTTTTTTAACTTTTTTTTACTTTTTTTTACCTTTTTTATTAATAACACTTCCGCCTATTATATTAACTATTAAATTAATAATAAGAATTACTTAAAAACTACTTTATAACCTATTTTTATAGCTAATTTAAGCCTAGGCTATTTTTAAAAAATACATGTAAATTTTAAATAATAAAGTGGTTTTTTTAAAGTTAAAGCTAAAGGTAAGTAAGGCTATTATTATTAAAAAGTAAAAGCTAAAAGTATTTTTAAATTACTTTTTAATTTTTACTTTTTAACTTTTTTTAACCTTACATGCATCCTTAGAAAGTACTTTAAAATTAATTATTTATAAAATAATAAAATAACCTACCTTTTTTTAAGAAAGCTTTACTACCGGGTTAAAGGCTGCCTTAATAAAATAAGTTTTTTTAAATATTTATAAAAAGTACTTTTTAACTAGTTTAAATAAAATTTAATATTACTAATAGCCTTTATAGCTATTATGCTAGTAAGTATTTTATTATTTACCTTTTTACCTAGGTTTTTAAAAATAAAAAGGACGTTAGGGGCCGCCTAAAGGTTAGTAAAATTAAAAAGGTTAAGGGTAAGTTTAGTTATTACTTATAAAAAGTACTTTTTAACTAGTTTTATAAATTTTTATTAATTTATTATTAATAATTAAAAGGCGTGCTAGGTTATAAAGCTAGTTATTTTATTTTAGCTTTTATTTAAGTAAAATAAAAATATAAATAAGCTATATTTTTTTATTAAAAATACTTTTTAACTAGTTTTAGTATAACCCTATTATTATAAAAAAAATAATAAAAAAAAAGGGCTATAAAATTTTTTATAATATTTATAAGTTAAAAAAGGTGCTAGCTAGTAAGTTTTCCTACTTTATTAACTTTAAAAAGTACTTTTTAACTAGTTTTAAAATACTACTTATAAAAGTAAATTAAGGATTATAATTACTTTAAGCTTTTTAAAAAGCTTAATACTACTAGCCAGGATAATAAAAATAAAAAAAAAAAGTAAAAAAAAAAAAAAAGGCTATTAATACTACTACTATAAAAACTACTTTTTAAATAGTTTTTTTTATACCCCCTTTTATTTTTTTTTTTAATTTAATAGGGCGCCTACGGGTATATTTTATATTTTTTACCTTTTTTTTAGCAAGGTACATATAGCGTTAACTACTTTAAAAGTAATTTTTTAGTTTCTAGTTTTTTTTTATATATAATAAGCTATAATTAAATACCCTAAACTATAATAAACTTTATTTTTTTATAATTAAGTTTAAACTAGCTTTAATAGCTCCTAAATTAGTTTTATTTTTAGGTATAGGCTTGTTAAAAACTAGTTATTTTTAAAAAAAGTAAAAAAGTAACTATTATTTTTTTAAATTTAAAGTACTTTTAATTAGGGCTAAACTAGTTTAGTTTAAGGTTATAAAAAAAATTAATAAAAGTAAGATTTAAATTAAGCATATAACTTACTATATAAAATACCCTTGGATTATTAGGCTTAATTACTTTAAAAATACTTTTAGTATTACTAAGTGGCTAAAAAATTTTAAAAAATTTATTTACTTATTTTTAATTAAAAACTTATTTTTAAATTTTTATTATTATATTATGCTTGCTAGGCTAAAAAATATATTTTAAGCTTACTTATTTTTTACTTATTTTATATATTTTACTTAATAAAAGTAGTTTATTAGCAGCCTAAAATAATTTATTTTTTATATGCATGTTATACTAAAGGTCTTGGTTAATAAATATATATATTCCTGTAATATTTATACTTTAACTAGCTAGTATATTAAAACTTAATTATTATAGTATAAAATTATATTAATATGCTATTAAAGCCAAGCAAATAATAAAATTTTATTTTTAAATAAGTAACTAAAGTACTTTTAAAAATATTTAAACTAATTTAAAACTAGTTTTAATTACTAAAATTATTAACCTTTTTTTTAATATATTTAATAACTTTGGTAAATATAGCAGGCCCCTTAATTATTTTATTATAAAAATATTATTTTAACTAGGCTAGCTTTTTAAGATTAATTTTAATTTGACCCCTAACTCTTAATCTTTGGCCCTTTATATAAGTGGTAATAAAAAAGTCTTAAAAAATATTAAAAAATTTAAAATAATTAGTAAGTACTTAAAAACTAGTTTTCTAGTAAACTTATAATATTAATATATATTTTTAAATAGGCGTAGTAGTAGAAGCACTAAAATAATATTAGTATTAAAAAAATCTAGCCCTAGGGTAAAGCAGGCTTTATTAACTTATATAATATATTAATAGGTAAGTATAGTAAAATTAGCCCTAAAAAATTATTAATACTAAAGTAGTTCTCCCCGTAAGTAAAGTAGTTTTTAGGGTATATTAAAATATATAAAGCATGTTATTTACAGGGTGTGGCTAAAGTTATACTAAAGTATTATTAATATAAAACTAGTTTTTATATAAAATAAAGTATTTTACTTTTTTATATAGTGTAATTAAGACTAAAAGCCCCTAGCATGTATAAATTTAAAAAAACTTAACTTAAATAAGATTTTATTAAAACTATTTTTTATTTTTTATAACTTTTCCCACTTTATTATATTAAAAGCCTTGCATTTTTGGCATATTAAAAAGGTTAAAAATAGTTTTAAAGTAGTTTTAAAGTAGTTTTAATATATATATAATTTTTTTATATATACTTAAAATATTATTTATACATGTTATTTATGCGGTATTTATGCTAAGTTTTATAAAAAACTTTTATATAATATTAATTTATATTACGCTAATTAAGCTACCGGGAGCTGCCTTAAAATTAATAATTAAAAATAATTTTTATAATAAATAAAGTAGTTTTAATTTTATAATTATATTAAGTAGTAACTTTTAAGTGCTTAAAAAGTAAGACTTATAATAGCTTTGCTTAATAGTATTAATATTTTCCTAGATTTACTTATAATAATTAGGCAGAATTTAAAAACAGGCTTAGTTAAAACTAGTAGTAATAATTAAATAAGCTTTATATTTAGCCTAATTATAAATAAAGGTATTTTTATATATTAATTAAAGTTAGAACTAGTTCCAAAGTACTTTAAAAAATAAAAAAACATACTTTAAAGTAGTTTATAAAAATTAAAATAATTTTTTAAAGTTTTAGTAATAAGCAAGCTTTTTATATAATAACTAATAAATATATAATGCTCCTCCCAAGGGCAAAGCTTTTAAATAATTTAAAAAAAGTAAATATAATATATAATAAAAATATTTTTTAATTATTATATTTAAATATAACTATAAAAATCTTTTTCCTAAAGGTATTAGCCTAATTTTAAAACTAGTTTAGCCTAAGGTAAAAGTAGTTTTATATAAAGCTTACTAGCCATTTACTTTGTATATATATTTACTATAATACCCTTAATATTAATATTATAAAAATAAAAAAACTAGCTAAAAAACCCCTGCATGGAAGTAATAAGGCTAAAAACCTTTTTAAAAAGTAAAAAATATTTATTTATAGTTTTAATATTAATAAAAACATATAATAATATAAAAACTAAAAGTAATTAGTAACTAGTTCTAAAAAAAAGGCAGGATATAGGTAAGTAAAGTACTTAAAAAATACTTTTTAACTTACTTTTATTATGCTT